TCACCTACGAGGCTGCTGACGGTTGCGTCGTCGAGGACATACCCTCGGCCAACACAGTATGGGCCGTGGTAGCTTCTGCCAAACCTCGTAGCAAGAATTTTTTCGATTTTGTGCGAAGAGAAACCGACCGCAGACGGCAGAACGAGACTGAATCCAGACACGTAGCTGTGATGACCAGACGTCAAACGAGAGCAAAGGAGAAACACGTCCGGTTTGCAGATGAAGTCTCGGTCACCGATCAGGGAGACGCATCTCACCGAGTAGAAGCCAATGGTGTGCCGAACGAGTCTCAGAATGAAGCAGAAGCTTCACCGCTGCGTGCCGACACGTCACCAGGCCCACCGAACGCAGAAGACATTGACCCGCTGGTAGTACAGGAAGAACGCCGAAGGAGAATCGCCTCCGCTCAAGATGAAGAGTTACGGTGGTCGAATCTGAAGGCAGTGCTCCGGGGAGATGATGCGAAGATTGGATACAGAGCAGCACGAGATGCATGGAAAATGGCGGACCAATTTGTGTTGAGCGAGGACGATGTGCTATATTACACAAGAACGAGCCGTCGTTCAAGTGACGGCGAGCAAGCCGAGTTGAAGATGAGACTCGTGGTGCCCACAACGATGATCCAAGAGGTCCTGCAAAGCTGACTCACTTGAAGGCGGTCATCAAGGTATTACCCGTACGCTACATCGAGCGGCGAGAGACTATTACTGGATCGGTCAGTATGCCGATGTGGAGAAACACGTTAAGTCGTGCCCTGACTGCAGTTCAAGTAAGAGCCGACCTCAGTTCCGCGGGTACTCGCCAGGGAACATCCTAGCCGAGAGACCCTTCCAACTAGTCTCTATGGACTTCGTGATACCGCTACCGAAGAGTCGCCGTGGCAACACGGCTCTCCTGCTATTCCAATGCTCGTTCACGGGATTCGTGATGGGCAAAGCCATGTATGACACTACCGCCTTACTCGTTGCGCAAGCTTTCGAGGAGTGTGTCTACCGACGTTTTGGAGCACCGTCTTGATCCGTCATGACCGAGATCCTCGATTTATGAGCGAGGTCTTCCAAGCCTTCGCGGAAATGATGCAGTCTCGGTCGAGAGCGACCCTAAGCTACCGCCCGCAGGCCAACGGCCAGCAGGAGAGATCGGTGAAGACGATCATGCAGTTAGTCCGCGTATACGCTGAAGACCCACTACAGCAGGATTGGGACGAGATCGCCGAAAGACTAATCTTTGCCATCAATAGCTCCCGTGATACGACGAGGAAGGAAACTCCGTTTTACCTCGTTCATGGGTGGGATGCACAGTCGACGCTCAAGGCAATGTCCTCGTCACTCAAACGAGGCTTCGGTAGCCAAACTGACGCGCTAGCATGGCGCCGAGAGGTCAACCGACAGCAGGAAATCGCCCTGAGGATAGCCAAGGAGTACCAAGCCGCGGAAAAGGCTCGGAGAGCTGAAGAGCACAATGCGTCGCTTGGCAGGAAGGAGAAGGAAGCCATGGCAGGTGTCAACGAGAATAGAACCTCGGTCGACCGGGCACCGAGTTCCCCTGACCATAGTAGAGCTGCAGTGACGAGAACGAGGTTTCCTTTGCAGCCCGGGAGCAGAGTGTGGCTGTACATGGAGCGGGTTCGACCAGGACTGACCAAGAAACTAGCCCATCGGTGGCACGGACCGTTCCGCGTGAAGAAGAAGGTCGACGAATTTGCGTATGAGTTGGAATTACCCGACCGAAGTGGATACCGGTTCTACCCGGTGGTACATGTTTCACGACTCAAGTCAGTGGACGGGTTCGAAGGCCGACCGAGGGTTCGTTTGGCTCGTGAGGTCACCGAAGACACTCGTCTTGACTTCGACGAGGAATTACTGCCTGAAGATAGTTTTGAGCCGGACCGCCTGGACGGCGAGTATGAAGTCGAGGCTATCCTCGATGACCGGACACCGTTGTCGACGAGTACTCACCGGGCCGTCCGAGAGCTCAAGGTGAAGTGGGTCGGCTATGACGAGCCGACATGGGAACCAGCGTCCAAACTCTCGTGCGGTGGCCACCTGTACGATTACCTACGCCGGAAGCGAAGCGACCGACGTTTGCAAATGGTCCAGGTGGCCGACGAGGAGTAATTCTGCGCCCCAACGAGGATTGAACTGCTCGCGGGGGCAATCCAGCCCGCGATGTCAGACGAACGAGGCTACTGGAGATGATGATTGAACTGCCTGCGAGGGCTATCCAGCTCGCAGTGACAGACGAAGAAAGTTTCTGGAATCTGCATGTTATGTGTTAAGTGAACGAGTCACGATGGAATGGAGATATCGGAATGGAGCCAGGGACAACGGAAGACGCAAGCAAGCCTCGGTCAAACCCTCAACAGACGAAACAAGTGATGATGAAGCAAATGGGAGGGCGACCGAGGCTTCTGACGCAGTGATTGCCATGGAAGTAGCACGAACAAGTGCGCTCGACTTCGTGGTTGAGTATGGAGTTGATGATGAAATGGGTATGCAAGCTGTCGACACCGGATACCCGCAGAAGACCGGGTGTACAGTTGTCAAAATTGGGCTGTCATGCGAAATCATACCCGCAACGGAGCTAGCGTAAGTACGCCCGGTCTCCCGCGAATCAAGTACGGTCTTCAACGAGCATAAGCCCGATCTTCTTGCAGGGTGACAAGACGAAGTCCGGCTGCCGCAGCTACGAACCAAGCCTCGTTTGAGGCAGCCACAGCGGTCGAGGGCAGGGAAGAAGCTCTGGGGACCGCGACCGAGTATTGAATGCGATGTGCGTTGACGCGAGAACAGATTATGAAATGGAACGAACAACATGACGTTATTTTGGATTGGGATAGCACATGCAGCGTCGCCTAAAGCGCCACGGACCTCGGTCGACATCGGAAAAGAACGTGAACGAAACGGTGAAGCTGGAGCGGGGCCTGACGAGGCTAAATCTCCATCACAGCCTGAGCCAACACGCCCAGACTTGACGTTTGCGAACTCGGCCAGCCATGGAGCGACCACCATCGAAGTCCGCAGAGAAGATTCGACCACGACCGACGACGCCACGGTTTCCCGAGTCGATCCGTTGGGGACAAACAACGGGACGTCGTTGCAAGGGGCGAAAGCCGTGTTGTAGGGGTGGTCTGCCGGCGCTTGGAACCAACAGTTACGCCACGGCTCGCGGGCATCCACGTCCGCCACCTCGGAGGCCCAGTCGTCGGTAGTGGGGATCCACTCCATCACCTCGAACGAGCATTGCAGGTACGACGGCTCCAGCAAAACCTCGGTGCGGTGCTGTGGAGGTTGTCCGTCGTACGTAATGGCCCCATTCCACACCTTGTGGAGCATCTGGTCTCGCAAGCGATCTGCACGATAACTGCGCTCTCAGTGGTACTTGGACCACGCTTGTCGAAGCGCTAGGACTTGCACGTTGCGCTGACCGAGGGTGCTGGCGAGGTTGTCGATATACGCCTTGACAGCTTTACCCCTAATCCAGTGGCGACGCTCCCACAAGGCGAAACCAAGGTCGCCCCTCTCGGTGGAGTGGTAGGAGTACCCCTGGAACTGCCGCCATAGGCGAACGAGAAGAGCCCGACCAGTTGCACGACGGGATATAGCCACCGAGGATGGAAAACCCGTCGTATCGATCAAACAAGGCTCGTCTGGGAAAAGCTGGCGCAACACTTGGAAGGTGTGAGCAAGATCCGTCCACAAGCCAAACTCCACGATTCCAGCCACTGAACTGGGGGCGACCAAGTCGTCCTCGAAGACGAGGGGGACACTGGCATTTTAGATGAGTTGCCAGCATTCCGACGCTCCGGGTGCCGGGAAACCCGGCTCCAAGAACAGGGTAGCAAGACCACTGAGCTTACGCGATCCAGGAGCTACGTCGGAAGCGTCAACCACTGCTGGGGCAATCGACGCAGGTCCAGCCCTCGGTGAAGCTGTCACCGTTGCTGTTACCATCGCCCGAGCTTGAACAGAGGCCGACCGAGTGAGGAGTCGACTCGGGAGTGGCACGGTGGCGGCTCGTGAAGCTACAGGAACCCCGGTCGCGGCAGCCAGAGGAGAAGGAGCCTCCGAAGGAGCGACAGGTTGCGCCACCGAGGTTTCCTCTCTTTCGTCGGGGCCGAACATCTCCAGGAACAACGCTGCGCGGTCCTCGGAAGTCTCGGACTCATGAGGCGACTCACCGCCAGGTGAACGGTCTGGCGGGCCGCCAGAGCCCTCGGTGACCTCAGCAGCCGATTCTCGAGGGGCACGGCCGACGCCGGCTGTACCAGACGAGACTGGCGAAGGGATGGAAGTCGTCGCCGAAGGCGAAACCTCGGATGGAACCTCGATGACAGTACCGGAAGGCTCGGTAGCAGAACCTTGAACACCCTGAGCGCTAGCCGACACCCCCGGAATCTCGCCGGGCTCAAGGTCATCTTGTGAAGTGTCGCTAGGACTCATACCCCCTCCAAACTCCACGCCAGACGATTCCTGCTGCTGGGCTGGGGCTGGCGAGGGAGGCGAGGCGCGACGTGCCAGCCGAGGATACAAGGGGACGTCTGAGTGTTCGTACGGGAGAGGCTGACACTCCAACCAGCTTGAGCGAGCCGTCGTTGGAGGACGCACCATCGACCGAGGAGGCGGGGAAATCTTTCCTGATGCCGAACGAGGACTAGATGGCGCGGCGGCCGCTGCAGCCCTGGCCCTCAGGTCGACTGACGGTCTGCCGAAGCGTTTGTGAGGAGGAGGCTGCGATGCCGTATTCCCGACGGAAGCAGCCTCGGTTTGCCGACCCCGCTTGCGCGATGACGACTCAGTGGAGACCGGGGAACCAGCAGAAGCGCCCACCGAAGCAGCGGGAGCGGACGTAGCCTCGGTGGACTCAGCCATCGGCACGTCGGTCGTCTTGGACTCCTCTCCCTCCTCTGACGAGGATTCGTCATGGCGTGGACGCTCGACAGTGACCGTCGGTGGGGACAGCCCGAGAAGATTCCAATCAATCTCTGCGGCGGAGATGCCGGCTGAGGCCAGGACCAAGGTGTCGACGTCGAGTCCGTGTGCTGCCGAGTGCCGACGAAGGATAGAATTCGCTCGCCGCAAGCTGTTGTTCTCGTCCGTCAACGCTTGAATGCGTGCGGGGATGACGTTTGCTCGGTCGCGGTCGGCCAACTGCTTCCGAAGCCTCTCCAACTGAGTGTTGTAGGTAACGAGGCTTGCACTTATACGCTCGTGGAGCTGGGTGTTCCGACGTACAGCAGCGGCCTCAGCAACGAGCGTCCGCTTCTCCAACGACTGAGTGACGTCAGCGTGGTGAGCGATGGCCGCGTTCGCTTGCATCAACTGAGCACTGGCGTTGCTGAGCTGGACGCACATGGCCTGGACGAGGTCCAGAGCTTGGTCGCACTCGGAGTTGGCCGAGACGAGGAAGTAGTCCGACTTGGTCCGCAGGTTCATCTCTTCAGCGAGTTTATCTTTGGCGTCGGAGAGGTCTGCCTGCAGCCGGTAGTTCTCGCGGCGGAGGGCCACCAGTTCATCAGCCTCCGCAAGAGGGAGACGCGGAGGAGCAACGGCAGCAGCCAGCACCTCATCGACGTTAGTAGCAGCTTGCAGGCTGTGGTCGAGAGCAGCGTTGACTCGAGCTGGAGGTGAACGGGCAACACCCACGACGAGACGAGCGAGTTCCAGCATCTGCTGCTCGCCCAAGACGACCGCTGTCGGAGGAACCTCGGCCGGGCCAGCATCAGCTCCGGCGCGACCCCCTACAGCTGCCTCGCCCCCCACCGACGCCCCGCGAGTTGCCAACGTGACCGATGGCGCGGGAGTTGGCGACGGTGGAGCGCTGGCGCTTGGCGGCGGTGTCGGCGGCGAGTCGGGAGCCTCTTCACTGGGAACTGCCGGCGAGGGAGTCTCGGTCGCCCCAGCAGCAGACTCAGGACTACTTGGAGGAGCCGGTGGAGGGTCGACCGAGGTCCCGGAGGCGGTAGGAATGAGCGTAGGGTCACCTGCAGGCGCGGCCGGGGCTGGGGGCACAGCACCAGTGGCGATAGGGGCGGGGCACCCGCCGAACGAGCTTGGCGCGCCGGACGACGACCCGAAGTGTCGGTGGCGACATCAACAGCTCCCTGAGATGATCAAGAAAGAGATGGAGTCAACAACGAGGATCCGAATGACAGTGAGGAGCAGCGGGAGCGACGAACGTACCGGTCCGGAGCACTGGAGAGCCCGAAGAGCAGCGGCAGCCGCGTCGGCGAATGCACGCGACGGAGGAGCCATGGAGTCGAAGAACTGAGGACGCCTAGACGCTCACCAGCGTGGGAGGCTCGCGTCGAGGCGGGGGCAGTTGTGGTATTGGAAAGTGGCAGTTTCCAACGCTGTTGACCCGCCAGCCCGACAATCAAGTTCAATCAAGGGGCGATCAAGGCGATGTCAAGCGAGAGACGGAGATGGCTGCTTCTGATTGGATGATGACATTATCCTCGGTAGAGTGACAGGCAGTGGCCGAAGCCTCGTCGGGTCCTAATAGAACCCCGAACGAGGCTTCATGGTACCCACTTTTAGGTACAGATGCATTTAGTTACGTACTTCGGCCGCACTTATTAGTGTAGCCGCGGTCGTCATTTGATGTGTCCGGAATCGCCTTATTGCGACCGTTCACACTAGATATTTGTATAGGGACATAGGACTCATCATAGGATGACCAGAACGAGGCCCCAGGGCCTCAGAAAACTCAGTAATAAAAAGACAGTCTTCCCCCAAAGCCAACATGGGTCAAGTCCGACTTCGGTAAGTGTAGCTAGCTTATTGTAGTGCCTGGATACGCTCGGCTGCGTGTGGATGCCTGTCGGGGAGCTTATCGTGCATTGACCGAGAGTTTCCTTGGCAGCGCCAAGAGTTGGCGTGGCCGGAGAGGCAGGAACGGTATTAGAGTATCGTTCGGTATATATTTGTGGGATTGGAGTATCCCTGAGTGTATTAGTCTACCTACCGAGGTTTTACCTTGGTCCCCCTGTATAAGGCCTAACACGCCGGTACCCTTCCTTCCTGAGGGACTGCAGTGGGGTTGCGCGAAAGCGCTACATAGTATCCTAGCCTTAGCTCGTGGCTAGTGGTACAGGTTTTGGGTTGACCGAAGATAACCTAAGGTGCACAGAGGCGCTTGTAACCGACCCGGTGTAAGGGATCGTTCCTGGTCTTCAGGTTTTGATCCAATAAGCGCTTACCTTTGCGGGTTAGCGTGTAGTTGGTGTCTCTAATACCTTTTGGTGGAGGAGGATTTTAGTGGAATTACCACACCACAGTCTACGACTACTACGGCTTCCCGAGCGAGGCCTACGACGTCGTCTACCCGGTCAAGGGCGACCCCGCGTTCGCCCGACAGGTGAAGGAGCAGCTCCAGAAGAGCAACATCCAGTCCCAGCTCGTCGACCGCGGCTTCGACTACGGCGTCTTCGTCCCGATGCTGCTGATCCGGCCCGACGCGGACATCCCAATCGTCACCATGTCCATCAACTCGGGGCTGAGCAACCAGGCGCACGTCGACCTCGGCAAGGCCATCGCCCCTTTCCGCGACGAGGACACGCTCATCTTCTGCTGGGGCCAGGCCACCCACAACATGCGCGCGAGCCGCGAGCCCACTAACCCGCTCATGCCGTGGGCCGCGGCGTTCCAGGGCTGGCTCGACAACACGCTCACGTCCGAGTCCTCACTGAGCTGCAGCCAACGCGGAGGGCGGATCGTCGACTGGCCGAGCGCCCCCGCCGCGAGACTCGCGCACCCCACGCCAGACCACTTCCCCCCGTTCGTCGCCGCCGCTGGGGCAGGCATGGAGGAGAACAAACCCGAGGCCGAGAAGCTCTTCGGCGGGTGGGGGATGGGCCACATGTCGTTCGCGAGCTACGCCTGGGGCGTCGAGCACTAGGCGCATCAGACTAATGAATACACGTCCTTGAACTCGCCAGTTGTCGCTGTGTCATGCTCGCTCCAGTGAGCGCTGCTCGAGGACATCTTGGGCAAAGCATCACTTCAACGTCCAATCGCATGACAAAATAGGAGGATGTAAGGATGCAGGTTATTAGGTCAGTGTACACCGCTTCTGTCTCTCTCTTCCCATCCTCATTGAGTCACTAAACCCAGGAAATCCTTCACAGCCAAAATAGATTCCTGCCACGATTCACTGAAGTAGCTACAGTCCGTAAACCCAGGGGCAACATCCTCTGCGAAGAGGCAGAAAAGATTCGCTGCTGGACGCGCGCCGTTGCTCACGCTCTCATTCATTCGGGAATCAGCGCTGCAGGGAGCGAGGAGCTACGTACCTGTAGAGTAGAGCTACTATCACCGCCATGACCGAGGTGGCGTTCGCTGTGCGTCTGCTGGGCGACGCGAGCGCGCGCGTCGTGTGTCTGCTGGGCAGCGCGCCGGAGCTCGGCGCCTGGGACGTGGAGAAGGCCGGTGCGTCTGCGTGCTCGTCCTCTTGGGTTGATTGATGCAGGCGGCTGACGGCGTGCTGTGCGCAGTGCCCATGGAGCTCGTGGGCCAGCGGGAGGGCGAGAGCTCGTGGCGCGCGTCGTTCGTGTTCGCTGCGACCACCAGCACGCTCGAGTACAAGTACGTGGTCAAGCACCAGCAGACGCGCGAGCTCGAGTCGTGGGAGGGACTGCCAGGCAACCGGACACTCACGATCACGCGGGGCACCAACGTGGCGCTGTAAGTGCTGGACACTATCGTAGCTGTAGTCGAGAGAGGCTGCTGATGTTCTCTCTCTGTGTATGTAGTGGCGCTACTTCCAACCAGAGTTCGACCTACACGACGACGCGTGCCCCGGCGCCGGGCCCGCGCGAGGCCAAACTGGGCAACAACGGCAGCACCAACGGCTTCCAGGAGTGGCGCTGCTGCCGCACCAACAAGGAGGCCAACCCGTGGTGGGAAGTAGATCTGGGCAGGGATTACGCCATCTCTAGCGTCCACGTGTGGAACGCCATGACGTACCATGAGCAGGCGAGGCACCCGGACGGTCGCCCGCCCATGACGTCCAAGGCGTCGACGTCTGCCCCCGCTCCTCCGCTCTGGGTGTTCGTCTCCAAGCAGCCATTGGGTCGAGAGGCGGGGTCGTTCCAAGACGCACAAGCCAAGGCCTCGAGTGATGCGTCTGCTGTGCGGGCGATTGAAGTGCAGGGCGCCTTTGACAGCCGCGTGCGATCGCTGGACTTGGAGGCTGGAGAGGTTGTCGCGGGACGCTACGTGCGTCTGCAGTACGCTGGCGCGTCTGCGTGCTCGCTGCAGTTCGCGGAGCTGGAGATTTTCACGCAAGATGACGCGGCCACAGTCGCTGGCAAGAACACGCCGCAGAAAACGACCTCGTGCCTCAAACGCGACGATGGTTTCTACGGTGTCCCCAGCGCGCTTGATGCCGATATTCAGCAACAGGTCGAGAGCGGGTGGCTGAACCCCGCCGCTAAGATGGCGGAGCTGGAACTGTGGATCGGAAGCTTTGACTCTACCAGGCCGGCGATCCAGTGGGTTAACAAGGAACCTGAGCAGAACCGAGTGGCGATTGAAATGCGCCATGAGAGGCAAACGAATGGACACAACCAAGCGGAGCCAAATGGGAACAAGAGCACCGCAGTTGAATGGGAATCGCTCCCAGTTGAGTCGAAGAGTGCTGCATTGTTGGACAAGGAGTCGACTGAGCTGCGCCAGCTCCTGGAAGTGCACCAACAGCAAGCTGGGACTGACATTTCTGCCTATCTGAACAATGATCCCAACCGGCCTACGACCCAACCATCATCGGCGGTGTCGTGGGTGTCAAGGTTGGCATTTGCCCAGTCTTTGGAAGCGTCCGACGTTGAGCTTCTAGCTGGAAAGGTTGCCACGCGCAAGTACTCGCAGGGCGAGACCATCCTCAATTACGCGGAGCAGAAGCGCGCTGTCTGCTACGTTGAATCAGGTGACGTCGAGCTACTGGGTCCGGCATCCTCCACAGGATCGAATGTCGTTGGAACGCTGGGCAAGGGCACGTTCTTTAACGAGATGGGGCTCTTTGGGCGCTGGTCTAAGCAGCCTGCGTTGTTCAAGGCGAAGACTGATGTGGTCTTGCACGTTTTGGAACTTGACGAAATCCTTGCTGCTCTGGGGAACGAGAAGGCGTCTTCGATTCGGGCCGACTACATTCGAGCAATACACAAGGCACTCTATTTCTCAGCAGCGGAGGCTTCGTCCACGGTGCACTTCATGGACAACACACACGCTCAGGTATTCCGTGTCAAAGTACCCGCCGCCGTTGTGGACGGAAGTTGGAACCCGAGCAACGGGCTCTCACATCGGTGGCCGTTGGATATCTACAGCTACCAGAGCGACGCGGAGTCCAAGATGGAGCTGTTAGGTTCGGCATACCTGCTCCCGTCTCAAATTGGTAAGCATGGGGAAGCGGAGCTGACAGTTCCGATCTTCCATTCAGCAATGGGATTGGTTGGGCAGCTCACGCTGTCATACCTAGTGCTGACGCCCTTCTCCCACCCCAAGAACAACATCGCGAACGTGTGGCGCTCCTACTGGCGGGAACGTCTGCCTCTCACCATCGGTCATCGAGGCATGGGGCGGTCTTACTACCAAGTGGACGGATACCGCCTTGCGCTAACGCGAGAGAACACTTTGGCATCGTTCATTCTCGCTGGACGGAGCGGTGCAGACTTTGTCGAGTTCGACGTGCAGCTCACGAAAGATCGCGTGCCAGTGATCTACCACGACTTCATGGTGAACGTCGGTCTGGAAGACAAGGGCGCGCAGGCTTTCGGCACCAAGTCCGAGACGTACGAGATCGGCATCCACGACATGTCCCTCCGCCAGCTCACGCAGTCGCATACGACCCCGGTACCGCACAAGGGCGGCAAGAGCCAGGAATTCCAGAAGCGCGTGAAGAAACACTGGACGCGTCTCCAAGGAGACAAGCAGCTCCCTTCACCAAGACGGGCGCTCGTCGCAAACGACGACGACGTTAACGAGGAAGGCCACCTCGTGGATTTCTTCCCTCGTCTGGAAGACCTGCTCAAGCACGTGCCAGCGGAAGTCGGCCTCAACATCGAGATCAAGTACCCCGACAACTTTTTCCGCCCAGGCATGCGCAATCTGAGCTGCTTCGCCATCAACGCCTACCTGGATAAGGTCCTCCAGTGCGTGTTCGACTACGCCGGCTCGCGTCGCATCTTCTTCTCGTGCTTCGACCCGAGCGTGTGCATCGCATTGCGCGCCAAGCAGACCAAGTACCCCGTGCTGTTCCTGACCTACGGGTCCATGGCTCCGCACGCGATGGACGCGCGGATGACGCTGCAGTTCGCGACCAACTTCGCCAAGATGGAGAAGCTGCAGGGCATCGTGTCCAACTCCAACTCGTTCATCGAAACGCCCGAGCTCGCGCCGCTCGTCAAGAAGGCCCTGGGCACTGTGCTCATCACGTGGGGCGACCAGAACACCAACCACGAAATGGTGCAGCTTCAGAAGCGCCACGCAATCGACGGCGTTATCAGCGATAACGTCATCGACCTCATCAACCAGGACAAGAAGCTGCGGGCGCTGGCCAAGTAGACCGTTGCAGACCAGCAACGGAGTGCATATCAACAGAATCGCTGGCCTGTTTTATGGTGTAGATACCGGTATGTACAGGTTCACTGAAGAGTGAAGATCGAGAACGAGCAAGCTGTCATGGATGTATTTCAGGCCTTTAATCCCTGGTGTCTCTACTTGCGGGTGGCAAAAAGTTGTAGTATGTACTTGTTGAGCACGGCGGTGGCTGGTGGCTGTGCGTACGCGGAGCGGTGCGGTCGTCGTCGATTGTCTTGATTGATCGATCGATGCTTCCCCTGCGTGTCTTGTCTTCTTAGTCGGCGTTGCCGCGCGTGATGTCTGGGCACGGGTACTTGCAGTTGTTGGCCGGGTCGGGCGACACGGCGATCCCCAGGGACTCGCACCAGAGCGCGACCTCGAAGCAGCTCTGGTGGGTGGCCGCTTCGTCGATGCCGTCGTCGGCGTCGGGCGTGTCGTAGTCGGGCGTGCTGAAGTCCACCGAGTCGGCAGAGTCCGCCGAATCGGAAGCTGAGTCGCTGGCGCTGTCCGACTCGGTCACGTTGCAGTTCGTCGCCGTCGTCGTCGCCGCGGCCATCAGCGCCAGCGCCACCGTCGTCACCACCATCCAGCGTTGCTTGAGGCCCGAGCGGAGCATTTTGGGCAGCAGATTGTCAGACACTTGAGTTGAGTTGAGCTTTTTCGGCAATGACCGCCCGCCTTGTGTGCACCTCTTCCAGCTCGCTTTAGCTCGTTCCAGTAGAGGGGTGTCAACGTCCACTTCAAGTTCCTGTAGAGGGAGATCCAACGGCCTGCTCTTCCTAGGGGCACAAAGCTGGAGCTCCTTACCCGCCCGTAACTGTCTGCGCTCGCCCTCGCGCGTCCAGCGAGTCCGTCGCCGCCAGTTTCCTTGACGCAATGGAGCGCCCAGGCGCGCGCGGCCTGTCGCCCGCGGAGCAGCAGAAACGGCGCGCGCTGCTGGCCAAGATCGCGCAGTTCCAGGCCAGAGGCGCCATCCTACAGGCGGACGCACGCACGCTGCGCAGCCAGCTGCACGACAGCACGAGCGGCCAGTGGCGCGCCGTGGAGCTACGTCTGCAGCAGCTCGCGCGCAGCTGGAACCCGTACCAGGACGGCGGCGCGGCGGACAAGGCCGAGCTGAAGCTGAAGGAGAAGGAGAAGAAGAAGCTCGACTTCTACCAGCTCCTGGAGCTCGAGAATGCCGCCGGCGTCTCCACGGACGACGTCAAGCGCCAGTTCCGCAAGCTGGCGCTGCTGCTGCACCCGGACAAGAAGCGCGCGAGTCGCAAGCGCGAGCGCGAGCGTGGAGCCAAAGTGGACGACGACGAGGACGTTGAGACGGTCGAGAGCAACGACGAGAAGCGGCGCGACGTGGACTCGACGCAGTTCGCGCGGCTGCGGCTGGCCTACGAGACGCTGAGCGACCCCGAGAGGCGCGCGGCCTACGACGCCAAGCTGCTGGAAGCCTCGCAGCCGCAGCAGTCGCAGGCGATCGGTGAGGTGGTCAAGGACCAGATCAAGCTCGAGGCCTCGACGGACTTCGCGTCGCTCGAGTGGATGGCCCGCGTCAAGCACAAGATGGACGTGATGGCGCGCATCGCCGAGTGGGCCAAGCTGCTGGCGCTGAACGCCACGGAGCTGCGCTTCGAGACGGGCGAGCAGTGCACGGGCAAAGGCTGCGGCAAGATCGTGAGCATGGACCGGGATCTCGAGTGCTCGGGCTCGCCACGCCGCCGCGTGTACATCTGCTTGCTGCACAAGTACATCCACGCGTGTGACGAGAGCTGCACCAGCACCTTTGGCGACGCGGAGCTGGACCGGCGGGTGTGTCCTATGCGAGCGTACTGGCTCATTCAGAATTGGTTGTTCGACCAGTTGCAAGCTGCCGCTCTACAGCGCCAAATGCAGCAGCCTCTGAACCCAACAGTTCCTAGTGAGCAGGAGGAAGGAGAACCCGCGCTGAAAAAGGTCAAGCAAGAGGAAGAAGCTCAGCCTCCAGCAGCAGCAGAAGCAGCAGCAGCAGTCAAAGGAGAAGCAGAAGGAGCTCCTGTTACGCCTGCGGCCTGCACGTTCGAAGCAGAAGAAATCCACCTGGGCGATCAGTACACGCGGTTTCAGGTGCAAAAGATTGCCGACTGCCAGAGCACCCATTGCCGAAACAACTTCCAGTTCCTGGAAGACGGTATTTATGCCTGTCGCCGCCACGGAACGCCGCATATCTGCACGTTCGAGCAGTGTGACCGACAGGAGCTGCACATGGGCAGCTACATTTGCTGGGTGAGCAGTAAAGTTTATGGTCGTGAACGGGAGGAAGCAGGTACGGACGTGCGTACACGTCGCGTGGTTTACTCAGACGCACAGGGCGATGAAAGTTCCGTCGAGATGGAGGTTCCGGTGATGCTGCCGCTGGGCAAGACGACTGGGTATCTGCTGGAAGGGGATCCCTCTGGGCAGCACTCAGGAGATGTTTCATCGTTGTCTCCGCCCCCGCCGGATGAAAAGGCTCGGAACAAGCGCCAGCGTGTAAACTCGGACGGGTGCGATGAAAATGCTGGCGATGAACGGTCCCCCAGGCGTGAAACTCGGAAAAAGTTCAAGCGTGACCGGGAGCAAGAGCGGGAGACCTCACCGGTGCGGAAGCGGTTGCATCAGCGCTTGGCTGCTAAAATTCAGCGCTCAGAGACAACTTCCTTTCACATTTTCCTGAAACTTCCTCCTGCGGTTGCTATCCTACCGAAGGTGGCGTTGGAGCTGGAAGAGGCTGCAGACAGCAGCTCGGACGACGAAGAATCCCCGTCTAAACCAGCGCCAGACAAGAGCAGCAAGGAGAATCTGTTGCAGATCTTCGTGAACTCCCACCATACCGTCAACTACATTAAGTACTGGATGGAGGAGCTCACGGAGCAGCAGTTGTCGATATGGGATCAACAGATTTACTGGGGTGACACACTGATCGGCGAAGAGACAAATGTGATGGTGCTTGAGGAGCACGGTATATCGGCAGGCTGCGTGTTGGAGTTGCGTCTACACGATGACTGTCCGCTGCTGGTATCGACCTGGAACGGCAAGAATGCTGCGGCTGGAGGTGGCGGTGGAGCTCCAATGGAGTACAACACGGTGCAGATTTCCAAGGAGGCTGCAGAAGACTTGGATGACCTCCAGGAAGAGTGGGAGAACGTCGTAGTTGCAGAAGAGCAGGCCTTCGAGCTATCTCGGCTCAAGCGGAAACGGGAGAAGTTGGAGCTGCGTGGTGCTATTGAGCATACCGAAGTACTCCGCTATGACAACGGCAAGTCAGAACCGCGGCTACTAGGTGTGATCCAGAAGCGGGCTATTGGTGACGGCAACGGCGGTAAGCAGAAACGACAACTCATTCCACCCCGTGCGGCACGAAAGCAGGGAGGGAAAGCAGCAGAACAACAAACAGCGTTGGTGTCAATCAAGAGCGAAGTGCTGGTGAAGGAAGAGCAAGAGCAGGTTCCAAAGGGGGTTCAGGCGATGAGGTCGCTGTCTAACGACGCCCAACCAGTGAAAGGGGCCGAGAAGGGTCAAGCAAAAGCGAAGAGGAGGCAGTAAGCACGCCAAACAATTGCGCATCTAATTATCCAGGAGAGAGGCAAACACCCGCCGGCAGCTCTCGAAGAGAGACATCGTGATAGCGGTCGACGGGGCGTGGAAAGCTACGCGAGCACCAGCGCCTTTGTACAGGGCCAACACGCCTTCAGTTCTGCTCGCCATTTAAAACAACAACAGTCTCAATGCTTCAGCGCTTCGACCAAGGAAGTCGATCAGTAAATACACAGCACGAGCAATACGACGACGTACTTGATCACTTGCGCTAGCCCATCGGTAATTCCACGGTAGGCTGCTGGGGTTCCTTCCGTCACGTAGGCGCGTTGAACCTGTCGCCACCAAACATTAAGAAATAGTTAGCCTCAAACACGACAACTCCGGAGAAATATATCACGCCACTAGCCTGAAGCCGCAGCTTGATCAGATCCAAGGGGTTAGTGAGAAACGAGGCTGTAGCGCCAGCAGCCGCCGCGCTGACAAGTGTATAGTGCGCCGGCAGCTCCTCCATTTCGAGTCGCTTCTGCGCGAAAGCCTTGGTCTTCTCGTAGAACATGAAGTAGAGCGCTGAGAATGGTCCGAACGAGAGCAGCGTCGCAACGTAGCCCTTGTACAGCCCACCGAGGCGCTCCGTACGCGCAATAGTTTGCACAGCGTCGACCGTGTTGCGGTAGTAGACTTTCCGCGCCGCCCCCGACGCAGTCGAGGACTGCACCTGCACCTGCATACGCTCCTTGATGACGTCTATGGGCACCCACAGCACACAACTGAGCGCCTCCGCCGCCATTCCCGCCCCGAGATACAGCAGCGACGGGCTGGCGCGGAAGCTCTCGACGCCCATGAGGGCGTCCTTCGACACCTCGTACGACGTCAGGTACAGACAAGTCGCGGGCGCGGAGCCCAGCATGCTGACCCCCAGACCACGGTAAAGTCCGCGCAGGTGCTGCAAACTGCAGAATAGATAGTCGGTTAGACTCCAACGCAGGTCAAACCAAACTGACATAGTTGCTATGCGCCACCTGAAGGCACGGAGGTTGAGCTGCGACACGATCGTTTGGCCCGAGGCTGTGCTGGCCTGCAGTCGGGCCTTGACAGTGTCCAGCGGGTGGCAGAAGACGCGGCCGATCATGCCAGCGGCTGCACTCCCCTGTAATTGGAGTTAATAGCAACACGCAACGCGTTGTTATAATAGGATCAGCGGACCAAGGAGGAGGGGCGCGGTGAACGAACCAGCAGCGTCGGGAGCTGGCTTGAGGGCTACAGAGCACCACACACAGCGAAAAGTTGTGCAAAAGGAGCATTAGTGCGTGGTCCATTCATCTGAGCGTCACCTCGGGGTGCATCAGGTCTCCATCGCTGGTGGCGGGGGGCTACACGAACCGTCGAACTTCCATCGCCTGCCATTTTTCGTCGCTTCAATTGGGAAGTGAGACCTTGGTGGCTCGGAAATATGGTGAGACTATCAGTTACGAGGATCACGGTACTTCAATACTTCATACAAACTTCAAGGTTATAAGGCTGCAAGTTGCAGGCCTTATAACCTCAGGTTGCAGGCTGCAACCTGACCTTGGGGCTTTTGCAGTTTGAGTCCAGGTATCCGGTGACCGCATGATGAGTTACCAGGTATCCCATCCCGAGTCGCATCATGCGCAAAGCAGCTTATGAAGCCTCTACTGTATGTTGGGCTGCAGCTGAGGAGCTATGTACAAGTAAGGATTAAGGATATATTGCTGGAAATCGGGAAAGATCCCTGCTACAGCAGCGTTCTTGGGCTTTGCGGTCATGCAGAAATAGTATCGCACGTACATTTGTACAGTATCCGTAGGTAGCAACACTTAACGCTGCTCTGAGTTAGCTTGAGCTGCAGCTCAAGCAAAGTGTCCAAAGCCGAAGCACTGGTTCACGCATATTGAGCAGAGTTCAGGAAAATGATGCTGAGTTCAACCCGCAGTGGGTCTCCAAAGTTTGGAGGTCACCTCTTTTCAGAGGACATTCCCGGCAGAAGCATGTCCACAAGACGAATCGGAATAAGTCATATTTCACAGCAATAGTGTTGTCGGGGGGCCGAACATGAGCTCCCATGGCCGATCGTTTGGCACTCGAAAGAGTAAGCCCCGCTATATGTTATGTTATCAAAGATGTGCTTTTGGATGTCATTCTGCAGAACGAAGCGGCTCGCTTCGAAAACTGCTGTTGATGTGTATCCATTACTCTGGAGATCGACTATGACTTGACAATGGAGACGGCAGCATTTGAAACATCAAATTAACGTTAGTTTGCGACTAGGTAAGAAACGTACACTAACAAGAAACAAACAGTTATGAAATCAATAGAGCTTCACAGCCGACCGCAGTCCAATGTGAAGACCTGAAAATTTCCCCTTGATGGCGATAACATCACGTAACGTCAAATCATGTAAAACACAACTCGAGACTCTTGACAAGAAGGTGCAATTGGAAGTTCACAGAAGGCCTTGACGACGAAATGTTCACGCTGGCTGCGTACATGTCCAAGTATTTTTTCCTGGTACCTTACTACATTTGCTGCCTCGTGTAACCACAGGAGGATAATCAACTAAGTATGATTTTGCTCATCAAGTTGAAGTTGTGTGCGGCACATCACAAATTTCATTGGCACCACGTCAATGGAGCCCCCCCCCCCCCCCCAGTCAAGTATGTACATGTAGTTATGAACATGATTTCCGTACCAGAAGGCAGTATTAGCGTACGTTCGCCTAACTTTTTTGAAGAAAAAATCGAAAATGAAAGTGAGTTCAAAACAATGAAAGTTGGAATTATGCCGTGATGGTTGTCACAAACAAGGAGGAAATGCCAAGAACCGAATACTTAGCATACTAAGTACTTAGTATGCTCGAGATACCGTAAGACCTAGGTGTATCAGCGTCGGCAGGCCTTACTCGAGAGAACCCTCTAGTGAGCTGCAAGGTGTGGAAATCGCAACTCAACGCTGCAGTTCTGTCAATTACACGATCTAGCCCACACGTGTTAGCTGGAGCTTCAGCTAACATTCGTGTGGACTTCTTGTGGACTTCCCCCGGACTTCTTGCGGACATTCTGCTTTTCGCGCACGGTTCTCGCCAAGATTCACCCGACCGGGCTCTCCTTTCTAAATGAGCCTGTGGACATACATTGTCAGCGGTAAGTTGCTATTACCTTGATGCGGTTGCACCAATGCTAAGGCCATTTCAGTCCGAGCGAGCTCCGCCTTGCAAGTGCAAGAAGTTGAAGTTGGACTCAGATCTGAGTAAATCACGCCGCCATTCGCCGAGCCTTCCGCTCCATTTCAGCGAATCGTCCACTCGTGTTACCCATCTCCATCATCGTTGATGAGCAGCAGTCTCACTTCGCACTTCGGTTCTCGACCCGAGCAGCTCAACTCAGCTCAAGTCCGACTTAACATGACGCGCGTGTACCTCGACTATAACGCCACGACGCCCGTGGAGCCGGCCGTGCTGCAGGCGCTGCTACCATTCCTCGGGCCGCAGTTTGGCAACGCGTCGTCCTCGTACGCGCTGGGCCAGACGGCCAAGCAGGCGGTGGCCGTCGCGCGCGCGCAGGTGGCGTCTATGCTGGGCGCGGCGGACGCCGGCGAGGTCGTGTTCCTCTCGGGCGGCACCGAGTCCATCAACTACGCCATCAAGGGCGCGGCGCTGGCCGCCAGGCGCGAGAGCGGGCGCAGCCACATCGTCACGTCCTGCGTGGAGCACGTGGCCGTGCTGGAGACGTGCAAGTGGCTGGAGACGCAGGGCTTCCGGGTCACATACCTGCCCGTGGACCGCTTCGGCTGTGTGCGCGTGCAGGACGTGCTGGACGCGCTCACGCCGCAGACGTGCGTGGTGTCCATCATGCTGGCCAACAACGAGGTGGGCTCGCTGCAGCCCGTGGCCGACATCTCGCGCGCGGTGCGGCGGTTCGCGGACGAGCAGGAGCAGCGCCTGCCCATTGCCGTGCACACTGACGCCAGCCAGGCGATCGGCAAAGTGCGCGTCAATGTCCAGGACCTGGGCGTGGACCTGCTGACGGTGGCCGGCCACAAGCTCTACGCGCCCAAGGGTATCGGCGCGCTGTACATCCGTGAGGGCACGGCGGTGGACACGATCATCCACGGCGCGTCCCAGGAGAGTGGACGCCGTAGCGGTACGGAGAACGTCGCGCTGGTGGCGGCGCTGGGTCAGGCCTGCGCGCTCGTGGAGAAGAACTTGCACGAGTACGCCGTCATCATGCAGGAGAGCAGGACGTTCCTCCTCGAGCAGATCCAGAAGCACTGCAGCCTGACGAACGTCAGCTACCAGGTCAACGGCCACCCGGAGCTGTCGCTGCCCAACACACTCAGCATCAGCTTCGAAAACATCAACGCGCCTCGGATTCTCGACTGTGAGCCTGCACTTGTGTTCTGGCTCCCTCAGCTTGTTGGTCTCTGACGTTGTGGTTTTGCTGGTTCTGTTCATGTTCGTGCGTGCCAGTGATCGAGGCTGAAGGTGTCTACGCTAGCGCTGGATCGGCTTGCCACAGCCACCAGCACGACAACGACAACGACGGCGACAAGCAGAAAAAGCCCGAGCGCCAAGAGGAACGCATTACCATTTCACACGTGCTAGCTGCCATGCACGTGGCCCCCGAGTTCGCCAAGGGCACGCTGCGTCTGTCGGTGGGTCGGTCCACCACGCAGGAAGAGTTGCTGTATGCCGCCAACGCCATCCACAAGGCAATTCAGCAGCTCATGTAAGCGTATCTGAGACGGACGGACCTTATAACGTTGCCTCATAGACGCTGAAGCACTGAGCTCTTTGCCTCCCTGTCCGCTATCAACCGCGTGTTCTAACGACTGAAGTACTAATCAAACTCCAAGCTAACGCAAAAGATAGACACGTTTTACTTACTTGGTGCGCTGTCATGGCGCGAGTACACGATTTCCTGGCGAGATATGCTGCCGACTTTTCTTCATTGAGTTCACTTTTTGTCCAGACGTTGTGTTGTCTCTCAGTAGCGCTTGGAGATCCAAGCTAGGAGCCACTTGAGGTGCGTGAGCATGTACTTGAGCGCTCGGGTCCACTGCTCATCGTTGCCGAGCGAAATGGGGAGGCCGCCGATCTTCCCACGCTCCACCTTGTACGGGAACTTGAGTGAGGGCTCCTCTTTCATTGCGCGACGGCCGGCGTCCTCCACACACTCGAGGAAGAGAATCAGGCCCGCGTTGAATCCACGGCGTTTGAACATGCCACCGTCACAGTACAAGCAGTACTCCTTGCCATACATGTTGACCACACGCGAGTAGCTTCCACGCGGCACGAGGCGATTGCGCGAGAACTCGAAGTTGGCGCGATCCGCGATGGTCGCGAGCAGAAGCACCGCTTGCCCCATCGCGGCGTTAATTTCCACCCACTCCACAGGCTTTGACGGCAAGCGCCCAAGGCGCAGTCCGTTGATCGTACCGAAGAGTCCGTCGTGCCAGATGTGGAAGACGTCGTTGCAGACATTGTAGCGCTGAAGGCGACGCAGCATATCCGACGCGTGCACGTTGAACACACTCACGGACTGACGCTCGTCGCGACTCAGACCCAGCAAGTGCTGCAAGTAGGCGCCCTCGGCGAAGGTTCCGTGAATCAACTGCTCAAGGTCCGTTCCCGTGGACCACAAGTCTTGCCTCTTCGCTGTTATTTGCGCGGTCTCGTCTTCGATCGCCTCCAGTTCAGACTTTAGTCGACGCTCTTCTTCCTCCAGCGCGCGAAGCTCTGGGTCATCATTCCACTCGTCATCATCGTAGTCGCCATTCACGCTGAAAGCTCGCGCAGAAGCACGTTCCTCTTCAGTAAACTGCGTCATGAACCCCTCGTACTGGGCTCGATCCTCTTCCAACTCATCCAGCGCCCTAATAAACCAGTCACAACCACCATTATTTTCTCTAACACAGTGCAGCAGTACCATATAATGCCACGTACTGGGTGAATCGGGAGAGCACTGTGGCTTCGCAATCATGGCAAGTTGGCAGTCGCTTTTTCAGCAAGAGCGTGCTGGAAGTCATCACCGATTCACAACAAACAAGTTCGTCAGTCAGCCATGAGCTTCTCCTCGCCAGCTCGTGATCAGACTTTACCTGCAGTCAAGTAGCTCCTGGAACCAGCTGAGATCGCTGCCATCAATGCGGCGCTTGCGGATTAAACGACGACGTCGCACCAGACGTTCATCGTTCGACTCGCTCTTCAGTTCAGACGCGTCTTCTTCGCTCTTCCGCTCTGCTCGCTTCTCTTCCGACACACGCGGCTCCTCCATCCTGCCAAAGTCCGCGTACGACGCCGCGTACACCCAGCCTTCCTCGTCGCAGTGCGGGAGCGAGTGATCCACCTCCCAGTCCGAGATCCACAGGTGCGGCTTGTTCAGCAGTCGCGCGGGCACCACGTCAGCGATGTTCTGTCCAATGTCTCCACGGTTGCAGCTCGTGAACGCCGCGATGCCGTTCATGAGGTCGAACTCGGCCGGGGCCCAGACGTCCACGTCGCTGCTGCTGTCGAGACGCTGTCGCTCCCACACGATATCCGGCACGACAGCGGGCGTCTTCTGCTGCTGCAGCTGACTGAGCGAGGACCTGGCCGCCTGCACGGCCTCCTCCTCTTCGTCCGCGTCCGTGGTCTCGCCGGCGTCCGTGCCCTCCGTGAGTCGGGGGATCTGGTCCTCGTCGTCGTCTCCCTTGCTGTCGCGCGGCTCGCACGCCTCCGTCGGGTGCTCGTAGGCCACGGAGCGCAGCTTCATGATCTTCTCCTCGATGGACACGGGGTTGTACTGGAACTTGAGCAGTGCGCCGCACTGGTGGCACGTGAAGAGGCTCTTGCCCTCCATGGCGACGCGTCTGGCGTTAAGCGCCGGGTTCTTGGCGTACGGCGAGAAGGACGCGCTGGCGGAGGACGGCGCAGGCGACAAGGAAGCGGCCGAGATGCCGCCAGCTGTGGACGGGGCCCCGGCGGTGGCCGGCGGGCGCGGCAGCGTCGAGATGACCAGCGGCGACTGGAGCGCGCCGTTGCTGGTCATTGCGGCGGACTTTTCTCGGGCTGCAGGGGTCGGGCGAGCGCGGCGGAGGCGCCTAGCTGCTGCTAGTCAGGTGAGGAATAAGGAGCGGCGGGTGTGGCGTCACGCGGCGCGTCGTGGAGGGCGGCGCCGAGCCGAGAATCGGCTTGCTGGAAGCGCCGGAAGAAGTGTAACGCCACCTTCCGAACCGCAATCGAACGATTTCTGGGCCATGTGATTGGATAAAAATAGATCGACTTATATTCGGCACGCATATCGCTAGTTGGACGCACGTTGGACAGAACGTCCACCGGCACGTTGAAGTGGGGACAATCACATGACGGCGCACGATCCGCCGGCCTTGGACGCGTCCTGTGCATACTGTGCTGCTATCTCCTCTTCGAATTCTTCTTCCTCCTCTTCGTCTTCCTGCACTGCTGCTGCAGGTGCTGGCGCCTTCTTCTGCTTTGGGCTGCTGGCCTGCACTGGCGGACTCTTCTTGCTCTCGGGCTTGGCGCCGCGATTCACCATCTTGGCGAACGGGTCGTCGGCCTCGGCCTCGTGCTGCAGCTGCTCCTGCGTGACGGCCACCACCTCCATGGGGACGCCCATCTTGGTGGCCTCCAGCTTCATCTGCTCGCGCAGCACCGCCTTCTTCACCGCGTCGTTCTTGAACGGCACTGCATCACAGCAACAACAGCAGCAGCAGTGCGATACACAGTCAATACAGCAGCTTCTACACAACAGCCTCAGACCCCTGCGTCTCGCGCACCGAAGGCGTCCTCCGCCGCGTCGGCGTCCAGGTCCGCGGGCTTATCCCATCGGTCCTCGCCAGTCTCCGTGTTGTGGTAGTACGTGCGCCCGCGCTTCGAGGAGAGCACGGCCCAGCGCTTCCTCCGCGGCTTCTTCTCTTCCGCGGGGGCGGCGCCGACGCCGTCGAAGGCCACGGTCGTCACCTCCACGCCTCTGCCGTCCGCGCTCGCCGCGGGCGCGTACGGGCGCGCGCAGACCGTGCACTGGCCCAGCGCCAGCATGTCCTCCTTGGGCACGTTCACGCGGCAGCCCTTGCACTTGATGAAGCGCTCGTTCAGCGTGCCGCTCGCCGCGCCGTTCACCCCTCGCGCCGCCATCTCGCTCTGCTGTCGGGATCACTTGGCTAAAGTATGCGATAATGGGTACTGCGAAAAAGCGCCGACAAAAGTGATACGCGCCGGGTCGCATCGCGTTTCGCAGGGTTCGGGAGCAGAGCCGGGCCGACCGAACATTTTTCGAAGCGTCGTTATTCGGCCACCGAGCCGCGTCACAAAGGCAACTGAGGCAAGTGCAGCGGTCCAGAGGAGCCGCCCATTGTCCCATTAGCTCCATTGCCGTAACATGATCGTGGACGCCGTGCGGTGCGTGGGCGTGGCTTGGCTGGGCTGGCTGCCTTTGGCCTTGCTGGAGCAACGTTACTAACCTGTGTATTCTTTGTGGCGTCGTGACCAGGTGGGCGACGACCAAGGTGGACGAGTCGGTGGTGAACCCCGTGGCCTCGCGGCTGGCCGGGTCGGTGGCCAACCCGGCCGTGCTGAGCTTCCTGCTCTGGGACCGCCTCAAGACGCTGACGCCGCAGCGCGCGCGCGACCTGACGCGGCTGCTGGCCACCGCGCTGGCCAACGCTCTGGGCGTCTTCGGCGCCGAGCGCGGCCAGCGCCTGGGCGCCAGCACCAAACAGCTGCAGGAAGACTTCGCCCGCGCCGCCAGCTCGCGCAGCGGCCGCGACGTCGTGCTCAACGGCGTGGCCACCGTGGCCAAGGTTGCGCAGGCACTCAACACGCCCGAGACCAAGGCGGCCACGCAGCAGCTGTTCCAGACGCTGCAGTCCGTCGTGGACTTCTTCGCCAGCGACGACGGCCGCCGCATCATCTCCAGCATGAGCGAGTGCCTCACGAGCGCCACCGAGATGGCCGCGTCGCCCGAGTCCTCCATCTTCCTGGCGGAGCTGGCCACCAACCTGCTGCACACGCTCGAGAGCGAGGAGCTCCGACGCCAGAACGCTCAACAACAGCAGGGGGAAGAAGAAGAACAGGTGCATGTAAAGCAGGAGCAGGAGCAAGAACGTGCTTTCCAGCACGAGATGGAGGCGGCTCAAGCAGCTGAAATGGACGAGAAGCATCCCTACTCGCCCACATCCTCCATGGCCGACACGAGGTGGAGCTTCGATACCGAGTCGATGCTGTCGTCGGCGCCAGGGACCCCGATGACGGGCATGTATGCAGCTGGTGCGTCTATGGATGGTCCCATGCCGGTCTCATCTCCAGTTCGGCCGGGACCGAGGCGTCGCGTTTCGATCTCCTCACCAGCAGAGAAGAATAGCGGCTACCGCTCGGCGCGCATTGAGAAGGAGGTGCTGCTCAAGATGGGGGTCGACCCGTCGATGCTCAGCGAGATTCAGCGCGTGCTTGATGTCATCGCTGCCGACGAAGAAGAGAAAGAAGGCGTGGAAACGCAGCGCCGTCGTGAAGAGGCCGAGTACGTGGCCAGTTTGGTGGTGCCGGAGCCTAAGAACGAGGAGGAGGCCGCTGCTGCCGCTGATGTCGGTATCACGCACGCGTTCGGAAATGACGAGGACGAGGAGAAAACCGACGAGGTCGTCCATGACGATGAAACAACGCAGATGCCGACGCCCGTGATGCTTCCTGAATGGCACGAGGAGCCTCTGCGACAGGCTCTTCGCCGTCGCCACGCTCACGCGGAAGCGGTGACGGAGCAGCGTGACCCAGCTGAGCGTCAGGCTCGTGAGATGGCAGCGGTGCTGGCCCAACGCCAAATCAAGCACGGTGCTCTGCAGCCTGCGGACGTGGTGGCTTGCCGGATCATCGCAAAGATGATCGTTTATGGCGTGGGTCTCTGCTTGCTGCTGTCGTGCTATCTTCTCGCACGCAGTCTCTTTTGATTGAGAATTGTAGAGGTTCTCCCCATTTATCTGTATCATTAATCTACTCGCACTTATTCGAGCCACTACTTTGAGCTAGAAGCCTTGTCCAAGGCCGCGATAGCGTCCAAAACATCGCGAACAGGTTCAAAACGTTGGTCAAGTTCGCGCTGGATGACAGTAGCAGAGTGACCCATTCGCGTCCAGATTCGCACCTGGCGGAAGTAGTCGTCATAAATCTCGGCAGCGCACACGGGATGGAACTTCTCGCCTGCATCTTCTGCTAGTTCGTCAAGGTGCTCAAGACCAAACGGCTGGTTGATCAACACGCAGCATCGCCGTGGATCCGACAAGCCATCGCCAGACGTTAGTGTAGCGTGAACAGCGTTGATAGTGGCGGCGGTTGTCGGGTAATACAAGAGTCGGGGAAGCTTCTCGGGTTTCTTGCCTCTTCTTGCAGCCGGCGCCTCATTCTCCTTACCGTTCGCCCCCTTCTCCTTGCTCTTGTCCTTTTGAGTTGAGTCATCATTTCCCTCTGAAGTGGTTTTATCCTCGGCAGCACCGGTGTTGCCGTTCCTCTCCGTTGCTTGTGGATCTCCACTTGTCTTCTGCTTCCCACTAGGAATGGGGTCACTTTGCCTCCCCTTAAGCGATGTCGAGCCTGCAAGCGCGAGTTCTTGCTCCTCTAGCTCTTGCCGATGGCGTTGGTCTTGCTCTTCTGCTTCAACCTTCGCTTTCGCTTCTGCAGCGATTTCAGCTCGCTCACGCTCCTCGAACTCAACAGCTTCAGCTGGGGTCAGGACAGCATATCCGTGACGTTCAAGGAACACCTTCAGCGGTGTGAAGTTGTGTGGTGTCACGTCCAGGACCAGCGTCTTCCGGTCGTCGACGAAGCGTCCGCACCACTTGAGAACCTCCAGAAGCAATGGCGCTTTGGAGTCGATGAGCACGTTCACCTCCTGCTTGAGCCGCGTTCGTTCGCGTAGCGTAACGAAGGAGTCCCCACCGAGGTCGCACGGCTGGCGCGAGTCCCCCAACAGTACGCAAAGACTGCGAAATGGACGTCGAAGCGCTAGCGCCGCCTGCCTCTCGACAAGGCGGTAAGCCTGTGACGCTTCTTCGACCGAGAGCTCTTCGTCCTTGGGCAGAGGTGATTTGGGCATCACCCGCAGCTCGAACGCCCTGTCCTGCAGCGTAGCATCGGCCTCAATGCACAGAATGTACTTGCCCGTAGTCGTACGCAGCAAGAATGACTCGTCGACACGCAAACCAGTCCACGAGTGTCGGAAGCCGTAGCGGTCTTTGGGCACGCACCACACGCACGGCACTCGGCCGTTCAGCGACCACAGTGCCACCAAGTGCCGATGCTGCTCGGGGTCCTCAAACACGGGCAGGATGTGCGCCCCATATCGAGCCATGGACACCTCCGTGACGTCGCTGCCCTTGCCTGACAGTCGGATAATGCGTTCTTCGATGCCCTGCAGGGGCGGCTCAAGCCCTCTGTACACGTTCTCCGAGTACCCCATCGCCGCCGTCCCGCTCGCGCGCACGATGTTCAGCAGCTGCGTGACCACCATGAAGCCGGCCAGCATGGCTCTAGCAGTAAAGACGCTCATGATCCTCAGCTGCAGCGCCGCGTCGGCACTCGACGTGGCCGGGTGGAAGACCCGTAGCAGTTGCGTCGGGTCAAGCCCCAGCGCCTGCGCCACGAGCTCCGGCGCGCGCGTCTCCCAGATGCAACTGGCCAGGAAGTTGTGCGTCGCGTACTTGTACATGAAGAGCAGCGAGTCGAGCGTCGCGGGCTGCGCCGGGTCCAGCAGCAGGTGCGCCTCGTACGCCGAGAGCCCCATCACGCCGCTGGAGCACACGCCCAGCAGCGCCAGGCGCGCCGGCTGCGCGATGCTGTGTACGGACACGCGCGCGATGCGGCGCAGCACCTGCAGCTCCCGGTCCGGCGTCATGGCGTGGCGGTCGACCACGGAGCGGCCGGGGAACTCCTGCTCGGGCTTCCACACGACGTCGCCCAGCCGCTGCTCGTTGCTGAGGCTGGCCTTGGACTCGTCCGGCTTGCTGCTGTGCGGCGGCAGCGGCGGCGGCGGCTTGAGGCGGCGCAGGCCCCCCTCGAGGCCGTCCGCGCCGCGGCTGCCGAGCCAAACGCGCCTCAGCGAGCGCAGCATGGCGCTCATACTGACCGCCGACGTTGAAGACGGGGATTTCGACGTGTTGGAGCGGTTAATCATTGCGAAAGATCGACGGAGAGGGGGTGAAAGGGACACTTCTACTATATGCATAGAAACAACAGCTGTATTTCGCCATGTGGGCTTACCACAGCTCGTGACATCCGTCCTCTGTACACTGTTGTACACTTTAGTAGTAGGTCGCGGCACATTACGCCGGCAGTTTTTTATTTTCATAATTTCTTACCGTAATTTACCTCCGAGAACGGTGCTAGAACGATCTTTGTGGATAGTCGTCCGTTTTACCTACACGACCTCTCAACCACCTCAGAGCTCGAGGAGGCGTCCGTTAGCCAGCGACCAGACGCGCGACCCTGTAGTTGTGCAGAATCGCACATGCGAGGGTAAGATGAAACTCCCAATAATTACTGGCACATTACGACGTCATTTTTCAGAATTATTTTTTTTTCAAAAAAATTAAGAGGCTATGTATATAGATACCCACACATAGAACATGACGATCGAACTATCGTTCGGAGAATACAAAGGTCAATCCATTGAGGATGTATTCAAGAATGATCCTGGATACTGTCGTTGGATTCACAACCAACCCAATCTCAACATTAGCGAGGAAATGAAAATCTTTCTTCACTCAAGATTCCTCAATAACGATGACTCCAATATGATGACGTGGGGGTAAGAATCGAGGCAAATCTTTACAGCAGATCAGTAAATTGGATCCAGGCTACCAGGCTATCTCGATTGGCTAAGAAAAAGTCAATTCGTGATTGACAAGTGTCCAAAGCTACTCAAGGAACTGAACTAAAAAATATCTCTTTTTTTTACTTACGCTGTAGTGAAGTCTAGAACCTCTCCGGTTAGTCTATCGAACGTTAGTTCCTCTTCGCTAATTACGAGGATCAGCATATTCACACCTTGGCATCCGGCGTTCGTACCTTGGATCTGAATAGCCTGAGGTACATCGCGCTCAGTCAGGCGACTGACATCGGCAATAAGCATGCGGTTTGTGAGCGACCACGTCTGATAGTCAAGTAGACCATTTACGAGCTCAGGGGTTAGATCTCCGTTAATCGCTGAAATCTTAGCAATTTCGTTGGTAAAGTGGTGGAAATCATAGTCATGACTGATATCGAACACCTGAGTCGAGCCAATACGAACGTTAAAGTTGCGAATCGACGACCCGGGCTGAAGCGTGTATGGAGAGCTATCGAAGGGGCTCTGGAACTGCTGAACAGTAGCAGAAGCAAAGTTGTTTGTCTGTTCCGCGAATGGTAAAAGCACAACATATTTCGCGTTTTTAACACTTGCCGATAGCTGTAAATCGAAAGAAGCATTTAGTTGAGTCGAGGACTTATCAATACCAGCACGCTGGTAAAACCACTGTGCGTAGCAATCATTGTAGCGAACCTTCTTAACCGGCTTAGAGATAATAGCTTGAGGGTTCTCAAGATGAACGAAAGGGGCATACAAACGAGCAGTAGTAAAAGGCATGTATGTACCATCGATGGTAGGTTCAAGAGCATTTACAACCGCTCCCCAAACAACACCAAAGCCAGCAGATGCGGCAAGCACACCATTCATCAGATTACCGGTAGCAGAAGCGGCAATCATGACCGGACAACTATTACCAGACGATAGAGTAGTAGAGGTTAGCGACATACCCTTTGAAGCATCTACCGCGACTACAGACGTTCCCTGATTCACACGGAAACGCAGGCGAATTTGAGGGTTAGCCATCAAGTCAAGCTCACGGAAGATAGGATGCAGATCGGTGAGCTTAATCTTAAGCATGTAGTTCCACGTTCCCATGATTGCGTTAGCAGCAGTACCGCCAGCTACGAAAGCTCTGGTTAGAAATGGTAGTCGATGCAACAGCACCACCTACCGACGGCCACGAGCTGGAGAAGTCAGCGCCAGCCGTAGGAGGATTCGATAGAAAGCGCTTAACGAAACCATCATTAGGAATAGCTGCACCACCAGGAGGAGCCGAGACAGCAAAGGAAGACGAGAATGCCATGGTGTTTGAATATCCATCACCACTGGTAGATGCGGATCCAGAACTGCATGATACCGACTGAGCAGCATCAGGGTACAAGAACGATTCAGCTCCGTGCTTTTCAACGTACTGAGGGCTGTAGCCAGTCTGAGCACGAACGTTGTTCCAAAAGAGCTTGTAGTCAGCCATAGAGACGATAGTCTTCCGTTGAGTTCCAGACTCAGACTATCAATAACGTTCTAATTTCCGCATTTTAGAGTAGCACATAGACGATTGGCAGCGGCAGTTTGAGCAGTGCCACCATTCTTCATTGAGACCTTGTAGGGAAGCATAATGTAGGCATCACGAAGGCTTGCGAAGCCCTCGGAACCGTTAAGCTGAGCCGTAGCATCGATAGTGATGACACCATTCTGGTACGAACCCTGATTTAGGTCAATAACGTGCGGTACACGCTTGCTCGAAGATACCTTGATCTCCGGGTCGCTCTTAAGCGAGCTCTGGTACAGGTACTGATCGGATAGTTGAGTTTCGCTCATCGTTGAATCTATATGGATCCTAATATAGTTTGATAAAATTAAATATTATGTCGCACCTCATCAAGCCAATCACCTCAGATCATGATCTCATCGAACTCGCTGAGAAAATGAACGTTCAACTCGATAATATATTTGAATCAAATGAGATAAAGTCCCATCTCCCCAAGAAAGGGTCATTTCTGATTCTACTTCGCCCTCCTAATCTTGAGGTAGGACACTGGACGGCGGTTCATAATGGTGAATTCTTCGATAGTATGGGGGAAGGACCACCAAAGAAGTATGGTATCGATCGATACAACACCAAGCAATATCAAGGAACCTATGGAGACTACTGTGGACCATTCTGTGTCCTATGGCTATATTCGAAGCAATACCGTAAGCCAGATGTATTCAAAACAATGAAAGATCTAAATTTGACAATTCTGGAATAAATTTAATTCAACGTATACAGTAATCATATATCGCGAATTAACAATCTCCAGTGATATTCCTGCGCGGAAGCTTACCAAAGCTTTCAAGACTGGTAAGCTCAGCCTCACCTCAAGCGAACTAAAGGGTAGTGGTTCAGTCATCCATCTCCACCCTGCTTCGTTTGAAAAACAGCGTCCAGCGGTGTCAGACTCGACATTACCAAGCACGACGTGAAGAAGGGCTACAAAAGGCTCAAGGAGGCTCTATCTGGTCCAACGTATGGGGAGGGATCAAGTCTGCATACAAATTTGCTAAGTATTCAGGTCTACTATCCAGAGCCGTTGATGCGGCGGTTCCTGCTTTAGCTACTTATGCTGGTCAGCCAACGGCTGCTGTTCCAGCCAGAGCTGCAATCAAGTCCCTAACCGGCATTGGTATTTATGATTCCGATAGCGACAAGGAAGGAGGTCGCGTATCCATGGCTGACGTAAAGAAGGCTGCAAAGAATGCTCTTGCATACACGAAGCGCAAGGGGGTCATCACCGACGCAGTCGATGCTGGAGAGAAGTTCCTACTATCAAAAGCTACCAAGCCGGAACATGAGGATCTAATCAGATCTGTGCGAAAGGAGGTTCGTCGCCGCTATGGTGTAGGCGTAGCAAAGAAACGTCCAGCGAAGGGTTCGCCAGAGATGAAGGCTAAGATGGCTGCGCTCAGGCACGTCGTAAGACTGGTGGTTCGTTTACGTTGTAGCCGCCCTAAACAAAATACTCTGGATGTCTTTTTTTTTTACGAATCAGATCATGATGGATACCGACGTATCTCTGAAAATCACTTTTTTATCATTTTGGTTATAGATACTGAGTGTAATACTAGCTCGAGCGCCATTATGACAGTTCATCCACGCATACTGACTCGGTTTGTATGAAATGACCTTTCCAATAGCGGCATCACCTCTATCAAAAGCACTGACAATATTACCAGAAGCCACGTATTCGTTTTTGATCAGATCGCAACGAACGATGTAGGAACTGGTCGGTGAATCTGAGGAATGATGTTCGATAGCTGAGCACTTGCAACAGTAGCTGATGTGGAGGGGTATGTACCCGCTGTGAGACCAACTACTTTACCGAATTCAGCATTATCGATGATCAGTCGAGGAACGCGAGTAGTAGTCGGCAATCCAGTACCACCAGAGGAGTATAAACCGGAGGTAGGTCTGGTCCATGGTCCACCGGTAGTTGGTAGAGTTGTAGGCGTAGGAGAGAAATCCAGCTGACAAGCGTAATAGACACTGTTAGCACTCATTTTGATATAGAATACGTTATTCCCCGACGGATCGATTAGATACGCCCCAGCATTGACAAGAGCAGTCTGAATGCTTCGGTTGATATCGTCATACGAATAAATACCATCAGGGAGGGATACACTGATTGTGGATGTAGTTGCAGCGGTAGGTACTTCGATTTTGAACGTTGTGTTCTGAAATTGCATTGAATCAATGTTATACTCGCTGTTATACATCGAAATCGATTGAATGGCACATACTACATCGCGGAAGTCAGCCGCCGATCCGGGAAAGGAGTATTTCCAGGTTGAATTGGTTCCATCTTGTATCAGATTGGTGCTGTCGAGTTTGATAAAGCTGGACATATTGATTATATGTTTGTAGGCATATTTTTGTTTGATAAATTGGAACTAGTCCTCGATACGAATCGGTCTATCGAAGTTATACCTGATCTGACCCTTGACCGAATCAATGAAGAGCATTTGGCCCTTTCGCTCCGTGGCTTTGTTGTAATAATAGACGATTGAACGCTCATCTACTCCCTTGATATTAAAATCTTTCACAACCATCTGGAGGTCTCGCTTAGAATTAGCTTTCAGGATCGCTACGTACTCTGAGTTCAATCTGATCATCTTGTCCGTTGCGAAGTAGGTGTGGGTCAAGAAGATGGTTGATAGCTTGAAGTGGCGCCCTCTAGTGAAGTAATGTGAGAACAAATTTTTCTGAAGAAGCTTATCGTTGCTGTAGTCATCGATGATGACGAGCTCAGGCTTATGGGAATTAATTGGTGTATGACGTACCCGTTCATCACTCGGAGGCGAGTCAGGGTCGGTGAATGTGATAAAGCCATCAAGCTTATCACGAAGATACTCATATAACACCTGGTGAGGATTACGAGCAATGATCGTTAGATGAGCAAATACGTGAGGAGAATGCTTGAGGATGAACATACATAAGTTGCTCTTCCCTGAGAACGATGGCCCCAGAACCACCATTCTAAACAGCGCTTTGATGTCAAGTGCTGGAATATCACCCATAGAGGCGCTTTTGAATTTTTTAGGGATTGAAGCTCCAAAATCTGGAATACCGCTCATGATTATCGTCTAAACTATATAGGATCAAACAAAGATGAGTTCAGGTTTTTCTTATCCTAGCCCGATATTCACATCGCCGATTTATAATCCGGCATTCTTTCTCCAATTGGATGCCAGCTGGTTTCTAACGTATGACTATGCTCAGGCACTTTATCTGAACAAGTATGACTATCGCTTGACGTACATTACCGGTGTCTCTCAAGGCGTAGCATCACCTGGTGTAGCGCTTGTCCCTGGAAGTGGTGGGAACATCAGCGGTCTTGGAGCACTAAGCTGTAGTAGCCTAACTGTTAATGGTGCTTCCGTTTCAGGCGTACCAACGTATGTAGCTGATATTACTCCAGGTACTGCCGCTATCAACAAAGCTCTGGTGCTTGGTGCATCAGGTGAAATTGCTACTATTAGTAGTTTGACGGCAACGTCGATTACTGGCACGCTGCAGACAGCGGCTCAGCCTAATATTACTAGCTTAGGCACGCTATCGTCCCTCACCGTGAGTGGAAACATATCTGGTACATTGGCAACTGCTGCTCAGACCAACGTAACTAGTGTAGGGACACTCTCGTCGCTCACCGTGAGCTGAAACATCAATGGAACGCTAGCGACGGCTGCTCAACCAAATATCACCAGCTTAGGTACGCTTACTGGATTGACTATCGGAGGCAGTTTAACCTTTACTGGTGCAAGTCGATCCATTACAGGTCTTAGCTCGCTAACTGCAACTAACATTACTGGTACGCTACAGACTGCTGCTCAGCCTAATATAACATCGTTAAGTACTCTAACCGCTGTAAATTGCTCGGGTAATGTATCGGGTACGCTAACAACAGCTGCTCAGCCCAACATTACCAGCCTAGGAACCCTGAGCTCGCTCACAGCGACGTCGATAACAGGAACGCTACAAACCGCTGCTCAGCCTAATATTACTAGTCTAGGTACGCTTAGCAATCTAACCCTTAGCGCTGGTGGAACCGGCTTATTCATTCCGAATCTGAAATTGGGATGGAGTCAGTTCTTGGATAAATTTCAATCATGCTTACTTTCTCAATGTTATCGAAGGGGGCGCTTCAGCCAGTAGCGTTGTCGTTCTCAATAGTACGAAAGATTACTCTGGCATTCGCGATCTAACCATATCACGAAACTTTATAGCTTCGACTTCAATATCATCGCCTACGATCACATGTGATACGATTAGTAAGTCAGGTACTCAAACTATGAATGCAACGACCTTGAATATCAATCCTACTACGCTTCAACTCAGGGGAGATACTCTCAATGCTACAGGTGCGGAGCTGAACAAGCTTGCTGGATGCACAGCATCTACCGTTGAGCTGAACTATCTAGATCTTACCACCGGAGCAGGAACTGCAGAAGCATCAAAGGCTCTTGTACTAGACTCTAATAGTAGCATCTCATCAGGTATCTCATCTCTAACGTCAACCAAACTGATATCCACTACTTCTACCCAATGTCAGATTGCGGCCGGGACATCATTTACATCAACAACGCGTGCCTCTGATTTTAATCTCATGATTCGTAATCAAAGCAATACGGTTGGCGCTCAGGCCGGATTATCGTTCACGATTGAAGGTACTAGTGATATGACAACGTACACCCCTAGCGTTGATCTATATTGTACTAGAACCGCTACGAGTCTTCAATATTCAATGGCTGATTTTGCAATCAGTACACGGTCAGGAGCTAATGCATTATCACCAATGACTGAACGTATGAGAATCACTCAAGCAGGATACATTCGCTTTGGATCAGCTACCAGTACTGCAAAAATAGATATAGTTTCGAGCGCGAATTTACTAAGCGGGTCTTGGCAACGCGCAATGCGTATAGCCAACGATGCTACTACTCCAATCGAATTTGAAATTCAGGTATACAACGATGTCGCGGGAGGAAGTAGTGGTGTAGCTCTAGGCACCACTACGAGCGACCCGCTAAGGTTCATGGTTGGAAACACAACTCAAGCTTATCTAAACAGCTCAGGAAGACTGGGTGTTGGTATGAGTACGTGGTCGCCAGAAGCAACCATTCACTCAGGCGGAGAGGCATGGGCGAATAATTTCATGCACGTAAAGGGAGGCGGCGATGGATTTGCTAGGTATCGATTCAATTGGTCTCAGACTGACTATCCAGCGATTGGTACTGATTCAACCGTAGGAGCTATCAGGTTGGGAAAATGGGATGCTAATTACGTGGACAGCCTATGTCCCGGTGCGTGGAGGAAGCTATACCAATGCAAGCGATGAGAGGTTGAAGGCGGACATTGTAGACTGTCCCTATGGTTTGGCAAGCCTTATGAGAATGAGACCGAGAAAATTCAGGATGGTTCAAGAGCAGACTATCCATGTTGGCTATATCGCGCAGGAGCTGTATAAGGTCATACCAGAAGCAGTAGATATCGGAGCAAACGATGAGCTTAATCCGGATGGGTTTCCAGTGAATCCATGGGGAATCGATCTCGCCAGTTTAACCTCGGTACTGTGTAAATCTATCCAAGAACAGCAAGGCCAAATCAATAATCTCAAAGCTGAACTCAATGAGTTGAGAACGATTATGTCTGAGTAAATATAGAATGGTATCTGTCAAACCCAGTTCGTGGCGAAGACCGCTTGCCCTCAGACTACTAACGCTAATGTCGTTGATACTGATCAACTACAATGTGATCGAATTGTCGAATTCCACGAGAGGGTTATAGATGGTATTGGCTCAGGGATAATTTTGCACCGATAAATATAGAGCAGATCTTGAGTACTTCGTTGTAATAGAGTATCATGGGCTGCGGACCAAGTAAAACGATCAAAAAGAACCTGACTAACCCTGAAACTGGCCAAGTCATCGGTTCAATAAAGATGCACGCTGGAGTGGTTTCGATAGGGAATAATGCATATATCCCAATGTACAACGTACATAGTGGCAAGAATGCTGTCATGGCTATCGATATCGGAGATAAAAAAAATCAGACTCTATCGAGAGAAGAAAACAGACGTAGATATCTGAGTATATCCGCTCTGCTCTATAGAGCAAATATCTTCACAGACTTTGACTTTTTTTTGGCTGGTAAGCCCAGACTCGGCCGCCTTCCGTTTGGGTAGATGCGTCCACCTTCTTGGTCGACTTGTCGAGGTCAGTAGCCCACACAGCGGCTTGGGTCTTCTGGGGACGATCATGAATGATGAGGTTCTTCATGATAGCATTCAACTCAGCGACGTTGAGGTCGCTATTGTCACCATAGCTGCCTCCGGAACTGGATATAATGCGCGAGTTGAAGAAGAACATGGTTTTATAATAAACGGGAGATAATATCTTTGAACTCTTTATCATCAATCAGTCGATTGCTGTACATATCCACCGTGAGAGACTTGAGCTGCTTGATGATACTGGGGTTGTCATTTCCGAGTTGTAGCTCTCCTTTTAGCTTATCGTATTCAGCCCTAAGCGTATCTAGAGGATCCTCTAACTTATCGTGGAAGCTGTATTGGAGATGAGTAATCAATAGAACCTCCTTGAACAGTTTCTTATCTTCAACGCTGAGCTTATCGTAAGCGGATTGATCGATACGGTTCTTATAGACAAGTGCCTTGATCATGGCTTGGAGGCTATCACTGATTTCCCACTTAGGACCACATTTACGCCGATTCGCCTGAACGGTCACGAGCTTTTTAGCATCAAGGTCGGGGATACGAATATACTTGCTTCCGATCTGCTTGTATGTGTAGGCTGTAATCCTTGGATCACATTGAGATTGTAGGTACGGCCTCGGCGAACTACACCTTCCAGCGGGGTAACACCTGCACCGCGCAATCCTCGACCTTGAAGCTTTCGTTTAACGCCACTGCCGGATACCTCGCTTGCCTCGGCGTATCGCTTAGCCTTCGTTTGATATATCGATTTTGTCGCCTTCATAGCTGATGTAGCTGCCTTCAACAGCGATCTCGCTGCTTTTGAGTTATTCCCTCTAACAGCCTCTTTTGCTTCTTCATAGCGTTTCTGAGCCCCACCGTATGTCTGAAAAGCTGCTTCTGACTCATCATGAAGCTCTTGCAAGCTGTCATCGTATTCATACTCTTCAACGCTTTGCTATCTAATATCGTGTACAGACTTTAGAATAGCCTCATTCAATACTTCAAGATTAGCATCCAGGTTTTTACGTCTTTTCTTATCAAGCTCCTTTTCTTCAAGTATCTTAGCTGCTTCTTCATCGCTCGATGGGAAGGGGTATTCAACCTCATTAAGATAGCGGTCCAAGTCCTCAACCTCGTTGAGTAGGGACGAAAAGGTATCCATCCACATGATATTCTTCATTAGCCCCTTCCAAGCTACACAACTCACCTGCTTGTGTGCTTTGTTTTTACGATTTAACATATTTAGGGGTCTAGACCCCGATGGCTCCCCAAAGTAGTATGATGGATGGGACTTAACAACACCGTTGATTTTCACGATTGGTTGTAGCCGAAATGGAATATCAATACTATTAGCGTGCAACTGGCTGTAGTAATCAGTTAAGATATTCTTGGCGTCGTTATCAGCGTTTGATAGGCTTGGGTCCATGTCTTCATCAATACCACTCATTAACCCATGCTGAGCTTCACCATTAGCTGGGGTCAAATCATTTATGTGTTTGGTTTCATTGCTACCAACTAGTTCTAACTCGAGGCCCCTGGATTTAGTCATATTAATGAAAGATTGGAATGTCATTATCCAGTTCACTTTCTGAGTGATTGCTTGCTTCACACGATCGCTATCTTTCCCGTAAACGCTAATGCTATTGCCACTGATCGAAACATAGCCATCTTTGTCAATAAGAGAAGATTTTGCGGAACCATTAAGAATTGGTACAATCTTCTTTATCAATCCGTTAGATTCAAGGACTTCCCTACTTTTGCTAATTGTCCAAAATAATTTGAGCTTGCTGTCCATTTGGTCGGATCTTGTGGATGCTCCAGTATCGAACACAAAACTGTCGTCAAGTCTCTGCTTAGAGCGGTTTGAATAATCTCCTTCTGAGGCATTGATTCTTTTTCTTTTTGAGCCAATATTTTGCCAAACCTGGTATGGGCTATTTTTGTCCTCTTTACCCATCTCATTACGTCGCTCCTTCTCATTGACGTATGCGAGGAATCTGACATCATTAATTAATACCTCACAAATATGGTCATACGTCTCAGACCAATCAATGCTCGGAACTAGTATATATTTTCTCAGTTTAATACTGTACACCTTAGCATCCATCCCAATATAATACTTAGTGAGCTGCCGGCCGTTGGAAGCAATAGGGTGAATATTTAGTTCTGCAAGGATGGGGTAAACCTCAAAGATTTTAGCGACCGCTTCCTTTGACATTGTTTGATTTTTCATCTCAGCATTGCCTTCGTCGAACAAATCTTCTTCGACGGGCTTTTGCAGCAGTGGACTATCAGGGCCAACACCAGCATCTGTCATTCTTGCACTATTATCAACCCCAACATCAGTCATATCGGGGCTCACGTGCATCACTGGTTTTGGGCTTAGCAGTACTGGAATCATCAACGGACTGAGGCTTTGCAGTAGTCGATGCATCGTTCATTTCAGGTGTTGCATTAACTTCAGCATCTACCATTGTTGAGGACTCAGGGTTTTTTTGGGAGTTTTCAATATTCAGACTTTTTTTAACTCTTCCGGCGTAGCCTCGTCAGGGCCAACCGAAATATCAGACTGAGCGGATTGTGTTGATTTCTTTGGAACAGTAGTGATACCATTCGCGATATCGCTAGCCCATGATGCACCTTCGTACATAAGGCGCTTGGACTTGGCTTGACGAACTCGGCGCTCAGCTCGTTCGAGTAGATCCTGCCGCTTTTTCTCTCGTTGAGCGAGGGATGTAAAGTTGGGAAACATCGTCTAACTATATCATGGTAGTCATAAAAAACTATTAGCATCGATTAAATACATACTCACCAATAGCTTGGCATAACGGAGTCATGCCTAAATGGTTGGCACGTATGACAGATACGGTTTCGCTCATTGAGGAGATTGATGTATCGATCCTTGATGCAATGAAACGGCACACCAAATATCGTTTCTAACTGGTCGCGGTACTGTAGATTGCACACGGTTTTCCGGAAATTGGCTACTGGGTCTAAATCTCTGAGTTCATTTTTGATTCGACTAACCTCTTGAATTATCCACAGCTTTCTTCGGAGCTGTACAAGCTCACGTTGATTCTCTACGCAGTTGCAACACATTCTATATATGAAGTCATATATTTTTAAGCATTATTTTTGGAAAATAGATTGATAGATATAGATGAGTCAACGCTTACAGAGGATTGCTCTATTAAACTTATTTCGAAGCTAGTTCGACTCATTTTTTATCGACTTCCAGTACTCATTCTCTAAGGTTGATCTCTTGTTCTTATTGACTAATCTAAGATTATCTTGTGGCTCCCAGGAGTCAAGTTCATTACCGACCCACTGAACGAGATACTTGTACTTGCCGGATCGCAACTTTTTGTGGTCTAAGATCTTCTCCACCTCTAAAATATCACATCTGTTGATAGTAGCTTCAGATGTTTCTGCTTTAACAATTTTTAGATCGTTTGGCCCCTTGTAAAGAGTGTGTCCGTTTTTCGACTTGATTTGGATGCGGTAGCCATCAATACCTACCACCGAATACACAGCCTTAGGCCATCTTGCTGCTTCTTTATCAAATGTTTTCTTTTTTAAACGATACAAAACCTTTTCACCGACCTCGAACTCGTTTTCAATCCTCTCGGCTTCAGCCTGGTTGTGGACTAGTTCAGATTCAATTACCTTACCTTTAGCTTCGTTGGGGGTCATACCAATCGTCCGATGGGTCGTGCTATTGTAGTTCTCAATAACAGCAGCTATGAGCTTCTGGGTTAGTCGCTTTGGTTCGATTTTGACATCAGAGTTCTATTGAAGCGTTCAATTTTACCCATTTTGGCGTGATCTCCAGGCTCATTGTTGAAATGGTCAATTTTCTTAGTTTTGAATAATTTCTGAGCCTGTTGGTTCATGAATTCTGAACCATTATCGGTTGTGAGAATGTCAACCTTATGGAGGCGGACAAAAACCCTAATTGCTGCTAGTACGGTCGGGCCAGTTTTGTTGGTTAGTAGTTTTGCGTAGCCTAGGCGAGAGTTGATGTTGATCGCAGTCAAGATTGGTCTTTTCTCCCAAAACGCCAAGTCCATCTGCCACGAATTGGGGTTAGTCGATGCGATTTTGAACCCATCGTATCGCTTCTTCTGCTCCTGAAATCGCTGAATATCGCTCTGGTTTGAGTACCATTCCTTGACGATTTTCATCGTAATCTTCGGCTCCAGTTCTTTAGCCTTCTGGTATAAGGCTTGGGCACCCACATAGCCCGTTTTGGGGTCATAGTATAATTTGGACAACAGCTGATCCATCGCTCTATATGGTTATAAAACAAAAAAATCCCCTGCCAGGTAGTTGCTTATATGTCGAGCGGTTCGGTGGTGATACCATCCGCAAGTTCACGACGCTTGTCATAATAGTAGTTTAGAGCTGTTTTAGTCTGGGTGTACGTAATGATTGACTTACTCTCCTTACTGAGTCTAAACCCCTTGTTGGTGCCCTGTAGCGTGATGCGATCGCGAACAGCTGATTCAAAGCCATCTGGGTTGAGGACGTCGCCATTGCGGCCACCACTCTGCTGGACTCCCTTCGCTGAAACCTTGACCTTGTAAGATTCGTCTGGTAGGTAGCAAATGTAGTTCTTAGAGGACAATGATACCATAGCATCACCAGACCACTCATCCTTGAACAAACCTGGCGTTCGGCGATCAAACTGAGCCATCTCTTCGCTATAATCACGTGGGAACCACTCGTACTTATGCTGCTGAAAATGCTCACGAAGCTCGGGCTTGATACACTCAACGAATGGCTTCTCACAGCTGAACGCAATATAAGCCGAGTCTGTGTCCATTTCTTGGTACTGGAATTCCGAACGGTCGAAGTAGAAGTCAATGCAATCATAGTAGAATTGCAACATACGGAGCTTAGCGAGCTGATAGATTGCAATCGATAGATGAATTGGGTTCTTATTGTTGAGCTTTCGCTTCTTCATAGTGAATTCACATGAATCATTCAGCTCTTCCATTCCATGGAAGATGAAGTGCTCAATCTTGGCCTTGATTGCCTTATCGTCCGACTCATACCTGACCTCCTTGTGCTTGCTCATGTCCATGCCAGATCGACCAAACGCACTATTACCAACCAGTTTGATCATCTCAGCAATCATAGCCTTATTATTGCTACCCTCACTAAGCGTTTTCAGCTTAGTCAACAAGTCTAGAACCAAATGAATCTTAGGATTGGTTGTCGATTCATTCATGAATCTATCGATAATGAGCGCATCAAATGATTTAGGGTTCGTAATGGTTTTTTTCAACTCTTGGACTAAATCATCCATATCAGAGTCAGATACCTTCTCAATAATGATCTTACGGATGGATTTAACATTTTCATCACCCTCTCGTCGCGCGCTCGATACGGCTTCCATGAATGGTGCAAATGCCTTGTGAGAGCTAGCCTTGATGAAGCTGTAAGTCTTGGTGATCTCCATACCATGAGAAATGTACCATTTGAGTAGCGGTGCATAAATGAGGATCTTCTCACCAAAGTAGCTCCCGATGAGTTTGCGAGCCGGCTTTGCTCGGCTTTGCTTGCGCTCCTCGTTGTACTCGAACATGTGCTGACCGATGACACTCCGATCGCTGCAGTCTATAAGGGTGTTCTTGAAATTTGGGATCATTTCACTGAAGTAGGGTTTGAGGTGCTCTGGTGTACGGATATCACACTCGATGAAGCCAGAGATCTTGTCATTTACAATATCATCGACGATCCCTGTGCATGCTTCGATGGTAGTTAACCGTCCACATGGCATCTCATTACCAAGAGCCCACAAATACAGAGCATTAGCATCGTAGCCGATGATCTTTTTGCAGATCCTACCCCCTCGAATCTTGGTATCGTTGCGTTTCGCGTATCTGTTGAAGATGATAGAAGGACCACCAGCAATGTTCGCCTTCATCTTGGTGTAGATGTCCTTCTCCTCTCTATCGATACTGTACACCAACCTGTCTGAGTTGAATTCAAGTAGCTTCGTGTGGCGGAAGCCCTTTAGCGACATGTTCTTGCGAGCAACGTTGCATCCCACACAGCTGATCAAGATATTACCATCGATGTGTCCGAGCTTGTTATTGATTCGGCCAGCCGAGGCAGTATCAGCTGTGAGTTGCTTGTAGCATAGCCCACACAGGTACTTTTGTCGCTCTAGCAAGTCGTTGAGGTGTTCTAGCGTCATATTGAATTCACGATCGGCATCAGCATCCTGGGTCTTATATCCACTTAAGCGACTAGCGGGAAAGTCAAATGCTTCAGCAGGCTCCTTACTTGGTTGCTGGAGGTTGTTGAAGCACGTCTGATACATGACTTTCTCAGAGAGACCAGGTAGCGACACACCATCAGTGAACATATCAAGTTCGAAACGTTTGAATAGTTCTCGCTGGGCTTTGATGGCCTTGATGAAGGGTACTACACCGAGGTTGTTGTACCAAATGAGTAGATCCTTGATTGACTTCATGCCATAGTGTTCCCAGACGAACTGTACCCGCACATAGTCCTCATCGCTGATGCTAGTGCTACGAAGAGCACTGTCGAACGCCGACTTAGGAGGGACTTCCGGCTGACTGAGTAAGTCAAATGAAGTAATGTACTCGTACGGGAAGATGCCTTTTCCTAGGCCACAGACGCATCGAATCTTGTCATCACACTTGCACTCACCGAGATATGTCGACAAGTACTTTGCATAGCTGGTGCCTGCCGGACCATAGTTGCTAATGTCAAGCATTTTCATGTCTGACGTGGCGATGCACATGTAGCTAGGGTTCTTGATGACTGATGTGATGTTGTCAGTACCGATGACTGCAAACAGGTCCGCCTTGATAAGGTTGATGTCGTAGCGTCCAGAGTTGAATCCGAATACTGGTACCTGACCAATGCACTGCTTCAGCTTGCCATAATCCGAGCGCTTCTTACCGAATGTGAGTTTGCTGTGGAAATCGAAGAAACAAGCAAACTCCCCGTTCTGAATTCAAGCATTGACATCATCCATCTTGTACGTCTTACCCAAGTCTAGACCAGGAACCTCAGCGTCAGTCAAACCATGGACGTTGATGATTTTGCGGAGCAAAGACTCGTACTTCGAGACGTTGTACTGCTGAATCTTAGCCGCAACTTCCTTGATGTACTGGAACATATCCTTGAGCAACTCCTTCGGGTCATCGCTGACAAAGCATCGCACCTCCTCAGTCAAGCTGTCGGCCACGGAAACAGACACAGGAATGTGTTCGTTTGCGAAGATAGTATTCTCTCCGTTTTTGACACCCGTAGGCTTGAGGATAGCCTCAAAATCATAGACAATGAAGTGATCGATGTAATGGTCAGCATCCTTGATGGAGTATTTAGTCAGCATGGAACGAATGCTGTTCGGAGCGGGTTGGTAGATGGTTGGCTGAGCTGGGAACGATTCGTTGTTCACGAGTTCGCATTGGTTCTTAGTGTGGTTGCGTAGCTTATCAGAGCTAACAAACACCATCTCACACGTAGAGCATTGGTACTTCTGCTGGAGCATATCAACGTTCGTGATGTAGAGAGCGTGATTCTCGTGCGACAGGATGTTGATCGAATCATAGTCCTTGTCCGAGCAGCGAATGCATTCAACCTTGCCCGTCTCAACATCCATGTTGAAGACGTTGATGTTCAGCTTGAAGCACTCCTCAAGCTCATCGAATTGGAGAATGTCGATAGGCTTGAAATTGCGGAACAGACCCAGAGTGTAGGTGATCTCCTTGTACGAACAGTACTGCTTGAAGGCTTGTTTCACCAGAGCCTGGATTCTGCGAGGATCCTTCTTGGCTCCCTCCTGCTTGTGATAAGCAATGCAGTGGAAGACACACTTGTTGTTCGTCTTGGGGAAGTTGATGACGTGCTTGTTATTCACGAATCACCTTAGGAATGACAGCCTCGCTATCACCCAGAGCATGGTCGCGTTGGTAGATATAGATTTTGAAGCCAGTAATCCCCTTCACCATGTACCCGGAGCTGGGGTAGTTAAGCTTGTCAGCCAACTCCATGGAGCGAATCTCCGAGATCACCTTCTTACGAATATCAGCCTTGCTGTTGATAGCTACAGGAGTGCTAAATACAGACGTGTTGCTAATATTCGGGTGGAAGTAGCGAGTCTCGCTGTCATCAGTTCTGCTGACAAGCTTGTATCCAAGAGCGATGTTGACCTTGAAGGCAGACTTCTGGGTTGCGAGCACGTTCTCGAGCTTGTCGTAGAACTCAGCAGGCTGAATTCCCTCGTAGAGGTGCGACTCCATGTTCTTGCCTTGGTAGAATCGGTACTTACTGTCTTCCTTGAAATCAGCAGCCACATTCTTTTGGAGCTTGCCTAGACTGATCTTGTACTGCTTCGCTATCAATTTTTGGTTGATGGGGTGGGAAATGTTGCTAATGTATACCATGCGCCCCGTCTTGCCACGTACCTTAATACGGTAGCTGCTACCCCATCGGATTGGGTTAATATTTAATCTCTTAAGACCTTCAAGCTCGTATGCGAACATTGCTATATATCGGTGGCTATATTATTCTCCGAAAAAACGACTTTATAATATTGGGTCTTGTATCAGGATTGACTTTATATCATAGGCGACTTTTTATCCGAGGAAAAAAATTAATTAATTAATTAAGTTCGGTTTCATTATTAAGTTCGACTTCACCATCAATAAGTTCGGTTTTGGGTTTACGCTTGCGAGCTCGAATCTGGTCTCTGTCCTTGTCATCGTTGTCTTTTTGATAAGATAAACGGGCTTCGCGTGTGCGCTGGTAGTAGCGCTTCTGCGCTGCTTTGATTCGTTCCTTGCTAGCTTGGTATTGCTCAGGAGAGTACGCCATCTTTGTATATTACTAACTTTATATTTATCAGGATCAAAGTATGTCAAGAAATCAAATACTACTTCGAAGTATTTAACTCGGGAGCCACATTATTCCATTCAATCGACCGCAGGAGTCATATCCCAAAAGCTTCTCCAACGCTCCGCATTATCGTCGTGCTTCCACCTCATGCACAAACAAAATGTTTCTGGATCCTCCACGTGAACAAACGTCTTCATCATGAGCGGATCGTCCGTCGTGGTTGATCCTCCTTTCAAACGACTGAAAACGCGATCTGTGCACTGAGCATCCAGAACCTTCACGAAGACCTCGACCTACACGCAAATGTCAGTAAACTTACACACACCAGAACTACGCGCTCACACAGTACCTTGCGTCTGTTGCCAATGGATTGATTCTCTTCAACAGATCCGGGTAGCATGTTGACGATGGGAACCTCAATGCTCATACCGTCGAACCAACCATGCATTTCGCGAGAAAGCGCAAGCCTGTTGTTTGAGTCGCGATCGTACTTGGCGAATTCCCGTTTGTGGTCTCTGCTTTGCTTTCTCGACACCAAATGGCAGCTTTCTGCCTTGCCGTACGGTAGGAAGAACTTCGCGTCCTCAATCCGCTGAAAACGAAACTCGTCAGTCGATGAGTCCAGATTCGAAACGCTTGTAGTCAACGATATCGATGAAACTGTGTTTTGAGGAGATTCCGAATCGTCTGGAACGTAGTCGCAGTAGAAGACGCGCTGGAGATCAGTAGACACAGCGTTAGCTGGTGCAACACGCGTCTCAACAACCTGGTTAGTTAACGGAGAGCCCAGCGTTTGTGGCCCAGTCCTCAAGTCAGTTTCGAACAGCAAAGCAGCATCTTCTATAAAAGAAACAGAGTTAGCCCTCAATGAAGCAGTATTACGATGCAGCGACAGCATATAGAGGCACGTACTTGTCTCGAATAAAACATGAAAACACAATTTCTTGTCTTCATACCAAAACGCGACATTCTTGTTGCCGATGCAGCGCGTAGGATCGTAGTATCCAATGCGTAACGTCGCCATCCAGTACAGTTTGCAGCGAATTCCTTTCGTGATCAACGCGTTGTCAACGGATCCAGTGACAAGCCACAATCCAGTTTGTGCGTGTTCTTGCTCCGGGACCTTCACCAGCACGTGAACTTGTCCTTCACCCGGTTGAAAATTATCGCCAAAGTGCTTGGGGTTCTTGATCCACAGGGTGGGATCCATCTGCCCGAAGCCTTGCGGGTATCCACGTTCATCGAGCGCCACAGATGCCGCGCCAGCTCCATCTAGCCACGCGCCGTCCGCCGTCTTCGCCAGGAAGAGCTGCAGCTTGTCTGCGTCGATGTCCTTGAAGTCGTTCGTCTTCTCCGCCTTGATCGCCTTCTTCAACGCGGAAACCGATGCACCCGCGTCGATATCCACCTCGAACGCACTGCCCGCCACGCCAACGATCGCACAGAAGAGCTTCACCATCTTTCCTCGAGCCGGCAGATTCTGGAATGAGGGAGAAGGATGTAGAATTTCTGGCGTACTTAAGCGAACATGAAGGTGTGTGACATAGATTTTCAACCAATGATGAGACGCCACGTCGCGCTGGTCCGAACTACTAGTAAAATCTGCGGGCGTAATGTTCTATTGGCTTTATCAATGTAGTTTGAACGAGCGGTCCCGAAACGCCCCAAGATCCAAAAGACGTGGCTCTCGCTATAAAGTGGGCGTCGTCAAATCAACGTCTATTAGATCTGCCCTCATATCGAAAAGACGTGGCTCTCGCTCTCAAGTGGTCGAGAGGGGTCGTCGTTGAAATCGCTGCTGTCCCGAAAGAAGGTTTCAGGAATGTTCTCGGTGGTAAATTACGGTAAGGAAAAAAAACTGCCGGCGTAATATTCCATGACCCACTACTCACTTTCACTCTGCAGATTGCATGAATTTAGAGACTACCGTATCAAGCCCGACAGCGATGCATCCAGGTGTGAAGCCATGACGCCGGGCTGGACGCTGCGGATACAGCGCAAGCACCGGCACCGTATCTTCCCTACTTCGTTGAGTCGATGGCGACGTTCAGTTCCCAGATGCGCTTGGACGAGCGAGTCGTGGATGAAAGAAATACCATCCATCGGATACATTTGCCCGTAGACACGCTCAGCTCACTTCGGTGGGATCCTGAGCTGAGCTCACATCGAAGTGAGCCATGTACATACCTCCGATACATGTATCATCGCTCGGGCTCACATCACCTGACCTACCGCACAACGAGCGCCTTGACGCTCACCTCGACTGCCAGCAGACTCTGGGATCTCACGTCGTTGTTCGAAGCTAGGTGCGAGTCAGTCGGACAGCAGGAATAGAGTTCCCGTACAAACACACGCCTCAAGAACTGATACTTGCACTCCGCATATTTGGCACCTGGAATCCGACGCAGCGGAGCCCGCCTCAACCATTTGCATGGGCCAACGCGTCCGTTGCATCGATAGCAATGCGTTTGCACACGCTGCTGTCCTGCAGGAGCGAAGCCATCGCCATCGCCGCCGCCTTGGCGCTCGCTGCCGCTTGCCTTCGCCGAGCTCACATGTTGGGCAGTGCAAAGCTCGTTCGCGTTCATGGCAGCCCGGTTCTGTCCACCGATGTCCATAATCGGTCCGCCCAAAAGCCCCGGAGGTATTCGGTTCAACTGCCGTCCAGCGCAACCTGTCAATGCTGTCGGCCACGGTCTCCTCCGCCTGTACCAGTTGCCATTCGCCTCCCTCTGCGTCGAGCTAGCAGCGCCAATGGACTCCGCCCAGCTCCTCCGTTTCATGCGCACGGCGTGTCCGCTGGGCGCCTCGCTCAGCGTCCTCGTGACGCTCGTGAGCTGCGTCATCATCGTCAAGGTGAACCACATTTGGGTCAGCGGACTCTCGTGGCCCTTCCTCTCCGACATGGGGCGAGGTGCGTCTACATCTTCTTCTTCTTTTCTTCTCCTTCTTCTTTGTGGCAGTCGGCCCTAATTATCAGTGTTTGCTGGCTATGGACAGACTACCCGGCCTACTACGTGTTCTGCACGGGCCTCACGCTGGTCGCCACGCTGCTCGTGTTCACGTGGACGTTCAACTGGCGCTACCACGTGTCGGCGCTGCCGGAGGACGCCACGGCCTTCCGCGCCATCTCCTTCGTCAGCTTCGTCGCGGGCGTGCTGGCCAACCCGGGGCTTCCCGTCCTGGTACGCAGACTTCAGACGTGTAGGCCAGCGAGAGAATTGTTCACTGACCGCGATGACGCTCCTCCTGCCAGGCTTTCTTCGACACGTCCAAGCACGCCAAGCTCCACGCTGCCGGTGCCGAGTGGTTCTTCTACATTGAGACCATTGCTGTTCTCCTGAACGTACGTGGCTCAAACACCCCAGTACCTCTATCAGACCAATTCTCACGGTCCCCTCTTGTGTTTGAACAGACCATCGTGAGCTACAAGCTCTACAAGATGCTGACCGGCCTGCAAACGGACCTGGAGAACGCATGCTCGACCGTCGGCGCCAAGATGCAGCGGAGGAAGAAAACGCTGACGATCCAGCTCTTCTTCTTCGCGCTGTTCTTCGTGGCGTTCCTTATCTACATGCCCATCGGAACGTCGGTGGCCCCGCCATCGCAGCGTCTCTCCATTGACGACTGCATCGACCTGGACCTTGGAGAGACCTACTGCGAGGTGGAGATGCGCCTCAACTCGACGCACACCACGCTCTATGACGACGGTACGCGGGCATTTCGTCGTTCAAGGCGGCTGTATTACTGTTTGGTTTGGGCTAACACGATCTCCGTTTTCATGCTCTTATTCTGACAGAGAAAACCTTCGGCACGAGCCAGATGCGTGCTGCTGCCCAGCTCGCCTGCATCCTGACGCTCGTGGGGTACTCGACGTCCTTCATCACGAACGACTACGACGACTCGGAGGGCCAGACCTTCACTCCGGAGGCCAAGATCGCCGTGCTGCAGTAGTTTGTTGCAATAGTAAATTGGTCGTCGTGCAGTGTGGTGAATATTAGGAACACATCAATGGTACGCTCTGGCATTTACCGACTTCGAATGGGCTGACCGAAGTGTTACATATATCATTACCACTGTCGGCCACAGCAGAGCCAGTATTCACACGTCAATCCAAGCGAGTCCGACGCAGACACAACCAACCTACCAGCTGATGGCAGCTCTGTCAGTAAGGTCAGTTGAAGTGAAGTATCGCGCCTCGATCCGTCGTGTCAACTCCCTTCACGAGCAAAACAGTGATGCATGGGTCTGCACTGAAGCGCGTGCTTCGCATCGCATGCCCTCTTGGCGCTTCGTTCTGCATCCTCGCCACCGTCATCGCTTGCGTTGTGATTGTCAAGGTGAATCACATTTGGGTCAGCGGGTTAGCGTGGCCATTTCTCTCAGAAATGGGGCAAGATTGCTTTGATAGTTAATTTGCCGCACCTTCCTAAAATGTTTCTTGGGGCCCCTCTATTTTTCCTTTCAGACCCTCCAGCCTACCAAGTATTCTGTGCAGGCCTCACACTCGTTGCAGTGCTTCTTGTGCCGACATGGGCATTCAATTACCGTTATCACGTATCGGCGCTACCTGAAGACGCCGCGCACCTTCGAGCAATCGCGTTCATTTGCGCCCTAGCGGGGATAGTAGCAAGTTTTGGCCTACCAGTACTGGTACGTTCTCTTAGTCGCCTTGGCATCCTGGAATGGATCGCATTAAATGTGACGAACACTCTTGCTCGCTAGGCCTTCTTCGACACTGCGAATTACCCTATCGTCCATGTAGCTGGTACTCTTTGGTTCTTCTGCTTCGAAACGATCGCTATCTTCATCAATGTAAGGCATCGCCTTGGTCATGCTCTAATATGAACAGTATGCTTATCTGTCGCTGGTTTTGCCCGCTGATCGACGCTCCTGAGCTGCAAGCTATATACGGCTGTCAGAGACCAGCGTGCGGGCGTTGATACCCCCAACGTAGCCCAGAGATTCCACAGGCGAAAGAAGACGCCGGTGATCCAGCTCGTCTTCTTGTCGAGCTTCTTGGTTGCGTTTGTGGTTTATGCGGGTACATCCCCGTCGGAATGTCGCTAGCACCGGAGTCGAAGCGACTTTCGATCACGGACTGCCTCAAAGAGAACCTCGGCAAGACGTACTGCACCAAGACGAACAGACTCAACGCCACCGCCACCAAGCTCTACGATGACCGTACGCCTCCATTCGGTACCTTTCAACCCGCAACGGGTACAATTCACCAACTTTGTGCTGTTTCTTGCGAAATATTCAATAGGGAGCGCATTCGCGGCGAGTCAAATGAGTGCTGGCGGGCAGCTTGCTTGCATTCTGTCGCTCGTGGCCCACGAGTCGTGGGCTACTCGGTCTCGTTTGCCACAAACGACTACGCCGACGCGAATGGCATCAGCGCTGCTGAGGTGCGTCATCCCGGGGTGATATTTATGAGCTGTTACTTTAGCACTGTTCGGCTGTTCCCCACCTACAGCCCCTGTTCGCCTGTCATGAGCCCTATTCAGCTGTTGGTTTCTGTTTAACCTGCTACTTTTTTCATGGATTTCTCCTGAGATGAGTGTGGACTGTGGATCTCCCTAGACCCCAGCAATAGGAAATCTTACTCCGAGTTGCGGGAACAGGCCCATTCGCAGGAATGCTCGGCAATGGTTTCCGCCTCTCGAAATTCCGCGCGGCCTAATTTGCGAGTACAGTACCAGGTTTTCTTCTGCTACGTGCCCTTGCAATCGCTCACTACCTTCTGCTACATGAACCTACAGCGCTTTGGTTTTACTTCTGTTCTCCATTGATTCTTCAGCGGAAAAGAGCAGTCCATTTGCAAGTTACTGGCTATGTAGCCGATGTACCTATGACTGAAGTGCTTTTGATGAGGCGGTTTTGAATTTTCCAAGAGCGAGTATGCGCGCGAATCGCAGCTTGAGCTCGCAACTGGCATTTAATCTAAAATACTACGTAGTATCTGTTGGAAAACAACAGCTGACCAGGGTACTTGACAGGTCAATAGGAGCTGTACGGTACCAACAGCTCGACAGTGCTGGAACAACAGGTATTAATTATTTTCCGTCATCCCGACCAAGAGAGGCTGATACGATAAAAGCTGAACCTGGATCGTTGCTATGAGGGCGAAATACCTAGGCAACAAGTCGGTGCAGTACAGTACCAAACGGGCCAACAGAAGAAGCAGCTTGAAGTTGTTTTGTGGCGGAACATGCGCTTCGTCGTCGGAAAAGTGGTTTTGTGGCTCAGTCGAATGCAGGTACAACCGGCACCATCGACCAAAGACTAGCAGCGCCGTCGGCCAAATACAAAATTTACAAACGTTGATTCGCCGACGACGGGTTCTGGTGGTACCGGTACCGTTCAGGGAGAGCCGATGTACGGTAGTGTATGTGGTACCTGGAGGCAGTCCGTAAAGCAACTTTGTTACGACAAAACGACACCCGCTACAGCACCCTTAAAGAGGCTTCCACAACCTTAAAAACGGCTCGGCAACCTTAAAATTACAGGTTGCTTCAGCAACCGGTAATTTATCGAGGAGAAAATGACAATAGCGGCGACAATTTTGAGATCGAAGGTTGACGGGCTGGTGACTTCTCAAAACATGTTGCAACACGTATCCTAGCGAAGACGACGGAGCTACACCGCGTTAAGCGCGACTATCACCGCCAGGAAGCTGTCTGCCGTGGTTCAGCTTCCACACGACACGAATACATGTACATCAAGCAATTAAGTAGTGAGTTAAAAGCACCGCAAGTGCTGCCAGAAGGAGAGATGCAGGCGATGCCCGGTGTCAAGTTCTCGCAACTTGAGCAGCACCTTTTCCTGACGCAAGCGTGCCAGTTGTTAGCGCTGTGCAAGCGAAGCCGAACAGCTTCGAGCTTGGGGCCATGAGCCGACAGACTTCACGTGCGTCACGCCAAGACATCGAGTATTTACAAGTGCAGCCTATACCTACAAAGGTCGTCGTCGTTCATATCACTGGTTTCTCCTGCCTAAATGGTAGCTGCTAAGAAATTCCCGACCAAACCGATTCCCTCTAGCATAGTAGTCTGTTTTAAGCAATACCCACACCATCTATTATGCCCTAGCTTTCGCTTCTTTCCATTTACGCTTGGCTGAGATCTCGATTCGCCGGAACGCAGCCTTGACCGCGGCTTCACGTCTGCTCGAACACGCACAGGCATCATACGTTGGGTTACGAAAGCACGCACCCTACAATTTTCTCTGCACAGTGCAACGTACCATAGCTGCCTTCAGGTGTGCTTCGCTGTCACAGTTTTCGCCGCAGTCCTCCTCGCAGCGCCTTCCAATCGCCCAGTCGCTGGCTGTCGTTCAGCTTCGTCCACTGCTTGGCCGTTTGACGTAGCTATTGTCCAGAGCCACACAAGTGTTAGATATACGCGCACCCGAAGCTATGGCAAAGAAACTTACTTACACGTCGTCGGGCGGGACGTAGCATGGTGCTTGCTTGTTCTTCAGCTTGCCTCCCACGTTGGATCTTTCGAAATGGAGCACCTTTCACTCGAGCTTCCGGCCGCGTTGGACTACCTTGACAATTTATATCTTACCTCAAATAGAAAGTTTGCGGTAAACTACTCAGTAGCCGAATGTATCGTAATTTACAAAGTTGCTCAAGCAACCTTAACAAACTTATGGGATTTTTTATGTTTCAATTAAGGTTGCGTTAATCACTTCGGTGCCTGGAAGCGGTCTTCATCTCGAAGCGCCAACGCATGCGCCACAAGCCCTTCTCCGACGGCGACTTACAGCAGATCCACCTGATACCACAAGCCCAAGGCAATGTCGGATCCGTAGACGACGAACGGTAGTGCCCACTTTGGCGGTTGTTGTCGTGCTTTTCACTTTTCAATTTCCATCGGTTCTCAAACCAATACTCCCCCTTACGAGGTACCTCCACCCCTTCAACTCGCGATGACCAAGCGCTCCCTGACTCCTTCGAAGCTGCCCGTGACGATCCTGATGGGCTTCCTCGGAAGCGGCAAAACGACTCTGCTGAACCACTTGCTCACGGAAAACCACGGCAAGAAGTTCGCGATCATCGAGAACGAATTCGGCGAAGTGGGCGTGGACGACCAGCTCATCCGCCAGGTCGCCAGCCCGGAGGACATCGGCGGAGGCGACTCCAGGAGCCGCAAGTTTAACATGGGCGAGGAGGTGCTGACCATGAACAACGGCTGCATCTGCTGCTCCGTGCGGGGCGACCTCGTCCGGCTCATCGCGCAGATCCTCAAGCGCAACGGGGATCGGAACCAGCTCGACGGTATCATCATCGAAACCACCGGCATGGCCGACCCTGGTCCCGTTGTTCAGACGTTCTTCGCCGAGCCCTTGGTGGCGGCTACGTGCGAACTGGACGGGATCATCACTGTTGTTGACGCCAAGCACATTCTGCAGCACTTGCGCCCGGGAGCCGGCGTCGAGCACGAGTGCCAAGAGCAAATCGCGTTCGCCGACCGAGTCCTGCTTAATAAGACTGACCTGGTAAGCTCCGCTGAGCTCCAGGAAGTCCACACCCGCATCCGCGACATCAACAGCGCCGTGTCGATCACTGAGTGCCAGCACTGCCGCGTAGACCCCGCACTGCTGCTCAATGTCCAGACATTCGACCTCGACTCCATTCTCAAGCGGCAACCGGATTTCCTCAAGACCGAGAAGGACAGCCACTCCCACGAACACGAGCACCACCACCAGGATGACAAGAAGGGGGGTCATGATCACGAAGCCAAGCACGAAGGCGAGCACCGCCACGGCGGAGGACACCGACACAAACACTCGCTGGTATCGTCGGTGGGGCTCAGTCTCTCGGATCCGATCCTGGTGGCGCTGCTGGAAGAGTGGATCGACGACCTGCTCGAGACTGAGGGTGACGACCTGCTGCGCTACAAGGGCGTGGTGAACGTGGCCGGTATCGACCGCAAGTACGTCTTCCAGGGCGTGCACAAGCTCTTCAATGGCCGGTTCGCCGACAATTGGGCCCCGGGCGAGACTCGCGAGACGCGGTTCGTCTTCATCGGCAAGAACCTCGACCGCGAGGCGCTCACGGAAGGGTTCCTGGCCTGTCGAGCCGCCAAGGACCTGCGCTTCCGTGTTGGGGACCGGGTCATGGCGAACACCGGCGACGAGGGCTTCCAGGCGGGCACCATCGTGCAGCTCTGGGATCAGGGAAACCCCTACGCCATCCAGCTCGACACCGGCAGGAAAATGTGGGCCCCGGTGGACGAAGTCGGGCTTGTCCGAGCGTTGGAGGTGAAGCAGGAGGCAAGTCCGAGGCAGCCCCTAACGATGGTGCACATCCTCGCGTGAGAAAGCGTCGGGACAGTGAACAAGACTTTTTCATGTTGTTTCATGTTTGATGACAGCAATTCAAAATTATATTACTACATGCTTTCTGTCGTTGTGTGCTGCTATCAACAGTCCTCAACGGGGTGCTCATGCGAACATTGATCCGAAATTCATTTGAGTTAACTTGCATAGCGGCGTGAGGAGCTTAGATGAACAGGGCCTGGCGATGGAACCGCGAATTCTTGTTCATCACGCACTCCCGCTGAATAATACCGACACACTTGACTTCGAATTGCCTGATGTTCTGCTGAATTGGAAGTAAGTATGTACCGGTTCGGCACTGCTGCCATGGCGGGGGATACTTAAGTAGACGGTAAGTACCCCCCCAAATAAAAAAAAGAAAAGAGGAGAAGACGTAGACAAGTGCCAATCCTGTACAGTTAGCACGCCTACTGTAAGGGTTCTCTGGATCCAGGTCAAAACCTTTGCCACCAAGCTTGGAGCGGTGGACGAGATTGTTGGGGGTTTGATACTTAGCTAAGACCTAGCCATTTCCCACAATTGAACTGCTCTTCACAAGCTTCTCGAGGCAGGTGAACGGTGTTGTTGCATATACTGTGTGTACTTGTACTTCAAAAGACCCCCAACCGCTCTCGAGCGATTCCACGAGCAGTTCATTCCGACCGCGTGCTTGTAAGGCAGACAGAGCGATGCCTATCACAATGCTGTTCACGCATTTTTTGAGCTCGGGGTGTGTGTACACAGCGCACACGTTGTTCGCAGCGACGGCGACGAACACTTCTGTGGTTGCGATGTTACGAAGTTGAAGGCGGTGCCCGGTTGTGACCGGAAAGCCGGCAGCGGCGTTTGTCCGCCCTCAGCATGCGCTTTGCCCGAAACGTATTGGCACCGCGTGGCTGCCGCGTCAAACTCGCCACTTCAACGTCGGCGACGACATGTCCGTCGTGGCGTTGCCGGCAGTTTTTCCGGCGACTAAGACCCTCCGCCGAAGCTCCAGCCACGAAAACCCAAATCAAATACGTCGACAACACGCCGCAGCAAGCAAGCACTGTACGCGCGGAGCTCATTGCATACATGTACATGTACATGCGTGTAGGTAATGTTGGAGTAATGTTGGAATGACGCGGCAGCCATGTGTCGGCTTAACAGTTAAGTCGACACGCAGCAATGGCGAGCGTCGAGCATCGAGACGGTCGTCCTCCCCGCCCCGGAGCCGCACAGGAGCCGCATAGGAGGCAGGCAACCAGCAGCAAACAGTCTTCAGATCAGGCAACCAGCAGCGTGGTCGCGTACATTGATAGTGGGGAAGTACAAGTCGACAGGCTCAGCTAAAGTCGACGTGCAATGCCAGTTGAAGTTGTCGTCGGATTGACGAGACCGGGACGCTCGCAGCCAAGCTCGACTAATCCAAGAGGCTTTGCACTCGGGCTGCCGCGACAGCTCCGGCAGCGGCTGTGGCGCCGCAAAAGTCGACACCGCTCGGTCGCGCGCCGGTGCCTGGCAGGCCGGAGCCGGACCCGGCGCAAAAAGCGCTTGCTCTGGCGTGCGCCGCGGTGTCGCATCGCGATAGCAAGACAAAACGGGCGGCGCCGGCCTCCAGGGGCGGACGATGAGCACGCAGCCGAGAGAGAACTAGAAGTTAGAACCAGAACGCTGCGACGCCTCCAAGTGCATGAAGGCACACGTATCCAAAGCGGGCGCGTTGTCCCGGAACAGGCAGGAAGGCTGAGCCAAGTTGCCGTCAAAGCCGAAGGCTGGATTCTCTCGCGGAAGCTTTGCCGTCATCGCGCCCGGTCTGCGCGCGGCGAGCGTGGGTTTGTGCCCGCGGGCCGCTCGACCCGGGTGAGCCCTTCCCCACACGCAATCTGACCGTGTAGAGTGCATGGAATTCGACCCGCGCGAGTGCCAGACCGAAGTCTCGATCTCGAGTCTCCGAGCATTTTGGGATAAGCAGGCCAGGAGAAGACAGGCGCCCCAGCAGGAGGAACCGCCTCGGCTGAACGCAGCAGCAACCGACCGACCGCGCGCAGGGTCCCATCGAGGCGTGGCGCCAGTGCTAGTGTTGCCGGCCCCCCCCAAGCGCGCAGCAACAGACGCAGAAGAAGAACACACACACCAGGAGCCCGAGAGCGAGGCCGCCCCCCCCTCCCCACTACCGCCTCGAATCAGCATCAGCAGCGCCACCGACAGCATGGCCGGCTACAACGAGGAGTGGGTCGACGTGCAGAAGAGCACCTTCACTCGAGTGCGTCGCCAGCCGCAGATAGAGATAAAGATACGCCCCCCAGATGGGGGAAAGATACCCGACCTAACTGACCTACCTACCTGTTTGATGCCGTTGCTGTAGTGGGCCAACACGTACCTGTCGCGCAAGCGCATGACCATCGATGACCTGTACGAGGACCTGAAGGACGGCATCCGCCTCATCTCGCTGCTGCAGATCATCTGCCGCGAGAAAGTGTGCCGCGTACGTACAGCGGCTAGAGGGGGTTGGCCTGAGTGAGGACTAACCTCTCTCTCTTTTGTCTATTTGTTGCGGCCCCGTGGCAGAAATTCAACAAGAAGCCGCGCATGCGCATCCAGAAGATGGAGAACCTCAACTTCGCCTTCGCCTTCATGCAGAAGAAGAACGTCAACGTGACCAACATCGGCTCGTCCGACATCCTGGACGGCAACAACAAGCTGGTGCTCGGCCTCATGTGGACGCTCATCAAGGCCTTCCAGGTGGCCGAGATCGACGTCGAGGGCGTCTCAGGCAAGGACGGCCTGCTGCTCTGGGTCAACCGCTCGCTGGCCGACTACCCGACGGTGGACGTCAAGAACTTCTCGAGCAGCTGGGCGGACGGCATGGCCTTCTGCGCGCTCATCCACCGCTACGCGCCGACACTCATCGACTTTAACTCGCTCAACCCCAAGGACGCGCAGGCCAACGTCAAGCTCGCCTTCGACATCGCGCGCGAGAAGTTCCGCATCCCGCAGCTGCTCGAGGTCGAGAGCGTGGCCGGACAGCTCAAGCCAGACGAGAAGAGTATCACCACGTACGTGTCGCTGCTGTTCAAGGAGTTCGCCTCGGGCGTGCAGAAGAAGAAGGCAGTGACGACCATCTCCAAGGCGCTCAATATCGCGCAGCGCCACCAGGAGCTGGCCGCCGAGTTCAACCAGAACGCGTCGGGTCTCCTCGAGTGGCTCACGCAGCAGACGGAGCGTTTCCAGACGCTGAGCCAGCCGCGCCACATCCCGGACATCAAGGAGGCGCTGGCTCGCCACTTGGAGTACAAGAAGAATGAGAAGCCGCCGCGCGAGGCGCAGTTCGTGGCGGTTGAAGGCTGCGCTGGCCGCTGGATCGCCAGTTGCAAGAACAACGGCCGCGCTGTGCCGAACCTGGACCCGCCGATCGAGAAGTTACAGGCGCTCAAGGCCAAGCTGGACGAACTCGAAACTGCCTTTGAGCTGAAGCTGCGTCAGAACTTGGACAGCTACCAGAAGACGGAGATCTTCCTGACGAAGGTGGTGAAGGACCTGGAGAAGGTCGAGGCCTGGGCGAAGGAGAAGGAGGCTCTTGCTCTGTTCGCCGAGGACCTGGCCGTCACGTCCACGGCCGACGCGGAGGAGAAGCTCGAGAGTGTGGCGTTCCTGCAGGACATCGAGCTGCCCCGCTACAAGCAGTTGCTGGCTACTGTCGTTGACGAGGCCGATGGCCTGTCCGAGGACCACAAGGAGACCAAGGCCACGCTGGAGCGTCTGGAGGCCATGAGGTCCTTCGTCACCATGGCTGAGGACAAGGTGGAAGGCGTGAAGGCGAGACTCGAGGAGAGTCTGCGCCTGCAGCAGAGCGTGGACGCGGTTGCCAAGGACGCCAAGGCGCTGATGCGTAACCTCAAGTACGTCATTGAAGAGATGGACGAGGAGGTGGACGCTGCCACGAAGCTCCAGGACGTGTCCAAGGCCGGCGTGGTTGCTGCCAAGCACAAGTTCGACACGGTGCTGGTCCCTAAAGTCCAGAACGCCGTCGTGAGCGAGAATGAGAAGCTTATTGAGAAGAAGCAGGTTCTGGCGGACGCTGGTCGTGCCAGCGACGTGGCGCTAATTGAGAAGACCAACGCTCGTGTGCAGAAGCTGCTCGACTCGCTGGCTGAAAAGCGTGGCTACTACGAGGAGGAGCTCGCTAACGTGGAGAAGCGTGACGAGGTCTGCCGTGAATTCGCGACGCTGTCCGCTCGCATTAAGGAGCGTTGCGCACAGAGTACGCAGTCGATCAATGTCGTGGAGGGTTCGCTGAAGGACCAGTTCAACTCGATGGTGAAGCTTCGTTACAGGTTGTTCCGCGCCAACACTGGCGTTGTGCTGGAGGAAGAAGTTGAGGGTAAGCCCGAAGACCCTGAGATCACGGGTGTTGAGACGTCTGTGGTTGCTGAGGTTGCCAAGCCTGCCGCTGAAAGCGAGACCGCCCCGGAGAGTGAGGAGGGCGACAAGTCTAAGGATGCGGCCGCTGAAGTTGAGGAGACCAAGGCTAAGCAGGTTGAGGAGGCCAAGGCCAAGGCTGCGGAGATCATTGCCCCGCTCACCGAGGACATGGAGAAGCTTGAGCGCATTAACGAGGAGCTGGAGCGCCTGCAGGTGCACACGAACCCGTTCACAACGGACACGATCCACGGTCTGCGTGCCCAGTTTACGTCGCTGGAGATTGCTGTGCGCGACAAGGTGAAGTCCCTCGAGAAGGAGCTCGCACTTAGCGAGGTGGGCAGCCTTACCCCTGAGCAGGCGAAGGAGATCAAGGAGGTCTTTGACCACTTCGACCTCGACAACGACGGTGTCCTTGCTCGCGACGAGTTCATCATGGCGTGCAAGGGTCTCGGTCTGAGCCTGAGCGAGGATGACTGCCACGACTACTTCGACAAGATCGACGAGGATGACAACGACGAGATCACGTTCGACCAGTTCGCCACCTTCTGCACGGAGCAGCTGCAGAGCGGTTCCACGAAGGACGACGTGCACGAGGCACTGGACATTCTCACTGGCGAGGAGTTGACGATGGAGGAGATCGAGGAACGCTTCGACGCGTCTCAGGTCGAGTTTATCAAGAAGCACGCTCCGGAGCTCCTCGAGGCGGACGGCAAGTCGGTCGACACGGAGAAGTTTACGGACTTCATCTTCAGCGTGTAACTTAATCGACCACGCTTCAAGAGCCCAGCCTATCGTCCGGAGCAGGTGGTATGGTTCGTTTCCCTGTTCATCCCCTCCCTCGCATCACTTGCAGCTTGAGCCTTACTCTCACAAAGTCGCCTAATTTTTTATGGCTCGAATTTTTTAGATGAAACCAATTTTTACTATGACAAATCAAATGTGTAGGAGACCAGGACCGGTTGGTTGTCGTCGTCCTCGCTCGCTTTGCTCTCTTTTGCGTCGTCTTCGTAGTTATGTCTGGATCGGCGGCTCTTCTTGTACTCGGATCCCGCTGCGGCGTCTTTCGCCTCCTTGGCTTCGGCGCGTTTGGCGTCGTCGATGGTGTAGACGTGGCCTTTGCGCAGACCCGTGAAGAAGGTGGTGACGCGGGGAGGATTGGTGCCCTGCGTCTTGGCCGTCTGGCAGCCGACTTCAGCCGGCAGGTAGACCTGGGTGTCGACTTCCCGTCGGAAGCTGCTGAGGGCGGTCTGGGCGCCGACGGTGCGGCAGTGTCGGAGGTTGGCGATCTTGATGGCTTTGCGACGGAGATTCCACTCGTTCCAGTCGTAGTTGTAGTCGATGCGCTTCTCGATGAAGTGCGTGGGCGTCGCGGTGCTGGCGTCGACTTTTTGCGACGGCGGCGGAGCCAGCAGTGGATGCACGCCTCGAGGGCCTTCAACGCGGAAACGGTGGCACATTTTCAGCAGCGAGGACAGCGTGATGTTCGGAAACGATTCCTGCAGGCGCAGCAAGTAGATGAGTGCGGGTTGTCGAGCTGCGCGGTGGAGGACCCCCTGCACGTATCGACGCGGATGGATCATGAATTCACCAAGCGCGCGCTCATTGACGAAGACGTGGTAAGCATTGCGGTACTGCACGACGCCCAGCGACGGATCGCCCGGCAGCAACAGTCCTCCACGCTCCACCACGGTCCATGGACAGAATCCCTGGTACTCGAGTGGTAGCTGCATGAACTCGGGCGTCGACTCTACGGGCATTCGAATGGGGAAGCCCGAGCCTTCTTCCTCGTTGGGATTGCTGTCGTCCTCGTCGCCGTCAAGGTCGTCGCCTGCCAAGCCAAAGCTTCTTGTCTTGCCGTCTCCAGTGAGCTGCCTCTCGGCGGGGAACGTCTCGACGTGCGAGAAGAGGTCTTCAGTCGGGATGGAGCCCCCACGCCGAGCTTGACGCACTATGGGCGACTCCGGGGAGAGCGTTCTTGTGAAGGTCGACTTGAAACGCAGTAGTGACCGCAGCGCGCGGGCTCGAGCCTGAAGCAGCTCGTGCTCTTGGTGCAGCTCCGCCCACGAACGCGACACTGCCTCGAACAGCGGATACACATGGGACTTCGGCAGCGACGTGCGCGCCCCCACAAGATTCTGCAGCGCGCTCATGTCGGCCTGAAACATCTGCAGCCGCGTGCCAACCTTCTCGTGCGAGAACGCAATGTCCTCCTCAAGGCTCTGCAGATACGACAGGAACTGGCGCCGGTTGCTCAGTTCGTCTTGCCATCGTGCGACTTCGTCGGCTTTCGGGGGTGGCTCCGTCGAATCGGCACTCTCTCCAAGTTGGTGGTGCACATGCAGCAGGACTTCGGTGTACTGAGTGCAGATCTCGTTTGCTTCACGCACCTCGTCGCGCACAAGCTTTGCGAGAGCGGCGACGTTATCCTGGATATCCCGCCCGCTCGCTGGGATGCCTGCGCCACCCTTCCCCAGCTCCTTGTTGAACAGGCGGATGCCCTCCACGATGCGCATGAGCTCGTCCAGCTGGAAGCGCTTGTCGTCAGGAGACATCGTAGCGAAGGACTTCAAGCCGATGCGCGGGAACACGCTCTCCAGAGCCGCCGCTACCTCCTTCTCCATGGCTCGACGCTCCGCCTGCTGCTTACTCGAGTTGTTGCTGTGGTGCTTCCCATTGTTGTTGTCGCCTTCGTCGTCGCTGTTGTTTCTGCCAAGACCGTCAGCGTCCAGCATGAGCAGAGTGAAAATGTGCTTGTACAGCGCCGAGAGCGTCTCGAAGTCGGTGGCCTTTTCCGGTACCAGCGAGGAGATCGTGCGCTGCAGCTTGGCGACCGCCTGCTCCTTGCGTTCGCGGCGTAGACGCAGCTCCTCCTCGAGGTTCGCGTGCGTGAAGTCGAACTCCAGCTGCATCTTGACGGTCTCCATCGCAGGGTCGTCGTCTCTCAGCAGGGCCTGCTCGCACTGCTCGGTCAGGTACAGCTCGTCCTCAGGCGACATGGGCTGCTCCAGCACAAGGTGACGCCGACTGCGATGCACTACGAGGCGCGCTGTGAACGCCGCCAGCGTCTCGGAAACCTCGACACCTCGGTACCTGCATCTCGCCACAATGTCCGCCACGACGCGCTGAGCGTTCTCCATGCTCGTGTTATCACCTGCCCACCTGCAAATAGCCAACTGACGAGCATGGGAGCATGGAAGAGAAAGCTCCGAGCCGCATGCGATGTGCGGCGACGTCTATTTCCAAGCCGCGCTTGCTGCCAACTCAATTCGGAAACCCCTTCTCTGGTGAGAAGATCGCCATGTGCCTCAACTTGACCTGGTTGAAGTGTCACGTCTCCTTTATGGCTACACTTTACAGCGTGTTCATTGGTACAAATCCACATCCTTTTCCACGAATCGCAGTGCCGTACGCGTACTGCACCGTCTATTGATATTCGCAGTGTCCAGATGCAGTGTCTGTCAATAGAAATCCAATAGAATTTGCTACTCCCACCGTCAATGGACACAGTCCAGTGCAACCGACACTGACTCGAGCCATTTTGGGAACATCGATCGTGGAGGAATCGCCCGTCGGCCCCCTCCGCCTTCATCTGGAGCTCTTCGCGCGGAGGTTCTCCGGGTGCTTCGATAGTACGCACACAGCCCCGCGCTTCCTCTACGTGTCGGCGGTCGCGCGGTCTCCAGGCGCGCTCTACATCCCGAGAACGCGGCCTCCGAACCCAAGATCCAGCCAGATCCGCCCTTCCAGCTAGCGCGACCATTCTCTCGCCATGGCGACGGACTCCAGCGACGTGGAGATCGCAGTGAGTGAGAGCGGCGTCTCGGGCCCCGCCCCCGCGCTCAAGACGCAGCGCTTGCCCTCGCTGTCGCTGAGCAACGGCCAGGGGCTGTCGCTCACGCTGCTGAGCATGGACGGCGGCGTGCTGAGCCAGGCGTCGTCGCGCGCGCACGAGGAGGTGACGCGCGAGCTGCGCGTGGACGCCAACTACGGGCTCTCGGAGCTGTCGGTGCGCGAGCGGCAGCGCGAGTGCGGCCTGAACGAGCTGGCGGGCGAGGAGGAGGAGTCCATCCTCGTCAAGTTCGCGGGCCAGTTCAAGGACCCGCTCATCATGCTGCTCATGGCCTCGGGCGTGGTGAGCGTGGCCATGGGCCACACAGACGACGCCATCTCCATCGCGGTGGCCATCACCATCGTGGTCACGGTGGCCTTCGTGCAGGAATATCGCTCCGAGAAGACGCTGGAGGCGCTGAAGGAGCTCGTGCCGCCGCGCTGCAAGGCGCTGAGAGACGGCGCGGTTGTGGACATGCTGGCCAAGGAGCTGGTACCAGGAGACATTGTCATAGTGGACGTTGGAGACAGAGTGCCCGCAGACGCGAGGCTTATCGAGGCCGTGGATCTGGAGGTCGACGAGTCGAATCTGACGGGCGAGAACGCGCCCGTGCCCAAGATCACAGGAGCCATAGCGGACAGCCACCTGCACCCAATCGCTGACCGCAAGAACATCATTTACATGGGCACGTTGGTGCGCGCGGGCCGCGGCCGAGCGGTGGTCATCGGAACGGGATCGCGCACCGAGTTTGGACATGTCTTTGACGTGGTGCACAAGGTGGAGGAGCGCAAGACGCCGCTGCAGAACAGCATGGACACGCTGGGCAAGCATTTGAGCATGTTCTCGCTCTCTGTGATCGCCTTGATCGTGGTGATTGGCGTGATTCAGCACAAGGGCATGCTCACGATGCTGCAGATTGGCGTCTCGCTGGCAGTGGCTGCGATCCCCGAGGGGCTGCCTATCTGCGTGACTGTCACGCTGGCCTTTGGCGTCATGAAGATGGCGAAGCGACACGCCATCGTGAAGAAGCTGCCGGCCGTCGAGGCCTTGGGCTGCATCAATGTGGTCTGCGTGGACAAGACGGGCACGATTACGACCAACAAGATGGAGGTGATCGAGATTTTCGTTCCGTTTGAGAGCGTGACCGCTGAGGTGAATGGAGTCGGCGAACGAGAGCGGTCGCCATCGCAGACTTCCGAATTTGACATGGCCAAGAAGAGTGCGCGCTCAGCTGTCACGATGCGGGGCGAGCCCGTCACGGAGGAGTCCCACCCGCACGTTTACCACTGCCTCCTGTCTGGCGCTCTGTGCAACAACGCGACTATCGTGGACCGAGAAGTGCTGGGTCAGGCTACGGAGGGCGCCGTGCTGCTCTGCGCGCAAAAGGTGGGGATTACTCCGTCGGCCATCCAGCAGTTCCGCCGTGTCAGTGAAGTCCCCTTCAGCTCGGAGAAGAAGTGGATGGCTGTGTGCTGCGAGCCGCCGACTGGTGGTCCCTCTCGTTGGTACTTGAAGGGCATGGCGGAAGCTATCTTGTCGCGCTGCGACAAGATCGAGGACAACTGTGGGCGCGAGAAGGACATGACGCCGGGCGATCGCGAACGCATCTTCGTGGCGTCCCAGCAAATGGCTGCACGCGGTCTACGTGTGTTGGCTCTGTCGTACGGCGAGCACTCGGACCGTGGCATGGTGTTCGCTGGGCTTGTGGGCATTTCGGACCCTCCTCGCGCCGAGGTCGAGAAGTCGGTCTTGGAGCTGTCGCTGAGTGGGGTCAAGACAATCATGCTGACGGGTGATTCGAAGGAGACGGCCATTGCGATTGCCAGTAAGGTGGGAATCATTTCCAACGACAGCTTTAGCAGTGTTGACTGCGATGATGAGAGAGCCAAGGCCGTGGACGAGCTCGTGATTTCTGGTCAGGAGTTGGAGATCATGGATATGGTGGAGTTGGAGCAGCGCATCTTGAAGACGTGCGTGTTTTACCGTACGTCCCCGCATCACAAGTTGAAGATCGTCCGAGCTTTCCAGGAGGCGGGTTTGATGGTCGCCATGACGGGCGATGGTGTGAATGATGCGCCTGCTCTGAAGGCGGCAGATATCGGCATCGCCATGGGCACAAACGGCACTGATGTGTCGAAGGAGGCGGCTGACATGATTCTCCTGGACGACAACTTCAGCACCATTCTGTGCGCCATGGAGGAGGGCAAGTCCATCTACCACAACATCAAGCACTTCCTGCGTTTCCAACTCAGCACGAGCATCTCGGCGCTGTGCTTGATTGCGTTCTCGACACTATTCAACCTGCCGTCTCCGTTGAATGCCATGCAGATTCTGTGGATCAACATCATCATGGACGGACCCCCAGCGCAGAGTCTTGGTGTGGAGCCTGTCGACCATGATGTGATGAAGGAGGGCCCGCGCTCAAAGGATGCCAACATTATCACGCGCACGATGATTCGCCGCGTACTTACGTCGGCCTGCTTCATCGTGTGCGGTACGCTCTACGTGTTCTGGGTGGAGCTGAGTGCAGACGGCTCCATTAGCAAGCGCGACCGCACCTTGAGCTTCACGACGTTCGTCATGTTCGATATGTTCAACGCGCTCTCGTGCCGGTCCGATGACAAGTCCATCTTCGAGATCGGCATTCTGTCCAACACGGTCTTCGTGTACGCCGTCGGCGCCTCGCTGTTGGGCCAGTTGCTCGTCATCTACTTCCCGCCGCTGCAGGCCACCTTCCAGACCGAGGCTCTGACGCTGGGCGACTTGATGTACGTCTGCTGCATTGCCTCGAGCGTGCTCATCTTCGACGAGCTCCGCAAGTGGTGGCAGGTGCGCAAGCTGCGTGGAGCGATGCGCTCTGCTTCTATCGCCGCTGGCTTTAAGCAGAAGAAGAGAAAACACTCGTGGGACAACGATGGGAAGGCTTACGACACCGTGTAGTAGATCAGAGAAACCGCGGAGCCCCATGTATTATGTTGACACGACGCCGTGGGAAACGAGCTGAATAGACAGATTGCTTGCCAATAACTTATCGTTGCTCTATCAAAGCCTAGTCTGACGATGCCCAGACGCGCTGGACTACCGCTTCAACAGCCTGCAGAACGTCAAGCCCCACAAGCGCGAGCGCACAAGGCACGTTGGCTGGGAACACAGCGTCACTGCACTCGGCGTAGTAGTCTCGAGCCGCTGCTAGGTCCCGGGGGACGCCATCGCCAATAAGCAGCATCAAGCCACAGTTGTAGCCAGCCTGCGCGTCGCCTAGTTGCGCAGCGAATTGGTAGCGCTCAAGGGCGCGGGTGTGGTTGCTTTGACACACACCGTCCCAAGGCTCATGGAAGCACGCGCCAGTCTTGCGAACAGCCTCCGAGTCGTTTAGCGCTGCTGCCTGCGAGTACAACTCGAAAGCTTCATGCAGAGGCGGATTGCTGGAGTCTCCAGCCGATTTTGCAAGACCAAGCCAGCGCCACTTGAGGATACTCTCGCCGTGGTGCTCCAACAAAAAGGCAGCATTGCACTGCGCGTCTTCATCTCCAAACTCCGCAACTAGCCGGTAGTGCAGATAGGCGCGCAGATAGTCGCCCTTCTTGTAGCACTCGTATGCCTTGACCAGCGAAAACGGAATGCCTGATAAAAGATCAGGATGCAACGCGACGGAGCGGAACAGCGGCATGGCGGTACTGCACGAACGTGGCGTGCCAATACCCTGGAAATGCATGACGCCCAAGTTGAACAGCGCCTGACTCGACTGGCCGTCCGTGCCGTCCACAGCCGCCTGGAAATGCGAGAAGGCCAGCTCGTGATCAATCGGAACGCCACCGTCTCCATGCAGGTATGCCGAGCCCAAGAATGAGTGCGATTCAGCGTATCCCCGAGCAATCGCTTTCTCAAAGTATTCCAGAGCAAGCGTCACGTTCTGAGGCACGCCGTTGCCCGTGAAATACATCACGCCCAGGCCATGGAAGGCAAACGCCTCATTCTGCCGAGCTGCGCGGTGAAAGAAAACAAGGGCTTGAGGGATATCTCGGTCCACGCCCATTCCGTTCGCGAGCAGCATGGCGTAGTTGGCTTGTGCCAGCGCGTCACCAGCTTCTGCTGCCTGGCGAAAGTACTGAGCTGCAAGTGCGTGGTTAGGCGCTACATGAGCTGCCGGGTCGCCGAAGAAGTAGATCTCTCCAAGTCGATACATCGCTCGCGGATACTGTTCGTCCATGGGGTTGTTCGCAATGGCACGGTAGTATTCCAGCTCGTGCAACGCCGCGTTCTCGTCATGTAATGCGCCAGCTCCATCAAAGCCGTAATCGTCCAAGAATCCGCTGGGCAACAGCAGCTCATCCGAGAGCCGCACGACATCAACCGGACGCTCTCCACCTTCATCGACAATAATGTGCACGTTTTCCTCCGCACACTTGTGGAATAACGGGAGAGCTGCTTCACAAACTGCATCCGAGTCAGCCTTCGCCCCTGCTCTCCTGTTCTTCTTTGTCATCGGAAGCCTGCCGGACAGAGTTCCGTACGCCACGGCTAGCGTCGCCAAAAAATCATTGGCATCAGCCAAGCTCGTGAGCGCGCGGTCTCCACGGGCTTGTCGCTCCTGCTGCGTCAGCGGAGCAATGCTCGGATCCTCCAGCTCCTCCGGGTCCGCTACCCCAATCAAGTCCATCATGGCCAGCACGCCCAGTGCTGACTGCACACCGGCGTCCGCTGCAACGTTTAAGTTGTGGATTGCATCAACGAAAGGCTGTTCCTCCGCCGACTCGGCGTTGGGCTCGAAGAGCTGCATGTACGACAGCTTGGTCACTGCAAAGGCCCAGTCGTCCGCCGTCTCTGGGTCTTGGTTGGCGGCCGACTGAGTGTCTCCGACCCGCACCAACTCGTCCACCAGCTCGGGCGTGTATCCCTCCTCTGCGATGCGATCTTCCAGCGTCAGGAACGCCTCGGAGGCCTCTAGCATCGGCAGCGACGCGCTGTCCGTCTCCGTCTCCCAGTCCTCGTAGGCGCCGTCCTCTTCCACAATGTGGACATCTTGAGCTTGCTTTTGAGGCTTCGCGTGGCTGGTGGTGGACGCTTCGTCGTCCTCGAGGTGGACGATATGCCAGCGTCCGTTCTCGTCCCTCCGGACCTGCGTCCTGCCGCCTACAGAGACGCTCTGAGGCTGCCGCTTGGTGGACACAGAGCCATCCGCGTGGACGTCGTAGGACGCTACTTTCTGCGCACTGACGCGGTCTGTGGACGGAGCTGGAGCAGGATTCGTCGCGTCGTCGAGTGTGACGCCTTGTTCTTGCTGGTTCTTGGCTCGTGGCGGGGCTGGAGAGGCCGCGGAGGTCGCGATCGCGACTGCGAAGAGCAGCGCAGCAGAGTGGCGAAAAAGATGGAGCATCCGCGCGTCACGAGCTGTACACAGGGACGTCGAAGCGCGGCGCAGGAAGCGAGCAGCCCAGTTCGCCACGTGTGTGACCCCCGCTCTGCTATGGAAAAGAGACTGCCTAGGTATACGGCGCGCTATTGGCGGAAACTGTGAAGACAGTCGGCGTATCATTGGCGGAAAAGCGGCAGCGGATACCAACACTGTCCGGTGATATTGGCAGTGTTTGGCAAGCTGGAGACACTGTCCGAGATCATGAAGCGACACGGTTTAAATTATAAGCTGAAGCGCACGCAGCGCGTGAGTGAGCAGTGCAAGAGCTTTTACGCGTCTGCGCACTCGCAGGAGGCTCGGCAGCGCTTTTCTGCATGGGTTGCGGTTCGTTGCTTGGGCGCGCTGCAACCGCCGCCGCTGGCAGGTTGCAACGGCGCTTTTGAATGGTCCGCGAGCTGTCCCAGGATCTGCGAGCCAAAAGTCTGCCCTTTTGTCTCGCAGTCCGTTCGAGCGCTTAAACGTTGAGCGCTTTGCGGTGTTGGTCTCGCTCGGGCCGAAATGTGCCGTCGACGCACGAGCTGTAGCCCGGAGCCTCAAGCGATCTGGTTCCAGCAAGAGCAACGCTGGCCTGACCGAGCCCAACGCACTCCGCTTGCATGGGGTTAAGAGACTCAAGGATACAATGGCAGCGGCCGACTCCAGGCGTCCGACACGCAGCGAGAGTTTCGCGCGAAACTCCTTTGGCAAGCAAGCGTTCTGGCACTGACGCACAAGCTGAGGAATAAGCTGAAGCGAAACGCCAAGGAGGGCCTTGGTGATCGCAGGTCGCAGGATCTGAAACGCGAGGCGCTAGGGGGAAGGCGCCCAAAGTCGTAAAGCTGCAGGGCAGTAACGTAGGAGCCAACCAAGGCCAGCGCGATTGGCGACGCCGCTGTCCGAGGACGACGGGCATGTTGAGGTTGGTCGATCAGACCTTGCGATCCCACGCGGCGTAATGCTTACTCCGAGCTGCTTGGAGCTTCAACGTCAGCAGCAGCAGCAGCGCCAACACCGGCAGGCTCTTTCGTGGAAGTTAGCGCTCGTTCTCATGACCAAGCGTTGCCCTGCCTGAAGCGCATGTAGCCATCATGACGCGCGCCCGTCAAGCATCGAAGCCGAGCGCTCGCAGACCAGATGAAACCGCGCCCAAGCAGCACTTACCCCGCGTTTCAGCGGTCTGGCGGCTGTGTTAAACGTGTCTATGGGGACGTTGAAGTTGCAGCGTTAAATGGCGCCCAGTGGCTAGCCATTGCAGCTCCAGTTATCATCGCCGCGCCAGCTCGCCCTTCCCAGCGGAGACCGACCGAGAGACCGGCGACGCTGAGGGGCAACACGAGTCAGAGCGTTTCCGCTCGAAGTCCATCGCGACGCTAACGTAAACCGCCGGCAAGGCGCAGAGCCGGGGCAGATGCAACTACCGTCATGCAGCACTCTTTCTTCGGATACCGCTTGGGGATCCGACAGCTCCAATCTTATTTTTGTAGATAATATTCCTACATTTGAGCAAATGTGCTACATCTACTTGTATTAGTTATCTAACACTTGTTACACAAGATACCCCGTCGCACCCGTTTAGGTGCAGCCGCTCGCAAAGCGGCAGCGGGCTGACACGCCCCGGTCAGCGGTAGACGTTGAAGTGGTCCGGGTGCAAGGTCAGGACGATGGCTCGCTGCCGCACACGAGCAGGCACGGAGGTCTTCATTCCTGAACTTGCAGCCTGCGGAGGAAGCCGCTCGCCGCCCCGACCTCGCCCGCCCCGCCCAGCCCCCGCCTCAACTTCATGCGCGCGTCGTCGCCGCTGCACCCGCTGGACGTGGCGCCCGCCGCCGCCGCCGCCTCATCTTCCGCCGGCGCCGAAGCTCTCGGCAACGTGGTGTCTGGCGCCTCGGCCGCCACCTTCCTGTCCTCCGCCTCCGCCGCCATGCGCCGCAGCCCGAGCTGCGAGTGGCGCGAGTGGGAAGAGACGCTTGACTGCTTCGGCGCCACCGCGGGCCTCGCGGGCATGGACGCCGCCATGGACGTGGATCTGGACCAGTTCCTGCTGGCCTCGGCCGACGACTTCCTCGAGCCCTTCGCGAGCCCCAACGCCACGCCGGACTCGCCCATCTTCACATCCAACCACGAGTTTTTCTACGAGACAGAGCAGGACTTGCACATGTTGCAGGCCGCGGGCTTCGATCCGCACGTCGGCGGAACTGGCGCTGGTGCCGCTGGAGAGCTGCAGACGCTCGTGGAGTGCAAACTGGAGCCGCAGCCGCTGCAGCAGCAGCAGCACACGCTGCAGAAGATGCCGACGCCCACAGCCCACCGCCACCGCAAGAGAAAGACGGCCGAGCTGCACCGCATGAGGGGGGAAGCAGACAGACTTGCAGGGGGGAACGCCCACGTGGGGAAGAAGGCGAAGAGACAGGAGCAGCAGATCGCAGCCGTGAAGAAGGAGATGGAGGCCAACGAGCAGGCGGAGAAGATCTACCGACGGAGATACGACATCCTGCACGGCATCTTGGAGGCCTGGAACACAGGAGGCATCGAGGACCTCGAGGAGATCGCAGACAACGTGTACGACGAGGATGTGACGCTCATCAGCCCGGACTACTCGGAGGGGCTGCACGGCGTGGAGGCTGTGATGTCGCACTGGAACATGCTGCTGGACGCGTTCCCGGACGGGATCATGGAGGAGTACATCATCCAGCGAGAGGAAGGCAGCACGGAGAAGATGAAGGCCACGTGGACCTTCAGCGGCACACAGATCTTCCCGATCTTCGGCGTCGAGCCCCGTCACAAGAAGGTGTGCATCAGCGGCAAGTCCTTCTTCACGTTCAAGGGCGACAGGATCCGGCAGATGGTGCTGTCGTGGAACTACCGCGAGACGCTGCTCAAGCTCATGGACGTACAGCCCGACAAGGCCAACAGCGTCGTGCTCAGCGCGTCAGCCTCCCATGCAACGGCGCAAGCTGGCGGTGTACGATCATGAACATATCCAGCGTGCTGGTTGATTGTACGTAACGAAATTAGCGCTAGGACGAGACAGGCTGTGTGGTGCACCAGCAACGACGAGCTCGCTCATAGCCTCACCCTAAGTAATAATTATCTATCCCCTCTGTGGTGGGCATTACAAGCACCGGAACCGAAGACAGTTTTTCTGTTCGAAGAGCTTTCGCTTTGAGTTGATTAACATGATCACTCACCCTCATGTAGTTTGTTGGAGGAGGTAAATGCGTCCAGGAATTGGTTCGCCACTTTCCTTGCGCACACTGATATCTTGCTTAACAGCGATGTTGAAGCTCATGCGACTAGCGAGAGTCACGATGTACTCATGCGAGTGCTGGAACCGCCCTGACGGAGCTAAACGATAGCCGACCGAGTTATCCTCAGAGTTGTCGATGATGCCTTGAGGCAACAGCTCAATCGAGAAGGCCATCCACCCGGTGGAAGCACGGAGCTTGCGGGCACTCAACTCGAATACTTGCTCCAATGCGCCCACATATATCCAGACATCAGCCGAGATGATCAGGTCCAAGGATTCGTCGGCGCACGACTCCAGGAACGGCACGATATCCGCCGCTGTACAGTACAAGAAACAACAGCAACACAGCATCAGAGGGCGGCCCCAAACAGTGCTGACGAACGCGTACGATACGTACTCTGAAGCTCGTCGTAACTGCCCTCGGCCCGTGTCTTCTCAATCATCAAAGGCGAAATGTCGACCTGTGGAAAATACCGTACAATGACGTTAGCTGCTTCAATCACTGCGTTGAAACCATCGATCTTTCCTCACCCCGGTGATATGCTTGACGTGCGGACGGAGGAGACGGCCACAGAGGCCGGTGCCGCAGCCGACATCCGCCACGACCCACTCCGGCTTTAGCGGCGAGCCTTTGGGGATAAATCCGGGAGGCGAACGCTTTTGCAAGGCTTCGACAAGCTGCCACGGCACACGGTACTCTAAGTGGGCCACCAGCTTCTCCTCAAAAGTATCCGCAAGCTCGTCGAAAACTTCAGCAACGTAGGCGGGAGCAGCGGTCTTGGTTGTGGTAGCCCCCTCAAGCGTTGCAAGTGAGTGCACCGCTCGAACGTGACTCTCACGGTTCTCGGCGAGGATTGAATGATACCCAGCTACCACGAGATCAGGTTCCTCCAGATAGTACACGGATCTGCAGCGATGAACAAAGGAAGCAAGTCAGACCTTAATGCTACTGTCATCACAACAGCAACAAAACATACTAAGTACATACATACCGGAGAACCGTATGCGCAACAGAGTCACTATCGTCAAGAGCCACAACACGCAGCATGCATGACACTGCAAAGTACGTCTCACCTACACACACAAAGAAAATAGGGCAAGTGAGTTTAGTTCCCCAAAATTCTTGCGAGTCCGTCGTAAGGCTTGGGAAATTGCACGAACCGATCATTTGCAGGATGGCAGCGAGATTGAAGCTGGACTTTGTGCACGTGGGGCAGCGCAGCAAGACGTTCACAAAGCTCGACGCAGCCGGGAGGAATTGCCCCGTTTCGAAAAGCTCCAGAGCCTTCTCACGCATCTTCACCAGCTCCAGGTTATCAACTGCCATGGGCGTAGGGATATCTGCGCCTGCGGAGGTAACTTCAACTTGCCACAGCGGCTGAAGTGCCTTCCATGCTGCTCCTGGGGACCCGCTGTCTTTCAAAAGCTCACCAAGAACTTCCCCTAGCGACAACACGCAATCAAAAATCGACAATTAAACAGACAATATAGAGACAATACCCAAGCCTTACATGATGATCCGCTCGAGGTCGTTGGAGCTGCCTCCTCTTCGTGAAGCTCGCGGAGCTCAGTCTGTTTATCAAACCACAGCAAGTCAGAACCCATCACACCATTTTAAAGGCCCAATTGCCTAATGCACCACCTCCAGCGCTTTAAGCGAGCCCTGCGTCAGCGCTTGTCCTTGCGCGTCCAGCAGCACGCACGCCGGTAGGTCCGTGACTTGGAAGTGCTTGCACAGCGACCGGAAGGTTCTGGCAGCGACATCAAACACACGCACACCCACACGCAATTAAACACGACAGTAAATACAATTGCAACTGCGCTGCGGCATCCGTACGATGGCTCGAGTCGCTGCGCTTTGGCGCCTCCGCCGCTGCTGCTGTCGCCGTCCTCGTCTCCGTCCTCGTGGCGACGAACTTCCAGCAGCCCGATGAGCTGGTGCTGCTGATTGAGCGCGTTGACGCCGCCCAGCAGTGCGCGCAGCCTCGTTAGCGCCAACGCGTCCACGGGCCGCGTCCAGGCGCTCGAGAAGTAGGCCAGCGTGTACAGCGCGGCGTCGTCGTCGTCGCCCAGCCAGCTCGCCATCACGTCGGATACCTGCACAGTCCAATTGTGATGCAACATGCGCGCATGAAGTGAGAGTGGTGTGTCCAAATCACCCTCTCTAAGTACGACTTACAAGCGTGTTACTGGCTGAAAATGCGAAAATGGCGCCTCTGGATTGGCGGAAAAGACGCGTCGATTCTCCTGGCGCGCGCTCTTTTGAGCCGCTCGATCTCCAGTCACCAGCAGGAGCTTCGAGCGCCCAGCTTCGCCTACCGCTGCCTGTTCCCCTCTCTGTGTCTCTACGCCCCTACGCCCGTCGCCATGGGGAGTGCACCGAGCAAGACCGAGCGCTCAGCCAGCAAGCGGTACCCCGTGCTGGCCACCAGCGCGGCTCCCGTACGTGCCGCGTAGCCCCGATGTTGAGACCTCTTGGCTCTGACGTTGCTTGTTCTACCGCGTTCTACCGCGTTCGTTCTACTGGCAGGAGGGAGACCTGCCCGTGTTCATGCAGCAGGTGGAGGAGATCGAGAAGGAGCGCGCCAAGCTGCCCAACCCGGGCCTGTACGAGAACGCGCCCAATGAGCTCAAGGGCCCCGTGAGCCCCGACGCCTTCGACGGCTTCCGCTTCGACTTCACGCGCATCCTGGGCGCGCGCTGCTCCACGTCGCACTCGTTCCTGCTGGGCACGCCCATGATCCCCGGCGGTCTGTACCAGTTCGGCGCCAACGTCGTGATGGGGGACCCCATGGACCCGTCCACCTTCCTCATGAGCAAGATCACACCCGACGGCTACCTGGACGCGCGGTGGAACCAGCGGCTCTCGGGCAACTGGAAGATGCGCGTCAAGTCGCAGCTCAAGAACGAGGAGCACGGCTCCCAGGCGCTCGCCGACTTCGACTACGTCGGCGAGGACTTCACCTGGAACATGAAGATCTCGAACGGCCCGCTGCTCGGCGTCAGCTACCTGCAGAGCGTCACGCAGAACCTGGCTCTTGGCGGCGAGGCCTACTACCACGGCAAGCACCGCAAGGTCATCTCGGCCTACGCCGGCAAGTGGAGCGAGCGCGACTGGGTGGGCATGGCCACCTACGGCGCCATGGGCACGTTCCAGCTCGCGTACCTGCGCAAGGTGGGCCACCGGATCCGCTACGGCTCCGAGCTCGTGTACAACCACGCCTCGGGTGAGGCGCAGACCACGTGCGGCGTGGAGATGGACCTGGGCCAGACACGGTTCGTGTCCAGCGTGGACTCGACGTTCCGCGTAGCGACGAGCATCGAGTCGCGTGTGCTGCCCAACTTCGCGCTCACGCTCTCTGCCGAGGGCTTCCCGCTCAAGGACGACTTCAAGTTTGGCTACGGCGCGCAGCTTTCATTCTAGATATAGAGTCGCAGCGCAGTGCAGCTCGAGTCGGAGGATAGCAAACAACCCACGCGCCCACCCAGCCAACTGAATAGCACGAGGCAAGGCAGGCGAGGGGCGAGTCAGGACACGCCGCGTGGATCACTCGCGCTGATCGCCCGGGTTTCGGCTCAGCTCCCGCGGCGCAGCTCTCCCGTCGACCCCGCGTTGTTAGTTCCGCGGCCTAGAGATCACAAGGAGCTCGGTTTCTGCAACTCTTCCAATTGACTGTTTTGTTTGCCTATTACGCGCTGGTGGTTGCTGCTGTTGCTGTTGCTGTTGTTGTCGCACATTACCAGGTTGTGGTCGCAAAACTTCAACTGAAGGACCAACGCTCTTGCGGCAGGCTCGCTCACTTTGCAAAAAGTGAAGCGAAGCGTGGAAGGAATACTCAACGATATGGAGACCAGCTCGCCTCTGGGCGTGGAAGAGTGGGCGTTCACGCAGTCTACCGTCGAAGGCGAGGAGGATCTGGACAGCCTGCAGCGTGTCTTGGCGATGGACAACAAGCGCTTGGAGACTCGCAACCAGCAGCTCGCAGCAGAAAACCAGCAGCTCAAGGAGGAGAACGACCGACTGAAGGAGAGCATGACAGCCAGGACCCTCGAGCTGGAGCAGCAGAGCCAGCAACTCATCAAGATGAAGAAGGACCGAACGGAGAAGCTGCTGGAGCTTGAGCTGGCGAACAAGGCGCAAGCTCAGATACTCAAAGAGTGCACGCGGCTGCACAAGATCTGTCTGCAACAGGCTGCCGCGTTGGTCGATGCTCGTCACAAAGTGCACCAACAAGAGGGAAAGCATTCTCGCCCAGCAGATAACAAGCCAGAGACGATGGAGCAGTGGCTCCGAAGTGGGCTCAAGAGCGACCGAAAACGCTGTCTGCAGGACATGGAGGAAGTGTCGTCTCGGAAGTCGAAGAAGAGGCTGAAGACGAGCTCGTTGCAAGTGGAGATAGGTCCGAAGGAAGGCCACGAAGCTACAACGAACCAGTTGAAGAAGGTGATCGAGACAAACAAGGATCAAGCGGACGCAAAAGCGCGTTTCAGCGAGGTTAAACCACTCGCCATCTCGTCTGGAGCGATGTGGAAAGAGTTCGAGTTGCTAGATGCACACTGCAGCCGTGCGTACAACTCGCTGCCTGAGCTCGACTGATGTGCGGAGTATCGCGAGCTGGCTTACTGAGTTACTACTGCACTTGGTTCCGAGCAGCACCACTTCTACAGGCACCTGCAGAGACCCAAGCTATAACGCTTTCAGCCCAAGATGAATATTCCAGCCAGCTAACAAACAGCAACAGGTTCTAGCTCATCCTGCAACTACTGTATGAACATTGTATTGTGAATCATGCTATTGACAAGCATACAAAACGTAAAGCTCGCGTGGTTTCAAGCTTTACCAGCTACTTTGCAAAGCGACTTCATTTTGGTTATTTTGTTGAAGCTTGTGACAGCCGCCCCCAACACACCAAGCTCACCAGGGCTCCAAAATCTTTGGTTCATTCGCCCTCACAGCTGCATTAGAAGGGCCAGTCACCAGCAGGCTTGTTGCCACCGCGGTATCCGCCGTTGGAGCCCGACGAGTACGAGTTGCCGCCGCCCTGCGAGAAGCCGCCTCCGTTGCCGCCCTCGACGTTCCTATATCGTTGCAACAGTCATTAGCACTCCAGTATGCACGTAGATTCACGTGGCCGGATGCTGCTCATATCTTACAGAGGTCCTTCCAGCACCGAGTGGAAGCCGAAGAGCCGAGGAAGAGAGTACGTCAGCAATTCCTACAGGGGACACGTGGGCGGTAGATGTTAGATGCAGCAGTCATACGATTCAGCGTTGTCCACTTACCCGGAAGACCCGAGCCTCGCCCACGTTCAGCGTAGCGACAGACTCGCCCTCGTGGTTGACCTTGATCAGCACCAAGGGGTTTCCGTCCGAGCCCGACGCGCGCGTGATATGCAGCGTCTTGGAGTTCTTGTCCTCCTCCGACGCGTTCATGTTGGGCGAGTGCGTGAACGACAGCTCCGGGATCCGCGAGTCCAGCAGCTCGAGCACCAGTCCCACCTCCGTCGGGCTCAGCGAGAAGAACTGCAAGCACACGAGAGCCGTCAGCCCATCACTGCTCCACACCATAAGAGTCCATCGAAGCAGTAGCTCACCGTCTTATTCTGGTAGTTGTAGCCCGAGTTGGTGGCCTTGGCCCACGACAGCATGATGGCGCCCTGATGCACACACCCACGAGCTCATTTAGCAACACAACTCCTCACTATTAGCTGATAAGAGCCCATTAATTCGTCGCTCTGCTCACCACACGCTTCATCTTCATGTAGCTGCCCGCGCTGGTGTACTGCGGGGCGCTGGGGGCCACCTGGAAGGCCGAGTCGCTTCCGTACACCGAGAAGTTGGGGAACACGCGCTCCGTGGCTGAATTGCAGCGAGTAGAGCACGGGATGAGACGCGAGCAGCAGGCAGCAACAGCTCAAGATACGCAACTACACGTACAGTACAGCGCGGAGCTGCGAGGTGCCGCGCGCAGCCCGTGGCTCGCCGTCTTCCGGAGCGTCTGCAGCAGCGCCATCTTGGTCTTGAGCTTGTCGAGCCAATCTTCAGTTCGCGCTAAGTACGTCGAAAATGTAGCCATCTGCAATCTCGACACGAAACGACGCGAGCGATCGTCTGCCCCATTGCTCGGGCAATTGAGCAGCGCAGTGCCTGCTTGTGTGCTAGCGTCTATCGTGGTGGCAGTGCCACGGGGCTACAGAGTTGTTGAGCATGTTTCTGTGTTGCGCGGCTGGACCCGTGGTCAAGACCTTCGAGGTCACCTCGGAGGCCATCACGCACCAGCGCACGCTCAGCTCTCTCAATGCCGACGTGACGTGCGTCCGGTACAACCACAACGGCAGAATATTGGCGAGCAGCAGCGCGGAAGGCGGGATCTGTCTGGACGTCGCGTCCTCGGGCGAGCTGCTGTCGAGGTTCTTCTATCCAGGTGAAACACCCGCGAACCGAGTACGTCAGCTCGCTGGACGAGAGTATCGTGTGAAGCGCATTTGTCTAATGGGTTTGAGGAATTGCAGCGAGTAAATGCAGTGCAGTTCAGCAGCGGCTCAAGGTTTCTTGCGTCCGGTGGCAGCGATGGCTTTATACGAGTGAGTGTTGTGTGTTATTTCATCGCGACGAGCAATGCTCACTCACATGGCGCCGATTGCAGCTATGGGACCTCAAGACGCAGGAAGTCATGCAGACGTACAATATCAGCGCGAGTGCTGTCACGTCCGTAGCATTTAGCGGCTACAAGGACGAATACATCGTTGGAGGCAGCGCAAGGTACGACTGCCATCTCCATGTACATCGACAATTTGTATCTAAACCTGGTCGTGGATGCTCTGCAGTGGGGCAATTTCTGTATGCGATGTCCAAACAGCGGAGACAGCGGGATTTCTTACAGTGGATCCAGCTCACGGGGTACGCCTGATGCTCCGTCACAATGCTTTTGACTGCTGGTTTAACCATTTTCACGTCAACGATTAGGTGCACAAAGTTATGGCGATTCAGGCGTCTCCGCATCCGTACGCTCGTCACGCTCTTGGCTCTACGTACTCGGACGGTTCCGTGCGTGTTTGGGACTTGAGTACGGGCCAAATGACCGCGGAGTTTGTACGACAGCACGAGGCGCCTTCAACCGCGTTAACGCTCTCGCCCGTAAGCAAAGTCTTGCTCGCGACAGGAGGCCTCGACGGCCGAGTGATTTTCTACGATACCCTTCAGCGGAAGTATGTCACCTTAGTCGATGTTGTCGTGTACGCCATGATACGCTAACTCGCGTTCCTTCGTTATGATAGGGAGCTGCGATCGTTAGACTTGGAGCAACCTGTGTCGTCGTTGGCGCTGTGTGCTGATGGGAAAACGCTTGCCATGGGGACCACAACGGGCGAGATTCTTGTGTACGACCTTCGAGGAGCGATCACGCCGCTCTTCTCCACGCTCGTGCACGAAACCTCAGCAGTGCAATCGCTGCAGTTTTCACCGCCGATTCCCGATAGCGCTACCACGGGAATGATTCCGGAAGGGTTACCCGTGGTGTCGGCTGAGCATGTATCGCCCTGCAAAGGAGCGACACTGCAAGAGATCGCACTGCGAAAGCTCGAAACGCTAGGCATGGGAAGCCCAACAAGGAAGCCCCAGGACCTGAACTCCGAGGCCAGATCATCACCGCCAGCGTCCCCCACTCGGTGTGCCACTCGATCGGGTGTGTACCGCAATGTCAATCCTTCGTGGCATGTTCCAACTTTCTGACACTTCTTTGACTTGAATTGAGCAGCGGAACCTCCTGAACCTGCATCACCACCGAGTCACTTAAACGGCTTCACAAAGCAGCCTTCTAGCCGGCCATTCGTCAACCCCCTTAGTCCCCAGCGCTCGGACTTTGGGTCAGTTGCACAACCCGCAGACGAGAGGCGACAATCCGAGCCGTCCCCGGTATCATTCCTGTCCACTTTATCACGAAACCCGTCGAACGAGACGAACAGCAGCAGCTTTTATCCTGGAAACTCTCCGCCAAGGCAAGCAGATTTCGGGAGCACTACCATACGCGCCGAGATCCAGCGTTTAGGGGAGGAAATGGAGTTGCGGCGTCAGGAGGAGGTCGACCAGCTTTCCAGCTTGCTTGAGACTTTGATGGATCGCTTCAACGCTGTGGTGGAGGAAAACCGGTCGTTGCGTCAGGAAAACGAATGGTTGAAGTCGCACGTGCCCGCATCCTAGCCTCACCTTGGGCTGACTGGCTAGGTGAAATTGAGATATTAGCGATAAAATCTAATCTATATCGCCTTGTGCTTCCACTGCGCGTCTGCGAATCGCACGTAGCCTCCTTGAGCAATAGCGATGCGGTCGTGGAACGGGTCGGCAGCGATGCACGTGGCAGCATCACTGATGTAACCTCGGCTGATTGCGGCGCCGTCACTTGTTCTGTACAGCGAGAGATCCTGCCCGCGAGCTGCGACGACGCCGTGCCCGCCACACACGAAAACGGGGTGGAAAATCGCTTTGCTGTCCCTGGATTGAGGCGATTTGCGAAAGGTGCAGACAGGAGCGGACGCCTTGCGCAAGTCGAACATGAAGAAGTCTGGGTCGAAGCCTGCTGACAACAGCAAGTTGTCATCCGTCGGGTGGAATTGGACGCTGTTGATCGCGCGAGACTGAGCGCCGTCAATCCGGATGACATTGGGATCCGTGGAGACGCGCACATCGAACACGCGCACCGACCTATCGTTTCCACCCGACGCAAACACATAAGGGTTCACGTTAGCAAACCTCGCACATTTCACGACGCCCTCGTGACCCTCAAAGCGCCGCACCACCTCCAGCGGGCTACTGTCGCCGCGAAACTTCGACAGAGCGACGGTGGCGTCTTTCGAGCACGTCAAGACCGAGTCGCCACTGACGTCCATACCAAAGATTCCCTTCTGGTGCAGGTTCGTGCAGGCGAATACTTCCTTCGGGGTACGCAGCATATCCGAGCTCTTGTTCAAGTCCCATAGCTTGACAGATCCATCGTTCGACGCCGTCAAAAGCACATTCGCTCTGCCTTGCTCACTTTTCGCCAGACTGACCGCAGCTACCCACCCACTATGGGCTTTAAAGGACATGAGCGGAATGTGCGCACCAGGGTCATCGACAAACCCGTCGACGATCTCCGGTTGATGGTACGAGTTGGAGAACGGGAAGATGGACACATGACCGCCATGGCCACCGGCTGCGACAAGTCCGTGCTCCTTGAACGGAGTAAAGGAGATAGCGTACGCCTTCTTGAGGCTGTCATCGAGCAAATAGGACCTTGGGTCCACTTGGAAGCCCACGAGTTCCTGGCCCGGACTGTTCATCGTCGATAAAGGGGGCGCCTTCCTGGCGTCTGTGTTCCCATTGACAGAGTAGCGAAGGACATTGGACTCGGCGAATGAAGCCTCCACCTCGAACGGATCAGGTCCAGCAGACTCGTCACCGTCGTCCTCTTCGATCGCCCTCGGTGGCGGCGCTGACCCTGGCGCAGTCTCTCCACGTAGCCGCCTGGACCTCCGCACAGGTTGCACCTCCTGCAGCTGCCTCTTCGGTCTCTTCACTGGGGCTTCTCTCGGCTGTTGATTGCTCTGCAGTTGACGCGTCATGTTCAATTGGGCGGCGGACATCCCCAACTGCTCCAGGAACTTGGCGTTGGCCGCCATCTTCGCCTGCCGCTTTTGTTCGTACTCCGAGAGCTCAACGGGTTGGCCGACTGCATACACCGACTCAGTTGGCGGTGGAGGGTCTTGGCTTGTAGATTTGCGCTTGGTTCTGCTTTGCACTGCCTGCCGCTTCGCGCGAGGCTCAGAAATGCCAGTTGTCGCGGACTTTCCGGTGGAATCGTCGGGCTTGATCGTGTGGTTGACGTCGTCTTTGGAGGGAGGAGGTGGCGCTGGAGCCACATGCGAGTCCTCCTCCGCTGTCAAGTCGACTACAGCATCCCCGCGTTTGCGTTTGTCCTTGCGCACAGGCCGGAAGAACTCCATGATGCTCTGCATGATCGGCGCCTGTCAAAAATAAAAAATGGCGCCAAAGTGAAAAAAAATGGGGGGGGGGGGGGGGGGTAAACAATGGGGGCATGCCCCATTTTGACTGAAAATCCGCCCCTAGTCATGTGGATGAGCCGCGAGCCGAAAAGTGAAATCGGGACCTGGTCGTTCACCAGAAAGTTAGATATCCAACGGTTAGACCAGCCTTTGTTTAGAGCAGCATAGTGACCCGTACCTGAATGCTTGAGCGACGTCAGCGTCGTGTAGACCACCCTGAGCAAAATTCTGCTGAAAACTACTTCCCAGCACAAAGGCGACGAGGTGGATGGCGGAGAGGCCCATTCTGCGAATAAGCACGACGCACAAGACACAGAAGGAGAGTATCTTGAGCAGACAGTAGAGCATCACGTTGAGGACGATGTCGTGCAGGTTCTCCGACGTCATGGACTCGAACTGGTTGTAATATTCCCGATGTCCAATGTTGTACGCGATCACAGCGATGGCGCCTGCGACTCGACAAATTTGTTTGTGAAAGTCAGCAAAGTCACACAAAAATGATCTGCCAACTAACGATATTTGAACGCACTGTAGATTGCGGGCACGATCGCTTCGACGTACTTGACGAGCAGCACAAACTCAGCCGTGTAGAGAAATCGAGCTGATTTTCTTGCAAAGCGTTTCTGATCCTTGGTCGACACAAACGATTGAGTTACCACAGATGTAAGGTTGTGAGCTTGAACGTTGTCGACGTTTAGTTGGTTCTCAACAACTGCGTTGCCACGTATATCATTTTGTTTCGAAGCCCGAGGGGATCCGCCACTCGTTGCGGGATGTATCCGTGCCGTTCGTAATAGCGAGCTGTTACCTTGTGGCTCAGATATCGCTACACTCGGCCGAGACGCCACTTTCACGATAGGAATGGGGCCGTGGGTACTGAGAAGCAACATTCGAAAGCTGCTGGTGTTTGTTCCATTGATTTAGTTTCTTTCAAAACCTCATCTACATCCTAAACGCATGATCGATCCCGACATGGTGCGAATCTATTTGCTTTTCTAGCAGCCGAAGAAGCGCACGACCTGCACCGACTGGTCGGTCTTGCCCTTCGACAGGTACGCCACGCTGCCGTCCGGGAAGGACTTGAGGGCCTGGTAGCGGTTGCCCACCACCGACTTGTCAACCGTGACCTTCTGGCTCAGAGCCTTGCCCGTGGCACGGTCAAGCACCTGAGCGAAGATCGTGCAGTCACCGCCCTCCTGGAGGTCGCCGCCAGCCGAGCTGCCCTCCCACATAGCGAGCATGCCGTTCTTGCCCATAGCAGCAAGGTGAGGAGCACGCTCGTTGCGGCTCGTGCCACCGAGGACAATGTCCTGGCTGGCCTTCGACTTGAGGTCGTGGTGGAGCAGGTGCACCTTGGCGTTGTCGCCGTTGCCGTTGCTCACAGTAGACCAGTACTTGCCGCTCGAGGCGACACGATGTCGCCGAGGTTGGAGGCAGCGAGGTCCACGGGGTAGATGGTCGCGTCCCAGTTGTTCGGCGGGATGAGGCGGTTGTTGCTGTCCGTCTTACAGATCGACGCGAAGCTGTGAGTGCGGTTGTCGTACGTAATACGCTCGTAGCCCGAGTGCGGCGGTTCGGGCCCCACCAGAGAGAATGATCCGATTGATGCCTCTCATCATCTTGCTCACATCCGATATGGCCACCACCGATTGAAGAATATCAATTGCTACCGCGGTAAATGTTGTCGAGAGTTTTGCCGAGTTCTCCAACGCGACAGACATGTACAGCGAGCTGCAGACTTCAATGTTGAAAGGATCTTTATCAAAAGGGGCCACAAATCCATCAGCAAATGGCCCCAAATTTTGGGGCCACAAACCTGTCAAAGAGTTGGACTTAGCGCAGTACCGTAAGAAGTACCGTCGATAGCCAATTGATGTCCAGGCGGCAGTGATCTTCCGCTTATTAGCTTTATGAAGCTCCTTCATGTAAGCATTCCTCGGATCCATTTCTAACTTGCAGTATTATAATAAGTTTGTTTTATAGCTAAAACGCGCAATAAGTGACGCAAAGGTATCGAAGAGAGGACGCTGTTGAGCAGAATAAATCTCGCGGGGTTACATAACGTTTTAAATCGCGACAAATTCTAAATACCGCGTCTCGATCTACAACTTGGCAGCGCCTATGTTAATCTTGAAAAGCAATTAGGACGGCACACAAGCAGCGCTAGTTTATTTTTTGCTGATCGCGAAGGCATGAGTATGCAACCAACTGGGTGTTGTCCTGTGGCGAACGTTCCACACCGGTAATCCAAGCCATTCTTCGGAGGCTGCACAAGTTTCGGCACGCTTAAGTCGTTTCGGATGCATTGCTGGTTTGCCATAGCTTACTTTTAATAATTAATTTACAATATGCATGCTCAACGTACCCCATATGCTGACCAAGGCCTCGAATCTAGCAAACTCGATGGCGATCCAATGGATCGTGATATTTCTTTGAGGTCGTACGAAGTCCTGTGAGTAAGTACGTAATGGACTACTAGTCAATTGGTTTGATACATGTACGTATCTGCGGCAGCTCTGTAATGAAACCGCAAAACGTGCCTAGCTTAGACTTCGTTGCGACGCGTTCCGCTACTTGAGTTGCGTTGCAGTTTGACACTTGTGCTGCAACGTACCGGTCGCCTGGGCAGCAATTGGCTAACGACGGTACTTCTTACGGTACTGCGCTAAGTCCAACTCTTTGACAGGTTTGTTAAAGTGCTGATGATTTGTGGCCCCTTTTGATAAAGATCCACGTTGAAAATCACGATCCCAGCCTTCACATCGAAATCGTCACCAACCAGCCAGCTGATATCGTTTCGACCCAGGATCTTCACCAGGGGGAAAACGCTAATGTAGACCACTTGCCAGAGCGACCCAAGTCGGTGGAAACCAAACACGTAGATGGGGTAGATTATCACCGACAGAGCAAGCCATATTAACATCAACCAACAGCAAATAAACCGCCGGAAGAGCGCTTGATCGTGCCGAAGTCGAGTAACGTAGATGGCTACAGTCGGTGGAACGATGGCAGCAAACCAGCCTGGTATACTGACGAGCAGCGTGAAAGGACCGGGGAAGCCGATCAAAAGGGAAACCGCGAAAGCGGTGCCACCTGAAGTGATTCCTCCCAGAATGCTAAGCACCATCGCAGCATATTCAACTCAGGGAGGAACGACTGGAAGATCGACAGGCCACCGGGAGTCAACACGACCAAGGTCACGACGTAGCGAAGCCGAAACGCGTAGTTTGCTAGTGTACCTTCTTCCGGCGGGGCCAACGGAACAGCCTCCAAGCAACCAGGCCTCGGAAAAAATAATTATTCCATTGCACTTACTGGATTTGTGTACGGAAATATGTATTATTGGTTGCCGGTCGTATTGAAATTACTATTATTGAAGCCCAATTTTCAGTAAAATGTTTAACTATACAAAAACCAAGTTTAACGTGAATATCCAAATAAAAGTAATTGAAATAAATACATATTATCCTGGGAGGACAGCTAGAAGAGCTGTATGGACAGCCTCACACAGACAGATTAATTCGTCGAAAAACAGTTGCTTGTACCTCAGGCAACATTTAAACAACATTTCGCCACACCATACTCACACAATCGTACACCATACCTACACAAATATAGCCATATTGACATCCCGACCGGTATTGTAAATTCTGGCCAATATTGCCGATTCGGGTCGGTTTACCATATGGGTTGAAATCGCTGAATACAAATTTCAAGTCTTTTGGAATCGACCGAGACGGCCTGAGCGACTTCTTATTTCGTACTTTACTGCGTACATAGTAAACTCAAGTCAAATCAAAATCTCGGGCGGTTTGCTGGCGATTTGGCTCGGTCGATTCAATCAATCGACTTCGGAAAGTTCGACTAGAACGCGCAATACCACACAAAATGAAATGAGGACAGCGTTAGCGACAAGAGAATGCAGGATGACCAATCAGCCTACAACTACACTGTATTCCGTATATGTAGTTCCTAGTTACTGACGGATAACTGAGGACGTCTTACGTCCACGCAGGCCAACAAATTAAACCTGTCCGCCTGGATCTCAGGCAGCCTCGCTGGCATATAAAAATGGTGGTCGGCGCTGCAAACGCTTACGTCCTTAGCTCTTGGGCAGTAGATAGTTGGCTCCATATAAAAAAGGAAAATTCCGGAGTATGACTCAAAATGAAATTTTGTGCAAAAGGTGATACAAGGCTTTGTGCCAAGTGCATTTGGCCACCGATAGCGGCCAGCATCTGACTGCCATGCACGTCGCTGAATGCACCAATTGTGTCAGTATAGCACTGGGTAAACGAGAAGGCGATGCCGGTGTAGGCATCGCCCTCTGCCTAATAGTTGTTCTGGTGGAGTATGGTCGCCTTCTGTGTCGCTTAAGCGACACTGCCCACGCTGCATAAAGCATGCTTGGATGCCTTACTCCCCATGCCGCCGCTGGAGGCAACAATGTCGTGGCCCAGTGCCCTAGCAAATGCTGCTGAACCTGAAATATGTGCTCTCGACACGAATCCTTCTATCACCTTTTGCACAAATTTTAATATTGAGTCGAAATTTCAGGCGCTGCAAATGAGAGGCGAAGCCCCTCATTTGCTACTTGCATGTGAACATAGTACGTAACCACTGTTTGGTACTGCTAGCGCATGTATTGATGGTTGTTGTTTTGGATTTGGCTTAGCTTTGTAGTGGCGCCAAAACACTCGACCACTCAGTAAGCGAAGTATTAGCAGAACACTTGGCTACTCCGTAGCCAAACAAGACATCTATTAGTTTCTTCAAAGTGTTCCAGTATGGAAGATATAGTTGTACTCGAGTTGGTAAAATCGAGCTAAGGTTAGATACAACCGAGCAGACTTTTTGGAATTTAAAGTAGTCCTCCCAGCCTAACGCAACGCACCCTTGTTGTGCTTTGCAATGATTTTGGCAATATGAGGCGAGATTTGCTGTATTTATAGCGACCACCTGCTAGATTTACGATAAATCGAGGTGCATAAATGGGTGGAGGCCTAGAATTACGCTAAAAGCGCCACAATTGCACTTTTGAAAGTGCAATTGTGGCTGTGCAGCTGCAATTCTGTCCGTGTTTATCCACAAGCACCAACACACACGGCAATTATGCATAAGAGGGTGGATGTGCTGGGGATCAAGGACGGTGGTGTACTGGGCCAATGCATGGCTGCTGACAGGTCCCAAGTCGATATATATATGAGGAGGTGGATTTATGCATAATTTTAGCAGGTCGTGTATCTTCTTTCACACATATTTAGGAGCAGGCTTTGCCATATTTAGTGTCTAAAATGGTCGGCAAAATAACTGCAAAGCACAATATTGGTGAATGATATATTGAAATGATTATTATGGAGACCGAACTTTTGCAATTCAATATGATACTGTATTTTCCGAGGTCTGCAAGCAACCAGCACGATCACGCACGGAAGCGGTAAGGCGAGACAGACCAGAACCGACTTGGTGAGACTTGCTCGATCTAGGAACGGACGTAACTTGTTCATGTGGTCGGCGCTGATTCGTCCGTGAAGCTCCACTTGTGCCAGCTCCCACACGAACACCACCAAGTAGAGACATCTCCGTACCCCATACAGCATTCCCTTGCCACAGTGCACTGCAGTTCTATGTCTGAGCCCGGCCGGTGTTGTCGCGCCTATGAGAGAATGAGTTGATTGAGTGATCACGCTCTTGGCTATTCCGGTCTTACCTTTATTTTCGTCAGCATGGACGAGGGTCGGTCCATACCTATATTTGTGCATCCAGCCTCCAACTTCGAGAGGGCAGCGAGCACTTGTATGTCAATATGTCCAAAACGATAGCATCGCTGAAGAAAACTACAAGCCAGCTCTATGAGGCTAATGTTTCGCTAAGTCGCGCGGATGCAAGGGAGCGACGTTGAATCTACGACAAGAGTGTAAGTAGAAGTATGCTTGCATCTTCATCATAACCATCGACATCGCTGTCAAGCCACCGCTCCGAATGGTACGTTATCATTTTTTGCTCACAACTTTTTAAACTTGTGAGTTTCGACAATTAAAATCATCTGATTGGCTAAAACTAACTGTAAAAAGCCTCATTTGCCAGCTCACTTTCACTTTACAGATCTCTTCGCCAGAAGCTCAGGGCTGCACGACGGAGATGGCGGAGAACCCGCTCCCGATGGTGCTGAGCGCCGTCCAGGCGCTCTACGGCATGGTGCGTGCATTTGCAATGCCAACCGCGCAACCGCCGCCTCTCAACGACTCTCCTTTTCCTCCGTTATGCAGCTGTGAACTAATTGTCACTCTCGTGTGTATTTCCGCACAGGAAGGAGCAGCGCGACAGCGAGAAGCCAACGAGTTCCTCAACAGCTTCGCGGCCTCGGAGGCGGCCTGGGGCGTCGCCTTCCAGCTGCTGGAGGACGAGTCGCTGGCGCTGCCGCCCGAGGCGCTCTTCTTCGCGGCCAACATGCTGCACACCAAGGTGCGCAAGGAGTGGGTACGGCTGTCGGCAGAGCAGAAGGCGGCCATGACGGCGTCGCTGCAGAGAATCATGCAGGTGCTGCGCGCCGGGACCAGGCTCGGTTTCCACCAGGGCCCGCTGGCCAGCAAGCTCTGCGCCATCTACGCGGTGGCCATGGTCTCGGCCCCGAACGACTGCAAGGCTCTGTTGTCGCAGCTGCTGGCGAGCTGCTCGGCTACGGGGGACGCAGGGGAGATCGCGTTCTTGCTGGCCATCTCGCGCTGCGTCTGCGAGGAGATGGAGAACGCCGAGCTGGCTTTCGCTGCGAAGGACGCAATGGAGCTGAACCTCGCAATCTTGAGTGAAGACTTGGTGGCGCTGATCGGGAAGATTATTCTCACACGCGAAGATCAGGACGCTCGAGTGGCAGCGCTCCATGGTGAGGCGCTCGGGTGCTTAAAGGTGTGGGTCAAGCGCGCGGGACTCTCGTTGGCGACCCTGTACTCCAAGGACGAGGCTGTGCTGATGGCTCTATTGGAGGCACTTCAGAGCAAGTCGAGGCATCTGCAGATCTGTGCAGAGATCCTGTCGAAGCTTACCACGGTCGCGTCATACCCGACGCCGGCTCAGCTGGAGAAGACCGTGCTGGTTGTGGCACAAGGACTGCTGAAGACCCGAGCGGCCTGTGAAAGTGCGCGTGCTGCAGAGGAAGACGAAGTGAGCCACGCGCTCACAGATGTGATCTCTACGTTTTGTGAAACGTACGCTGATTGGATTTTAGAGGGCGAGCACCCCCAGGAAGCTGCCGCTCTCGGTGAATTTATGCTGTATCTTGGCTCCCATCCGCGCCGACAGATCGCGTCGCTCACGCTGGAGTTTTGGCTGGTCGTGCAGGACGAGCCTGTGGCGTCACGACTGCGCTTTTATCAGCACGATGCCTTCATGCAACTTTTTGACGTTTTGCTCAAGCAGTGTGCCTTTCCTGCTGGAAACGCTGACGAGATGGACGAGCTGGAACGAGATGACCTCTTGGCTTTCCGTAGCGGCTTCCAGGGTGTATCAGATTCGTTCCTAGCCATTTTCGCGCTGCTTAAGGAGCGGTTCCTTGCTCACTTGCTGCCGATTCTGACGTCAGCAGCGTCGAGCGACTGGCAGAATGCCGAGGTTGCTCTGCTCGCCGTCTCCATCGTAGCAGACGATATCAAGAAAAAACTCCCGAAGGCTGCAGCAACTACCGCGCAGCAAGCAGAATTGGAGACGATGATGTCGCAAATTTTCCAGGCGGTACTAGGCTCGACGGCTAGTGCACACCCTTTGGTAATTACGACAGCCTCACGACTGCTGGGCCAGTTTAGTGGATGGATCAACGATAGAGCACTAGCGGCTCGTGCATTTGAGACAGTCAGCGCTGTGCTCCAGTATCTGACGGGAGCGCTTGGACTCGCCGCTAGCCGCGCAAATGCCGCTAGGAGTTTTATGCAACTTGCAACAAGCTGTACGGGATGCCTAGCCGAGATGCAACCCAGCGTCCTGGTGGCTAGTGTGCAGCATTTTGGAGGTGCGGCTGGACAAGAGCCCATGCCGATTGAGGATCGGTTGCTGGTCGTGGAGGGTCTCGTACGTGGCGCTGCCGTCTCGCCTCACTGCTCGCTAATCTTGCAGACCGTGCTGAGTGATTCACTGACTCGTCTGGACCAAGTGCTGGCGGCTACGGGCACTGATGACTCGGCTGTGGCTGTCCCGGTGTGCAGCGAGCTTCAAGTGCTCGGCAAGGTTATGCGGTTCTTGGACGCGCCTGAAGACGTAGCAGGAGGCAAGGCTGTCACGACGTGGGCTGTTCAACTGATCTGGCCTCACTTGGATCCGATCACACCCCGCTTTGAGGCTGATGAGGCTGCGATGACAGCCTTGTTCGAGCTATATGGGTGGTGTCTGCAGAGTTTGCGGCAGGAGATGGCGCCGCAGCTTGGGAACATCGCGACTTTGATTGTGAAAGTTTTCGAGGAGAGACGCTACGTGGCTCCACTCGAATGTGCGTCTGTGGCAGTCGATGTCTTTGGGAAGGATGCCAGCGCAGAGATTGTTGAGAGCTTCCGAGGACTTATGGGCGCGCTGAGCCAGTCAGCGTTCCAGTTCTTCACGACTCACTCGCTGGCAGAGTCGCCGGAGGTTTTGCGTTCGTTCTTTGAGCTGGCCTACCGGTTTTTGCTGTTCTGCCCCGCTGCGGTTCTCACTGCGGCCGAGTTCCCCGTGCTGATCGAGCTGAGTCTGGCTTGTCTTGGCAACCAGGACCGACCATCCACGAACGCGGTCATCATGTTCCTCACTTATTTACTCAACGAGAGCACGTTCAAGTTGGCAGTGTTCACAGCCGTTATCAACGCCAGTGTGCTGGACGCTGGCCAGACCGAAAAGTGGCTCGACAGTCTCGTGGGTGCGCTAGCCTCAAAGAGTCCGAGCGGGTTGTTCGAGTCGTTGGGCAAGCTGTTGTACGCGCTGCTGACCAGCTTCGCGGATAACGAGCGTGTTAGGGCTTCGCTTATGCAGTCGTTGAGCCGCGATGAGCTGGGTGTGACAGAACTTCGGCCTGAAGATCGGCAGCAAGTGCTGCACTTGTGGCTGTCGCTCGCGGCCCAGCCTTCAGAGTACTCCAAGCGGCGCTTCCGCAACTTGTGCAAGGATTTCGCGAAGGTGTGCCGCAAGGAGACGACGGCCGATAATCTTCACTCGATGGAGCCGCCCATTTGAGCAGCTTGTTAGAATTGAGGGGAGACGTTGGCGATGCCGTGATAGAAATCATCAGCAACTGGGGTCGGTCGGGAATGAATATCATGAAAAGTTTTAGTGCATGTATGTATTGGCTTCATTTTGAGCCTGCCACGACCACTGACCACTGGTTCTAGCATCTATGCAGTGCTTTCACGTTGAAAGCAGCAGCGTCGACCGCATTCTTAAGCAAGTTCTCCGACCTGCCACCCCAGCAACCACAGGTTAGATCGCGAGAAAATGTTTGCCAGTTTGCAGAGCGACGTACGATCGGGTACTTCTCGTAGTAGAACTCCTTGGTCTCGTCCAGCTCCTTCAGCTTCTTGTCGTCGAAGTCCGCGGTATCGTCGCTGATATCCTACTCACCACCACCGACACGAAAAAAAATCGTCACAAGGGCAAAGCCAAAGATCCTCCACACACATATCCCAGCTTCTCGTACCTCCTTCTTAAGCGAACCCAGAGCCAGCGCACGCGTGCAGGCCTGCAGTAACAGCAGATACACAGCACAAACCAGTCCACAGACGCGTGTCAACTATCCACTAAACCCAGTCAATCAGACAAATCAGTCCTGTGGCCACCGTACCGTTCCGGCGAACTGGTTGTACGACTTGCCCTTGGCGTAGAACTTGGCGCCCGACGTCACGTCCAGCACCTGCAGCAGCAAACACCCAGCCAGCAGCACCCTGTTAATGATACCGACCGCTCCTCCGCGCATCCTGCAGCCTCCGACGCCTCGTACCTTGCCGCCGACCGCCAGCAGGATGGGCTTCTCCTCGTCCGAGCCGTCGTACCTGCAACAGCAGCAGCACCACCACCACAGTTAGTACAATGAATGCAACCAATACGACACTAGCTCTATTTACGCACATGCGCAGCTGGTCCAGCGTGTACTTGGGCAGCCCCTCGGCCTCCGCCGCCGCCTCCTTCTCGGCGCCCTTGCCCGTGAGCAGCATGGAGAAGGGGTACGGGCAGCTGTAGCCGCTGGCGACGAGCTGCTGCTCGATCTGCGGCCAGGCCAGCGCCACGAGCGCCACCACGAGCGCCACGCCGAAGATGAAGAAGCGTCCCAGCCCCGCCATTGTCGAGTTCCTTCCGATGGTCTGGCGGCTTGTGCTCGAAAATCGCAATGTGAGACTCATACATCCACGCGACGCTACAACCCAGCTTCTACATCAAATAGTGTGCGCCACACCATGCCATGTACCAGCTCAACGGTACACTTGTGTGTCGTGTCAACAAAGCCCCGCCTGGTTCAACGTCAGCTCTGCTCTTGGCTCACTTCCGAATTTGCCGAGTCGATAGCAAGCCCGCAGCCCTTTTTGACCTCCTGCCAGCCATGCGCGTGGACGTGGACCGCATCCTGAAGAGCCCCGAGGCCACGTACACGGCCAGCTACAACCAGCGCGACCTGCTGCTGTACGCCGTGGGCATCGGCGAGTCGGCGCTGCAGTTCACGTACGAGTTCGACGAGCGCTTCTCGGCCTTCCCGCTCTACCCCGTGTGCCTGCCCTTCAAGGGCCAGTCGCAGGACGTGGTGCCCTTCCCGCCCGAGACCATCTCGGCCGCGCCCGACGGCATGCCCAGCTTCAACCCGGCCATGATCCTGCACGGCGAGCAGTCGGTGGAGATCCTGCGGCCGCTGGACCCCGCGGGCGGCACCCTCACGGGCAAGACCAAGGTCATCTCGTTCTACGACAAGGGCAAGGGCACGCTCATGGAGACGCAGACGCAGTTCGAGGACGCCAACGGACCCGTAGCCAGGCTCGTCAGCGGCTCCTTCATCCGCGGGCTCACGGGCTACGAGGGCAAGGGACGCAAGCTGCCGGCGCGCGTGCAGATCCCCAAGCGCCAGCCCGACTTCTTCGACGAGTTCAAGACCTCGCCGCACCAGGCTCAAGTGTACCGGCTGTCGGGGTGAGTTCATACGAGCAGTGTGTTTGACGTTGAGCTGGGCTAGTTACTGACTGGGTGTGTTGTCTGTTCCCTTGCTGCTGTTGCCGCCCCCGCAGTGACTACAACTTGCTGCACATTGACCCGGAGGTCGCCAAGAGCGTGGGCTTTAAGCAGCCGATCCTGCACGGCCTCTGCTCCATGGGCGTGGCCAGCCGCGCGCTGTACAAGCAGTTCTGCGGCGGCGACGCGGCGCGCTTCAAGTCCATCCGCGTGCGCTTCTCGAGCCCGTGCTTCCCGGGCGAGACCATCCAGACCCGCATGTGGCAGGAGGGCAATGGCAAGGTGCTGTTCCAGGCCGTGGTCAAGGAGCGCGGCGTCGTGATCGTCGACGGCGGCGAGTTCGTGTACGCCCACGACGCGGCCTCGCGCCTGTAGGCTGCCGGCCTGGCTGTGGCTGGCAGTGCCCCAATGGAGGGCAGCAGAATCGAGCTCAGAGGATCCGTTTAATGAATGTACGACGTCAACACGTTGAAGTGCGTTGCTTGAAGTCGATGACGTCGAGTTTGTGATTGACCAAATCGGTTATATCAGGATATATATTCCTAGATTTACTATTCCTACACAAAACCTTAACTTTGTTCCGGTGTCGCAGGGATCCATTCTAACAGGTTCTTGCCAGCCGCACAAAATAGCAGCTGAGCTTCACTTTTTGTATCAAACGGCCAACGCCGGCATGAGCTCCTCGCCTGCGCGCCGGTCCTCGCTGTCGCTGTCGCCATGGACCAAGTCGGTGGCCGCCGGGTCCGTCTCGGGCATGGCGAGCGTGGTGGCGTGCCACCCTTTTGACACCATCCGCACGCGCCTGCAGCTGTCGCCCGCGCGCTTCTGCGGGTTCTTCCACTGCGCGCAGCAGACCGTCCAGCAGGAGTCAATGCGCGGCCTGTATAAGGGCTTCCTGCCGCCCTTCTTCAGCCAGGGGGTGTACAAGGCCGTCATCTTCACCACGTCCTCCACGCTGCGCAACGACGTGCTGCCCCACGTGCCGCTACTGCAGCTGGTGCTCACGCCGACGGTAGTGTCGCTGACGGCGGGGGCGGTGGCGGGCGGCGTCAACGCCTTCCTCGTGGCGCCCGTGGAGCTCGTGCGCAACCGCCTGCAGGTCCAGTACGACAACCAGCCAGCGTCGCGGAGGTACCGAGGGGCGTATCACTGCGTCACGCAAGTTGTGCGCAACGAGGGCATCGCGGCCATGTGGAAGGGGCTCACCACTACCGTCATCCGAGACTCGCTGGGCGTGGCCTTCTACTTCTTGGGCTACGACTTCGCCAAGCAGCGCCTCACTGCAAGCGGGAGGTTGGGGGAGACGGCGACGCTGCTGACTGCTGGGGCCTTCGGAGGCGTCAGCTTCTGGGCGGTGGCACTGCCGTTCGACACGATCAAGTCGCTGATTCAAGCCGACGGAAGAGATGGCAAGTACACGGGCCTCGTCTCGAGCACAGCCAAGTTGGTGCGGGAAGAAGGCGTCATGCAGCTCTTCCGAGGCTGGCAGGCGGCCTTCTCGCGTGGAATCCCGAGCGCTGCCATCACGTTTTGGACCTTCGAACGAGCAAACAAATTCCTTAACGAGATGTGACCTGGCAGCATCAAAACATGTGAGCAAGCTGGGGCCCACTTCAATATATTCAGCAACTTGTAGGCACCGCAAATGCGGTGTAAGATAGGAGAAGGCTAGTCCTGTCTTAATAGATCCCTCCGTGCGCGCCGCAGTTGCGACGCGATCGAAGCAACTCGCTCCCCCAGGCCAATTGCTTTGTCCCTGAACATGTCGTGAATGGCGTCCGGGTCTGTCGGGTAGCAGATCGGCGGGAAGTCGCGCGTCTCCGGGCTGTTTTGCCCCGCTGGCTCAAAGGGTCCTTCGCCCACAATGGCGGACGCGCCAAACGCGCTCGTCCAGCGCTCGCCGCCGACGATGATCATGCGGAAGATCATGAGCGAGTGCAGCAGGTTGACCATCGTCAGTTCCTCACCTGCGGAGAGTCCTCCACTCGTGACGAACACTGCGCCAACCTTCTGGCTCAGATCCTCCGTGAACGACCAATCGCTCAGGAACTTGGCCATCTGCAAGAGGCAGCAGCAGCAAGCAAACACAGTTAGTCCATACAGACACTACTACATGAAGTACGGTTATACCAGGCGTACGAACCTTCGGCTCGACGTTGGCGTTCACGACGTGGGTGCCCAGCACCACCGCGTCCGCCCACATGACGTCTTCTGCGAACGAGGCGTTCTCCAGCGTGCGGACGCGCAGAGACGTCGTCTCGTTGCCCAGCGCGTTGCGCGTGCCCACTTCCACGGCCGCTGCGAGCTTCGACAGGTGCGTGCCGTCGTCGGAGTACGCGATGAGGACGTTGGCGCCCTCGCCTGGGCGCTGCCAGGCCCCTCGGACCACGTCGCGCGACTGCGTGTGGGGCTGGTGCAGCAGACTCGGCTGCTGCGCTTCCAGCCTGGCCAGCACCTGCTGCGAGATGCCGATGACGTGGACGAGGCCGACGGCGGTGCCCAGGCAGAAGAGCAGCAGCAGCACGCCCGCTGCGCGTCGGAGCCGCAGGCTGTCGGCGTTGCGCGGCGCGTCGGCCGCACTGACGCGCTGCAGCTGCGAGTACGCGGGCGCCACGGGCACGCGCGGGGGCCGCAGCGGCCGCAGTTCGCTCCGGTTCAGGCAGCCCTGTGCGTTGATCGCCATGCTCCTGTACTTGCGTAGCTGCTGGCAGAAATCTATGTGACAGTCGACGTGCGTACGTCCACACGTGGTTGCACACAGACGAGAAGATGGCTACATCAAGGTCAAGTTGCTGCATTGGTCGCGTTATCCGTCGGCGCCGGTGCCGTACTTGAGCTCGTGGAAGCCGCAGTTGGCGATGGTTCCGGGGCCGCCCTTGCCGTCGCTGCCGCCGTAGTTGGGGTGGCACGTGCAGATGCCCGTGGAGAAGTCGCAGACGCCGTGGTTGGAGCAGAAGGCGTTCTCGCGCGTGCCCTTGACGGACGCCTGGCCCAGGAGCGTGGCCCCGCCCGTGGCGAACACGAGCGAGCCCGAGCCGTCCTGCGCGTTGCCGTTGATGCTGTCCTGCAGCAGCGCCTTGGAGCCCGAGAGCGGCGGGAGGTCCCCCAGCTCCGTCAGGAAGTCCACAACGATGACGGTGTTGACGCTGTTGGAGCAGGCCGCAGTCCCGCCCACGAGCGAGACGGCCACTTGTCCGATTGTCGGCAGCTCGTCCAGTGCGGCCTTCACGGTGTCAGCGGTGGCCGAGACGGCGATGTTGACTGTCGTTGCGTCTCGGAACGTGAGCGTGAAGCTGCCCGTGTCGGCGATGCACTGGATCAGTTGGCGCTCGACTTTGTCGTCGTCCGTGTAGAAGTCGTCGCCGCGTGGACACTCCTCTAATGAAGGCAATACAGAGTGTTAGAGTTATTCAGACGCCTGGCCAGTGAAGTAGACAGGGTCAACTCACTCAATGAGCAGTCATAGCCGAAGTAGAACGGGTCGCAGAGGCAGGTTCGAATGCGACGGGCATCCCAAGTGGCGACGTCGTTCGGGTCGTCGCCGTACGTGAAGCCGCGGGTCACGCCGTTGATCCGAGTGATCGGAGCCAAGTCGTATAGCGTCAGGCATCGCCCATTGCCGTTGCACTCGATATCTGTTCCACCACAGGCCACTGCCAAGCAGGTAAAGAGTGAGATGTTAGTGTTCTCGTAACGATTCACGGCTCCACGCAGTGAAATTCAAGCGTACTGAGCTCGCAGGCGCTCCCTGTGAATGGCGCCTGACATTTGCACTGTCCGTTGCTGCGATCGCACTCGCCAGCGTCACTGCACTCGCTACGGACTTGATGCGCAACGTTGTCGTCGCTGGGGTAGCTGAACCACGAGTAACCAAACGGACAAACTCGCACGGAGCAGTCTCCGCCCGTCCAACCTTTTGCACAGGCGCAGCGATATGACGGACTCTTAGAGCACGTGCCGTGGCCACTGCATGCCAAGTCTCCCGGGCACCCGACAGGGATTCGAGATGGAGCGCCACAGTCGCCGCGATTGAAGTCCAAGGTGCCGATCTGGCCGTTGCCATCGCTGTTGGTGTAGCCTGTGTGGCAGATGCAGCGACCGATGGTGACGTCGTCGCAGTAGCCCCGGTTCGAGCAAACCTCGCTCTCTTTGGTGCCGTCCACCGACACGACATCTCCGATGGCTGCGCCGTCGCCAGCAACGGCAACAGTGGACCCGGCGCTCATCATGCTGCCATCGGCCACGATAGTTGAGAGGCTAGAGTGAGACAACAAGAGAGGTTAGCACCGAATAACAATCGACAAGCAGTCATGGCCGACTTACTCTCCGAAGTTCTGGGTGAACGTGATCCTCGCGAGGTTCGCCGGGGTTTCGCACGCTTGTGAGCCCGAGTAGCTCACGTCGACGCCCTGAATGGTGGGCAGTTCCAGTAGAAGCCCTTTCAGCTGCTGCGTGGTTGATTGGGCCTCGATGGGGCGAGTTGTAGCTCCCCGAAAGCGTACGGTAAACGCTCCGCCACCTTGTAGCACAGGCGCCAGCATCTGCGATGTTGAAGCTGGGGTGAAGGTCTGGTCCAGTGGCTCACAAAGCGCGCCTTTGACAGTCTCCGTGAAGCTTGAAGCAAACTGCAGGCGGTTGGAAAGATGCACAAGGCCGTCCGTGCCTCCGTTCGTCGAATCCGTCAGAATCTCAGCGAGGTCTCCGTCTCCGCTGGTCGCCTTCACCACCACAAAGCGGATGGTTGTAGTCGTGCCGAAATCGCTGCAGAACGTGGTCAACCCACCCGCATACATGACGTCAATGTCCACAATGTACGGGACCTTGCTCTGAATCGTCGACTTGAGCGTGTCTGCTGTGATGCTGAAGGGTAGCCCGGTCAGCTTCGTGCCGTCCTCGAACGTGAGAGCAAAGTTGCCGCTGGTAGCTCCACACAGAAATTGCTGCTCCTCCGTGACGCGACACGAGTCGAAACCTTTGATGACCTCCTTGGTTTCCGTGTCGATGAACCCGTTGGCGTTGTTGCGGAACAAGGTCTGAACGCCCTTGAGGTCCAGAGTTGAGAAGGTCATCGCTGGTAGATCCGCCAGCAGTTCTCGGTGCCAAAGGGTGGAAAACGTCATGGTCACGAATGTCCCCGTAGGGGTGCAAATGTTGTTGATGGAGCCCCCAGTGCTGGTCATCAGCGCCACGCTCATCTGGCCATAGAAGGAGAGCTTGGACAGGTATGAAAGGAACGTGTTGCTGTCGGCATTGTACGGGATGTTGCGGATCGTCTCGTTGCCGAAGGTGATCGCGAACACTCCGGAGTCGGCAGCACAAATGAACTGCTGGACTTCTACCGTTCTCCACCCCGGAACGACTGCGTTGTGCTTCGTGTTAGTCATGGGGAAGGTCACGCTCCACTCGGTTCGGGTTGGTAGTGGGTCTGCTCGAGTTACTGTGACTGCATCCAGACCTCTCAGGGCCAGCAACGACGTGGCAATTGAAGGACCGAAAGCGTCTTGATCAGCCAGAGCCTTGAACGATATCGGGCGAGTGTACTGACTCCCGAACTTGAGGATGAACTTGCCTTTGGTGAGTGGGGCGTCCGACTGCAGCACGATCGTCTGCTGCTGGTACGTTGTCAGGCACTGGAGTAGCTGTACTTCGTTAACTTGCCCTGTGGTTAATGGGTCATCACCAACAGGGCAGTCTTTCAGCGAGCAGCTAGGGCCATGGAATCCCTCGTCACAGAGACATCCGTGCATCACGTCGAAGTCCCAGATCTGCTCGTAGACGAACACGTCGCGGTCGAACAGCTCGCGCGAGATCACCTCGTTCTCCGCCAGAGTCTTCATGGAGATGCACTTGCCGTGGTCGGAGCAGGAATCGAGACACTGCGTGTACTGGCAGGTGGGGCCAGTGAATCCCGACTGGCAGGCGCACGAACCGCTCGTGTAGACGCACGTCCCTCGACCGGAGCACTCTTCCGGTCCATGAGCCTCGTTGACCCCTGTGATAACCCCCCACGCCTTGCCGACGGGGCAATACTGGAGCGAGCAGTCGTACCCGAAGAAGCCGTCGTGGCATTGGCAAGTCAGCTTCTTGTCGCAAACCCCATTGCCCGAGCACCCGTTAGGACAGGACTCGTCCGCTGCAGTGGTTGGTGATACGGTCAACGCGAGCACTGCAGCGATCAGAGACAGCGATGTCCTGTGCCGCCGCATCACGGTGCGACTTGGATCGGGCCGAGTCGAAGTTATTAGCAGTTTCTCTCAGCGTCGCTTCGTTCACCGGTCCACCACGACGTCGAGATATCGCGTTGAGAATGAAGCGAGGCACACCTGACGAACGGCGATGGGAGAACGGGCTGCGTCAAGGCGCTCGCACTTCGGATGTCTCCGAGCCGATAAAGTCTCCGGTCCGAGGTTCGATGAAGTTGAGAAGACCGCAGACCGAAACCAGGACAAGGAGTGAGAGTCGTATCACGCCCACACCACTGGTAGCAACTGCAGCACTGCAGGCGTATCTGTCCAACGATGTCGACGCTCGAAGCAGGATACCAGGCCCTCGGTCTGGGGCGGGTCCCGGTGGAATGGAGTCGGGGAGATCCAAACCCGAACCGAGGACTAAACGCGCCGAGGTGACGCGTCACGAACACGAAAAGCCAACCGGAACTCGGATACCGATTGATACAGCATCCAATGCCACTACTGCGCTTAGTGGTGATGGTGCTTCTCAGCCGGAAAGCCCGTTGTCACGATTTCAGAAGCATGTACGAGCTGCCCGTATGCGCTACCGATGCTACTTTGGCTGACTTGGAGTCGTTTGGTGAATTTGGTACAGATGAAGCAGTTGGGAGCGAATCACGACAAGACTCAGCACTCGCTAACGACCTCGCACAGATCTCCACATACTTCAAGAAAAGGTGCCTCAGTGCACCCGGTAACAGCAGGGCCGTCGCAATCGTTGGCTCGGTCATTGATAGATAAAATTCAAGAAGCGAAGCGTTTGAGGCATGCAGAAGCTGAACACGACCAGCACACCAGGAAACACCCCGATAGGGGAATTCAAAGCTCAGTCACCTACACACTTCCTGGAAGACACCACGTTAGTCCAGTCGCTCAGGTTCAGTCGACATCATCAAGCCTCGCCATACACATGATGCCATCGCCAAGGAAGACAAGCCGAGGAGCGTCGCCGTCCCCGCTCCCCAAACCGATAGCTGCATCGACAAGCTCCCCTCCGGTTCCGCATGCGAAGCCAGTAATGCCAGTGATTCCATTCTCACCGTCAACACCACCCGCAGTAAAGATACCAGGGCAAGATCAACAGGAAGGGGACGTGAAAGTAAAACTGGTAGCGGAAAAGGTTCCGTCGAGCATCAGCACGGTTATTGAAGTCATGAATGCCGTGTTGCTAATTCAGCGAATGTGGCGAAGACGCAGACTTATCGTTCGTTTCCGCCGAAGAAACCAGCAGCACAGCGGTGAGATTAATGAGCCCAAAGTTACGCTTGTTGTCGACAAGATGGAAGCTGTCACTCCTTTATTCCCTACGGTGAGCATGAAGAGTCCGGAAGTGCTTCAGCCACCCCTGCGGGAAACCCAGTTATCGCATCCAAACGAGCAGTGCGACACAACGGTTCATGTACTTGGCAGTGTAAATGAAGGTGGCGCTGCAGCAACCCACGAACGATATTCTGACGAGATCGCATCGAGCCACATTAGTCACCCGTGGACGGACCATGAACTTGTCTTTCTGGAAGAAGGACGACGCATTGGCGACCTCCAAGATTCTGTCCGCAAAGGCTTCTCCTTGGATGAAGACGAGCTTATCTGGAAGCGTCCGGAACAAATTATCCAGCGGATCGAAGCTGAACGAATTACTACGCTCCGAGATGCTCGAAGAAAGCGACCAACGAGCCGTCAACTTGAATATCCAGCTCCTCACGAGGTAGCTGTACTCGACAATAACGTGTCTGAGACGATGTCACCCACCGTGCACTCGCCTCGAAATGTACTTCCCCGGTCTCGAAGAAAGGATGCTGCAACGACAGCGCGAAAGCGGAAGATGGCTCGGGTTTCGTTATGGAAGCGGAGGAGCCGTAACAATGCAGATTTGGTCTTTCCAGCAAGAAAAACTTCCAAGACGCGAGAAAATTTTGCTCGTGCACGCACAAAGTGCCGCCGTCGAAAGGAATCTAAAGCAGCATCCAGCAGCTCGCCAACCGAAGACAAAGCAGATTCAGCAGCACAAATGCTTGATGATCGATCGGAAAGCCAATCTGACTGTGGTGTAAGGAGTCCTCGGCAGGCTGGTAGCACTTCGAGTGCTATTGATGAGCTCAAACAACCAGCAGATCACAACTTAGCTGGAAGCGAAGCCCGTTCTAGCCCAGCGCTGCTGGACCGATTCGTGGTTTTCTCGGACTTTGGTGAAGCTTCCAGTACAGTGGATTCCGCTCTCTCGCGAAATGATCTGATCAGCGTGGGCGACCTCGCTCTAGCTCGGAGTCTGCTGTGCGACCGACACCACGGCCAAACTGCAAATCACCTCAACGGGTACTCTGACGGCTTTATACCTTTGACGCTGCCAACATTTTCACCTCAAGCAGCCGAGCCAAGCAAGCAAAGTCTGAAGGTTTGGGATGAACCGTCAATAGAGTACTCAAAGCAAGCGGTAACTGGTTGCAGTGAGGGGTTCGAGCCTGGAAACCAGGTTGAAGACAACGACAATGCTGTTGTTGATGACGATACGACGAATCGCAATCAAGACGGAGCCGCCCAGCCTTTCGATCAATTCGATGCAGAGCCCGATGCTCTAGTGCTCCAACGTGAGTCTCTGTGGACGTGGCTAAGTAATCGCGACGATGGCATCTCGCTCGCTTCCTTGTCTTCGAGCACAAATAGCGCGTGCAGCGAGGACCAGGCTGCAGAAGATACGGCGTCTCGACAATCTGGCCCCGCAGACCCCATGCGTGCGCTCCAAGTCGTCAAGAGTGCCGTGACTAAGACAATGGCTCGCATCCGAGATGAGCAACACGCCGCCTGCCAGCAGCAGCAGCAGGAGTCCGAGACACCGACGTCTCCGCCTCCAGCTCCAGCCCCAACGGCAGCATCAAACCGGACCCCGCGTCTCGACGAGGCCAAGCGACTGGAGTTCCTGCGCGCGCTCGAAGACTTCAAGCGCTGCCTGCGACCGACCTCCTCGCCCAGCTCGCTGCTGTCTGAGGCTTGAATGGGAGTATCACACAACCACGTTGACGTTAGCGGGAGCTGCAACGTCAACCGCAGGCTCTGACTAAGACCTGTAGACGAACGCAATTGGCACAATCGCCGACAGCGTGTCCTATGTGACGCGCCAGTCGAGCCTCCTGATACGCCGTCGCAGGCCCCAGCCGCACCACGTCCACCCGTTCGGCCGTTGCCCTTTTGAATCTATCGCGCGCGGGAAAGCACCGGGCGCAAAGCAAGCAGAAGCTGACGGCGTCCAGCGGATCCCGTGCCGTGCATGGACTTGGCTCAGTTCGTCGACAATTCACCGGTACTTAATCGGTACTTTTAGTCTTGCATACAAACGTCAAGTGGTTTCGCTGAAGTAACACAAACGTTGAAGCTGGAATTCATCGGTAGAGTCTCAAAATTACCGAAACTTTCCCGGTACGGTAACGGCTCATGGGTTCACCATTCCTCAACCTGCCGCGTCGCCCCCTCCGTTCGTCCACAGATCAGCATGGCTTCCCCCTCCTCCGCCGGCCCGCAGGTGACCGCTTCGGCGCCGTGCGCGTCGCCCGAGACGTGCTTCGTGCAGCAGCCGCACGTGCACCGGCCGCGCCAGGCCGAGCCCAAGATCCTCAGCTCGATCCTGGACCACGTGGGCAACACGCCGCTCGTGCGGCTCAACACGATCGCGCGCAAGGCCGGCCTCGAGTGCGAGCTGCTGGCCAAGTGCGAGTTCTTCAACGCCGGCGGCTCCGTCAAGGACCGCATCGGCAAGCGCATGATCGAGGACGCCATGGCCTCGGGCCGCATCAAGCCGGGCGACACGCTCATCGAGCCCACGTCGGGCAACACGGGCATCGGCCTGGCGCTGGCCGCCGCGCTCTACGGCTTCCGCATCATCATCACGCTGCCGGAGAAGATGTCGCTCGAGAAGGTGGACGTGCTCAAGGCGCTGGGCGCCGAGATCATCCGCACGCCCACCGAGGCGGCCTGGGACTCGCCCGAGTCGCACATCGGCGTGGCCAAGCGCCTCGTCAAGGAGATCCCGAACGCGCACATCCTGGACCAGTACAGCAACCCGTCCAACCCGCTGGCCCACTACGACGGCACGGCCGAGGAGATCCTCGAGGCCTGCGGCGGCCACGTCGACATGGTCGTCATGGGCGCCGGCACCGGCGGCACCCTCTCGGGCACGGCCCGCAAGATCAAGGAGAAGTGCCCGAGCTGCATCGTCGTGGGCGCCGACCCCATCGGCTCCATCCTGGCCGAGCCCGAGAACCTCAACGACGAGAACCGCCTGCAGTCGTACCAGGTCGAGGGCATCGGCTACGACTTCATCCCGCAGGTGCTGGACCGCTCGCTCGTGGACCGCTGGATCAAGACGGGCGACCAGGAGTCGTTCCTGCTGGCGCGCCGCCTCATCCGCGAGGAGGGCCTGCTGTGCGGCGGCTCGTGCGGCTCTGCGATCGCTGCTGCGCTCAAGGCCGCCAAGGACCTCAAGGCCGGCCAGCGCTGCGTCGTGGTGCTCCCCGACTCGACGCGCAACTACATGTCCAAGTTCCTGTCGGACGACTGGATGTACGAGCACGGCTACGTGACGGACATGTCCAAGAGCGCGCTGAGCGCGACGTGGTGGGCCAAGAAGAACGTGTCGGAGCTGCTGCTGCAGGCGCCCGTGACCATCACGCCCGACCTCACGTGCAAGGAGGCCGTGGACATCCTCAAGAAGGAGGGCTTCGACAACCTGCCGGTCGTGGCCGACGACAACTCGATCGTGGGCGTCGTGTCCGAGGGCAACCTCATCGCGCAGCTCATGCCCGGCCGCGTGCGCCCGACCGACGCCGTCGAGAAGGCCATGTTCAAGCAGTTCAAGCAGGTGAACCCGCAGACGTCGCTGTACGAGCTGAGCCGCATCTTCGACCGCGACCACTTCGCGCTGGTCGTCACGGAGCAGAAGCGCATCCGCAAGGGCGGCGAGGCCGAGACCAAGTCGGTCATCTTCGGCGTCGTCACGCGGATCGACCTGCTCACGTACATTACGCGCCACAACGAGCAGTAAGTCCGATCAATCGTTAGGTCTTCTTCGACAACCATGAGCACAATACAACTTCAACTTGTTTAACCCCGTTAACCCGGCCGCCACCTCTTCGGATACCGTCCGCCCGATCCATTCGCGTCGCTTCCTGTGGATCATTATGGTCAAGCTGCCGCCGCTGGACAAGGGCGTGCTGCCTCTGCAGAAGCTGCGCGACGAGTACGAGCGCTCGCTGACGCACCTGCTGGACCACTTGGGCTCGGATCGGGTGTCGCTGGTGCTCACCAAGCGCCTGGCCGCGCTGCTGACGCACGTGTTCGTGGACGGCCTGGGCGTGTTGAAGAGCCATCACGTGGTGGAGTGTCTGGAGCTCGCGGACGACGTGGCCAGCGTCTCGGCCGACACGACCGTCGTGTATCTGGCGTTCGCGCGCACGGGCGACGTTAGGGCAGTCGCGGCCCACGCTGAGAAGCTGCTGGGCCGGGAGGACGACGGCGGACGCAAGCGGCGACTGGCGCTCTACGTGGTGGGCAGGTGGACGACCATGCTGGACCACGCGCTGGACTACAGCCGACTGCGAGGCCGGTTCCAGACGGGGGAGCTGGCCATGGGCTTCTTCCCGTTGGACACGGATCTGCTCACCATGGGCTCCCAGCGCAGTCTGTACGAGTGCGAGGTGGAGGGAAACGGCAGCTCGCTGGTGGACATGGCGGCGGCGCTGAACCTGCTGCAGCAAGTGTACGGCAAGTTCGGCAGCATCAAGTACAAGGGCGAGATGTCGATGCTTGTGTTGAACCACCTGATGGAGATGAACGCGGGAGGCTCGGGCATCATGAGCGGCGGGGCAGCGAGTCAAGGAGGGACGCTGGCAGGACCTCAGCGATCTCGACTCGACACGTTGATTCTGCTGGACCGGAGCGTGGACTTCGCCTCGGTCTTCTCCACGCCGTTGACGTACGAGGCGGCACTCGATGAGCTCATGCAGATCCAGGACGGATTCGTCACGGCGTCGCCGCAGATCCTACGCGCAGATGACAGCGCGAGCGACGCCCCCGTCCCGGTGGCTCTGAACTCGACGGACGAGATCTACCGCCAGATTCGGGACAAACACATCCACACCATTCCAGCCGCGCTGAACGTGCAGGCGGTGGCTGTCAAGAAGCGCTTCAACGAGTTCCAGCGAGTGAGCGGCTCGGCCAGCGCCGCAGAGGTGAACGAGTTCGTCAAGACGGTGCCCCAGATGAAGGCGTCCCAGCAGTCCATCGAGCAGCATATCAACCTGCTGGAACACCTCGAGTCGACTACTGCCGGCAAAGCATTCCGCGATCTCTGGCACTTGGAGAGGAAGATCATGGACCAAGCAGAGGGCGTACTAGGCACGATCGAGGAGCTCATCTTCCGACACGAAGATCTGCGCAAGGTGCTGCGTCTGCTGTGTTTGTATTGCGTCGTGAACGACGGAGTGCAGCGCCGTAACTTGGAGCGACTGAAGATGCACCTGGTTCGAGCTTACGGCCATGAATTGGTCTTCTCCTTCCGCAACTTGGAGCGTCTGGGCGTGCTCTACGAACGTCAACCTTCTGGTCTACTGGGCGACTCCAGTGACTCTGTCTGCTCCTTCCAGTACGCGGCGCAGAATCTGTCGGTCATTGATGTCGATGTCAACATTAAGAATCCAAAGAACGCAGCGTTCGTTACGTCAGGCTACGAGCCGATCTCTGCTCGCCTCGTTGAGGAGATCCTGAAATTCGGCCACTGGAGAGGCATCGACCACGTTATGAATCATTTGCCTGGGCCACGCGCAGAACTCCACCTCGCTGAGAATGACCGACCGGACAAGACGAGCAATGCGGATGAAGCCAAGAAACCCAAGCCAAAGAAGAAGACGGTCGTGGTCGTGGCGTTTGTCGGAGGCGTCACGTTCCTCGAAGTCGCAGCGCTGCGGTGGATCGCTTCATTTTGTAGGGAAATGTCGAGGTCTATTGCGTTCCAACGAATGTCTAGCTAACCGATGCTGCTTCTGTTCTGCGTGTAGATCCCATTGAGCTTATCGTCGCCTCAACGAGTATTCTCAACGGCAAGACGTTTATTACCGAGTTGCTGGAGCAAGTTCCGCCCACTACAGGAGCCTAGCTGTACTCGAAAGCAGAAGATTGAAGAGGGAGGAGGCTGCGGTTATGGTGAACTTATAGATTCAGAGGTAAGCTGTAAACACTGAGGCAAAATGCTGTTCTACTTGTGCGGTTTGTAGCTGTCGCCCGTGGTGGTGCCCGGGTCACTGCCAGCGCGGCATTCTCCGCGGTAATTGACGCAGTCCACGGGTTTGTGCCCTGTGTAACCCGGGATGTTGTCGCTGTGGAACAGTCGAAGTGCTACGCGTGGCGTTGGGTGCAGGGAGTCGATATCCTCCGGGCCGTTGGCGTGTGCTAGAGCTTCTGCGTTGTGTGACGTGAGGGGCAGGAAGCCTGCGTAGCCTGGAATCTGGTTCGTGACGCGGCTGGTCCCAGGGTTCATGTCCATTGTGGTGGACGCCATGCCGCGCTTTCGCATGTACGGCCGATCCCGAGGGTTCTCGCCGTAGGTACCGAAGTCCATTTGGTAGCTGCTCGCTGGCGTCGAGGAGTGAACCAGATACTCGTTGAGCTGCTTGTCGGCGAAGCTGGTAGAGCCCCATGTCTTGCTGGTGGAGCTCGCAGTAGTGGCGCGATTGAGTTCACGGTCAAATAGATCGTCGACGTGGTCGACAGCCTGTCGGAAGAGGCCCCACGAGATCTTGTCACGGACGCTGCCCCGACGATCGAGGAAGCTGTGGAACACTTCAACCACTCGAGGAACTGCGCCGTCACCAAGCGCGAGCTGAAGAACCTCCTGCACTTGGGCCAACTGGATCGTCGGTCCAACTTGTTGCTGTTGCTGCTGGTTGTTCCTCTTCGCTACAGCCATGAACGCGCGCTCGTATTCCTCGAGTGGCACGGTCAGCACACGCCTGCGCTCTTCGTCGAACGCCGGGAAGTCGTGCAGGTACGTGCTGTTGGCGATGAACGGCTTCGAGCTCGGTCGCGGCTGGTTCACACTTACGCCGCGACGATCAGGGACGCGATAGTCTTCTGGCTGCACGTGCTGCCCACTCTGCATGCCCATGGACTCGTGCGTGTTCTTGCCCATGCGGTTCATCGTCGGCGGAGCGATGATGCGCGAGCCCATGGACGAAAACTTGGTGGCGCGCTGTTCGTACGTCTCGCCCGGCTTGAGCGTGGCGCAGTGCTGCACCGCGAACGACTTGAAGCCTTGATACCCGTACGTCTTGGAGGCACACATGACGCAGCAGCGATCAATCTGTACAACGAAGGACAAGACCAACAACTCCCGAAGTGGAAAGACACCACTCGACCTCACCTACCTTTCACAGCAGCACGCCTATTTTTGAGGTCATCTGACACGATCAGATCAACGTAAATGGAGAAGAAGTTCTTGAGAGAGATGGAGAAGCAAGCAACAGCGCCGAGGCAATCGTCTATTTGTGGAGGAGGTTCTTCCTTCGAGGGAAAGTGCCGAGCTCAACTCAACGCTGCAGATAGGATGGCTGCAGTCGGTGCCATTGAGCGGCACTTCGCCTACGAAAGTTGCTGGTGGAGGCACACGCACCGCCACGAATAGGCGGCTGGCAACGGGGCTCTTGGTCTACATAGTGTCGCTTCTAGCTGCGTCACTCCTAGTCAGGCATTGATGACCCGGACGGAAGACGCGCTGATACGGAAGAGGGTAGGTAGTTTAGTCCTGGAACTCGCAGTTCTCCGGGAAGGTGCAGCCCGAGCGGGCCAGGATGACCTGCGCGGCCCAGTGGCCGGCGTTCACGCACTGCTCGAGGGGCAGGCCCAGGGCAAGGCGGGAGATGAAGCCGCCCACGAAGGCGTCACCGGCGCCGTTGGTGTCGACGATGGCCGAGGCCTCCATCTTGGGCACGGCGTAGGTGGTGACCTTGCCCTGGTGCACGACGACCGTGGAGTCGGCGCCCTGCGTGAAGACGACGGTGCGGCAGCGCACGCCGCTGGCCTTCTCAAGCTGCGCGGTCTTGAGGGCGATCTCCTGGACGTCCTCGCCCCAGCCCTGCACCTTGCCGAAGGTCTTGGCCTCGCTCTCGTTGCCGAAGACGAAGTCGGCGTACTTGATAGCGTTCATGAGGGGCTCCTTGAAGAACTCGACGATGAAGGGGGCCGAGAGGTTGATGAGGAAGGTCTTGTTGTTGGCCTTGACGTGCTCGGCCAGCGTCATGACGGCCGTGGGGGAGACCGTGAGGTGGAAGCCGGCCGAGTAGTAGTACTGGCCCTTGTTGATGATCTCCTGGCTCTCGGGCTTGGCCAGGTGGTCGTGGTGGAAGTGGTTGGCGGCCGACAGGTCGGCGACCAGCGAGCGCTCCGACTCGACGACGCACACGGCGCACGTGCCCGTCTTGATGTCGGCGTTCTCGAGGTACGACACGTTGACGCCGTCGGCCTCGGCGCACTCCTTGAGCTTGGCGCCGTGCGCGTCCTTGCCCACGCAGCCGAAGAAGCTCGTGGCCGACTTGTTGTGCTTGTTGAGCATCCACTGGGCCACGCGGATGCTGTTCTGCGTGGCGCCGCCGGCCACGTACACGGGGCTGCTCTTGACGAGCTCCTCGAACATGGGCGCGTGGCTCTCGTCGGCCAGGATGGCGTTGTCCAGCTTGAGGCCGTACTTGGTGAGGAACTCGGGCGTCACGTCGGCCGAGATGTCGAGCAGCGGGTTGCCCAGGCCCACGATGGCGTGCGTCAGGTTCTCGGAGGCCATGGTGCTGAACGGGGTGCGCTGCTGCTTACTGGGCGACTGCTGCTGCTGGACGGAAGGTGAAGTGGGCTCGGAGCGTTTCATGATTGACAACCGGTTTCAGTCAAAAAGTGGGATCAGACGGACCAATGAAACGCGGTCGAGGGATCGGGCAACGCTGGCCAGTCAAAGGGAGGCGCGCGCCCATTGGGCGAAATCCACTCAACCACTTCAACAAGAGTGAAAAATGTATCCATCTCCTTCACTCCAGCTTGGTCATTTCCAGTCAACTGCAAGAATGTAAACAATGCCCCCATTCTACAGCCGAGATGAAGCGCATCCGCTGTCTGCTACCAGAGCACGAGATCGTCGTTGTCGTGGACATTGTCGACATAGAAGTCTGCAGTTTCATCAAGGATGAAGTCAAGCAAGCAGTCATGGACTCCGGTCGCGAGGACCTCTTTGCCAAGCTCGATGCCTGTTCGCTTACGCTTCGTCTAGCCAAGACGGACGCCGGGGGGCTCAATCCTCAGGACGAGGACTACAAACAGCGGCTGGAGGAGATTAAGGAGCTCGGAATTGTCGTGGAGCCGCTGACGCTGGTGTACGAAGATGCATACGCGTTCCCAAGCCCGAGTACAATCAAGCCAGGCGACATCCACATCATCGTCGAGTTTCCCCAGACTCCCGGAGGTTTGCCGTGTACATTTGGTTTTTAACTCGCGCGGTTATGTTATCTGATCTAACGTTAGTTGATGTTGTACATTGGTTATTTATTACATGCAGTATTGGGGCAGGAAAGTAGCAAGATTAATCGATTGGTGCTCGTCTACGATGCTTGTCGCCATTCTTATCGCAACCACTTGAGACCAAGAAACACGCATTCAATGCCGTGTTGCGCAATTAACACTTAGGCAGCGACGACATACGTAAAGTTTTGCATCGTATCGCTTTGAATACATTTTACATCGACATACCTGTATGAATAAGTGCTGTTGATTGACTTAGCTCGAGGCGCGCGCTCTAACCTACACGTACGACCTGTATCCATGTGCTGCGAAGTCACTCCAACTACCCCGGCAACAGCGTTGATGTACAGCAATAAAGTCTATTACTTGGATGGTACCTGTCTCCCATCTGATGATCTACTGCTGCGTCTTCTTCTGCTTCCGCTTCTTGTTCTTGCTCTTTTGCTGCGCACCGTCGGTCAATTTGCGTTTCTTGGACGCCTCGTCCTCGCCTTCAGTCTTGCCGTCATCCAGCTCGACAACCACGTGCGGGACGCCGGCAGCAGGAGCAGCGGGCTTCTTGTCCACCGCCTGCTTTGCCTTCTTCGTCTTCTTGCCCTTCCGGGCAGCAGGCTCGCTCTTGCTACCCGAGCTGCCAACCGTCTCACTGGCGACGCACACGGACAGGCAGGTCACACGAGGCTTCGTGAGCAGAACGGTCGAGGCCATGGGCTGCACCGACTTGTTTGCCTCCTCCGGCGACGAAGCATCCAGTGTGAACGAGGCAAAGTCCCAGATCTGGAACGCGCCGTCAGACGTAGCGAGCACAATCCACGGCAGCTTGTCCTCGCCATGCGGATACACCACCTGGATGCATCGAATGCGAGCGTCAATGTCCTTGTGGGTCACTTTACCGACCAGACTGTACAAACACCACACACCATCAATGTTAGTAAACCACGCAATGGTGGACACCAAAACTTGCTGAGTTGTTGCAACACGTACGTTCCGTTGGTCTTCCAGATATAAATATTTTTGTCATCGCCACCGCACACAATGTATTCGTCTGTCGCGAACGCGGCGCAGTGGATCTTCTTGGAGTGCTCCAGCGTGCCCACCAGCTATTGAGGAACAAAACACAATGGTCAGTTTTAACCACCGACAAGATGCCATCGTAGTTTTTACTCGCCCACCCACCTCTGCGTTCATGTTAAACACCGACAGGTCCTTGCCGAATCCGAGCGCGTAGTGCGTGCCCTTCTGGGAAATCATGACGAGCTCCGCCTCCTTTTCCAGCCGACGGATGAACGCGATACGGCCCTTCACGAGGTTCCACATACGCAGCGTGCGGTCGCGCGCCACGGAGAAGCACAGCTTTCCACTCGGATGCACCGCGATCGAGTTGATTTCGCCCCTGTTCAGCACCACCACAAAGCAACGAGTTTAGAATTCTGTCACAGCGTCACATCACACGGGGCCAAGTGCCACGTACTTGTGACCGCCGAGAATGTGCAGGCAGTTCCAGTCCGACGTGCGCCAGATGCAGATGGAGTTGTCGGCGCTGCCGCTGAGCACGTGGCTCTGGCCGAAGAACTCGAGGCTCGTGATGGCGCCGTGCTGCTCCATCAAGCTGCCGACCTCCACGCGCTTGTCCACGTTGTAGATCCTATGACAAAATAACACATTAGCTTTCTGTCTGACAGGTACACACCATTAAAACCATTGCAATACAGCGGCTATTGGCCACGCACTTGATCATCTCGTCGCTGCCGCCCGACAGCAGCGTCTTGCCCTGCTTGGCGGCCATGAGCGCCACGCTCTTGATGCACTCCGAGTGCGCCGCGTAGCCGAAGGTCAGCTTCATCTTGGTGCTCTCGCCCGAGGCCACCGTGGGGCACTCCCACCCGTACAGCAAGCCCTCATACGTTCCAGCCACCACGCGGATCATCGTGCCGGTGCCTTGAGTTTCCAGTCTGGAGGTCGATACTGTTGGCCGAGGACAGGCAACTCGAGTAGGTACGAATCGGGGGCGAAAATGTGGCTAAAGTAGCCGCTGGTGACCGATCGGTGGCAGCAGCTAACGGCAACATGTGACGTGTGAGAAAGTGTATTTCCATCACGGCGCTGGGATTGTGGAGCGAGCGATGGGATGCAGCGACCCGGGGCGCCATAGTCAAGGGCGCTGTTGCTGTTCAACATGAGCGCACTCCTGCGTTGGTTTCGCTGGCTAAGTACTGCCTAGAGACGAGTCTGAAGAGCGGCTGGGGCACACTTTCTTTCCAGACGCGACGGCGGAAGAGCCCAGCCGAGAGCTACCAACCAACTTCGAACGAAGACTCACAACTCCCATCGACAGCCATGGACGTGAACTTGAGCGTGGAGGTCCCGAACCACGAAGAGAAGAGCGACGTTCGAGAGTCGGCCATGGGCGGCAAGCTCCAGCGCAATCTCTCGTTGTCGGCCAAGTGGGCCAGCGACAAAGCGATGGCCATCGAGTACCTTCGCCGACAGCGCGTAAGGAGCTCTATACGATTCTACAGCTGTGTGAGAGCTAACAGGTCTTGTATCTTGATTGCAGGAGGTGATGACGTGGATTGAAAGTGTGTTGAAGCGCGAGCTGCCGACCACGGATCTGTTCGAGGCGCTCAGGTCTGGTGTGGTGCTGCGCGAAATGGTATGTGATGCTCTGTGCTATGATTGAGCGCGTCACATGGTCTAACCATTGCAATGTTGTTATTATGCTTTCAGATGGAAACGCTGTTCCCCGACGTCTCCAACTGTAAGTCGCCGATTAGCCGCAACTACACGAAGCGCATGGCTCCGTGGAAGGAACGCGAAAACATTTCCGTCTTCTTGAAGCAGTGCAAGTCGTACGTGACACCACCATATCTATCATTAATGCTGCAACACACTCTAAGGTTTTCATTGATATTGTGTTGGCAGGATCGGGATGTACGACTTGTCGCTCTTTTGCACGGACGACCTGTATGAGGGCACGAACATGGTGCAGGTGCTGTTCTGCGTGCAGCACTTCATGATGTTCTCTGAAGAACACGCTGGTCATCTATTCCAGCCTGTCGCTAAGAACGAACCCGCCGAGTTCTCCAACCAAGAGGTGCGATACTACTCATGTCCTGGAGTCTTTCTTGATCGGCGCCAATGGATCTAACTTATCCACCATCGTTTGGTTTTGCAGCTTGAGATGGCAATGGCGAAGATCGAGCAGGCCGGGGTGGATGCTACCGCATTGAAAGGCTTGATCTCGGGCGGTGCAGCAGCAGTGCCTGAGAGGGCTGCAATCCCCGAAAAAGAGAGCACCGTGCGAACTGCCTCCGAGCCAACAGTCGTGACGTCGATGGAGAAAACTCTTGAAGCTCATGAGGAGGAGCCAGCTGAGAGCGAAGAGTGCCCCCGAGTGAAAGTGGAGATTGAGGTATGCAATCAGGCGTCGGAAGACAAGCAGGATGTCGATGATCCTGCTGACGACGACGATTTAAACCCCGAACAGGAGTCTGCAAGTGACGCTGGCGACGATGAAGCCGTCACCGAGCTTGAGGACGTTTCCGTCCCTGCCCAGGACGCCACCACTGTCGAGGAACTGGCGTCCGACTCACCATCAGCAGAAGATGAAGAGACGACGACAGTGATCCAGCAAGTGCTGTCAGATCTGACGGTAGCAATTGAAGCAGCCGAGATCGAGGCACAGTTGAAAGCGACAGAAGAAGAAGTTGTCGTTGTTCCAGCTGAGCCTGAGGTTTCTACTGTTGAAGACGTCAGCATCCCAGGCGTGGTGGAAGATGTAGTCACTACACCTGAAGAGAATGTGGCGGTGGAGGACATCAGTACTCCCGAAGAAGCGGAAGAGGTAGCGACTGAGCCGTTGGAGAGCCCGGCGATGGAAGAAGTCAAGACCGAACCTGTCGAGCAAACGGATGTCGACATCGAAGTGACCGAGGCTGTGGATGTAGCGAACATTCCCGCCGAGTCGACCCCCGCTCAAGAAGTTGCAACCGCTGAACCTTCGGTCCAAGCAACACCACAGGAGGTGGAGAACCGCATAGAAGATGAAGAGCTCGAAGCGAAGGCGATGGCGAAGTGCTCGTGCGGTAGGTGCACCATCATGTAGGCTGGTGGTTGGTAGATCCGTACATGTAGTCCCTACACGTAAGATAATTTCTTCTTTCTCCTCTCGTTCTTACAGTACCCCTCCTTACATGGCGAACAATACAATCGGTGCCACTTGCACACAGGGTAGTGTATCGATCAAAGAGTACATTCGTTCCTGTTCAACCACAAGCGCGAGCTACCAAGTTTAGTTTGGGCAACGAGTGTCGGATCTTGACCTTGCTCAGCGTCTGGTCTTACACATCTACTCCGCCACCAAGAAAAACGAAATCGCTGTCTTATGCATTTCGTTATCTTCAACTTCGTCTCATGCCATTAGAACGAGGTATCGCACGGTACCAGCGTTCTGATCGTTATCCAGCCGCCACGTTCTCATCAGCGTTCGCTGTAGCTGTGCTGGTGACGAGTCTATGCTGACTTCTGAGCATCCCAGGTAGCAGCACTTCTCGCACCTGCATCATCGCACCTTGTCAGGCATGGGACAGAAGTTGCAATGGTCCGACCGAGCTAACTATACGTCAGTGCTCTTCTGTTTTCAAGCGGGTGGTCGTAGCCTTTTGCTTTCACTTATCATTCCTCCACCAATTGATCAAGTCGGTCGCAACTCAACCCGCCCCACTCAGACAGAACCGCAGCAGTTAACATGGCCGACGAAGCTGCACCAGCACCCGAGAAGAAAGAACACGCAATTCCAAGCTCGATAACTTCCCACCGGAAGGCGACAAAGCGCAGCAAGGACCAGGTAGGCAAGCCCCGATATTTTTTGCTTGGGTAGCAGAATATCTTCTAACTACCGTATATGTTGAAGGGAGGATGCTGCATCATAATGTAGACACAACCCCAGATTTCAAGGTAAGAACCTCCCGAGCCATATTTTCTCTCTTTTGAAATGACGAAGCTGTCAATTTTAGTGATGGTGTACGAAACCCTCTTGGTGGCTGAACTAAGTTACTCGCCGCAACAGATGAGGGCATCGCCAGTGATCTCGATACACGGAGTCTCGTTCTGCTTGAACGACAGCATGAGGCTCTTGAACTCTTCAAAGTCCGAGCTGCTCAGCAGTACGTCGATCACATCCAACGGGATCTCGTCTGCACAAAATTTACGTGCGAACAGCAAACCAGACTAAGTATGAGCTTGCTAGGACCCAAGACAAAGCTGACGAGAAAAAAAAAACAAGACCTACCTTCGTGCTCTTGAATCTGGTTGCACAGCTCGTCCATCGAAAAATACTGGAAGCGTAAAAGCATTGGTAAGTTAACACATACGCATTCGTCTTTCCTTTGTGGCGATTGCTACCTCGAGCTTTTCGTGCAGGCGCCGCTCAATGAACGTCTCTGAGAGCGTCGAGTCATACAGATAGGCAACGTCAGATAGACAAGTAAAAAAGCACGAAGGCTACCGCACCGATGACGCACCGATAAGGTCCGTGTACTGCTGGAAGATGTCCATGTAGATTAGCTTGTTCTCGGACACGTTGTCGAAGATCTCTGTGTGGTTGCGACCAGAGGCCCGGCTTAGTAAGTGCACCCCGTTGAATCCGAACCGAACCAGGTAGCGGCAACAATCACCGCTCCGGCATCTCGTCTTACCACAATTGTGGCGACAAAAGTCGCTCTGCATGTCCACGAACTCCGGGTCGATCAGGATGTCCTGCAGCACCCCGATCATCTCGTCGAACTTGGCCTCCTGCACCCCGGCAAATGTTAGCAGGATACTGGTACCGACGACAAGAGATGCCAGACGTCCTCCGGGCACTGCAATACACTCGCAACATACCTCCGTGTTCTCTTCGCCGACATCGTTGTCGAATACTTCTTCCTCCTCCTCCTCTCCGTCAAACCTCCCGACCTCCGCTAGCTCGGGCTGGTTCATGGTCTCCTCTATTGACGACGGCAACCAATACAACGATCAAGCGTTAGCCATCGAGCATATCGTTCCACAGGAAGATGCAGCGAGGACAACACGCACCCTCGCTCGGCATGGCTGGCTTCTCGTTGCTTGGCTTGCTGTCGTCGACCCCTGGATCGATGGATCTTGAAGGGGCGCTGGCACAATGCACTGAAACGCTCCGGCTTTTTCCAGGTGCAGTGCAGCTTCACCGCAACGGCCGGCGTGAAACCAACGACCTTGGGTCCAATCGCTAGAGATGCTTGCAAACGGGCTGCAGCAAGTCGTCGCAGCTAGCTGTTAGCTCAGCGGCTCGGAGTGACGGTCGCCTAGTTGCCTTTTTGAAGTCAGACTGGCGCCTCGCAGAATCCATATCTGAGACAACCTCGCCGATAGAAGGCCGCAGGTTATGGCAGTGAAAGAGGTCGCCACGCTCCGCTGCCAGCGACCACGGAGCACCCGTGAGTAACTAGTCCACCAGGTCGCGCTGGTGGTGCGGCGTGGCGTGACGCCGTTATTACAGCTCTCCCTGCTATCACTCGCAGCCAGCAGCCAGCAGCTGCTGGCTCGCTGCTTGGAAGCACCGCCGTTTTTTACCCTGGTTTCGACCTGTCAAACCTTATACCGCAGTTCTCGTTTTGGAGCTCCTTGATAGACAGCACGGCAGCAGCGCCCGACGACACCGCGGGCAACTCGGCGACAGCTTTGGGCCGCCTCCTGCGCGCGAACCGCGGCGCCCCAGACGCCCCGCCGCCCCAGACGCCCCGCCGCCCACCGACACACTCCCCGTCGCCCGCTAAAGCGTCCGCCATGCGCAAGAACGGGTGGGAGACGCCGTTCCACGTGCTGCAGCTCGCCACGTGGGTGGTCTTCCCGGCCGTCATGGCGCTCTTCTTCGCCTTCTACACGCCCGTCCTGGACAAGACGCCGGCCATCGTGCTCAGCGTCGCGTACGCGGCCGCCTGCCTCGTCACCGTCGTGTCCGTGGCCGTCTGCACGGGCACAGACCCGTCGGACGACTGCATCATGAGACCATCGGTGCGTCTAAAACGGAGGACAATTCGAGTCGGAGACTGCGGCTAATTCGGTGGTGTCTTTATCTATTGTGACGTTGCAGACGATGGCCGACGCCAGGGACTCACGCCCGGACAACCAAGTCTACTGCAACGTCTGCATGAAATACGTGTACGTGCCGGGCATTAGTGGCTTTTAATGGGACGTCCGCAGTTCTAATTAATTAGTGATGATTGACTGGCTGGCTACCCATGCAGGAACAACCAGAGTCGACACTGCCGCCTCTGTGACAAGTGCGTGGACGTCTTCGACCACCACTGCAAGTGGCTCAACAACTGCGTGGGCAAGAAGAACTACACGTTCTTCCTGGGCTCCGTCGTGGGCGCCTCGGTGTTCCTGGCCGTGCAGATCGCCGTGGGCATCTATCTCGTAGTGGAGCTCTACACGAACGAGGATGGCATCAAGAGCAACTCGGCCACGAGCTACGGCTGCTCGAAGGAGAAGGACGATGTTACAGGGCTCTGCGTGGACGGACAGTACCGCGTCTCGCTGCAGGCGCTGCGGATCATCCACATCGTGCTGCTGTCCTTCCTGAGCCCGTGGCTATTCATGATCGGACAGCTCGCGCTCTTCCACTTCCACTTGTGTACGTGCTGCGGTACCTATCGTCTGGTTTTGGTAAGCGAACTAACCGCTTTTCGTTGTTTGTGTTCTTGCAGGCATGGAGAACATCACCACGTATGACTACATTGTCCGCCAGCGCAAGCGGAAGAACGCCCAGGACCGACAAAACACCGTACGTATTTATCCAGTCAGCTATGATGAAGTCTCGGTGACGGAGAGCTGTGACTCGAGCACCAAAGGCCTGGCAGTGACCAGCAGCTAGCAGGACCAGAACTATTTTTCCTTATTTATAGACGTTAACCTTTGTTGTGTTCGTGTATTTTTTGCGATGTCATGGTTCTCAGGTGCGTGTGCCGTGGTGGAAGAAGCTTTGTGGGAAACAGCCGAGTCCCAGCGGCGCCCCGGACAACTCCAAACCCAGCGTCAACCAGACAAGCGACTCGCGTCTTTCGGGCGAGAGTATTCGCAGCGAAGAGGAGGAACTCGCAGAGATCGAAGCAGAGGTGGACGAGAGCCTGGAGGTGCTCAGCAACCAGAGCGGCGAGATCCGCCAGCGCGACAGCAGCAGGCGTGGCAGCAGCTCGTACCGCAAACGGAGGAGCGACAGCGGGCCGAAGCGGGGATTTGGTCTCCACGTTGACCTGGCGAAGCAGCGATCCGTGCAGACCAACGCCAGCTCCAATGCCGACGTGTACACGCCAAGGTCAGAAAGCGGCGACACGAGTTACTTGGCGGCGCCCTACTCTCCAGGAACCCCCGCTTCTCCACGCTCTGATGCGGGCAGCGCATACTTTTCCAGCTCACAGGTTGATGAGATCGACACAAGGGACGCTGGCGAAGCCACCAACCAGCCCCTTCCAGCATACAAGGTGTCTAGCAACTCCTCCATGGTCATGTACGGCCGGCCACCCATCGACGATCTGCCTGCGTCGAGCCACATTGTGTAAGTGTCCTCCTCCTCGACGACTCCACCTCGCTGACTTCTCGGCTTGTGCAGAGACATTAACAGCAAAACGGGGGCCCTGTAGGAGGCAAGGGGGCATGGAGGCACCAACAACCCCAGCAGCTCGCTGGCGGACAGCAGCTTGGACAAAGACCACAAGTATTTAATGGCGCACACGCAGGGCGAGCTCACCACTCACACAATACACGACCAGACCAGGCGACACCAATTGCTAAAACTCTTCGTAAACAAAAGAAAAAGAAAACAGATTTTTGTTTGAGAACGAAAAGGAAACGACGCGCGCTTCAGCCGCAGTCGAGAGGAAGTTAGAGGCGTCTGCAGCACTGCAGCCAGCTCAGGCCTCGCGCACAGCCGCGACCTTGAAGCTTTTGGCGCTGTCGTCGGCTCCGATGTCCACGTGCAGCACGTCGACGATGCCGCTGACGCTGGGCGTGTACAGCGTCTTGCCCAGCAGGCCGCTGTCCGTCGAGTGCTCCACCTCCAGCGAGTAGAGCGCGGCCACGGCCGTCCAGCCGCCCATGTCGTACTCGTGCTCCTTGATGCTCGCCTCGGCGCCGGGCGCGAGCTCGCGCGTCTCGTGGATCTTGGCCTTGCCCTCGGCCTCGAACTCGTCCGAGCCGAAGGTCGCCGTCACTTTAACGGGGTGCGACGTCGAGTTTTTGAGCGCCACGGCCTTGACGTACTGCGGAGGGGGCGCCATCTTGCTGTTGTCTTCGTCTGCTGCTTCAACTTGCGCCTGGAGGTGATTTTTCAGGACTGACAGAGAGAAGGTTAAGTGGATGCGGATGGTGTATCGCACACCAAACTGTTTGACCAACACTCTTGAACCGTACTTAGTGCGAAACGGATGCCCTTGGACGCCGCTCAAAAGCGAAAACCGAAGGAGACGGACCTGCAACCACCGCGCGTGCCGGAGGAGCTCGCCACGACGCCCACACGGCAGCTATCGCCGTGAATCCAAGGCCAATCGAAGCGTCTGCGTCTCGGCTACGCGTAGATACCCTATTTATCTGTAGATACTCGCTGTATCGGGCGTAAACGCGATTGGATAGAGTCCGTTGGCCCGGAGAATGGCTCGCAGCAAGGAGCAGTGGAAGGCGCAGCAGAGAGCGCAGCATACCCAAACTCAAGCCAAGACAAACTCGTTCGTCCAAATGAAGAGGCCTGGCGTCTCTCTTGCGTCTGGCGGGAGGCCCCAGCTGCCGCCTACTACTTCGGCCGTCTACCAGTTGGGAAGACCCACGTCGGCTGCAGTTCCTACTGCGGTCCGACCGGTGGCGTTGAAGCCCGATCCCGTACGAATGCCAAGTGTTAGTACAAGTGGGTGGAATCAAGCTGCTTGCATCGACTTGACGCTGGATGACGACGACGACGAAGAAGACGACGAAGAAGAGGACGAACCCATGGGGACACACGGCCACAGCCAGCGGCAGCCAACAGCTCCGATCTCCGACGTGGCTGCTGGTAGTACAGTGGCTACTTCGCCTCCATCTGCTATTGCAGTTACTGTTCCCCGTGCTACAGCTACCACAGTTACTGCTTCTCCCGCTGCAGCTCCGAGCTCTCCAGCGTCGGATGCTGTCAAGTTGAGTATGTTGGACGGCACCGGGAATGGTCCTACACCGGTGGCTGCGTCTTTGCCGCAAATTGAGTCGGCGTCGGAGATGATGGCTCCTATGGTGGAGGATGTCGAGTCAGATGTGGACGAGGAGTGGCCGTCGGTGCCGCCGTCCGTGAGCGAACAGCCTTCAGCTGGCCAGACGGAGGAGAACGTGACAGCGGCGCTGGATGCGATTCGAAAGACGATACCGTTTGCACAGGGAGATCAGGAGCAGGAGGACGACGAAATGGAGGCAGATGTGGACGAAGAACTTCCGAGTCAAGCGCCAAAAGATGGACAGGGCTCTTCGGGTTCGTCTACTACGGCGGATCGGGTTGTACGCGTCGAGAATTTGGAGGATGGAGAGATTTTTGAAGAAGGAGCTGCTCCGAAGCCAGCAATTGAGGTCCAACGAGCGATTATGCTTGAGCAACAGGGTGATGCGCACCCGGTAGATCCGATGGAGATTCGTCTTCATCTCCGAAATAAGAAGCAAAAGAAGCGCGGCAAGAAGAAGACGAAGCGGAAGCTGGAGGCAATGCAGATGATGGATACGCCGCCAGGTGAAATGGAGGTTGAATTCGAACGGGTGACGCGCCAACGCCCCTTTGGAGACGCACCACCACCAGGCCCATTTACATATGCAATGATGAGAAACGGTCCAAGAGGTGAGCCAGTGAATGTGCGACCCGTGTTTCAAGATCCACCTCCAGCTTCATTTCACCCTGGAGGAATGTTCGCTGGTGCCCCTCACCCACCGATGAGACCGCCGATGCCACAAATGTCAGCTCCCATGCCACCGCCACCACCGTATGAAGACAGCCGAATTCTCCGCGTGAACCGTCAGGGCAGTATGGAAATGCTCGATAACGAGGGTCAAGTGCTAATTCATCCGATGTTCTCGGAACCCCCAAGGCATGCTGGATTCAAATACCGTTCGGTGTCGATGTCTCCACCTCAACCCACACCAAGTGAACCGATTCATTTATTGCAGCGCTCAATGAGTGATACGTCTCGTCTTCCTCCGCGTCCCACCCCAGGACATGGTGGCCTTGCCAACCCTGCTGCCAGCGGAGAGCGAGATGATCCAGATGATTTCGACCTTGACAGCCTTCGGGCAGCTGCGCTCCGAAGTAAGACAAAGCGCCCCGCGAAAACCCCGACGTCAACAAGCGAGAAAACGATCGAGCTGCAGTCGACGTCGTCGTCGCCGACACCTTCTCCACTTCCAGAGCAAAAGAAATTAGAGCCTGCAAGTCCTGAAATTGACAAGTTGCGCCTTGAAATCTTACGATCCATGCAGCGAAATCGTAAGCGATCTACCAACAAGGTAGAAGACAAGGCTGTGCCTTCGACACCGTCACCAGCTCCGACGACGGCGACCGGACAGCCCGAACAGAGTTCTTCTGAAACAGCCATGGATGGGAAGGAGGCAGGGAGTGTCGGTGTTGGTAAAGCTTCAGCTGCAAATGCAGATGTAAATCCAGCGAACAAGTTGGCACAGCCCACGTCGGAGAAGGCCGCAGGTATTGCTCAACCTGAGTGTGCGACAACTGATGGATCTACCTGTGAGACCGACAAATCTACAACTACATCTGAAGTGAACGAATCGAGCGACAAGGGAGAACCTTCTTCGGCCGAGTGTGCGAAGGCTCCAACAGACACCCAAGTGGCAACTCCAGAATTTCGTCCGTTGACGGCGTGCTCGCAATCATTGGTGATCCGTCTCAACCCGGAAGACTTTTCGCCGAGGATAGGTGGGAACGACGCACAAGCTAAGACGACAACTTCAAGCAGCTTGCAGGATGCAATTAAAGAGATGCGGCGACAAATTGCTGAACGTGAAAAGGCGCAGACGAATCGCTTATTGGAAAGCGCTGCAGCTAAATTGTCGAAAACGTCTTCTGATCAAGGTTCTTCGTCAAGCCCAGCTTCGTCGTCACCATCTCCTCTAGATCTGCCGCCTCCAGAAACCAAGACTAGCGTTGCAGTTTCTCAGCAATTAGATTCCACGGCGGCGTCACCTGAGGTGATTTCGTCTGCTATTAAATCGTTGAAGGAAACGCAGGCGGCTGTAGCTACCAAGAGACCGGAGACTGAAGAATCCGGTTCTGATGTCAAACAAGCGAGAGATTGCGAGACGAAGGAGAATATGAACAAGCAGGACTTGCTGCTACCAGACGAACAGCAACTAGCGGAAACAGCACCAGAACAAGAACCGTCGACAGTATCTGAAGAAGCTCATGAACCGGTGCTGGAGTCGCCAAAGCGGAACGACATATCAGGGGTCAGTACATTCGTGAGTGCACACGTTTTGCCTCCTGTATTGCAGCACCAGGTGCAAGCGAGCAGTGATGGGCAAAATGGAAATCCGGCGAGCAACCCTTGCGTAAAGAAATCTATAGAGCCTGTCGCGTCGGCATAGCGCCAAGTGCGGGTGAGTCCGAGCTTCTGGGCACCAAACTAATCGCTTGTTGTGTATGGTTTATTTGCTTTTGTGTTGCCACGGTTACAGGGCATTTCCGCGTTGGCAGTTGCCGACACTGAGAGAGGAACGACTTTGTGCGAAAACACAACAACCAGGAAACCAGCGTGCGCAAGTCCATCAACTCCTGGGAGAAATGATGAACTTGATGTTAGGGCAATACGGGCAGAATATGAGCAATGCGTGAACGAGTGTGAGGAAGCAGAGGCGCATATCGCTCGGTTGTCAGATGAAATGTCTCGGCTGGAGAAGCAATTACTCCCAGTTGGATCGAGTGTTGAAGGGTCCTAAAGGCGACACCGGAGGTGTGCCAGTATTGTGTAAGTCCTGCATGCTTCCCCCCTGTATTGGCGGCGACTGACGTGGTAATGTTCATGCCAGGGGCTCGAGATTTTGCTGTGCGTGCGTGTTTTGTGGAGAAAAAGGTGTAGGCGGACGCGACTGTGAGGAAGATGCCCTAAAATTTATTATGCATGCCGAATAGCAGGGGCTGTAGACTAGTGCGGAGTGGGGTTCGCCTGAAGGGCTGAACACGTCATTTGGCGTTGCAGAAGCACTACTCGCTGATAAGCTTGTACGCTGTTAGTGAAGCAGGTTGGGGTAAGCTTACATGTAGCTGGGGTTCTAGGCACTGTGTATTTATCGGAATCAATGCTCCATTTCATTGTTAAGTAATTTTTGTCGGTCTTGCTCAGAAGTACAAGGGGTTCGAATAAGGTGGATACCGATCGTCGATCCAAATGTTAACCAGGTCATCCACTTGCAGGATGATGTCGAGCAAGTTCACCTCGTCCTTGAACGTCATCGGACTTGGATGCAGTGGTGACCCACATAAGGTGACCATCAAGCTCTCGTCCTCATGGATAAACGCTCTTGCCATAATGTCAAAGTCCACCTCAAGCTTGGGTGACTGTAGCAACTCCATCATGGCCGCTTTGGCAGTATCAAACAGCACCTGATGCTGCGGAAACGCCTTGAGAAGTTGTGGTCGCACGTACTGCGTCAGCAGATAATCGATGATCGACAGCACGCGCAGCATGAAGGAACCTGCTTTGGCCGTGGTGTGCAGCTTCGTGAACTCACTGGTGCTCACGTTAAGCTGTCCGAGCGCTCTCGATGTCTTGTCGTTCCCCATGGTATCGTCATCGCTTTCTTCGTTTCTGGAGGTTGGACCGAAAGAAAACGAGAGCGCGCAGTGCTGGTTTGACTTCTTAGGAACTGTGGCTCCCGGTTGCTTCGGGGATCCAGGACTGGCCTGCGACTTCTTTTTGGCTGCCAGTAAGGCTTGTTCTCGGCGCTCTTCCTCCCGTGCCACTAGAGCATCGAGATCCAGCAGTACCTCGGAGGACAAATCTGCCAACATGACGCGGCCGACAGGTTCCAGTGGCTTGATGGTTTGTGGCTTCGCATCACCAGTTGTGGTCTTGGCAGATACCGACGGAAGCATGGCGTCCAGCTGCATCCCAACGCGATCATTTCCCAGCGGGATCATCTCAGCCCGATAAAAGCCGAGGAAACACGGAGGCACTCGAAGCCCAATGCTCAGTGGACCGCGGTAGTCGGCATCCTTGAACGAACCGTTGAGCACGCAGTCATTTCCGGTCCCCTTCACGTTGCCGGCAAGCTCGGCACTCACATCATCCACATTTTCCCGAACAAACTCGATCACATTTTTCAAAGTTTGCCAAAACTTGCTGAATGTTTGGACGCGAGTTCGAAACGAGACTTCTGTCGGACGGTATCGTCGTAAATCGAGGACTGGGGGTGTGCCTACAGGGTGGATTTCACCGTCAGAGTTGGCGGCAGCAGCCGCAGCGGCAGACGCTGCTGCCACTGCCATCGCGGGGTGTACGGTTGCTTTTCGGCCAAGGCGGATGCCGTAGATGAATCCATCCGCCCCAGTCCGTGGCTTGCTGTAGTCAATGCCCAGCACGATACGCTCGTACAGCTTGGAAAGGGCTTCGACGACATTCATCGCATTCAATGTCGAGTAGAAGTGATGTACGGCCACTTCCACTGAGGCCGGCTTCTTTGACAAGCGCTTTATAGCATCGAAAAACTTATCGATGTCGAACAGCTCGAAGGCACTTTGGGCCTCGGTTGAGCTGATCTCTACCGATGGCAACTTCTGGCGGGACCGGGCCTTGGGCGAAACTCGCGCAGCGTGCATCTTCTTAATATACACCAGCTCAAGGACGCGCTTCCACACTGAGCGTAGCCGTTCATCGTGAGATTTTTCGCCATGCCCATCTTTGGTCTCGATCGTTTCTTCATCAAGTGAAAATGCGTTGTAGTACGCACAGATCGAAGCGAGAGAGTGGAAATTGTGCGTAGATGGAAACAGCCCACTCGTTTTGAGAGCGACCAGCAGATTGAACTGCGGCGGTGAGAGTTCCAAGAGCTCTGCAATCGCTAGCATTTCCTTGCTCGAACCGGTCAACAGTGAGGAAAACATTTGCGCAGCAGCAGCTGCAGCGTCCAGAATGGGGGTCAACGGGAGTAACGATTCTTCGTCGGCAGCCTCAGCAGTTTGTCGGCGTAATTTCTGTTTTGCCTGCTCTTCTCGAACTGCGTCCAAGTCGAGCTCCTCCAGCTCTTTCTCCATGACGGCATCGATGGGCTGGCCTGCTATCTTGATCTCGCCCTTAATGTCAAGCTTGGCAGGTGGCAAGTTGAAAGCTAGTGCCAACTCATACGGGAAGTACAATAGCGTCAGGTCGCGGATAAGGGAGGTCAACACGTCGGAGCAAAGCTTTCGGACCATCGGCTCGGGTAGATCCATTCCTCCTTTTACGCGTCTCGTGAAGTTGATCAGCTCGACGTACGTGGCCTCGGGCGAAAAGAGGAACTCCCATCGGCCTTGACTCACGGAGCTTGGGTCGTCAATATCCTCGACGTAAATGAGGTTAATGGAGGCCTCAAAGTCGGAGTCCATGTACATGCTGTCCCAGATCGACTTCGGTATCCGCGTCCCCTTCTCGCCTACAACCTTTACGTGCTTACCGCAACAAACCGTGTGGCCTTTCATCGTAACTTTGCACGTGGGAGTGATTCCCTGAGCGCCGTTAGTCTGGTGGCTGATCTGGATCGAGAACGAGCTGTCGAAGCTTTCGACAAAGAAATCCCGAAGCCCGTAGAAAATACCGTCAATGCTGAAGCGCAGCGAGTAGCCATTCTCGCGCGGGTGCCAATAGTACCGTCGTAGCGCGTCGAGTTTGGACTGGGCGCAGTGCATTCTTGAGGCGAGATTGATCGCGTTTGTCGGACTGTCCATCGAGGCAGCAGTCGGCGTTGACCTGCTTGTCGGAAAAGGCATCGACGCTCGCTTTGAATAGCGCGGGCTCCCGGGGAACTTTAGTCGCTCATTCTGTCGCTTCTTTTCTTCCTCAACAGCAACTGCTTGCATCGAGATGATCGTCTTCTCTAACAAATGAATCTGTCGCTTCAACTTCTCCTTCTTCACGCCCCACTTCTGTTTCATTTTCGCTCGCTGCTCTTTTGCTCGTGCGTACACTTGCTCCAGATCTTTGACGGTTGACTTCCACGCAGCGTCAAACTCAGACTTGTCCATGCTGATCGAGTAGTGCGCTAGCTCAGTACGTAATGGAGGTGTTGGAGGTCTTTTCGGCGATGTAGGCGACGCTGGTTGTAGAGTCTCCGTCGGCTGACTCGATTCTTCTGGGTCGGCATTTTCCTGTGCTTCGACCGTCACGCTTTTTTTCTCTGGAGACGTCAGCTCTTGGTAGCCCTCCAGAACCCAGTCCACTGCGTTATTCCCTCCATTGTCGCTATTCACGTCAGCGTCGCTCTTGTCGCTCCCTCCACTCCCCAGTTCAATGGGCGGAATAGCACTGTGGACACGGCGACGAGTCCGCACCCAGCGTCTTCGACGCACATAGTCCGTGGCGTTCGGTTCACTGCGCTCTTCACCTTTCTTGATCAAATAGTTGATCATGGTGAAGTCCAAAGCGTAGACCCATCCGTCCGCGTCACACTTGCATGACGTTTTGTCGACAACCCAGTCGCTCGTCCATTCCCAGTTAACAGGTAGCTGAGGCTCCACTTTCGAGCGCGTTTGGCTGGACGGCGAGCCGTGCAGCCCGCTCCATTGATGGCGATCCGTCGGAAGAAGGTGACCTGATCCCCACAACACAACTAGTTCGTCGAAACCAACAGCGCTTGACACTTTTAAAACCATACTTTGATCACCAACCTGGGTAGGACGAGCCCCATGAGAAGCTCAGGTACGAGTATCGTTGGTGCTCGTAGATATCGTCGATCGCTTCTTCTCCGCTGAAGTCGCGGACGCCGAACTCACGATGAACCTGCTGCAGGAACTGCTCCTCCTTGCCCTGTCATCGATTGCACAGTATTTCATAAGCTTCAGCCACTTTGCTCTATGAACAACCGTCAGGATCAGCAGGTACGCACCTGGTGCTTGGCGAGGATCTCCTCGACGCGATCGACTTTGCGGGGATCGTGCGCCCAGTAGAACGCGCGCAGTCGAGATTGCAAGCTCTCGAGTCTGTCCTCCTCCTCATCTGCATGCCACCAAAAAGAATGTGCAAGAGCGGATGATTAGTCGGCGCCACTTATACTGTTGAAGACGCCTCCGCCCCACAATCCGCCTCGATGCACTTCATCAGAAGCACGAAATTGCGGTCGAACCGCAATCGTTCCGGCCACATATCCAACGTGTCCAAGACCACAAGACGACGTACATTCAGGCAAGCTCGCATTATCCGCCGTGGGGTCCTCGCGCACGGCACGGGGGCTCAGCGCCGCCGAAGTCTCCGCCATTTTCGGTCTCTTAGTCCGCAAATGGCTCACTAAAACACGGGTAACGGTTGAATCATTTCGACCAATCCGAGCCACGTAAACAACGCTGACCAATCACAGGCGAGATACGCAATCCATCATCGATTCCGTAACCGCCGCCGTCACTATCGGATTTGCATCGTGTCGAAGAGCAGCGACATGGCGGATCTCCTGGCTGCAGTGGCCTCTGCGCACACGGCGGACGCCGTGGAGAGCGGCGACGTCATCGGCCTCGCGCCGCAGCAGCTGGCGGACCTGAAAGAGCAGGCCATCGCGTACGCGGCGGCCCACGGGCTGCTGGTGGGCTGGCGCGACCCGAGCAAGCCCAAGGAGCCGACGCCGGCCTTCACGCACATCCCCTTCTGCCTGCTGCCCGTGCAGTTCCCGCGCGCGCAGTTCCAGCACGGCGCGCAGCTGTCGCCGGTCTACGGGCGGCTCGTGGACCGCGTGAGCCGCGACGTCGAGTGGCTGCACAGCTGCGTGCAGAGCGTCGTGGCCGAGGACGCCTTCACGGCGCGGCTGCTGCAGCTCTCGCGGCTCGTGCACGACGAGGGCGTGCAGCAGAAGGCGTACCTGGGCCTCCACCGCTCCGACTACATGCTGCACGAGCCGCAGGCGGGCGTGGAAGGAGACTCGCAGCGCCTGCTGCAGGTCGAGCTCAACACCATCTCGTCCTCCTTCGCCTGCATTAGCTCGCTCGTCTCGGGCATGCACAGGTCCGTCTTAGCGATCAGCTAGACTGTTGCTTGTGTTGCCTATTGCTAACCTTTGTGTGTGATGAATGGGTTTGCGTGCAGCTACCTTGTCGGCCGCCACGGTGTGGACATCCCGGCGCTGGAGAAGAACTACGGCATTGCGGCGTCGGAGTTTAAGGGCGGATTGCCGCGGAACGACGCCATCAAGGAGCTGCCCAACGCGCTCGCAGCTGCGCACAAGCACTACGGCGTCAAGGAGTACGTTGAAAACTTGCCATTTAGTGTGCAATCTCTGCGGACTGGCAGTTGACGGTATCGTTTTGCCCCCTATCTGCAGCGCTGTCGTGATGTTTGTGGTGCAGCCCAATGAAGCCAACGCTATCGACCAGCGCTGGCTCGAGTACAACTTGTGGGAGGACCACGGCGTCCGCGTGCTGCGCCGTACGATGGCGGACGTGGACGCCCGCGGCAAGCTCGTTGAGCGTGATGGCAAGCGCACGCTCGTCATCGACGGACACGAGGTCTCCGTCGCCTACTTCCGCTCGGCCTACACGCCCAACGACTACCCTACTGAGCACGAGTGGGCTGGCCGCACGCTGATTGAGCGGTCATACGCGATCAAGTGTCCGTCGATCGCCTACCACTTGGCTGGCACCAAGAAGGTGCAGCAGGTGCTTGCTCAGCCCGACGTCCTTCGGCGCTTCATGTCGGAAGACGAGGCCAAGCTGCTGGAGACGTCGTTTGCGGGTCTCTACGGCCTTGAGAAGGACTCCGCGACCATCGAGGATGTGAAGAAGATGGCGACCGCCAACCCGCGCTCCTACGTGCTCAAGCCTCAGCGCGAGGGTGGAGGCAACAACCTGTACGGCGACGAGGTGGCCTCCGCTATCCAGAAGATGAGTCCGGCTGAGCTGGAGTCGTACATCTTGATGGAGCGGATCTTCCCCAAGGAGAACCCTGCTGTCCTGGTGCGCAACAGCCTCACGTCCAGTGGCTCCACGATCAGCGAGCTCGGCATGTTCATCACGAGCTTGTTCGACGCCGAAGGCAAGGAGATCGTTAACAAGCACGCGGGCCACCTGCTGCGCACGAAGCTGTCGGGAACTGATGAGGGTGGTGTCGCCACGGGTTTCTCTGTTGTGAGCAGCCCGCTGCTGGTTTAGAGGTATTGCACAGACTGCAAGATGCACAGTTGGTAGCTGTAGGCTCATAGAGCACTCTGATCCCCAGGCAGCGTCTGGATTAGAGCTAATATCGTGACCCTTCACGTAGTGTTGTTCGTCTTGGTGGTTGTGCTTAGGAATGGAAAGCTTTGAAGCTGCCACGGGTAACAGAGGAGAACAAGCTACCCCACGTAGTGATCAACGCTTCCACGTGGTGTACGACCCGCGCTTCGACAGGTTCTTTCTGGAAGATGAAGCTCTGCACCGTGACAGGAACCGCACGCTCGACCGCAAAGATATCTCCATTCCGTGGGATAAGTGGATTCTGCCTCCGAAGTCTCCACCAAATTCCCCGCCCAAGAGTGAGCAGCCAAACGAATCCACTGTGTTGCAGCAAGTTGACGACCCGCCTGTGATCGACCCGGTTGCTCCCCAAACCATCGGAAACAAGTCACCACCACCAACAAGAGCAGAACCAAGTGGTGGCGACCTGGATAACAACGACAAAGCACAAGTTCCAGCGCTAGACTTCACGAGTTTCCAGCAGCCGTTGGCCGAGACTTCCGTCGACAGCCCCACAGGGACTCGTTTAGAGCCTGCTGCCGCCAATAAATCAAAGAAGACTCGCATACAGGACTACAACGCCCATTTCCAGCGAACTAACCAAGATGTGGCGAAATTCATGGTCGCGGCCGCTGATAACGCGGAACAAAGCGACGAGCACGAGGTCAAGTGGAACGGAGAAGTGATTCGCGTGCAAGTACCAGGGTTGCAACCTGCCACCAAGAGGAGTGCGACTAACGATTCCGCTAAGAGCGATGCGTTGGAACCAGAGCTGCTGCATGGGTCCGCGGAGGAGCAATGGCCAGGGTCGACCTACGAATTGAAGGATCTAATGCGCATCCGAGCCCATGCCGACGGGTTGCGCAGAGTCAACGCAGCTAACCGCTTCGTAGCCGTGTCCTCGTCAGAGTCCTCCGACTCCGAGGAGGAGCAGGAAGCGCCACCACAGCAGGTGTCCGAAGAGGAGTCCGAGCTGATGCCCGTATTCTTTCGAGACGACCGCGTGCTCTTCCACGCCAAGCGCCGTTGGTTCAAAGGCACCATTCGTCGCCGCATCCCGAGGTCGGACTTCTACAACGTTCGAGCTGATAACGGCACGTTGTTTGAAGCTGTCCTGGCATCCAAGATGGAGCTGCTCGATGAACCGGAGGAAGTGCCTTACTACCACTACACCCGAGGCGACAAGGTTCTCTGGATACCTGCCAGCAACGAAGAGCCATTCGCACTCAACAGCACAACTACCACAGCAAGACACAACAGGAGGGGGCGACAACGGAGCAACAATTCCGACGAAGAGCTCACGTACAAGGCGAAGATCGTGCAGGTGCGTTCATTGGACCAGTTCGATGTGCTGCTGCGCACTGGCCGCGTCGTCAAGAAGGTGCCGTACGAGCAGCTCCGGCCACAGGACGCCTCCGAGTTCGTATCTACAACCGCGTCACGGCGCCGGTAACAAACACCAGAAGCAGCGCCTCAATTTACCTCGTCCCGCTCGCTCTACTTGTTTTTGCGCTTGGCGGCCTTCTTGCTGGCCTTCTTGTTGACCTTGACGGGGGGCTCACCCAGCGCCGACATGATGGTGTCGTTCCACGAGTTGATGGACTTGCTCATATCGTTGCGGTCCACCCACGGGCGGCGCAGCTCGCCCCACGCCTTCTCACCGAGCAGCGTCACCTTGACGATCGGCGCCTGGAACAGGTTGAACGGCTGCGTGATGGTCTGGATCACGAGCGGCGGGAAGAAGCCCCACTTCCAGTGGATCAACACCGTTACCACCGTGCCCAGAGCGTACTGCAGCACCAGATATAAAAGCAATAACAGCACCATATCATCAGCCTCCAGCACTGAATAAAAATCTCTGCAGCTCTTCGGTAACGTACGCGCTGCAGCTCCTTCCAGACCATGCGCTGGTCGTGCTCCGCCACCGTGATCTTCTCGTCACGCTCGCCCGTCTGGCCGAAGCCCAGGTCCTCCTTCACCGTCACGACACCAGGCTCCGTGTTGTTCTGTGGTGACAGCATTCCACATCGTTAGCAGCTGTTGCACGAGGTATCTTCTTCGCTAGTCACGCGCACCTTCGCCTTGATGTACAGGTACAGCATGACGGCGTAGCAGAAGAGCTGTGAGAGGCCGTAGAGCCCGCGCACGATGCCCGTGTGCACTGCGTCAAACGATACAAGAGGGACAATTAGCGAGCAGTTCAGGTAGAGCACGGAGATGCCTCCCCCACGAACAGCTGCGACGTACGGGAGTTGTCCGCGTCCAGCACGGAGCGCGTGGCGATCGCCAGCGACAGCGTCAGGCCCATCATCCTGAGGTTCGGCGCCATGGTGCGCGCGGAGGGGGGAGGTCCGTTAGCTGAGCTCCTCGGCAAAGGCGAAGTGGGGCCACGTCAGCCGCCGCATACAACGCGCAAGTGTAAAAATGGTGTGGCACCCACCTGATGCGTACACCAGCGCCACACCATCTTTACACTTTTTCGCGCGAAGAGCTCACACAAAATAAAGGCGGCAAAGGCTAACGGTTGGGGCTTATAGCGGCGTGTATGCCATCGGAGCCATGGCCAAGCAGCAGCAGCAGCAGAGCCCGCCGCGCAACCCGTACACCTTCACGCGCGAGGAGTACGACAACCTGGTGAAGCAGACGCCCAACTGCCACCTCAGCAGGCGCTCCAAGTACGAGGAGGTGGAGCTGGTGGACGACTGCACCCTCTTCGACATCTACCGCCAGCCGCGCGCGCCCGTGACGGACCCGGCGGCCACCAAGACGCTGTCCGTGCGCCAGCTCAACGCCGACCTGACGTGCCCCATCTGCCTGGGCATCATCAAGGAGACGATGGTGGTCATGGAGTGCCTGCACCGCTTCTGCGGCGACTGCATCTCCACCGCCATCCGCCAGAGCAAGCGCGAGTGCCCGTCGTGCCGCATCCACATCCCGTCCAAGCGCTCGCTGCGCCCTGATCCCAATTTCGACGCGCTCATTAGCAAGATCCACCCGAATCTGGCCGAGTTCGAGCGCAACGAGGATCTGATTATTCAGCAGCAAAACCGCACGCGGCACTTCAACAATGCATACACAGAGAGCACCCGCATGGGTGTGCTCAGCCAAGCCGCCTCGCGTCGTCATGTACGTTGACGCAATGAGACGGGGGATTTTAGACTGGTGGGATACTGATTGAGTTGCTATGTTGTTGAGGTGAGCAGGGAGGGAGAAGGAAAGCGGAGGGAACCGCTTCAGCTTCGTCGTCACGTCCGTCCTCACCATCGAACGGATCGACTGGGGCCTCGCCGCCTACCGGAGAGAAGCGCAGCTCGCCTGGAGGTGGCTCTCCTAGTGAGACTGCTCCGTCGTCGGCTGCGGCGTCCGAGGACGAGAGCGCCCGCAAGAAACAGCGAGTGGATAGTGCAGCAGCGAGTGCCATTGCGTCAAAGCCGAAGGAGAGTGACCGAGTGACTCTGCGCGTGCTCCTGCACGAAGACGAACAGTCCGACGCCCCCAAGCTGGAGCGCACGCTGTTCACGACGTTCGCCAAGCTCAAAATCCGTCACTTGAAGAAGCACCTCGCCGCTCTCCTCAAGCTGGACAAGTACGACAACATGTGCATCGTGCTGCCCGCCGTGAATTGCACGCTGAGCGGGCTGTCTGACGAGGCCAAGGCGCGAAAGAGCGGTGAGATCGCTATCCGACAGGACCTGCAGTGCGACCAGGAGCTGGACGACTTTGTGACATTAAAGGATATTTATCAGCAGTACGGCATGGGCACGGATTGGGAGCTGCGCCTGCTGTACCACTTCTCTGCTGGCACGATTGTCAATGGTATAGCGCAGTTCGTCTCGAAGAAGGCGTCCGTGGTCGCATAAGTGAAGCATGGCGTTCACGTTAACCGCAACGAATGCGTGTCAGTTTTGAAAGCGTTAGCGCGGTTGGATTTGGTTAGTTTGCTGCGAGGAAGTGAGGTGCGTTGGCCGAAAAGCCTTAGCGAAGTTCGATAACAGTGGAAGCAATACAGGTAGCACAGGAAGACTGTACATGTATTTCTCAACGACCTGTCGGCTATCATCACATGCGAAGCCAAAGATCTTCTAGCACACTGTCTTCCTGAACCAAATGCTTCTGTGAGGTGGTCGCCAACGAACTCAGCTCACGCTCTATAGCTTCGTCATGAGGCTGCCTTCCACGCAAGGACACACGCAGCCGAGCCAGGCACCAAGCGGCATATCGCCGAGAAAACTTGTTCCCACAACTCCACGCATTCTTGATCTCATGCAAAACCACGCTGAGAACGGAAGGCCAATCTATCACGCCACTCCCTAGTTGCTTGAGCGACTCTCCCCATGACTCAGCAAGCGCTGCAGTATCGATAGTCTCTGGTTTTGTATCAGAGATGACATTGCGCATTCGCGAGACCAGTGCATCATCCACTGGGACTTGGTCACTGCTGGCCGAGTTGCTTAGTGCCTGCTGAATCAAACGCTGCACCACATACCGCCGATGGCACCAAAGCGCTTCGTGACTCGGGTACGACGCCATGATAGTTGAAACAAACTTGTACTCCGTGAGAACCAGGTTCTTCGCGGCATCACCCGCATCTCCGTCGTTTTGGTACCTCTTCAACAGCTCGTTCAAAGTGTGCTGCCGGTGGTTCCAACCCGAGTGATCGGTGACATGTGTTCTGCACCACGTCTCCATGTTGTCCAGTTCCTTAAGCGTCAAGTCAAGCGGAAGTCGAGACACGATCCAGTGCCGAAAGCTCCACGCGTGATAATTTCGTGGCTTTTGCTCTGCCAGCCGACTGCAAACTTCCATCTGCTGGTCGAAAAATACCCGAAGGTCATCCCCGGAGAGCGACTCGCAGAGTCGAATGGCCAGCCAGCGTCTGTAGCAGCAACTCGTCGCCGTCGTCGTCAGTGGCCGATCCAAGTAAACCACCTCTTCATTACTGCAGAATCTTACCGATAAGCCCACGTATCAATACTCTTGGGATGCAGCGTGAAGACCAAATTGGTGAACTTCACCTCCTCCTGTGCATACAGCCACCCGCGCGTCACGAACGATTTCCTGCTCCCCAGCAGCAGCAACATCAACAACCACAGCATGAGTAAAGAGACCGGTGCTTGCCTCCAAAGCAGCAATATCAGTTGATCTACCGGGTGTTCCAGGCCGTGTAAAAGTCGGCGCTGATGAGGAGAATGGCGCGTGTGCAGTGCAGCAGCTGAGCACGACGTCCGTTGTCCTCCGACTCGATGATTTCATCTGCTCCCTGCTGCAGGAGCGCGTTCAACGGGTGGAACTGCGTGCGAGCAGCCTGGAACAGCGGGATCCCAGCGGCAAAAGCCACGCCGAGCTTATGTTCCTCCAGGAAGAAGGCGGTCTCGGGCGTCAGGTCGCTCTGCTCGACGCCGAAGAGCAGGCCGACCTCGTCGCTGACGGGAGTTAAGGACAGCATGTTAGTGAGCGCTCTGCGCTGCTTGGAGGTAACCGTGCACGAGAGGAACGTCTTGGCGCGACGTACATGAGAGGGTCTTGCTGGAAGAGGCTCGAGAGCCGCGCGAGCAGCGCCTCGCCGGACGCCATGGTGGTCGATTGTAAAGCGATTTGTCATCAATCTTGTTTTGGAACTGGATTCCACCTTGTTTTGGAAGTTGAAGTGACCATCACTCCGACTTTTGGCGCAACTTTCGCGAGCTCACTCCGCAACTTTCTCGCTGCAGAAGCCATGAAGAGAACGATCTGGAAATGGTCGCATGATCGTAGTCGACATCAAGGACGTGTTGACAATCGCTCACCTGAAACGCTACATCGTCAACGAAGCCAAGCTCGAGGTAGTGCTGGTTGCGAACAGGCGTGTTCCTATTGATCCAATTGTTCGGTGTTGTCCGGGTGGTTCATATTCGCGATTAAGTACGAAATAGCAGCTTCCCGCCAAGTGCGGAATTGACAAGCTCTCTAGTTCTCTATAGTGTCGCTTTGGTGCCTCTTGTAAATGGAACACTTTCGGAAAGGTTACGAACAAGTTCCAAATGTTGGTATCGTTCAGAACTTGTTCGCAACCAGCACTAGCTCGAGGTCGCAGCCTGGCCCGGATTGACGGAGAGTGGCAGCAGTAGCGTAGACGTTTCCAGGAGCAAGTGCAGGAAATTATGGGTCAACGCGATGTGATGGATTCGGACGACCGGGTGGGAAATGACGCGTTTCCCAACCTTGGCGACGTCCAGTTCTCGTGCAGCTTCCCAACTGTCCAGGAGGTAAAATATTTTTGCGTTTGCGGGTTCGTCACGCGGAAGTGAAATTGCTAACATGTGCAGACATTTCAGGTGCCGGATCGGCAGGTCCTAGACCGACATCGCAACAACATTACTCAGGTAAGCTACGACGCGCTTCTCTCCTGAGGTGACCTCGGATGGATCTAACTTGGAGTTGAAGTGACTGCACCAGATGAAAGAGCAGGCCCCGTCCAGGGATATCCGATGGGAGGTACAAGGTCTAACAGCTTTCTGCTGGTTGGTGCGAGTTTCTAATGCATTGTCTTAGCAGCGATTGAACCCGTGGACGCGTACAAATCACCATCAAGCCTGCTGCAGTGGTGTTCTGGCGCGCTGGGCTCCTCACTGAGCTGGCTAACAGGCACCGATACTTGGTCGCAGCCGCTTCATGCCAAGAAGAACGTGTAGCGTAGCCACACAAGCGGCTAGGCTATATATTCTCAGAATACTATTCTAGAATTTTATTCTGAGAGCAAATGGCAGACAACTCTCGAGCAAAGTTTCCCTGTCGCCAACAGCTACCGCTCTTTACAACCTTCTAATCAACTGAACCCGACGGCTCCTTTAGATTCACTGGGCGATCGTCAATGGTGACGCTCGCCTGCAAAAATAACGAGCAAAGTGACGACTACGACTTACTAGCATGCCAGCTTCGCACTGCATGCTGCTGCGTGCACGCCATCGATTGCACGGTCTCCATTTTTCTCGCGCGCGCGAGGCATGCACCACGAGAACTCGCCGTAGCCAGCCACCTGCCGGCTTGCTCGAGTCCGCGGGCATGCATAGACTGCTTTGCATGCTACGAGCAATTAACAGGAGCAATTTGACTAAAGTTAAACCGCCGACACCGCGCGCCGCGTTTCTCTCCGGTGGCGATAAAAACGGACTGGTGACGCGCGCATCATTGCTGCCGAGGTTCGCAATACCGTCTTGTGTCATGCGCATGCTGTTTGACCAGACTTCAACTTGTCGATGTTGCATAGTAACCCGCCAACGGTCGCCGCCAAGATCATTCCGCATTTTGCCTTCAAGCAGACAAGCAGCACCACCCCATCACCACCTTCCCATCATGTCCGTCACCCCCGCGCTCGTCCGCCACGACTCGGGCTTCGACGTCGCGCTGCTGGAGCTGGCGCACAGCCGCCACACCATCTACGAGCACTCGCGCATGTCGGGCGAGAACCGCACGGCGCACCGCATGCTGCCCGTGGACCGCCGCGAGAGCTGCAGCGACGACCTCGAGGCGCTGTACGCGCGCAACATGGCCAAGCACTTCGGCGAGGCGCCGCGCTACTCGCGCACGCACAGTATGCCGGTGTCGCGGCACGAGAGGCTGCTGGACGAGGCGCTGCTGCAGGTGGCGCACAGCCAGCGCTCCATCTACGACAGGACGCGCATCTCAGGCGAGAACCGCAGCGCGCACCGCATGCTGCCCACGGACCACAAGGCTGAGCGCGCCGACCGCTGCACGGATGCCACGGACGCGTCCTACGCGAACGCCATGGCCAACTACTTTGTGACCAAGAGCGCCAGCAGGCTGTGAGCCGAGAGCGAGAGAGAGAGAGCGATACTCCATCATAGTATCACGAGGCCCGGAACGTATTTAATCGCTGTAGGGCGAGCAGAAACAAACAAAATAACCACAAAATGTGAGCTTTTGACACATACAACGCCTCGGCTACGGTTGGACTATTTGTGGGGCTCGACCGATGAAAGAGGTGGTGAGCTGGCGTCGGCTGTTAGCTGCGTCCGTGGACGGCGTACAGGTGGAGCGAGTGTCGCCGGAGGTTTCGGCTAAGCGTTGCGTGTTGAGTCTGCCAAGCGCAACCCCGGCATCTGGCGATGGTTTCGCAGAGTGTTGACGGAGGACTTGTGCGTCGTGGCGTCTTATTCTGCTCGTGCAAGTACAACCGCCTACCGCGGCGGCTACGCTGACGCTCCGGTGATCAGAGTTGAGAAGCTCGGACGTTGACGTTAGTGAGAGGGGCATGGGAATCGCGACACGGCACTTGCGCCGTGCCGCGCCCGTGGTAGCGTCTGGCACAGTGATCCTCACGCTCGTCACCTGTCTAGTGATCGCCAAGGCGAACAACTTTTACACGGGCGGTCTCACGTGGCCCTACTTCTCCGACCTGGGTCGTGGTGCGTTAAACAACCAATGCTCTGGCCGCTTGCTGCGTGGTGTCTGACCCTTGTGTGCTGCCCATGAATGCAGACTCACCAGGCTACTATATGTTCTGCGTCGGTCTTACCATTGTGGCGACTGCACTGTGCGCTACTTGGTACTTCAATTACCAGTTCCAGAGCTCGGCACTACGGCTCCCCACGCTGCTCGGTTACGTGTCACGCTTCGTGCTGTGGACTGCAAGGGCGTGCACTTTCATTGGTATTATCTCCACCATCGGACTACCGATACTGGTACGTGACAGCTTGAGGGTGCAAATGATCATAGCGGTGATGTCGCTGAAGGGAACGTTTTCACTCCTACCGTAGGCTTTCTTCAGCACGTCTTCATACCCGTCACTACACAACAACGCTGCGTACTGGTTCTTCCTGTTAGAAACCATCGCTATCTTTCTCAATGTTCGTATCACCTCGGATTGACAAACTTTTAGCGGTCATGACCAAGCTCACACGACTTGTGTCCGCGGATACAACAGACTTACGTCAGCCACAAGCTTGTTCAAAGCGCCAAGGTTCCTGAAACGACGGCAGGGGAAATCCCGGTGATCTGCGATTTTGAGGACATCGACGCTGACACAAAACTCCGAGGCATGCGGCGAACGTTTCGGCTTCAAGCTGTCTGCAGCGCCCTGTTCTTCGTGGCCTTCCTGCTGTACTTGCCGATCGGTCTCAGCGTTGTCCAGCCGTTCAAACGACTCACCATCGACCAGGTGAGTGTTTACTGAATCTCGTCGTTAGCTCTTGAGCGATTCTTCTAAGTTACCTGCTGGTGTTTGCAGTGCTTGGAACGCGATCTGGGTCAAGAGTACTGCCGAGTGACGATGAAGTATGATGATGTTCACACGAGGCTTTGGAATTATGGTGCGCCCGAGTCACCTTTGAGCGCTGTAGCACGCGTGCATTGCTGACAGCTATGGTATTGTTTGTTTTGCCGTCCAGAGCAAGACTTCTCGGCCACGCAGATGCGAGCAGCAGCACAACTCGGCTGCATTTTGACGCTCGTCGGCTACTCGGTTTCTTTCCTGACTCACAACGTCGAGACGTTCGTCAAAGACCGAGACCGGGTTGCAACCTTTGAGGCGTCCGGGATGCAGACGAACAACGCGCACTTTTGCGCGATTCCTGTGCTCATGTCGCCCGAGCGACCGTCAGATTCTCGTGACAGCACAGATTTCATCACCAATGTAAATGGATAATGGATGTCAGTGCAGTCGAGTACTGTATCAACAGTAAGTAGGTATGCAATCGAGTCAATTTGGCTCTCTTTTACAAATATTCCGGGACACACCGGTCCTGCGTACCGAAGTAACTGTATTCTTTTGTGAGTCACTCACTCATCGAGCGCAAGACGAGGACGATGGACGTGGTGACGCCTGCTCAGCTGGAGACCAAGATCCGCCAGGAGATCGGCGCGGCGCTGGTGGAGGCCGTGGACCTGTCCGACGGCTGCGGCAGCAAGTTCAGCCTCGTGGTGGTGCACGAGGGCTTCGAAGGTCGGTGGGCCAGTCGTTGAGGGGAATGGCGTAACCATAACAAGCAGCACTAACCGTAGCACCGTTTTCTCTCTCCTGCTGCTGCAGGCCAGTCGCTGCTGGAGCGCCAGCGCCGGGTGAACGACTGCCTCAAGGAGGAGATGACGCGCATCCACGCGCTGCAGATGAAGACGTGGACGCCCGCGCAGTACGAGCAGAAGACGCAGAAGAAGCTGCCCTCGGCCGCCAACAGCCAGTCCTCGGGCGAGCACTAGACGACGCAGGAAGGGTGCAATCAATCCACAGAGGCCACAGGGCCGCGTTGCAGAGGAAAAGCTTGAAACTGTATCGTGTATATTCATATTCAGCTGCTGGTGGTGGCTACTTACTGCAAGGAGGAGGAGGGGACGTGACGGGCGAGGCGGGAAGCGTGGCGGACTGAGCCAACTCGTCCAGGCTCAGGCTCAGGTCCTCCACACTACTTGTCTTCTGCCACTGCTCTGTAGGGTCGGCGATGCCCGCAGCTCTTTCCCCCGTCGGCTTGACGATGAACTGCCGCGCCCTTGCAGTCAGCGTGACATCGGAGCCGGCGCTGCTGGACCTGGACAGCGACCCGAAGCTTGGCCACACTGACGATGGAGACTGCGGCGGGTCGCTCGGTGCTACGCTCACGCCGTCACGGGCGAGGAGCGAGAGCGATGGAAAGCTGGAGGCTCCTCCGTTGCTGGCGGTTTTACGCGGACTGGGGCTTCTGCCTTTGTTGCGGCGACCGGGAGAGTTACCGCCACCGCCGAGATGCTGGTAACTCTCCTGGCTGCACCTGGCCAGCTTCTTGTAGAATTCGAGCTCGTCCGTGAGCAGGCGGCACTTCTCCTGCGACATAATGATCTGCTGCTTGAAAAGACCTTGGTACTCCTGCAGCGAGTTCTGCAGACAGCCGATGTGCGTCTCCTGGTTGCTCAGTCGCGTCTCGCACGCGCGGTTCTTCATCTCGAGCTGGCTACACGCGACGTTGCACAGGTTCGCCTGGAACTCGAGCTCCTCGATCCTCGTCTTCAGCCGGGCGTTCTCGATCATGATGTTGTAGCTCTCTCCGCTGAGCGACAGTCGCGCGTTCTCCGTCAGATAATGCAGCTGAAGCTTCAACTCCACAATCTGCCGAGAGAGTGCTTCGGCGTCAGCATGATGCACGCAGTCGGGCTTGGAGCAAGGTGGCATTGCCCCCTGCAGCGACGGTAACACGGCTCCGGTCATTTCATTCAAGGCTGGCGGGGCTTTCAGGGTCTCTAGAGGTGCCTGAGGTAATATATCCGTCACACCAGGCGATTCCTTGACTTCTGACGTCTGTGACCGCTGTTGCTTAGCAGGACTTGCCGCTTCTTGGCGCTCGGATCGGGACTCGAGGGATTTCCGCCAGTTATCACTCTCCAACCAAACCTTGAGCGAAGGCGCCGCCGCAGCTTCTCGCATTTCCGCGCTATCCTCTTCGCTGGCGCCTTGGCGCTCGCTTGAAAGAGTTAGTATCGGCCTGCCCGTGGACAGATCCACCGTCACCTCGTCGAGCTTCTTCTCGAGTGTTTCCAGCACGCCAAACAGCCGCTTGTTTTCTTCCTGGAGCGCTTGGTTCGCGAGCTCGAGCTTGGTAATGTTCTTGGCGTCCGTCTGTGCCGGGTCGTTGTCTTCGTCATCACCCTCTTCATCGTCGTCGGCACTCTCACCGTCCTCCTCTTCGTTGTCGCCTTCTTGGCTGGAGTGGTCACCGTCCGAGGCGTCCGTGTCCTGGGGCTTGCCAGCGTCTTGCACAGCTGCCGTCGCGAGGCTGTTCGCAGCTAGCTCCGCTTCGTCGGGGTGCTGATTCTCCTGGTACTTTGCAGCTAACAGTCTCTGGAGCTCGTCGATCTTGCGGTTCTTGGCCTCCATATCCTCCATCGCTCGCTGGTAGAGCTCCTTGAAGATGATGCCCGTGGCGAAGCCAGCGCCACCCTCTCCGCCATCGGTCCGCTGAATAACGGGGTTCTTGATCTCCTTGGCGCGCAGTCCAAAGCGGAGCGTGGAGATGGTCTCGGCCATGTTGTACGAGCTGCACGAGGCCGCCAGGATGAGGCACGTCTTGGCAGTGCCTCCAAGCGAGTCTTGCAGCAGACGCGTGAGCTTCGAGTCGCGATAGGGCACATGACGCTTGCCTTCTCCAAGAGCCTTGATGACGTTGCTGAGAGCCGAGAGCGACTTGTTGATGGCTTTGGCTTCCTGCAGCACTCGACCGCTGGCGTTCGTCTTGTTCACGAGCTCCGAGCCTGCAAGATCAACGATGTACATCGTGGCGCGTCGTCCGCTCACGGGCCGAACGCAGGAGATCATGAGGATCGTGTGACTGCGACTCGAGTCCTTGTTCATGCGCGTGGAGGATACGGCGCGACTGAGCGTGCCGCTCTTGACCAGCTCCATCATGGCGGCTTCGGACTTGCTCGGGATGCGCGTCATCTCCTCCACGTACACGCCGTGCTGCGCGCTCTCGCGGATCTTGAGTCCTCCGTTCGTCGGCGCCCCGATGTTGCCACTGCTGCTGCTGGGGCTGAGCAGGTCGCGGATCTGCTCCATGTAGATCTCCACGAACGACACGTTGAGCTCGATGGGGTCCGTCTTGGCTCGCTCCACCTCCTCGTACAGGTCCTTGGCCACGCGCGAGATGATGCCGCCCTCCTCGTCGGCGCTCACGAGCACGCCGTCCTTGGGCCCCAAGATCGTGTGCGTCTTGCCGGAGCCCGTTTGTCCGTAGGCGAAGATGGTGCTGTCCATTAAATAGAGAGAGAGGCACACAGTGAGTACTAGGAGAGTGAAGCAGGCTGCCAGCACACCTCTCTCTCTCGCTTACCAGTTGTAGCCCTGCAGGAACTCGTGGAGGAGCGGTTTAGCCGTGTGGGCGTAGACCTCCTCCTGCGTCGAGTTGATGTCGAAGACGCGGTCGAACGTGCAGCGGATCTCGTCCACCTCGCAGCGCTCGTTGCGCAGGAACATGGTCCGTCCCCCCACCACGGTCGTACTGCAGCAGACAATAGATCAGCACCCACCCAATCATAGATAGAGCCCATTGACGACAGACTACTGCACGCACCACTGCACGGCCATCTCGCGCTTCTCGAGCTGGTTCTGCTGGCGCAGGCGGCAGAAGACCTTGATGCTGGCGAGCTCGGGCGTCGGGGAGCCCCCGCCCGAGGACGAGGCAGGCGCTGAGGCGTTCGCGTTCGCAGTCATCCTCCTGCCGTCGTCCATGGAACAGCGGCCAGGCGAGAGGCGAGTCTTGCGGGTCTGAAGGGCATCGACGACAACGACTCCAGTCAAGCTAATCTTAGAAGAGACCAGCAAGATATAAATAACTTACAACTTCAACTTGCAATGAAAAATAAAAAATATAAAATACCTCACGTTGCTGTCGCTTAGACGAAGAACATGACTCCCCCCAGCTTGTCACTGAGCCCCGCGAGCGTGTACGTGGACGCCATGTTGGACGACGTCGAGGAGCAGTCCGTCGACGTGTCGGAGAGCGACCCCAGCGCTAGCTACAAACCGTTCCGCGGCTTGGCGGTTCACGCACGGATAGCTGCCATTCATACTGCTGCAGATGACGACGCCCCAGTTCGAGAGCGTACATGGCTTCACAAACGTCTTGTCCTGCAAATTCCAATTGCCGTTTCTTGGACGATGCACACCATTCCCATACTGAATGTCAGGGGCGGCCAGCACCCGCGCACCGACCCCCTCCATTCGCTCAGCGACTGAAAGCCCAAAAGCTCGGAGGAAAGGGTCATTCTCAAAGTTGAACGAGTCACGAAGCCGCTGGATGCCGTTCATTCGGACGTGTGGCTTGACCACAGCTTGGGTGCGGATCGCAGTCGTGTTGGAGCGATCGGGCCCACAGTAGGGCTGACCAGGGGCCACCTCACACAGCTCTATCGGGACCCAGCTCTCCGTACCAGCCTTTCTTCTGCCGAGGTTCACTGGAGGCAGATTCGGATAGCGCAGCCGAATGTGATAGCGATCCACGAAGTACTGTTCCACCGACACGGGATTTCCATCAACGTTTATCATTGTCGACCGTGCGGACGACTCGGACACCCCCATAATCTCATTGAGGTTTGTGACTCGTTGCGTCACTCGCACCACCAACTTCTTAACTTCACGGGCGAGTTTGAAAGTTTCCTGCAGGTCGCCAAGGCGGATGCTGTCATAGTGTCGACTGCCCAACGCGTCACCGACGATCTGAAGCAGCGGGCCCTCAGCGTAGAACTCCCTCCACACTCTGTCAAGATTCAGCACTAGAGAACCGGCACCGAGGCGTACAGTTTGGTGGTGCCCTTTGTAGAGCACCCAGCCTCCATTCATGTCCAAAGCATCAATTCGTGAACAGAGATTCCCACGACACTCCACGCGACTGCCAACCAGTCCAGCCTTCATTACTGCGTTCAGCGCGTACACGAGTGGCTTGATCTCCACTGTCGGACTCGTAAACGCCTCCTGCAGCGTGTTCATTTCGATCTCCTTGACCAGACGAATGCGAACAGCAAACGACCGAGACTTTCCCTTCGCCACTCCAGGCGGGTCGATTCCATACCCGTTTCTCGCAGCCGAACGCACGTCCAACACCTCGGTCTCGCTCGACAGCGGCAGTGCTGCGGGCGTGAACAACGCGTTGGCTCCGTCGTGCACTACCAGGATCTGCCCGAATAAATTCTGGTTCTGCTCAATTGCGTTCTGCATCACCTGCCTCAGAAGCGGCCGCATCAACGGCCGCCCACAGAACTTCTGCTTGTCTCCGCCTACTTCGCCTCCCATCTCGATCGCGACATGGTACTGGTAAATCTTCGGACACTTGACAGGGTCCACCGCGACCTTGTAGCAGTTCGACTTGAGACGCTGCGCGTTCCCACTGCCGCCAGCTCCTGCTCGACTTGAGAGAGCAACGTCAGCGCACAGGTACGGGTCATCGCTCTTCGTCTCGAGCGGCTGCGTGCTGCCCTCCCACTCGGGATCAGCCTGGCCTTCATCGGGCGGAGGTGCGTGAGCAACTGGCCGCTGGTCGCTACCCGATCGCGAGCTGCGAGTCACGACTGACACCTCACGCTCACGGCGACTCGAGTGCTGAGTGTGGTGGCGAGGGCGTGAGCGACTACGAGACGGACGCCGAACTCGAGCGTCTCGATCATTGTAGCCGTAGTGGGCGTCGCACGCCATCGCGGCCAGTGCGGCCTCGCCGGTCTGGACTGCGACTTCGTCTCACCCGGTCGCGCGAATGACTGCGACGCTCATGACGAGTCGACTGCTCTGCGTGGTGGCGGGGGCGCGAGCGGCTTCGACACGATCGTCGTCTCTGATCATCATACCGGCAGTCGTCGTATTCATAGCCATAGTAGTTGTCATCGTAGCATCGATCGCCGCCGCTGCCATGACTCCTCCGCTCCGGACTCGGGCTACTCCCACGATGCCCACGCGAATCGTAGCTCGGGGCGGCGTTCCAGCCAGAATCGTACTGGTTTTCGTATCGTCGTGTAAACACAGGGCTTGGCGATCGGCTGCGACGGTCGTGATACGAGCGGCGCTGACGAACATTGCGGGACCAGGAAGACTCACTGGGGGAGCGGCGGCTCCGACGAGAGCTGTGCGCGTGTCTGCTGCCTCTTGAGTGGCCCCTGTCGACATCGTAGCCGTAGCCTCCACGGTCCGAGCGCGAGTACCGAGACATCTCGTCTTCTTGTGGCAGTGTCGTGGCAGTTGGAATACCACCTCGTCCCGCATGATGCAGGCTTGAGGAAAAGCACGCAAGGCCCAACTGCCAAGTCGCTTTGCTTCACGGTTTGCTGCAGTGCGAAGGCCAGTCGCTCCTGACAAGGCGGCGCAGTCTGAAATGGCTCATAAGACTCTGGTCTGTGAGTGTGGCATTTGGCATGGGGGTGCTGGAAGTGATGGAGCTGCTCAAGCGCGCCGATCGACGATTTGGCTGAACATTCTCCTCGTCTGATTGGCTACTACACCCCAATTATCATTTTAGGCCTAAATGGACACAACGCCAAGGCTCGCGGACTGCCCGTCGACTGCCTTCGCCGTCCCGCGGCGGCTCTTAGCCGGCCGCAAGCGCCGCCCTGAAGCTACCACCGCTAACGACGGTTCCTCCTTCTTCACTGCCGAGGACTTCGAAGCATTTTCCGTCCGCGGGGACGTCCTGACGTCGCGCCTCTATGGGGAACTGGAGACTCGGCGACGGACCATTGTCACGTCGGTGGCGCCCACTTCTGGTCGGAAAAGCTCTGCAACTGCGACTATCAAGAAGCAAACGAAGCACCTGATGCTGCTCTTGCTGGAGGCCATCGAGGCCAACCGCATCCAGCGCCCAGAGAAAATGTTAGAACTCGACAACGCGCGGCGACGAGTCTCCGGAATTTCGGTGGCCGAACATGAGCGCTACCTGATGCTGCAACGCAAGCTCTTCCAGGCTCAACAGGTGCGGCATAGGTGATTTTTGACTATAGCCGGAGTGGGGACGGAGCTGGAGATGCTGACGGAGCTGGGTGGCGACCTTATTGTGTTTGTATGTCTGTAGCGCGGATTGCCGGAGGTGCTGGCACTTTCGGCGGATGAGGCCAAGCAGTGGAAACAGATGAAAGCAGACGTTGCGTATGAGCAAGTGAACTTTTGCAGGATGATGGCGAGGGCCTTAGCCGCTGAAGCTGCTGCTAATGAGATGCAGGTGCCAGCGTTTGCGATGTCTTGGGTACGTGCGTTGCTAGTGAGGGGACAGACGAGAGGCTAGAGCTCACGTCATCTGTGTGTGTTTGTTGGGCAGTATGAGGCGATGCTGACGCAGTGCTGGAATGATATCTACCGTCTTTATCCACGCTGGTTTGAGCCGTGTGCGGTAGTGCAACTCCCGAGCGGTGGTGCTCTGACTGCCAATGGGTCGGGCGCAATTAAGGCTAAGGAAGTTGCTGCTCGAGGCTCATGCTGTGCTGTAGACCTGCAGAAACTTTTGCCTGGTCAACCGCTGAAGACTTCAGCAGATGAGAGTGACGGGTTGGCGCTGGAAGTGGTGTCTCCGCGCCAGGTCATTTCCGCTGACTTGCAAGCAGAAGAGTTGATGGAGAAGTACGACTGCGACTTCGCCATCTCGTCATCTACGTTGGTCACACTTTTTGACAGTGATACATCGACTCGTTTCGCTCATGTGGTAAGTAGACTGCAAAGTGCCGAGACAGTCGTGTCTGTATGTGCTAACTTGTGAAATGTTTGGGGTATGCAGCCTGCTGGCTGGGGCATCCCAATGAAAAGTCGAGCGATCATTCATGGAGGAGCATCCAAGAAACGTATCTTCTTGGACCGCCCGCTACCAGGTAGCAGGCCAAGCACACGAGAGAAGTTAGCAGAAGCTGGAAGAGCGACATTGCTGTCACGCTTCGAGGTGGGAATATTGAGCAATTTTAGCAGGAAACACCAGTATGGTTCTAACGTGTTCTGCTGTAGACTGATTCGATTGTTCAAGGCTCAACAGGAGGACGCACGTCGTACCATATCTGGCAACTTGATGGCAAGCGAATTTTAGTGCGCAGCACGATGCACGCGGGCACCATTTCAGCAGCTCCAGCAGCTGAGAGCGCCTCTGAGCAGCAGCACAGTAAGCGTACTGTTGTGCCTCTCAGTGTTTTTTGTAAGCCAGATTACAACTTGCTGGGAGTCGAGGAGCAGCTAACAACGAGCGAGAGATGTCGTTTCTGGCTCCACTCGTGGCTTCGCGGTGGCTCCACCGTTCTCGTCGCGCGAGTCAACCCCAAGAAGGAAGTCGTCACCTCCTGGAAGACGTATTCGCCGGGATCGCTCATCTATGGCGAGAAGACTCAGCAAACTGTTCCGCTCGAGTGCTTCGAGTAAGTTTGAGCATTTCTACAGTAGCGTATGAATGGAGGACGAACTAACTGTGTGTCGTTTCTTGTTATTTCCAGTCCCGCGGCAAAATTCCAGTGGTTGTCCACTCTGCTCACTGCGTTGGGTGACATCCCTGTGGGAAACTATCTCCTACGTCCACACGATGCGATTGGGTCCAGCACTTTCGGCAAACGACGGGGTGGCGTGGAGGTGCTGATGGCTACTGCTGAGCCTGGCATCGAGACTCCTGTGGTTGATCTGTATGGTTTCATGCCAAGACGGGAGAACGGAGCAGCAGCAGTGCCACCCGCGTCTGACTCCATGCCGCCAGCATACTCCGTGTTGCCGTCGTGGAATCTGCCAGACCGTATCCCGTACACTTACAAGACGGGTATGTACTGCGTCATGTTCTTCTTGGAGGGGCAGTGTCCACAGATCTCCAAGGGCGAGAGCTGCGAGCACATGCATCTGCGTCTGGTGGAGCAAGTCGGAGGACCGAAGAAACCAGCCAAGGCGAAGCGGTGGAAGTTCGAGAACTACACCGAAGTGCTCAAGAAGGCTGCGCGCGAGAACTTCGAGATGCTGAATCGACCGGTACAGGTGACGCTGAGCTACGCGTTCTGCGGCGAAGAGAACGCCCCGCCATCGGCTCCTACCATCGCGGATCTGTACGCTCCAATGCGTTGCCCCAAGCCTCCAGGCGAGTGCCAACTGCCCCACTTCACACTGCACCAGGTTCTCGAGCGACTCGCGGACGATCTGCTGCGCAAAGGACGAGGGAAGCGCCGAGAGCAGAAGAATGGCAACCGCCAGCAACACAGAAGACCGGACTGAGAAGATTCTCCATCAACAGTGAGTAGTAAACAGTTACAATGCGTAGTGTATGCAGGCAGCGAGACTACAAAACCTTCTTATCCTTTTCCTTAGTATGATCGTCGGTCTGCCCCCATTGATGTTTGAGTCTAAAGCTGAGCGGACAGAAGCGGCCGCCGCTGCTGCACGCGCGGCTTCTCGACCTGGCGCAGCAACTTGAAGATGCCCGTGCCCAGCGGGATCGGGATACCCATGATAATGCACTCACTCACACCCACGATAGCGTCCGTGCGTGAGTGCACGGCAGCGTCGAAGAGGTGGTCGGTCGTCTTCTCGAACGACGCCAGCATGAGCACGCTCTCCTTCATCTTGGCGATACCGAAGCGCGTGATACCCAGCACTTCGCCCTTGAACGTCATGATATCCGACAGCAGCATTAAGTGACGTCTGTCGATACCGATACCGTACGCGCTCATGATGTAGTTCACTTCGGAGCTGATGAGCTCACGCGCCGCCTCGATACCAAGCGTCTTTTCCACCTCAATGATGTGGTTCGAGGTCGTGTGAAGGCCGTCGACACCCGGGATACCCATCACTTCGGCGAGACCGTAACCTTCCACCAGCAAGTGGAGCGACTTGGTCGCGCTCGCATCCTGCACCTCCTCGTAGTTGATCACGGCGCGGTTCACCGTCGGGATACCCTGCACAATCACGCCAGGAAGTTCAGCCTTGAGCGCCTGCAGAGCGAAGTAGGCACCGCGCGAGTCGCCCTTGGCTCCCTTGTAGTTGGGAGGCGCCAACAGACGCAGTTTGTCGGGGCAGCGCGCGTTCAGAAGAACGTGCTGCTCCTTCAGTAGCCGCAACGCGCCACGCGGACCCACGCCGACGGCGTTCAGGATGCTGTTGCGCACAGATCGCGCCGTGATGTTCAGATGCAGCTGCTCGATGGCCGTCAGGTCCAGCTTCACGGAAAGGTAGGCCTGGTCGCGGGCGAACACCTCCTTGATGTGCACAGCGATTTCACCCAGCGTCGTCTTCTCAATCCGGCCCTTCACGATACGCGCCGAGCGCTCGTCCGTCTTGCACACCAACGCCGCTGTGATAATGGGCGTACTGATGACCTTGGAGGCGTTAATAATCTCCTTGAGACGCGGCACACCGAGCGTCACGTTCATGCTGGCAACACCGGCAAAGTGGAACGTCTTCAGCGTCATCTGCGTACCAGGCTCCGAGATCGACTGGGCACCCACGGCACCCACAGCCTCACCGGGCTCCATACCCGCACGGTTGTACTTGTACAGAGAGACCTCTAGCAGCTTCTCCACCTGCTTCGCCGTAATGCGGCACACGTTGTGCGACAACAGCCAAGCGGCCTCCTCCTTCTCAGCAGTGCCGTTCTTGCCTGCGCGCTTGGTCCACTCAGCACGAGCCTTCGCAGTTTTGAAGCGAGTGCGCTCCCATTCCGGCAGGCCGACCTTGTCCAGCCCCTTCTGCTTGTACGTGGTCAGGTCCATGCTCATGTCCTCATCCGAGTCCTCTGTGTCGTCGTCGGACTCAGCCTCGGGCTTTACCAAGCGGCGACGGCCTTGAGGCTTAGCAAGCTTCTCCAGCTTAGTCGACACTTGAATTTTCTTCTCCTTCTTCATGTCACCAGTCTCCGACTTGGTCTTGAGCACACTGGCCGCCTCATCGTCGTCGAAAGCCTTCTCGAGCTTAGAAGCGTACGTCTTCACCGCCTTGTCCATCGAGTCAAGGCCACAGCCCGTGCGGTTCGAGGCGATTTCACTCGCGACGGAGCCCAAAAACTCTTCGATCTCAATCAAGAACTTCCGACCGGTCGGCAGAATAGCCTGGAACTGAGGGCGCTGCACGACCTGCTTACCCAGGCGACGCAGCTCGAATGGCAGCAACGCCGGGGACTCACGGTCGGGCAATGTGTTACGGATGTGCTCCAGCAGGCGATGGAAGTCAACCGGTCGGTCATCGCCTTCCATGTACGCTGGGTTCAGGCCATCATCACCGAACGTGAACTGCACCACGGAGCCTTCGGAGTTGCGCACAGTCTGGTCGTACTGGCAAGACAAGTCCTCCAAAGCCTTCATGAGACGACGGGCCATGTATCCAGTCTCGGCCGTCTTCACAGCAGTATCGACCAAACCTTCACGTCCTCCCATTGTATGGAAGAAGAACTCGGTAGCCGTCAGTCCGCTGTAGAACGAGTTGGCCACAAAACCCTTGGCAGAGGCGTGCAGAGCGTGAGGGAGGAAGTGAGGCAGCGTGCGGTTCACGAAGCCCTCCGGGACACGCTTGCCGCCCACAGACTGCTGACCCACACACGCCATCATCTGCGAGATATTTAGTGCGCTACCCTTAGAGCCACATTCAGCCATGATACGCGGGTTGTTGTGGAATGGCAACGTGCGCATACACTCAGCACCTGCAGTCTCACGCAGTTTACCGAGGAGACCGTTGAGTTCACTCTCCAGCGACTGAATAGCGTTACATCCAGGCTTCAAGGAAAGCTTGCCACGTCGGTATTCCTCAATGGAGTTGTTTGCTGCGTCGTAACCAGCCTGCAACAGCTTTTCCTTTTCCTTGGCAAGCTCCTCCGAAGGCGTGACGTCATCAATACCAATCGAGAACCCCTTAAAGTTGCCCAGCCAGCGCGCGCACAACTTAGCCAGCCTGTTCATGCAGCGCGCAGCCTCGTGAGAGCCGTGGTCACGAATCAGAACGTAGAACAGACCCTGCTTACTACCGTCACCCAACGTCTTCTTGCCCAGGTTGCCACAGATCAGCTCGCTGTTCCTGAAGCAGACGTAACCGTCCTTCCAGCACATGTACTTGTTGTTCGTGTAATTGCGCTCCTTGAGCTCCAGGTTCGCCATCACCTTCGTCTGCGAGTTGGGTTTCACCAAAAGACTGATCACCTGCTTTCCCGTCCACAGGCGCACAGGGAGCACGATCGCGGGCAGGGGCAGCTCAATGTGCTCGTTCGCATCACTCATGATGGAAATCACCTGGCAGAATTGCTCGCGGTTGAAGAAAATGTTCTTTTGCGTCAACAAGTACGACGCCGTAAGGAAATCCTGCGTCGCTGCAACCAGCGGCTCACCGTTACGGGGTGTGATAAGGTTCTGCTCCACACCCATGAGCGTAATAGCCTCGGTACGCGCCTCCTCCGTCTGCGGCAGATGCATGTTCATCTCGTCACCATCGAAATCGGCGTTGTACGGCGAACACACACACTCGTTGAACCGGAACGTCCTCCACGGCATCACCTTCACACGGTGGGACATAATGGACATTTTGTGAAGCGAAGGCTGACGGTTGAACAGCACGATGTCGCCGTCCTCCATGTGACGCTCCACGATGTCACCAATCTTGAGCTCGTCAGCCAGACTCGCGCGGTCGCCGTACATCAGGTTCTTCGTAAACTTTTGCCCTTCAATGCGGATGATATTCGCTCCAGGGTGCACGTTCGGTCCGTTCACGACGCACTTGCGCAGCTTCTCAATGTTGTAGCGCGTGACCTTCTCCGGATACGTCATCGTCTTGGCCACATGCTCGGGGACGCCCACTTGATCAATGCGCAGGTTCGGGTCGGGCGAAATGACGGTACGACCGGAAAAGTCCACACGCTTGCCCGACAGGTTACCACGGAAGCGACCCTGCTTGCCCTTGAGGCGCTGGCACAGTCCTCGGATGCCGCTCTTGGCTCCGGGCGGCTTGACGAGTCCGGGGGTGTCGCCGTTCATGAGCTGCGCCACCTGAATCTGCAGAAAGTCCCAGTCCTCCATGACCATCTTGAGCGACGCGCCCTTCTGTAGCGCCGCACGCAGGGCGAAGTTGACCTGCACGATCTCCTGCAGCTTGACCGTGATGTCGTCCTCGTTGCTGCCGGAGCCGCCGTCCATGGCCACGGAGGGGCGGATGCACACGGGCGGCACAAGCACCGAGTTGAGGATCAGCCGCTCGGGGCGGCCGTTATCCGCGTCCACCCAGAGCAGCTCGCAGTCCTGGTCCGGGATCTCCTTGAAGAGCTGCAGCACCACAAGCGGGCTCAGGTCCTCCTGCGCCTTGGGCAGGTGCGCGCCGATCTCCGGGTTGTTGGCCTGCGCCTCGGCGAACTGCGCCACGAACACGTTGCGCAGGTCGTGCGTGGCCTTGGCGCGGTACTTCTCGTGCACGAGCTTGAGCGTGGTGCTGGTGATCTTGCGCACGGAGCCGTTGATGGCGTCGCAGTACGGGCACTTGATGGTCTTCTTGCAGAGCGCCGCGATCTTCTTGCGCAGCCCCACGAGGCGCAGCACGTCGGCCCTGGGGTCGCGCATGCGGCGCAGGAAGGTCTCGCGCTCGGCGGGCGGCAGCAGCACGCGGCTGCACGACTTGCAGATGTTCTGCAGGATCTCGGTGATGGCCTTGAAGTAGCCGATGTGGAAGACCGGCAGCTCCAGCTTGATGTAGCCGAAGTGGCCAACGCAGTCCGCCAGCTTGAGGTGGCACGTGTCGCACGTGTCCTTCTTGTTGGACACGCCCAGGCGCTTGTCCAGCACGCCGTCGGCCGCCGGCTCGCGCGTCTGCACCTTGAACAGGTCCTTGGAGTGCACGCGCAGCTCCGACATCTGCATCATGTCCACGTCCGAGAGCAGCCCGAAGTTCAGGTGGCTGATCTTGGCCGGCCGGTCGTTCTCCAGCACGAGCTGCTTCACAAGCGGGTTGCGCCGCGCGCGCCCGCCGCTCTGCATGGCTACAGGGTGCTACGGTAGGACGATGCTGCTAAAATGGTTGTGCCTGCAGAAGTATGGCTGGCTGGCTGGCGGCTTTCCGTTTCGGCCAATGGGGGGAAGGCACACTATTTCAGCCAATCACAGGCGGTTAAGAGTGATTGACCGACCACCTCAACTTGGTATACAGCAAGTATACATGGTTGTCAAGATTTGCTACAGTAGGGCTACATATTACTTCCGAGCATTGCTGCGGCGCTTGAGGATGTCCAAGGCTTCGTAGAACCCAGACACGTCCTCCTCGACGGTACTGCACACAACACACACAACAACGTGAGTATTACACACTTTGAACATCACCGCCAACGACAATTGGACGTAGGATACCTTGAGGTGCTTTGCCTTGCAACTGAGGACCGCTGCGAGTGCGAGGAAGACGCTCTCTTGGGATCGCTGAATGCTTTTGACTCCGACTTGCGAGACGCGCTTTCGGGTCTTTCAGGGGACGACGACTTGACGGGGTCTCTAAGATTCTCAGAGCTTGGACTCCTGTTGTTGCTGGGTCGAGTTGGTTCAGGCTTTGCCTGCGCCGCCAGCAGCGTCTCTGTGAGCAGCGCGCCTTTGCCCTGCCGCTGGTACCACAGGTCGAAGTCCTTCTGGAGCTTGATGCGCCCCATTTCGAGCATCTTCTGGATGTGCTGGATCTCCTTCTTCAGCTCGCTGAGCTCGTTGAAGCCCTTCTTGTAGGCGACTTTGTGTCCGTCGATCTGATCTTTCAGCTTCTGCTCGGCGGCCTCCGCCTCCGCTCGAGCCTTTGCCGCGGCTGCGGAAGACGCGTCGCCGCTGTCTCCACCCTCATCGATAAGACCCTCGTCAGCGATGGCCTGCTGCTTCCGGAGCTTCTCAATCTTTAGCGTCAGCGCCTTGATCTGGTTGCGCGCCTCGTTGACCTCGCTAGCCAAAGCCTTGGCAGCGTCGTATTTGCGCTTGAGGGCGATTTTGTTGTCTCGGATGGCATCGTTCTTCGGGTACTGCGCCTTGAACGCTTCAAATGCCTTGGCAGGGTCTTCTAGTATTGCTGGATCAACCACGAACGTCGACGCGTAGTCACCGGGAGGTTTGGTGGCTGCAGGTGCGCTCTGCTTCTTCCGTGGTTTTTGGTGGTGTTCGTCCTGGTTGCTTGCGTACTCGGTAGTCCCACGAGACAGAAGCTCTGCGGGGATTGTTGCCCCGTGCTCTTTCCGGATCATGTTGACCATGATAGCGATCTCGTTGTCACGCTGCTGGACGAGCTGCTCGAGCTCGTGGACGCGCTGCTCCATCTCCTGGTTGTTGCCTCCATTACCCGCAGAGATGAGTTTTACGCCACTGGGTGCCCCGGGTATTCCAGAGCCACCACCACTACTACTACTACCACCACCACCACCGGAAGCTGCAGCGGCGCCAGCGGCGTTCGCCATGCTCTTGAGAATGTCAAAGCACGCCTTCATTTTGGTGTACGTGAACTCGCCCATCGACAAATGAGCGCTCGGCTCCGAGTCGTTCACAAAGTTCAAGCACTTTTGCCGTAGTTTATCGATCTCGTAATCCTTCAGCTCCGCGCCTTCGTTCTGATCAACCAAAAGTTCTTCGAGAGTCAGCACTGGAATAGATAAGCTCATGAACTGGGGAGAATCACGTACCACATCGCCCTTGAGAGTGGCTAATTCTTCCTCGAGGGTAGCAACTCGTGCCTTGAGCTGTCGAATGATCACAGCCGGGTCGACTTCCTCGTTCAGACGAGCGTCGTTCTTGACACGCGCCACTCGCTGCGCAAACCGACACGTCGACACGGATTCCTACTCAACAGCACAAGAGAGCAGTGTCAGAATGCGCTAAAATATCGTGGCTTTCGCAGTGAAACTCACGTCAGTTTGGTCCTTTTCCGGGCTCACAGTAGCCACCATGACTGTCTTACAGTTCCCTCCGAGTGAGTCACGCAGCACGGAAGTCATCATGGAGTTGCGGTACGGAATGTGCGTCCTGCCCTTCGTGTTCTTCTCGTGCAGCGCCACAATGACCATCTCAAGGTAGTGCAGGCTCGTGTTAATGTACGCAGCTTCGCGCAGTAGCTGTCCTTTCGCGCCAGTCTTGTGCGCTCGCTCCGACCCGGCCAGATCCACCAGATGCAGCTTGGAGCGCAACACCACCTCGCTCCCCACCCTCCGCGTCTCCAAAGACACTGTGAAGATACAGTGCGATCGCGAAGACGCCAAGTTCATTGCCGTCTCGCTCACCGCGCGGTTCGTGTCTCCTAGAAACAGCAAATTGAGTGCGTCCTCCTCCGTGGTCACTGGGTGCATCGACAAGTTGCGCAGGTGACAGTTGCCGTCTTCGTCCTCCAGCATGGCCACGCGCGGCAGATCCTCCAGCGACTTGGTGGACTCGTGGTTCGGGTCCAGCAGGTCGTAGCCCTGGTTGTTGTAGATCTCGAGGTACGAGACGTGAGCGATGATCTGCTCCTGGCTAGTGTTGCGCATCCGCTCGAAGATCAGGGACAACGCGCGCGGGATGAGACCTCGATCCTCGTACCTCTCGGCCCCGCCCGTAATGGTGAAGGTCTTACCGGAACCTGTCTGACCGTAGGCGAACACAGTCGAGTTGAAGCCGTTCAGCGCACTCTCCACACAGGGCCGACCCACGCGGTCGAACACTTCTTCCTGCTTGGCTTCCATGCCGATGACCGAGTCGAAGCGGAACTTGTAGGAGGTTCGGGAGTTGTTGATGAGCCCCGCGGCCACGTCCTTGGGGATGTCGTACTTCATCATGTTGGTGTCTTCGTCCCACGAGAAGAAGCCCGAGGGCTTCCGGGACGGCTTCACGCGCAGGAAGATGCGGATGTTGGACTCTTCATCAGAAGGCTGCTGGCTTTCATCGCCGTTCACAGTGGACGCCGTGTCGTCCTGGTCCTCGTATGGAGCTGCATCGTCGTCTTCTCGGTTCATGGCGGCGCGATCTTGAGTGACTCCCCCACCAGTCTCCATAGCAAGAAGTCAATCGTGAACTTCAAGTTCATTGACCAATCACACGACGTTTTGGCGTCGTTTCGTGTGCAAGATCGGCAATTTGAGAGATCAAATGACCCAGTCTTCTTCGCTCTCACTTGGGTGTTGTATCTGCAAAATAGTGTCGAGACACCTCCGCATCCTATTTGATAATGACGAGAAGCTCTCACTTTCCCAACTGAGATGGCACCTCGTCCCACCAACTTGCACGAGAAAATCACTTGGAGACTGTACTCGTGTCCAACTGCCTCAACTGGAGGAGAGTCCCACTCAACTGCAACTGCTGTATCGCGTCGCTCAGATTCGCTTTCTCCGTTCCGGTCGCACTCAACCTTCCGCACCCCAAAATGAAGATCGCCGTGCTGGTTCTGTGTCTGGCCGCTGCGTTTGGTGCTGCTGCTGCCGTTGCACCACCGTGCAACGGCACGGCGATGACCCAGCTTCTCGGTACTGGAGACGTGAGAGCTTGCAGCGCCATGTTCGGAAACAGCTCCGCGTCGTTGGAACCGCCCTCCGACGCGCAGGTCACTGCCGTGTGCAACAACAACGCCTGCATGAAGTCACTGGGCGCGCTGAAGCAAGTCGCCCCAACCGAATGCACGATCGGGCCTATCCTTCTACACGCAAATATCATCGATCCGATCCTGCAGCGCTGCGCGAATAAGACTCGATCGGCCGGTTCCGCTGGATCGGTCAGTGCGTCAGGATCTGGTGCAGGACCCTCGGTTGGTGATGTCAGTGGATCGGCATCTGGATCGGGACCCATGGCTGGAGACGTCGGTGGTGGTGGATCGGCAACGAAGTCGCCGGCGACAAGCAAGCCACGTACGAATAGTCCGGCGAATCCTCGAACTGGTTCGGCGTCAAAGGCGCCTGGAAACGAAGCCCCCACTCTCTCCACCTGCGCTGCGATTGTAGTGCTTGCTGCCGTGGTTGCCGCGCTGGTCTAACCCCAGAAGGTAGATTGGGCGGTGTAGCAACTTTTTTTTTACGACAAAGCTTTCGCTCCTCTCAACAAGTTTTTCTTTTCATACTGCCCTTGACCAAACTTGAATCCGTTGTTGATGACAGCTACAGGCAAGTTAATCACCAAGGAGCCGTCAATGCGAGGCCTCACATTAAACCAGCATACACACATGATGAGTAACACATTAGCAGCAATGCCATCTTGTTCACGAGACTCGGTATCGCTGCGTTTTATGTCTACGCAGAATCGTGCTGGAGTTGAATCAGCGCGACCTCCGTGCGGTCGATGGCGGACTGCACGCGCTCCGCCTGGAACGCATCGGCCGTCAGCATTAAATAGACTTCCCCGTCGAGCTCCATCCTGGTAAACCCGGCTTCAGCGAGAATGTCCACAGCTCCGGGCACAGCCACCAGCTTGGACTGGATGGCTGCGTTCGAGAGCCGAGCCTTGCGGAACTTTTCCTCCTGCAACGTGGCAGTTAATAACAATAACACACTCAGAACCCAAATAGCTTCTCCGCATAAAGTATCACGGAATAGCGCCCTACCTGCGGGTTCTTCACGACGTTCGTCAACATCTTGATGAGCGTTTCCGCCGCTGTGATGGCGCGTGCTGGGTCTTGCCGCAGCAGCACGTAGACAGCACCGTTCTCCGCTGCCTCCAAGTCCGACATTGCACCATTAGGTGCCGCGACTTGAGGAATCGCTGGGAAGGGCGCGGGAGGCGGCATAACACTGCTGTTGCCAGCAGGAGCCGGAGGCGGAGGAGCTCCTGTGCTGATGGCGTTCATGGCGGTGACCGCCTGCGTCGAGGACGAGAACGTCGCGGCGTACGGGTTGAAGCCCATCTGTTGGTGCGCGCTCTGCAGCTCGCGCGCCTTCACTTCGTCGTTGGAGAGCACGACGGGCGGCGGACCTGCCGGCGCCGCCGCCGCCTCCGACGCGGACGTCGGTGGCGCGTCCAGGAACTTGTTCTCGCGCTCGTCCTCCTGCTGAAGTCGCACCTTGCGCGCGTTAGCCACGCGCTTCTCCCATGCGTTGCCGCGCTGCTCCAGCGCCTTGGCCTGTCACGGAGGGGGCATGTCAGTGGGTTGTTGATCCACAGTCTAGTACAGCAGCTTCAAGTCTGTGCACGAACCTGCAGCTCGCGCCGCTTCTGCTGCTCCTCCTCGCTCAGGGCCGGCGGCTTGTTGCTGGTAAATGGGAGCTATTGGCGGGTCGATCAGAAGAGCGCGTTAGAGGCTGGAGAGGAAGGTGCGGGCGTTGAACAAGGCAGCGGGCAGCAAGCTCCCACCTTGATGGAGGGGCCTCGGGACGCGGGTGCGGCGGGCGCAGCAGCAGCAGAAGCGTCATCGCCGCCGCCCAGCACGTTGCCCTGGCCGCGGAAGGCCGTGCGCTTGTTGGAGATCTTGGCCGCGGCCTGCTGCGCCGCCTCCTTCTTCTTCTTCAGCCAGTCCATCCTGTCCTGTGTCTTGCTGTGAGCCGTCATCCTCTCGATTAAATGCACCCAATAAGTATACTGGATACTTTACGGGATACGTCGGATGCGTAAAAGACCTTACAGTCGATAACAGGATATTTGACGATCAAATTATTTCACAAAACGTGCGGTACGAACGCCAGAGACAGGTCATCCATATGTTTTCGTGCGTGACCAGACATCTTGATTACAGTATGCTGCGGGCAGCTGCCCAACCAGTAAAAATATGTCGCCCTCTCGCCATAGGATTTCCATCCAGCAGCAGTGCTGGAGTCCCCAACTTACCACGGCGCTGCGCACGACTCAGCGAGCTGTAGCGTAACAACACCTTCACCTCGCTCCGATGTACGCGCCCGTGGACGTGGAGGCGGCCAAGCTGCAGACGTTAGCGCAGCCCTCGCCCGGCGCGCGCGCTCGCTCTCCTCGCGTGCGCGTTCGCCGCGTGCTGGCGGCCGTGGGGGTCGCGGCGCTTGGCCTGACGGCGGGAATGCTGCTCTTCCGCTTCGTGCGCAGCGACGACTTCGACCTGGTGGTGCGCTGGCTGCAGACGCACGAGGCGCTGGGCGCCGCGCTGTACGTGGGCAGCTTCACGGGCTTCGTGGTGCTGTGCTTCCCGTCCACGGCCTTCGAGCTGTTGGCCGGCTACATCTTCGGCTTCTGGCTGGGGCTGTTGCTGGCCACGGCGGGCAAGCTCGTGGGCTCCGTGCTGTCGTACGCCATCGGCCGCTACCTGTGCCGCCGGCGCGTGCACGCCTACATGGCGCGCGGCCACCCGGCGCTGCAGGGCTTCCAGAGCCTGCTGCGCAAGCGCCAGGTGCTGGTCGTGTTCCTCACGCGCGTGGCCTTCTTCCCCATCGCCGTCAAGAACTACGGGCTCAGCGTGCTGGACGTGCAGTTCCCCGTCTTCTTCGCGGCCGCGCTGCTCACGGGGCTGCCCTTCTCGGTCATCTGGGTCTACTCGGGCCACGCGGTGGAGAACTTCACGGCGCTGCTGGCCAGCCCCACGGCCTCGAGGCATAGCACCGAGATGGTGCTGCTGCTCGTGGGCGCGGGCAGCGCGCTGCTGCTGCTGGCGGTGGTGGGGATCTACACGCGCAAGTACGTGCTCGGGCTCGCGGAGGAGGAGAAGCGCGAGGGCGCCATGGCAGCGGACACGGCCCCCACCCCGACGGCAGCATCAAAGCCCGTCTCAGTCGAAGCCACGGCCTTCGCCAACGCTGTATGATACGGAGGTAGTGGGATTCTTCCTGCTTACTTATACCCTGTAGTGATTGTTATGTAGAATGTGGAATAGTACCCTTTGCTGGATGCTGGTGTCATCGTCGGTGAGTCCCCCCATCACGTGTCTTCATGACAGGTGAGATGGAGCTCCTTCTTTCAAGGCGGTCGTTGATGGCGAGGTGCTCGTTCCAAGTTGGATGGCGAGGTGCTCGTTCCAAGTTGGATGGCTGCTCCATGGTGTTGACTGGCTTGGAGGTGCACTACCACGTCGTGTCGGGCAGTAGTAAATCGAGCGAAGTCAAGTCGAGGCAAGCCGAGGTCATGCGCCCATGGAATCCAGCGAGCTGCCTTCCTTCTTGTCTGGTGGCGAGATCGATGTCTTCCTGCTCATTCGACGTTTGTCTCGGCGAGACCGATGCCACCTTCGCGCCGGAACTCGCGCAACAGCAAGAGGAAGCCGAGCAGCTCGCGCAAGTCCAAGCCGCCGCCGTCCATGCAGTTCAGCACGTCCATCTCGAGCGTGTCGAGCGAGCCCACGCCCATTCTCGAGTCGTCGCTCGCCAGCTCCTACCAGAAGCACGTGCTGCGGCGTCACCAGCCCAGCAGCAACAACAACAACCGAGGCTCTCGTCGTCACGGAGGCGGAGCTGGTCCGCGCGACTCGCCCTTCACGCCTCGTCGACCTGTCGGTGCAGTGCCCGAGCTCTTCGTGACGTTCCGCCATGTCTCGCTCGCTGTGGACGTCCCGGTGTCGCCTGCCGCTGCGGCGGCCGCAGCTCAAGCGGCTTCGGGTCAAATGGGGCGCGAGACGCTGGCGGCCAAGCAACTGCCGACCATCTCGAACCACCTGCGCGCCATCGCCGCCGGCCTCACCGCGTCCAAGACGTTCGTGCGGCGACAGATCCTCAAGAACGTGACGGGCGCCTTCACGCCCGGGTCCATGACGCTGCTGCTCGGCCGCTCCGGATCGGGCAAGTCGGTGCTGCTCAAGCTGCTAGGCGGCAGACTCGACGTGAGCGCGCAAGGCGTGACTATGGACGGCGAGGTGTCGTACAACGGCTTGAGTCGGCAGGAACTCAAGACACAACTCCCGCAGTGCGTGGCGTACGTGTCCCAGCTGGACACGCACCTGCCCGTGATGACCGTCAAGGAGACGCTGGACTTCGCCTTCGAGTGCTGCGCCATCAACGCCAACGCGAGACCCGTCGGCACCGTGTCCAAGTCGCCGGCGTTCGATTATCCGCTGGCGCTCTCGACCACGTATCTCGGCGGGGAGCGCGACCCGGTGACTGTCACGCGTGAACTCGGCTTGACCCGCTGTCAGGGCACCATCGTGGGCGACGAGCGCAGTCGAGGCGTCTCTGGAGGCGAGAAGAAGCGCGTGACGACGGGCGAGATGGCCTTCGGACCCCACGCGGTGTCGCTCATGGACGATATCACGACGGGCTTGGACAGCTCTGCCGCCTTCGACGTGGTGAACGCCCAGCGCCGCCTGGCCAGACAGCAGCGACAAACGGTGGTCATCTCGCTGCAGCAGCCAGCGCCTGAAGTGTTGGCTCTGTTCGACAACGTGCTGCTGCTGGCTGACGGGGAGGTGCTCTACCACGGACCTCGCGCGCACATCCAGGCGTACTTCGAAGCGCTGGGCTTCGTGTGCCCCCCGGAGCGTGGCCTCGCTGACTTCCTGTGCGACTTGGCGTCTCCGCAGCAGATCCAGTACGAGCAATCGCACGCGCCGATGCCTGGACGACGTCGTCACCCACGCAGTGCCAACGAGTTCGCGGATCTGTGGATCATGTCGCCCATGTACGAGGCGATGGTGGAGGAGCTGGACCAGCTCGACAACGACACGGAGGCGTACAGCCAGATGCACAGCAAGAACGGAGAGCGGGGGCTGTACTTCGACCAGGAGGCACTACTCAAGGTGCCGCCGTTCCGCCAGACGTACCTGCGCAGCACGTGGACGGTGATGAAGCGCCAGCTGAAGCTCTTCGTGCGCAACAAAGTCTTCTTCGCCGGCCGAGTGCTGCTGGATCTGCTCGTGGGGCTGATGCTAGGCTCCATGTACTACGGCATCGACCTGGCCGACTCGCAGGTGACACTGGGCGTCGTGTTCTCCTGCGCGCTCTTCCTCGGACTCGGTCAATCAGCCACGCTGGCGCCGTACTTCGACGCGCGCGAGGTCTTCTACAAGCATCGCGGAGCCAACTTCTACCGCACGTCCAGCTACGTTCTAGCCTCTTGTGCTAGTCAGATCCCGCTTGCAGTCACCGAAGCCTTCCTCTTCAGCGGCCTCGTGTACTGGATGAGCGGCTTCGTCTCGACCGTCGAGCACTTCCTCGTGTTTGTGCTGTACATGCTGCTGACGATCTTGGTCTTTATCGGCGAGTACTTCTTCCTGGCTGCTGCGTGCCCGACCCTGCACGAGGCTCAGCCGGCATCGACGTTGGCGCTACTGTTCTCCATCCTGTTCGCGGGCTTTGCCGTGTCCCGGGAGCAACTTCCGTCAGCGATGCGGTGGATCTACTGGAGCAATCCGCTCGCTTGGGCGTCGCGCGGGATTTTGGTGAGTCAGTACCGCAGCAGTGAACTCGACGTCTGCGAGTACGGCGGCATCGACTACTGCAAGACGTACCAGGGCCAGACCTTGGGCGAGTACTCCCTCGGACTGTATGACGTTCCATCGGACCCCAAGTGGATCATGTTGGGCCTTGTTTTCCTCCTGGCAGTGTACGTTGGTAGTATGGTCCTGTCGTTCGTGATGCTGGAGTACCGTCGTCACGAGTCCTTCCCTGTGCTGCCCCCTCCACTACCGGCTTCGTACTCGGACACCATCCCGACACCGAGACAACCGAAGGAGTCGTACGCAATGCTGTCCACGCCCCACGGAGATGACGACGATCTGCTGGAGAGCGACATGACGGACTTCCTGCCACCGAAGGGCGGCGTACTGGGCGAGAACGGAGACTCGAGTAACTCGTTCAACGCCTCACAAGGCGTCGGCACCGACCCGGGCGACATCCTGGTGCGCATGATGCCTCAATGGGAAGTTCCGCCGGTGACTCTGGCCTTCCAAGACCTGCGATACAGCATCACTGTGCCTGCTGATGCCGTTCCAGACCCTGCCGGCCAGGGCCAACCGGGCGCCGAGGGAGCTCCTGGTCGTCCAGTTTCCGTGGACTCCCGAGCCAAAGCAGGCAAGAACAAGGAAATGGTCACGCGAGAGCTATTGAAGGGCGTCACGGGCTACGCGCTGCCGGGTACTATGACCGCGCTGATGGGCTCTACAGGAGCTGGTAAAACGACTCTGATGGATGTGTTGGCTGGCCGCAAGAGTGGCAAAGGAGGCAGCAAGAAGAACGGCGCTCCATGTCTTCGTGGTAGAGTGCTGTTGAACGGAGTGGATGCCACCGAGCTGGCTGTGCGGCGATGCACCGGATACTGCGAACAGACCGATGTGCACTCCGACGCGTCGACATTCCGTGAGGCGCTGCAGTTTTCGGCGTATCTTCGTCAAGGTGATCGTGTGGCCCCCGAGCGAGTTGAAGAGATCGTCGACGAATGTCTGGACCTACTGGGGCTGAGTGACGTGGCTGGGCAGCTCATTCGCGGGAGTTCGAGCGAGCAACTCAAGCGGTTGACACTCGGAGTGGAGCTCGCAGCTCAGCCTAGTGTGCTGTTCCTCGACGAACCGACCAGTGGGCTGGACGCTCGAGCTGCCAAGTCTCTCATGGACGGAGTCCGCAAGGTGGCGGACTCGGGGCGCACCGTCATCTGTACCATCCACCAACCGTCCACGGAGGTCTTCCTGCTATTTGACTCGCTTCTGCTGCTGCAGCGCGGTGGCGAGACGGTGTTCTTTGGCGAGATAGGCCCAGGTGGTGACACCTTGGTGAGCTACTTCCAAGGATTGGGTCTTCCCCGGAGCGCACCGACCTTCAAGCCTGGCGACAATCCAGCCACGTGGATGCTGGATGTGATCGGCGCTGGTGTCGAGAAAACCCCAACGAAGTCAACTCTACCGTTCAGATTCCGACAGCCCGCGCCTCCTGTAGCTAGAAACCCTCGACTTCAACAGCTTGATGCGTCGCAAGCTTCCTCCGTGTGCTCGGATATCTCGCGTCTGCACCAAGACGACAGTGTGGATTTCGTCGCTGCGTACAAGGCCAGTCGGCTGAAGCAGCGTCTGGATGCCAAGCGCGCGGCTCCAGGGATGTTCATGCCGTCCGACCGACTGGCGCCCGTGACGTTCGCTCAGCGCCGAGCTGCGAGCGATGGACTGCAGTTCACCATGCTGCTACGCCGCTTTGCTCGGCTGTACTGGCGCACTCCCTTCTACACGTTCACGCGCATGGTGACAGCGTTTACTCTCGGGTTGATGTTCGGTTTGGTGTACTCGGGTAGCAACGACTTCACCTCGTATCAAGGCGCCAACGGAGCGGTCGGACTCATCTTCTTCTCCACGTGCTTTCTCGGCGTCGGCGCCTACGTCCACGTGCTTCCGCTTGCCTTCGAAGAGCGCGGGCCGTTCTACCGTGAGCGCTCGTCCGAAACGTACGGTGCGCTCTGGTACTTCGCCGCCTCCTCGGTAGTGGAGATCCCGTGCGCAGCTATCGCGTCGCTGATCTTCGTGGGCGTGTTCTACCCGATGGCCGGCTTCTCCGCGTACGGCGGCTTCGCCCAAGTCGTGGTCTACTGGCTGGTGCTGACCGTGCACATCCTGTTCCAGACGTACTTCGGCCAGTTCTTTACGTTCGCCATGCCCAGCATAGAGCTGGCCGCCGTCTGGGGGTCGCTCTTCGACTCCATCTTCCTCATGTTCATGGGCTACAACCCGCCGGTCTCCAGCATCCCGGACGGCTACAAGTGGCTCTTCCAGATCGTGCCGCACCGCTACACGTTCGAGGTGCTCACGGCGCTGGTGCTGGGCGACTGCCCCGACGAGCAACTGCAGCAGATCGCGGAGGCCGCGGCCTCCAACACGACCATCGACGTCTCGCACTGGCCGCTCGGCTGCCAGCCGCTCACGGACGCGCCGCCCGCCGTGGCTAACATCCCGCTCACCTCGTACATCGACGAAGTGTTCGGAGCGCGGCGCGAGGACACCGCGTGCTCCGTGGCCGTCGTGGTGGGCGTTCTACTCGCTATGCGTCTGGCCACGTATATCGTCATGCGCGTCGTCAACCACCAGAAGCGCTAGAAGGCGTTTGTTGTAAGATCGTTTTATATGGAGATTTGTATGCCCCAAGTTGAAGCGAACTGTATGTTGAAGTGCACAAATGTAGCCATCTATATTGCGTTACACATGAGTAGGGTCCTCCCACGTGGCCCTTGGGCTGGCCTTACGTCTGGACGGACGTTTAGTTCGACGACACGACGGGATAGTCGCCCCACCGCCGCTGGACGTGGCGCTATGACACTCGCGAACTCCCCAGAGCTGCAGGAGCGTCTGCTGCCGCCGCCGAAGAAGAGCTTCAAGACGCGCAGAATGCCGCTCGTGCCCTACGCCATCGGCATTCGGGCCGCGCCCATCGTGGCCACGACCGTCGTCATCGCCACGCTCGTCACGTGCGTGTCCGTCGCCAAGGCCAAGGACATCTACCTAGGCGGCCTGGCGTATCCCTACTTCTCCGACACGGGCAGAGGTTGGTACATACATTGCTGCTGGAATCGATTCACGTAAGAGCGTAACCCTCTGACAATTACTTTGTTGTTGCTGTACTGCAGACTCTCCCGGGTACACGATCTTCTGTGTGGGGCTGACGACTGTGGCCATTGCTCTTGTGCTCACGTGGCTTACCAACTACGAGTTCCAGCGGGAGTTGATGGAGAGGGAGGCCCGGGACAACACGGAGAACCACTACCCGGCGTCGATCCGCAAGTACTGCGAGGTGGTTCGCGTGCTGGGCGTCCTCTCCACGGTTGGGCTGCCGATACTGGCGTTCTTTAGCACGACGAGCTATCCAAGCGTTCACGCGTATGCTGCCTACTGGTTCTTTGTGCTGGAGGCGATTGCTCTGGTCGTCAATGTACGTTCTTGTTGTGGATAAAACACGGCGGGAAGAGTCACTGATAGCTTGATGCTTGTGTACAATGGCTGCTACAGACAATTGCCAGCTTTAAGCTGGCGCGCCTCACAAGTGCCGGCAACCCGTACTTCACATCCGGCGACTCGGAGGTGCAGCCGTCCTCTTCGAACGTGTTCAACCCGTGGAATGACTCAAAGTCGTCTACGAAGCGCACGTTCTACATTCAGGTGGTCTCCACCACGTTGTTCTGGATCGCCTTCCTGCTTTATATTCCTATCGGACTGGCACTCATCGACGAGTTCCAGCGTCTCACCATCGCAGACGTACGTCCAGCTATTGTTTTGAGTGTTGAAACACTCGAAACGAGTGTTATTGTCGACGTTTTAACCAATTGTGGATGTGTTTAGTGCCTGGAACTTGACCTTGGAGAGAAGTACTGCACGGACACAATGAAGCTCAACGACACAGACACTGTGCTATGGAACTATGGTGCGTGCTTTGGTCTTAAAACTCTGTCGACAGACGAGCTGATGATTGCTTTGTTATTGTTCTAGACAATAACCATGGGATCCAGCAAATGCGCTCAGCAAGTCAGTTGGCGTGCATTCTTACACTCGTTGGGTATTCGATGTCGTTCCTCTCGCATAGCAGCGAATCGCTACATGACGATACCATCTAACATTGCCTCGGCTTTGACTGTTATCTTAGCATTTCTTTCTTTTTCTCGATCATTACGTCCACGCTTGGGTTCTCTGTCCGGGATCAATCCTGCAATTAAATTTAAAATCTGCAATACTTAAAAAAAATGGCATCGCTGACAAGACTTGGTCGTCCGAGGACGACCTTGTCGGACGAGACTCGGAATATCCATATTCACTCTCTTACCTAATGTTAGCACCAGTATGAAGTTCGCTCTGCCGTCGAGGTTGGTAAACTGCTGTCCGACAGGCTTCGACCCTGAGGGATAGTCGGTCGGCCGTCCACCGAAAGCAATAACCAATTGCCTCCTTCGCGATGGTCGTTTGGCTCTCCAAAACACACACACTTGTTAGCTCTTTTCCGCTCGGGCATTTGCTGCACAGCTGAAGACAACATCAGCCCAGATGCAGCCTACGCCCCTCATGATCGGGATTCGCGTCGCGCCCGTCGTGGTGATGTCGACTACGATCGTAACGTTGGTCACCTGTGTCTCTATTGCAAAAACCAAGGGTATCTACCTCGGTGGCTTGGCGTGGCCCTACTTTTCCGACACAGGCTGTAAGATCGAGTTACTCTGACTACTTTGGTCTGTGCTCATACTTTCACCTTGTTGTTCTGCAGAAGCCCCGGGATATTCCATCTTCTGCGCAGGGATGACGATCGTAGCGGCTGCTCTCGTAGTGACGTGGTGCGCCAACTATCAGTACCAGAGGGAGCTGATGAAAACGTGTTCAGGAAATACCGAGAAGCTTCACGCGGCAAAGACGCAGAAATACTGCAAAATCGTCCGCGTGTTGGGGGTTATCTCGACGTTTGGTCTGCCCTTGCTGGCGTTCTTTAGGACGACGAGCTACCCGAAGGTCCACGCATATGCCGTCTACTGGTTTTTCTCCCTCGAGGCAATCGCGCTGGTACTCAATGTACGAGAATGCACGTTTCAACACATGTGGCGATAGTCGGTCTATTGATCTCTTTGTCTATGACTGGCTCAGACCTTCGTCAGCTTCAGGCTAGTGCGTCTCATCGGTGCTGACGAATCGTACTATACGTCGGATGAATCTGAGGCTCCATCGGCTGTGAAGGCTCCGTGCAAGAGCATCAAGCGCACATTTTACATCCAGTTGGCTGTGACGATGTTGTTCTGGATCGCCGTTTTGCCCTTGCCAATTGGCCTGATACTCTTTGGAGGGGCTAATGGATTCCACCCGCTGACCGTTCAAGACGTACGTGAGCAATGCGCATTGTGTCAATTATCGTAGTTGTACCTTACCCCTTTCTTGTATTCGTTCCAGTGCCTGAAGCTGAATCTGGGTGAGAAATACTGCACTGACACAGTGAGGCTAAATGATACAGACACAGTGCTACGAAACTACAGTACGTGACGATGGACTGCTCTTGGCATGGAGAATTTCTCCCTGACCTCAACCCGTTTTGGCTAGACAAGGACCACGGACTGCACCAAATGCGCTCAGCCAGTCAGTTGGCGTCGATCATCATGCTAGTCGGGTACTCAATGTCATTCTTTTCACACGATAGGAGACTGTTACGAAGGGATGCACCGACAGCTGAAGCGATACACAGCGAATATCTACCAGATTTTGAAGCTCTGTAGTTATCAATGCATAAGTTTAGAAGCATCATGATAGACCCAGAGCTCAATCTCGGAGGACCGAGCAGCTCATTATCTGACCTGCTCTCAGTTGAGTTGCCTGCGTCCCGTTTAGGACAGCCAAGCAGAATAGTTCCATACTCGGTCGGAACTCGAGTCACACCGGTGGCAGCAATTGTCCTGGTCGTAGCGACGTTGATCCCTTGTGTATAGGTCGCGAATGCTAACCCCAAGTGCCTGGGGGGGCTCATATGTTTCTATTTATCCGACACTGGTACAGGATTGGCCAAATTTCTTTCAGAAATCTTGCGCAAATTTTTCATAGATAACGGTAATTTTCTCGTTCTGTCGATTCACAGACATAACGCTTTCTTCTGCGCAGGGTTGACCACGGAAGCTATCAGCCTCGTATTGACCTGGACGGTTAACTACCACTTCCAGATGGAACGTCTAGGCATGAAGACGCAAATACTGCAAGGCTGTGAGGGTGGTGGGGGTGCTATCGGCACTTGGTCTGCCCATCTTGTCATTCTTCAGCACTGCGAGCTATCCCGATGTTCATCAGTACGTTGCGTACTGATATTTCGTTCTGGAAGCAGTCGCTCTGCTGCTTAACGTACGCTCGGATCTTTATTATGTGCTACACTTGGCAAAATTTGCCTTTTAATGATAACACTTACGCTTTAGTTCCTACTACTACTAAGTACCACTACAGACCTTTGCGAGCTTCGAACTTTCTCGTGCCAACAAGATCTTGACGCTGTTTCTGGTTGCATTCCTGCTCTATATCCCCATCGGATTCGCGCTCGTGTCCGATTTCCGATGACTCACCGTAATGGAGGTAAGTTCAAACAGTTTTTGTTGCTGGTGGACTGCAATAATTGCAACTTCTCTAGTGCATACATAAGTAGCTCTGAATCTGGGTGAGAATTACTGCACCGAAACAATGCGACTCAACGACGCGGAAACCAAGTTAAGCTTATGGAACTACGGTATGTGGACGAATGTCACTATATCCTGCTTGTGTCAACTATCGCTAACCTATATTTGCGTTGATCGCTATCACTTAGACAACGACCACACAGTCAACCAGATGCGCTCGGCTAGCCAGTTAGCTTGCATTCTTACGCTCGTGGGATACTCGTTGTCGTTCTTCTCACACTAGAGTGAGTCGCCGCAAAAGTTAATTACCGTATCACCGTACAATCCACGTAAAGTTTCGACGCCTAGTAGGAACATGGCTAAATCCACACATCAAATTGAAGCTGCCTTGGGACCCTGCTACAGCGTTCTCCACACCGTTAGGATCCAACACTGTCAGTTTGTCCATCAGTTCCAATTGAGCACCATGGAGTTGGGCACTCAACCTCCCCCTCCAAACCAAGTCACGTCGACGGTAGCTGGTCCTAAGCTTAGTGACCACTCTGAAGCAGCTTCAAGCAACGTCCAGCACGAGCGTCCTCCGCCTGACTCCGCCCCGGACAGCAAGAAGCTGAAGCTGAACAAGGACAACGATGTGAAGTCGTTCAAGTTGACGCCAGTTCAGCACGAGCTGCTCGTTTGGCTGGAGTCGACATTCCCCGACTGGCCCACGCGGCGCTCCACAGAACCGGCGGAGCTGCGCCACAAAGTAAAGTGGAAAGCGATCGAGGCCGAGATGAAGGCCGACTTCCCCGAGCTGGAAGTGAATAAACGCTCGATGGTGAACACGTGCGCCTACTGGAAAAAATGCTGCGAGCTCAAGACGTTAAGACGGTGGAGGGAGGACAATAGCATCGACAAAAGGGCAGAAAATGCCAGACTTGCTGGCTCAGTTGGTCCCGCCCAACTCCAGCAAGATTTGGCGGCATTCTTCGCGGATGCCACCGAGCTGGCGCACCAGCGTGAACAAGACGAGGTCGAGCGTGAGTCTCTGGTGCGCAAGGTGGACGACCTGGAGAAGAAAGCCGATACCCTAAGCGAAGGTCGTCAAACGGCGTTGCTGCTTCGAGGAGAGTACGAAACCCAAGTGCTGAGTTTACAGAATCGGGTCTGTCTCCTGGAGAGCCAAGCCCAACAAATGGAAGAGTTCGTCGCCGACCTGGAGAAGGAGAAGCGGAATGGGAAGGAGAAAATGAAGTTTCTGCTGGCCCAGTTGAAGGGGGCGATGGCGGAGAATTTCAAGCTGGTGGAAGCGGCGGTCAAGCCTCTGAAGTGAGCCACTGGCAGCTTCTCTGGGCCTGATTAGCTTTTCAAGCTTTGATTTTTTGTAGGAACTGCACTTGTTTGCGATTGTGCCGTGTGTTGGTGTTAACCGAATCACGACTTACGAAAAGCATTATCGAGCGGGAGCTGAGCTGTTTCGCGAGAACATACAAAGATAATGAAGGCCATTTTTACACCTAGTTGAGACCGAAATGATGCGGTCTATAAGCAGAAGTTGATAAGCCGTCGATCCTGCGCGATGGCATAGTGTTCGACTGGTACGTAATGTCCTTGAATTCGCACCGGCCTTAATTGTTCCCCAATGCGCGGGGCGTTGCGCACTTGTCGATTCATGCGCTCTGAGCGAGCCTCCAGTAATACTAGTAGTAGTGATTCGTTGATTTGGAGAGCCAAATGATACGGTAATCCTGATTGAACAATGCTCGCAGCGTGACTTGGTATCGCTTTACGTGTAGGTCATACATGCTCGCGAAACCTAGTGTCAGGTAGAATTGTGGTGTTTATTGTACTTTGGCCCCTGCCGTGTAAACGTGCAAGCTTTGCCATCAGCGAAGTACATTACGCACTAAGTGATCCTTGTCTAAATTACCATACATATTCCAATCAAATTTACAGTTAGCACCACCATCAGCAACCTAATTGCGTAGCACTACGCTTCGATATGACTAGACGTAGTCTTACGCAAGACTGTAAGTACATGTAGGTGTGGCACGTCTTGCGCGGGGGACAGATAAACGGTAAAAAAATTTTTTTGCGAGTATCTCTAGATGAAGATATCAACACGCGGTTAACAATGGCGACGCGATTTCAAGTGCAAAACGAGCTTATGAACTTCAGAACCCACCCCTCACCATCACACACACAAATACAGCGGATACGATGCGAAGATAATGGTTGTGAATATTCTACTAATTTATTCATAATCCGTCGACGAACCTGATGTCGGTGACCAAGCATAACCGTTTTGCTCCCAGTTTGCGAGCCCCCCATGAGCATTTTTCAGCGCCTCTAACAATTCAGAACGTACAATCTCAATCGCAGCTATACTTCGCACGAAGGAAATGCAGCGGGGACAAACCATCACTGTTTGCTCGTACATCTTGGTGTCGCTACAGTTTAGCATCTTGACCTGACACGTTGCCCGGCAATATGACAGTCCACACAGCCACGCCTCGCAGAACTCGCACTGATTCTTCGACGACTCGTTCTTCGCGCCTCCTTTGTTTGCAGCCTGAGACTTCTGCGTGATGATCCCACACGCAGCACAGCCAAGCATCCGCGATTCGCGCTGCAGCTCGCGGGTCATGACCTTCCTGTTCTTCAGGCACCACCGCAGCTTCTTGATCTCGATACTTCGTGGCACGAATTTCCACAAACACATCGCTCCTCGACAGACATTTCCGACTTTTACTGCGTCCGGGAGGTGAGATTTCACGTCCACGACGAGTTTGTTGTACATCCCCACGGACCCATCCGGCTGCTCCCAGAAGACTCGGGCTTTGATCATTTGGGACCGCGGCAATGAAGGAGAGCGAGGGTACGTTTGGTCCAGCGACACCGACTGAACGATCTCGTAGCCGACGCGTTTCCCACTTGAGGTGACCACTTCACCCGTGGCAAAGGCCACCACCATCTCCCGAGGACCCACGAACATCGTGTACGGCCAGTGCTGCGTGTTGATATAACGACTAACAGCCAGAAGGTGGAAAGGTTTCGCTCGAGTAGGCCTCACAATGCTCTGATGGTGGCAATGGGCCTCCGGGCGTCGACCCATAAGCACGCTTCTCGTCTTTTGGGCGCCGACGTCCGGGGTTAACAACCCGAGCAGCATGTCGTCCAGCGAGCACTTGAACACGCCAATAGCGACAACCGCGACAGGATGCTCCCAGTCTTCTCGGTGCATCATCGGGGACCACGCGGCTTTGGGGTTGCGCTCACCGTACAGCGTCACAGTCGGGTGCGTCTGGAGCTTTTTCCATCGCTTGCTGTCCAGGCGCGCGAGGTTCGCGGCCGGGGCCGTGTCCAGGCCAAGCTCCTCGCACTCGTACAGGGTTCGATCGAGCAGTTGGGTCGTCACATCCCGACAGTACTCCTGGTCTTCCGGTGATAAGTCCAGCATCTTCTTCACAGGGACCACTCGATCGTAAGGCAAGAGTTTCGGCTGCGCTGCGCAGTACGACGGGGAAGCAGAAGTGGCCAAAGGTCCAAGATGCTGCAGCTCTTGCTCGATTCGACGGTGTCAAATCGACGAGATCGGTACTTCGCGGGCAGAAACAAGGGCTTTGACGTTAAACGTCATGCGCTTAGCCATCTGCGTCCAAGTTTGTGGCCTTGCGGTGCGGCGTTCAAAGTATCTAAGCAATACGCCGATGAATTTGACCCCCCGCACTGGTTCGCTGATTACAGTCCGCTTCGACTATTACGACGGCAACAACGGCGTGGTCTGCTCGACTGATCGTAGTGAGCCATCGTCCATTCAAGCGTAGTTTATCCTGGTGCTGTAGCAACTAAGTCACCACTACCGGTAACCGTGCAAGTACTAGTGCCCGTGTGAAGCTAGCCTTATCTGAAATATTCGACATCACGATGGCTGTTAGCGCAAGACCAGGAAACAAGTTGTAGCCGGCTGGCTATATGAAGTCCACGACAGGCTGGCTCTGGGTGTCAACTACAGACTCGTCCTAAATTCTTTGGCGCTGTGTCGCTCGACTAGCCGAGCGCCGCCGCTACGCGGCGGTAAGTTTAGGTTAGTCGTAGTAGTGAGGGCCGCCCACCTCCACTTCGCTCCGGTGGGCTGTTTTCCAGTCAAATGTCATTAATTTGGATTGTATGCACGTAAGAAGGTGTTTGTATGTTGGGAGTACTCTTAGTATGGTTAAAAGTGGCTGGTATCAGCTTCATCACGTCAGTGTTACCATAAGTAGATGCACTTGCAAGATAATATATTTTCTATCGCACGGTACTGTGTTGTAAACCATGTCCAACATCGTCGCAGGTATTCAACCCAAACTACAAAGTATCTGCACTTAGAACAGCTCGTGTTTAGTGTGCTCTCATAAGTCTGTATACGTGTTATTTTACCAAGTGTATCACTCTGCCATGGTTTCTGTTAGTTGGTCCAAGAGTATAGCCTTTACATTCTGTATCAAGGCTATAAGCCTAAATAACAATTCACGCTTCGCAATACCTCTCCTTAGCATATCGTTAGTACTTCGTTCTTATTAGAACATCGTGAACATATACATATCGGGATCGTTTCGGCATTTATATGATCCATAAATGTGTTCAACTTCGGGCTGCGATAATGTGGCCTCATCAAAACTTATTTTTATTTAAGTATTAGTCTAAGCGGAGTACATAAGCACATTAGCGCACCACCTGCACCACAGCCGCTAAGACATTGAAAGTAACAACTTTGCATTTCGTATCTATGAAGTACACGTTGCACTATGCAAGTTCCGTTTCCAGCGTTTAGCATACAGGTAGAGCGCGTCCAAGGTTATCTATCATAGAACTCCAGCTCATTGAATGTCAGCGTCTACTATTCAGATCTCATTATACTACATACCGACACATAACATAAGCTATCGATGCATGAACCACTTTTAGCCTTTAGCCTGTATCCCGATCTCCAATGCTATACAGAGAACGGAAGGGAGTTCAGGTTCAGCATGGCGCGGTAGAAAGAGTAAATACCAGCGTAGTGTAAGTAACCTAAATACACCTTATTCACACACACATGAACCCCTTTTAGCAATAGCAGATACTTCGAAGGATGTTTATCACGTTGAGAGCCAAGTACGCGGTAGTTGTAGTTAATTTGTCCCTGTAGTTTTACTATAGTGAAATAAGCTCGGCTCCTTGTTAATACTTAACTACCTTCAGCTCACCTTGCGCTACATGTACTCGCACTGCTACCACTTACAACGTTGCTGCTATCACTTACTACGTGCTCCTATCACTTTCTGCGTGCTGCTATCGCTAACTAGACGTGCATGCCGCTCACTACGTGCTGCTAGCGCTTAACTATGCGCTCCTATCCTATCGCTGACTACGTGCTGCTATAACTAACTATGCGCTGCTATGGCTTACAATGTGTTTATATGAACCAACCTCGCTACCTTACTATTATACTTAGTAGTAGGGCAGGCCCAGCTACCTATCGCTTTGCTATAACGCGGTGATCCGAACGGGGGTGATCTTATCGCCCCCGTTCCGCTCGCCTCGTCGGCTCGCTGCACTACTCGCAGTGTTATTAGTTAATAGTATTGGGCAGGCCCTGCGGTCCCGCTAGATCGCAAGGGGGGGGGGTCTGCCTTCGCTACGCTCGGCAGCAAAAGGTTGTTTGTGCCATTACTGGGCCGCCTTCGCTACGCTCGGCAGCTAATCGAACTTAGTGGGAATCGTACTTAGTGAATAAGCGTGACGATTTTGTGACGGACGGACAGCGCGTCTTTCTGATTGATTCTTAGGATAGCATATCCATACTTCGTGTAAAGCCTAGGACGGCGCTGAGATTTAAAAAAAATCGTACCCTTCCTAGACTACAGTGGGCCCGTGTAACGCTGCAACCTGACAGCCTGTCAGGTCGAATGACACGTCAATTCAGAAACAGGGATAAATAATACGTGTACGCTTCCTTCAGCGTTGCCATCGGATGCACGCCTCACATGCAATGAACAATGATCAGTGTTGCAGTAAAACTGGTGGAAAATTGTCGTCGAGGGGAAAGCTTTGCATACGGTGTGCGTGTACATGTACTGAATGCGGTGTTGTTTAGTTGTGAGGATTGCACGCTAGCGATTTTTTAAACGCAAGACAAAGTTATTAGCACCACCACGCACTGCGTCCAAGCTGAAAACGCGAACGCGAGCGCAGCAGTACAAACTTTGTTCGTCCCTGAAACCCCTCGGTAGGCGTACCAGTATGCACTATGCATGTGGGACGCTGGAGCCAATTCCGGCGCCAAATTTGCAAGATGGGGTGCAGTAGGCTCCTACAGACACTGAAAGAGGGTGTGGGGGTCAGCGATGTCCGCGTTATGGTTCCGTACAATTGCATTTCGGTGAAGGCAGGGCAAGACCCACTGCATCATGCTCGATCGCTTCGTAGATGCCGTTTTAATGCGATACCCGCGCAACCTCACCACAAAATTTACAACAACAAAAGAAGTGTCCTCAAAAACGTCCTCATTGGCCTACCTAAACAGAGGGCGATCTACTAATAAAATGTATATTTTTCTCACCAATCGCATCGTTTCACTTCTCTCATTGGCCAAAACCCTTTCAATACAAATCAACACGCAACAGTTCGCAATCGCCGACGTGGCAAAAGCTCGGCGCTCCAATATGGCGCGGCTCGACTTCTTCCGGTGCGTGCTCTCTCGTCTCCCAGCGCCCCGCAGCTCTTCAAACTTCTTCCACATGGCCTCCTCCTTGTCGCGCTCCCACCCATGTAACCCCCACCTCCTAACTCGCCGTGCTTCCCCCTCCGCAGGCACCTGCCGGACGACCTGCAAGTGCACACGTACAGCGGCTCCTTCTTCTCGCTGCTGTCCTTCGTGGCCATGGGCCTGCTGCTGGTGACCCACTGGGAGGCCTACCGGCTGCAGAGCACGCGCACCACCGTGGTCATGGACGAGCACCAGGAGGACCGACTACGCGTCAACTTCAACGTGAGTCTGCTCAACGTGCCGTGCGCCGTGGCCAGCGTGGACCTGGAGGACCACATGGGCCAGCGCTTCACGAACCTCACGCGCCACATCCGCCACTTCCGGCTGGCGTCGGACCGCGAGCACGACCAGGTGCAGCGCCTGGACGAGGTGGTCATCGACAACCACGAGAAGGGCATCCCCGTGTGGGGCGGCGTGCACCGGGACACGCAGACCAGCGTGCACTACTCGACGCCGCTGACCTCCAAGAATTTCGACGACTTCATGGCCAAGTACGAGCTCGTGCTCGTCAACTTCTACGCGCCCTGGTGTCCGTTCTGCCACCAGCTCCACCCCGAGTGGGAGCGCGCGGCGGCGCAGCTGCCCGACCACCCGGAGTACAGCGAGATGGTCCGCATGGCCTCCGTGGACTGCACGGACCCCGACGCCGTGTGGCTCTGCCGCCGCGCGCACATCCGCGCGTTCCCGTCCATGCTCATCTACATGTACGGCAGCACGTCCACCAGGTACATCTACAACGGCCCGCGCAAGACGGAGCACCTGCTGCAATTCCTCGACCTGTTCTTCCGCCGTCTCGAGCCGGACGCCGATTTCGCTGAGGAGGTGAACATGAACAACAACCGACTGGGGCTTCCCCTGCCTGTGCGCGTGAACGAGGAGAACCTGGAGGGAATCGACTTCAAGAAGCGCCGTCCGTCGGCGACAATGCAGTCGGGAGCGGTGGAAGGCTGCGAGATCTCGGGAAGTATCAGTGTGAACCGAGTCCCGGGTATGCTGGTGTTCACGGCGCGCTCCGACGAGGTGTCGTTCAACGCCCAAGCCGTCGACGTCTCGCACGTCGTCAACCACTTCTCGTTTGGCCAGGTGCGACGCACCGAAAACTTGTTCGCTGGAGCCGTTGGTCTGCTGGCTGCGCCGTCGAACCGTTTCCCGCTGGACAAGAAGACGTACACCATTGAGAGCGAGAACGTCACGGTGCAGCACTTCCTAAACGTACGTGGTGGTGTATCCTTGCCTCCATTGAGTTGCTGTATCACTTACGTAGACTGACCTTTATGCTGTCGATTGGTGCGAACAGGTGGTCGGCTTTGACAACCAGGACAACACGCGGAAGACGCACCTGCAGCAGCGATCGTACGAGTTTTCGGCGACAACGACCCAGTACGAGGACAAGCAGCCGTCTGCGCTCTTCACCTTCGACATCTCGCCGCTGGTGGTCCAGATCACGTCAGACAGCATCCCGTTCTACCACTTCATCACGCACCTGTGCGCAGTGATCGGCGGTGTCTTCACCATCCTTGGCCTGGTGGACTCGGGCGTGTTCCACGCCATGAACTCCATCAAGAAGAAGCAGCAGCTTGGCAAGCTGTCGTAGAGAGTGGTAAGTTGGTTCACAACACACTGTGCGGTGAACATCATACCCATGCATGTTTAAACTGCAGAAGATAAGAACAAGAAAAATGAAAAACAAGGGAAATCACACCAATCTATTTCATTGTCCTAGCTCGAGACTTGACGATCTTGGAAGTCAGCTATTTACTTGGGCCTTTGCGCATCGAGGTAGTACTTGACAGCATCAAGCTTTCTAAAGTGTTGGGTGACTGTGAAGCCCCACACATAGATGTTTCCAATAGCGCAGCTAACCGAGATCAACATCAGGGGTAAGAACGGGTAGCGGCTACCGATTCTCGGAATGTACGGAAACACCGCAGCCAGCAAGGCAAGACCCGCCAGTCCAGCAAGAAACACCCGCTCAAAGAGAGACATCTGCACAGCCGTGACCTTGATGTGACGCTCTTTCAGCGACTGCTTGAGAAGCGGGACGAGCACAACCTCCGCCAGAAGAGCGTGACACGCACCCAGCAGCACCTTCGACCCCTGCTCAGCGGGTGTGAACAGCAGCGGGAAGAGCGAGACGGTAGCGACGCCAGACGCGAATCTGTACAGCCTCATGCTAGCGACGCTGTCAGCGGCCATTAGCGCCATGGGAAGCGTCACTTGAAGAATCGCCTTCTCGTGCACGTGGTAGCCCAGCAGGAACGAGCACAGCATGCAGTACGCAAGCGCACTGGTAAAGAGCGACGAGTCCGGGTACCTCCAGATACTTCGCAGCACCGGAGTCATCATCACGAACGTTAGAACAGCACACACCAGCGGCGACACAGTGGGGAGCACTGCGAAGCTGGCCTCCTGCACGAGTCCACCGCTCATAAGCGCGACTCCCTCGGTCGAGGCCGGGAAGCCCAGAATCACCAGCACCTTGTCGAGGAACGCGTACAGCGCCCACACATTAGGGGCCCAGTACGCGTGGCACAGTCCTCTCTGCACGGGGAACAGTCGAGACAGGATCTGCTTCATGCCGGCGATCGGGTCTTCGTGGTCCCACAGAATGGATCCGAATGCGAGCGCGAACACCGCCAGCACCATCACCCCGAGACGCACAAAGTTCACGACCGAGAACACCACGTTGCCGTCGTGCAGATCCTGAATCGTCTCGTGCACGTCGGTGCTCGAGATGGATCTCTTCCTCAGCACCTTCCCATTGTTATCTTCATCGTCATCAGACGACCCCGAGTCGGCCTTCTTGACGTAGCAGTAGTGGCCCAGCAGGTAGATGAAGTACAGCGGCGCCACGTACAGGTAAATGTGCTTGAACATGAGCAGCACGGCGTAGAGGAAGGCGCCCTGCAGGTCCTGCTGCAGCCGGAACTTGGTGGCCGACAGGATGAGCAGCCCGAGCAGCATGCCGTTGTACTGGAAGTGGATGTGGTCCACGTACAGCAGCCCCGCGTCCAGCACCGTGACGAGCATGATGGCGAGTCTCTTGGCCCTGGAGAACGCCCACTCCGTCGTGGTGACCGTGGGCCAGGACGAGCAGTACGCGTGCAGCGCGTAGAACAGCACCACGTCGGACGCGACGACGCTGAGTCGCTGGAAGAGCAGGATGGAGGGAGAGAACACGGGCGTGGAGCTGAGCACCAGCATGCTCTTGTCCACTGCAGCGGCCGCAAAGCTCAGCGCGTACTCGAAGTAGGCGAAGAAGGGCGGGTAGTCGAGCGTCCACTCGCTCGTGGCCTCATGGTACCACCGGCGGCGCGGCAGCTCGTGCGTGAGGCTCAGCCAGTTGCGGTGCACCTCGAAGTCCGTGCTGGTGTAGGACGGCAGCAGCAGCAGCTTGAGCGCCACGGAGAAGACGAAGAGCGCCACGAGCGGCGCGTCCAGCCGCTGCTTCTGGCGCCGCACCTCGGTTCGGGGCGTCATGCTGGACTGTGTGTATTGTATGATAGGGATGAATACATGTAGGGCTGCGATTGGCGGATAATGCGGTGGCGGTTGACGAATGGGAGGGAAGTTGAAGTTGACATGCATTCCTTGGGACGCTGCACTGGATCGGGGACGCACTTGGCCTTTGCCGTGGAGAGAAGAGAAGCTGGAGAGAAACATGGCGGGCGAAAGCCGTGAGCAGACGGAGGACGCGGCGGCAGCGGCTGCTACTGCTACTGCTACTGCTACTGCTACTGCTACTGCTACTGCTACTGCTACTGCTGAGAGTGCCGCAGCTGAGGAGCAGAGCTGCTGCTGCGAGCCCGTAGCTAAGAAGCTAAAGACGCGGCGCGGAGACGACGACGTTCGGTGCGGGACGGTGTCGTACAAGCTCACGGTGGAGGCGCACAAGACCGTGTTACGGCTGGAGCGGACGTACCCCAACTGGTCGGACGCCCGGACCGAGCTGCCCGAGGTCTTCCACGGCACGAAGTGGGCGTGCATCACTGCGGAGATGCGCGCCCGCTTCCCCCAGCTCAAGATTAATCGCGGCACGCTGAGTCGCATCTGCACGCGAGCCAAGCGCACCAGTGAGCTGAAGGAGCTGCGCGCGCTCAAGGAGGACCACGACACCAAGGCGGGGCTCAAGGGGAAGGAAGGGAAAGCCGACGACGGCTCCGTGCTGAAGGAGGAACTCTCCAAGCTGCGCACGCATTTGCAGCTGCAGCTGGAGGATGCGAAAGAGGCGACGGAGGAGCTCACCAAGGCGCGCACGCAATTGCAGGTGCAGGAGGAGGAGACGAAGCGGGCCCAAAAGCAACTCAAAAAAGCAGAACAGCACGTTGTGGTGCTGCAGCACATGATGTCTCTCAAAGAAGCGGAAGCCAGCCAGCTCAAGTTCGAAACCAACGCCCTGAGGGTCCAGATGCGACGTGAAAGGCGCAAGGCGGCAACGTTCGGAAGACAGCTTGACGCTGCGAACGCCCGCAATACCGAGCTGCAGCAAATGCTGTGCGAGGGCGCTGAAGACGACGAGGACACGCAGGAGACGCAAGGAAGCGAGCAAACGGAGGGCTGAAGATGCTGAGCCATGTAGTTGATACATTTGCTGTAGTTCAGGACAGATTATGAGAATAGCTTTTACTGCTCTGCTTGGTCAATCTCTTCTTCTACATTTTATGCTAAAAAGTGCAGCTTGTCGTTCACTTTACCTCAACTTTAACCACAATATATCGAACCCCTGCTTACAATCAGCAAACGTACAACTAACAGTGAGTTATTGTCTAGTAAATTCTACTAACAGCAAAACGCCCCACACTACCGTCATGCCATTTCCATTCGAGTATTTTCAAATATTTACGCGCCTGCTACATTAGAAGTGTAACGAGTCTGCTAACGCCAGCTCGCCAGCGGGCCGTCGCCCGTAGTGCTTTTGCTGTGTCCACGCCAAGGTCCGCTACCATGAGGGGTTTGTCACTTCAACATCAACACCTGTGGGCCACCGCAAAGCAACCGGGACCTACGCCCCTATTTATTAACCTCAGTACAACCAGGGCAGCTCGTTGTCGTTCTGCGACTCGCTCTCGTCGTTCGTCAGCTCGTCCACGTCCGGCAGCTCGTTCTCGTCCGTCAGCTCGACATCGTCCGACAGCTCGCCGTGCGCCGCTGCAAGGGCTGCGGGTGCCCCCACTTGCTCTCGTCCGGGTACAAACCCAAGTGAGCGCCGCTAGCTCGCGCGGCGACGGAGCACGCCACCCGTCGCGCGCTGCTCACCACTCTCTTCGATCCGTTCCTCGGACCACTGCCCACGGCGCGACCCTCTAGCCCAAAGATCCTTCATGTGCGGTTCTCGGCATGGTTGCCACTTCGGGCTGTTGGGCTCTGCAACCGCTGCCGCGATCACCGTCTGGCATGGCTACATTTCATACCTGTTACAGAAGGCTCGTTGTTGCAAGTTGCTCTACAGTAGTCGGAGACTAAAAGAAAGATATCAGCCATCAGACCACAACGAGCACCTGAATCAACGCAAATGATTGTCTGAAGTTCATATCAGCTCGTTTTGCACTTGATAAAGAGAAAATCGTCGCCGCCATTGTTAGCCGCATGTCGATAACTTCACCTACAGATACTCGCAAAAGGTATTTTATCGTTTTGCTGTCCCGCTCTCAGGTGACACACCTGCCTGCTCCAACGTTGCGTAAAACCAAGTCTACTCGTAAAGTTAAATTGCATGGCGTGAGCCATGCAATGAGTTTGCTGAGTGTGGTTCTTCCCACCGAATATGTGTGCTTATTTAGCCACAGACGAGTTACTGTGCTGCTTCGCTGATGACCTTGGCCTTTTGGTCGTGCCATTCTTCAATGCCAAAGTTTGCACGTGCACACGGCAGGGATCAAAGCAAATAAGCACCACAATTCCACCCGAGAATAGGTTACGCGAAGATGCATTATTAAATTACATGTATACCTGTTACGTACGTATAAAGGGTCCTACCTACATGTACCAAGTTGAGCTGCAAACATTGTTCAGCCATGATTACCGTGTCGTTTGGCTCGCCAAAATCAACGGATCAACCTAACGTATTGTATTTCTACCTTGCAGGCTAGCTCCGAATCGACAAGCGCGCGACACTCTGCGTTTGGTACTTGTCTCCCGCTTTCCGGGAGGCAAACAAGTAGTTAGACTGAATCGACTCGAGCTGCTGCGTCGAGAATTCAAGGACATCACGCACCAGTTGAACACTATGCTAGCACAACTTAAAAGTTTTGCGTAGACCGCATCATATAGGCCCCAACTAGGTGCAGCGTAAAATTGACATTGACTATCTTCGTATATTCTCGCGCAACAGCTCAACTTCCGCTCGATAATGCAGTTGTAGGCTCCCGACGCTTTTTTCACTCGACCATTTGGTGAATACGTGAAACGAAACGCTTGGTTTTCTTGCATCGTCCCTTGTGCTTCCTCTTGACCTCCGGGTCCAGGCAGTGCGCCACCTTCAGCAGACAAATGTTCGCGTACGTGACGCTGTCCGACCCGCATTGAGGCATAAAGTCGCGTTCGCAGAGCGTCGGGCACCTGTCTTCGGGATCGACCGTAGTGGAATTGATTCGCGCGCTGGTTCCTGTCAGCTGCAGCAGCGCCACGGCCGCCAAGATCGCCAGCTTGTTCATGGTGATGCAGTCGTCGATTGTCTGCTACTGCTTTTGCTGTTCGGAGCAAAACCCAAAGTGAGGAGGCGGAGGAGGAATGGCGTCGAGCCGCAAGGAAGCCAGGTGCTTGGCTTGATCATCCGTGATCGGGTTAATGATGGGACTGACACAAACAAGGCAACGCTGGCGTCTGTACGGATTGATTGGGGAGCCAGTTGGTAAGCACTTTGCTGTGGGAAAACGTCAAAAGGTGTATGAATTTGAAACGTTTTGTCAAAAGCGTTAACTCGTGTCATTAGGTGTATGCTAGGTTGTCGGTATGACAGTATGTGTATGTGGTTCCAAGCGCACTAAGGTGCATCATAAAGCTGCATCAGCAACGAATGCGGTGACTGGTGTGTGGGCTTAGATCCAAATCCATAAAACCCGGGGTTAGGAAGGCTTCTACCTGATGCAACTAGCAGCGAACACGGTCAACTAATAATAGCATATAGAGCAACTGTACTCGACAACTTCGCTATTGTGGCTACAAGGAACTACCAACGCAAACCGCAAGCGTCTATAGCATGGCTGTACTAGGTAGGTTTTGCATCTGAATTTCGGAGGTGAAGGAGCTCTAGTGAGAGCCCCCAACCGGGGGAGAGTGTAGGTATTATAGAACTGTGGCAACGCTGAGGCCTGGCTACAATGGATAACGACGTTCATTGTAGTCCCTCAGTCGTACAATTCGCTATCAAAGTCATGGGCACCACGAACCGGACGAGCGTGTCGTTAATAAACTACTGTGCATGGAAGCTCGATCCTGGGTCTGTATGACCCGACCTCGGCCGAAATACCGCGGCAACCAAAACGTGTGTCAGTACGTGTATGATGAGACATGACGCGACGTGACGCCCACGACCACTACACCTATTGACAAACGTTTTCCCAACGCATACACCTTTTGACGTTTTCTCCTTTGCTGTCTTGGTGGAACACTCGATTACGGTACACACTCTTTTGCTCTGCACACGCGAGTAGAACGTGGGGGTCACTCCCTCGTTTACGCTGGGCTATATCGCACATTCATAATATTATGCGTTCTGACTCGCAACTCGACTCGTACTTTATAATCTCCCCTATTGCCTTCGATAAATCGATATATCAATATAAGACCAAAGTGAGGCTTCTGACGTCGTTGCCGTCGTGATGTACGAACACTACGGATGTACTAGTAATTAGTAACCTCGTACGTCGAGCAAACGTCGGATAGAGGGTGCCGATGAAATTACCTTCTTATAATGCGCCATGATCAGGCGTCAGAAGCTTTGCGTGCCGACCGCCGTTACTTTGCGCGTTCTCGCCCCTGTGGTGACCACAGGGACGAGAACCACAGGCTGTGGTGGCTTATCTGGACCTCCTTCAGGTTATTATAGACCTGATAAGGCTCGCACGAATCCATGAAGTTGAAAGTGAAATATTTAAGTACTAAAGCGGTACAGTGACCTTACGTGCCCTTGACAAGTGCACAATACCTGTACTGTACACACAGTCAGTCAGCCACTGGATTCGGTCCGCTCTATAGCTCTATGGTGCCGTCTCTCAGTCAGAACATCAGCTGTCGTTAGAAGCTTTTGCTTTGTCAGGAGCTGTGGACCTGTTGTAAATACGTGATAATATTTGTGCTCTTCACCAATTCTGTCAGTCGATTAGGCTGGCTAATTCAAAGTCAAATCCTAGAATAATCATTGAGTAAGCGACTTGCCCTGCGATGCGCGAGCGAAAAGCTCGATTTAAGCTTGATTTACACGGGAAATCGTGGATTGGCGGTTGCAAATGCGCCATTCCAACGATAATCAAAGCCTGGGCGACAGTACAGAATAGCATCCAATACCATCGAAGTAAGGGTCGTTGGGTTATGGTAAAACAACGAATTACGATGAAGTTAAAATACAAAACAACGATTTACGCCTTCGTTTAGACAGAATGAGAGCAAAGCACAAAGGATTGTAGTTTACATTACCGAGTGCAACCAACTCGGCAACTGTAGTGTCCTTGCTAATTACCCTACGCACATCTTGGCCCGCCGTGTAGGGTGAGGGGTACTCGACGTTGATGCCGCGCTCGCCCTGAGTGCTACCAAGGTTGACCGCAAAAAAATAGTTTAAAAATACATAGCGCCCCGTACTAGGGTTCCGCGAAGGCTGGGACAGGAGGATTTAGTATAAACCCCTTCTTTTTATTTTTTATTTTTATCAATTGCTTTTCTTATTAGCTACGGTCATCTCCTGCGCCTGCTTCGCAGCCACAGCATCTATCCGGAAATTTGCCTGTTTGCTTTTTAATTTTGTAATGCATTGTCGGTTGATATCTTGCATCTACAGTTTTACTTGGTTGAGATCTGTTTGCAGTTTGTAGAAAATGCATGCTATTGTACAGTCCGCCTCAATCGTTCTCTTTGCTTCACTTCGTCCATCCGTACCCAGCTCAATTTGTGTACTGATTCATACCAGTGTCGTCGGTAGCACACCGGTTCGATCTGCCCACGCATATAAACCTTTTGGATGGAGGGCCCAGTGCGGCACCGGAGTCGTACCGGTTTCAAGAAAATATACCAGTTAGATGTCAGGAGGGGTCATCGTTTGACTTGACGTACCACGGATATAATCCTATTTGGTCTAACGTTGCTTCCTATCCCAGTATAATCCTATTTGGTCTGCAATAGCACCACTAACGTTGCTTCCTATCCCAGAACATGTCATAATAACCGTTGATAAAACTCTGTAAAATGCGAACCGCGTTCATATTTAGGGTTGGGCATGATTGATGGTGCGGCTGTTCTGTTCACAGGTCGAAGACCTGTGCTTGGCCCCGGCAAAAAACTTGTAACTTTCCAAAACCGGGTACCAAACCGGGTCTCTCTTTCTTAATTGTAATGTTTAAGCTAATATCTGCCGGAATCGGGTACCCGTCGATAAATGCTAAGATTTATGCACATTATTTACCAAAGGTTGATACTAATCATTTATTATTGACCACAACCTGCATTCAAACACTTACGGACGCTCTAGTACAGTATGAGAGCGTCATGGCTTCGCTGAAGGTGTATCAATTTGCGCCATAATCGACCAAGCTTAGCTGAAGATGAACAACATGACTTGTCTGCATTTTTTTACATGTCAATTTGCTCAATACCCAATCACTCTTAGCCGAAGATGCCCAACCTCGTGTCTGTCGCCAAACCAATCAGCTCAACTCGACAGTGACACGAGCATCGTTCGTTTGAACAAGACTTTTTTCCCTGCGATGAAGCACCCACTTCCAAGGAATTGGCCCATTAGCGTATTTCTCATTCCGCGATTTATCCCCCAAGCCCTCAAGTTAAAAGTTTGCTTGTTTGTTTTGTTTTTGAATTGAGGATCATTATTGTCACTTAGCTAACATCCTCAAGTTAATGGTCAAAATCAGCGCACCATGCGTCTCTCCTTCGTTCCGCTACTGTAGTTCTCTCGTCTGATCGTTAGCACACAACAGTACAAAAATGAGCACAGTATACCTTACCTGCAAAATGAATGAAATAGCTCTCTCGTTGCTGGCGCCAACGCAGTCATTGGACGCTGACCAGGGTGTTATGTCACCGATCATCAGATCAGGCAACCTCAATTGGTGACTTTCGGCTCCTGAGAACCCACCACGATAAAGAAGAGCGGGGCTTGCTGGTTACCAGCCTCACAAAGGTTTGGCTGAAACATCATTTCCGTATCGATACACTTCGATGTGCGCAACTATTTGTTCAATTACGCATTCTCGGGCAGATGCTGCGGCTGCGAGCAGGCGCAGTAGATGCCCACGTTAGAATCAACTAGAGAGTTAGTTGGGCTGGTAGTGCTTTTAAGGATTAAAACAAAACAACTTTGGGATTTACTCAATTATTATCCGTTATCATCGTCCATGAAACTATTCGTCGACCTGTGTACCCTCCCGGAGCAACGCTCCGGGTTGCCTATAAGCATAGCTCGTGCGTAAGCTTGTAACCTGTTTCTTTCTACTCCGTATTATTACAGCCGTGCAGCTCTAGGTATAAACTCTATAATTTAGGATTGCTTATTCAGATTTGAGCAGCTTTGACGAGAAAGTATCAGCTCTGGAGCTTGATACATGGTTCACCAGGTGGTGAATCACCACCAATGTAGATGGCATATCCGTATACATGTACTGTGTACAACCGGTGATTCTGCTGTGCCTTACGAGGTGACAATCGACCATCATCCCTTACTTACAAGTTGTACGAAACGTTGTAAGTTACAACGTTTCGTACGCACCTCGTGATTTTTCATTTGGCTCTGCACGCTGACTCCCCACTTTCTCTTTTGAACCCAGCGCGCACAAGCGACAACATCTCCAACTCTATACATGTAGTATAATTACGACGAGAAGAAGCGATGAATATCAACAAGTTGGTTGTCATGGTGCTTATGGGACTGCTCCAGCTCACAAGCACGAGCGCGAAAGCTTCTACCAAGACCCCTATCCGGAAGACAAGTGTCCGACGCTCTGCGAACGCGATTTAAGCCCCGTATGTGGTTCCAACAACGTCACCTACGCCAACGAGTGCATGCTAGAGGTTGCGCACTGCTTGGACCCCAAGATCAATCGGCTGGGCAGGGGAAGATGCCACAAGTGAGAAGTAAAGCGGCGCTGTAGCAGACGACTGATCTCGCCAACAGTTGAGTCTAACGTGAATGTATGAAGTGACCTCGATATCTCCCCCAGTTTGACTTAGTTTGCTTAGTAGAGGTACTTCAGCACGGCATGAACTCCGACGCTGAGTCTCTTTCATCTGTCTCCGACCGGTAAAGTGAAGTGTCGTACTTCGCTAATATGGACCGAGTAATTAATACCAAAGTGCTCGTCGAGTTAGACGCATTTCTTATCCAAAATCGTACTCTGGGCTATGGAGAATGAGTATTAATACTACTGTACTTCCTGACAAGGTCAACGGGTTAGCTGTTTTACTCATATCGTTATCGTTGATGGAAGTTTGTAATTAATTAGAAGCCTTTATAGCTACCTTGTAGAAACCCACAAACAAGTTTGTGGATCCCCACCCAATACGAATCTCGCCGGCACCTAAAGCAAAACTGAAGGCGCGATCTTCCCGCATTTATCACAACATAAAATGCGGGCCCAAATATATATAAGTTGAGTATACTCGACGATATGTACATTGGAGCTCTTTGTTTTTTGGTTTTCTTAAACAAAGGTTTGGTCTGCTTCACTTTGTTATGCAGTAACTACGAAAATGATGTGCTATTCTGGCCCCACTACCTTCGTATCCTTTATAAGCTCTCATTCGAGCAACAACTTCTATCTCTGGGTCGAATATATTATGTGAAAACTGCCGTAAGTTGCTCAAGAGCCAACCTAAGGTATAGAACTTAACTGTTTTGGGTTCATTGGGTTAAGATAATGGAGAGCGAAAAACAGCAACTATATTTTCTTTTCTTGTGGCCCAAACTTGTCCGTGTACTTCGGAGTTTTGCTTTGAGCACACCACGTCACAGTGGTTTCCTTGGAAACAATTAGCACTGAATGTTGGACGGCTCGCCAGTGCAATTACCGGTGCTCGAAGGTTACACAGAAATGCATTAAGTGTTTAAAAAAATAAAACTTGGGGAAATTGGCTGGCTCGTTGGTGTACAAAACTTACCTTAGGCCCAAAGGTGGACGTGCCCTGAAACTTGATCTTGGCATTGTCTTGCAACTGAGTCAAATTCAGCTGGACGCCAGTAGGCACCCGAAGGGAGTCGATGACGATGGTTTTGCATGCACTCACATATGTGTTGTTGACGTAGTCTCCAGTGAGAGTGCACTTGCCCGTGAAGACAGGCGGAGTCTGCTTCTGTGATTCGTCCGAGCCCCCAGACTTTTGGGCAGGGTCGTAGTTACCAGAATTGGTTTGGGTTGCCTTGAGTGGGGGAGTCTTGGGAGACTTCAGCGCTACTTGCTGCCGTTTGATCGGCGGGCATGACTTCACCTTGCTTGTAGGCGGAGCTGGCGTCAACTTGGACCTGGGTAAGGGCGTTGGTGCCCGCGTCGATGGCCGTGGCGCTTACCAACAAAGACACGGCGAAGAAGGCGGAGACAAGCTTCATCGTGATCGAAAGAGCAGGAAGAAGAAAAAAGCAAAGTGAGGATGATCTTTGCATCGCGAGCCCATTGCACGAACGGCTAGAAGATTCACCGTCACGTTAAAAACATCTGCCGCGCGTTCGTTGAACAAACTTCGTTCATAATGACTAATACTGTTTACTACTGTACGAGATAATCAATCTCCGAAAAGACAGTTCTTCGCCTCGGCTCAGTTCGTGAGGCAAGGTGGGGCAGAAATGCTGCATTGCTATTGTGGCACGTGACATTGCTAGACATTGCTATGCTCCACTAAGCGCTAGCCACGAATTCCTACAATCCACAGCGAAATGCGCCATAAACCTCAAATAATACAGTACACGCAGTGTAAATACATGCAGTGTATTAGTCGGTGTTGTTGTCCTATTGCTACCGGTATGTCAAATAAAAAAATAATTGCAGTTGTACAGTTTCCGCGATCAACCTAAGTTTTCTTGAGACCCTAAACAATTTGGGAGGATCGTATTAGCTGATGTTGTCTTATTGTCAAATGGGGGCATGGTCCATCTCATGATCGGCAATATCACGTTGCATCGTGCAACATGCATGAGGGCCAATGATTTTTCTACCACGGAAAAGAAATAGTAACACGTCCAGTTATTGCGAGTAAATGCAAATCCGCCAACAACGAATGCCCGAAGATTTTTTTCGTACTACACTGTCCGAACTCAAGCGAAAATATTAAAATACCTCGCAAATTTGCTCACGTTGCATAGTGCACGTCCAGTATTCATCGTATTCATCGTGCAATCAGGCGAGAATCAACAGAGTGCTGTGCCGTCAACTTCTCCGCATTCTGTACCTAAGGCCAGTCGGTTTGATCTCGATAAGCGGTCGAAACGAACAGGTACGGTATACTGCAACCCAGCAAAAAAAAGTCTATCGACACGGCAAACTGTGATGCCTCTGATGCGCGACTGATATATGTCTGGCCTGGAAACACACAATCTACTCATGCCTCCTCCCCAATAATAGTATCATCGCATCATACTGAAAATGTACATCCAACTGTATTCTGATTTATCACTGCTCGACCCCAAAACTCTTCCTCTGCGTGTCGCATCTACGTCGAGTGCTTGATGCACTTGCCTTCCGAGAGCTTGGAGATGGTCGCGTTCTCGCAGATGGCGAACTCCAGCAGGCAGTCGTTGCCGTACGTGACGCCGTCCGAGCCGCACACGGGCATGAAGTCGCGCTCGCAGTTGTCGTCGCACTCGGCCGCGCTGCGCTCCTTGGTCATGCTCAGCCGCAGCGTGGCCTCGTCCAGCGCGCAGACGCCCGAGAGCAGCAGCGCCGCCGCCGCCAGAATCGCCGCCTTGATCATTTGTTGCTTTTTACACTGAACTGGACTCTCGAACGGAATGATTTGATGGGACACACAAATAGTCCAGGGGGTATTTTTTGTATTGTACAAAATTTGGTTAAACACACAAATCGTCGTCTAGGGACTATTTTGTATTGCACAAAATTTTGGTCTGGAACTGTCGAAAAGAATGATGGGGCGAGACTATATTTTGGTCCAGGAAGTTGATGTGGGAGTTGCCCCACAACTCGGAAATTTGCGCTCCAGAAGCAAGTATCTGTTGACTACTGCGAAGGTGGTGACCCAGTCAATCGCTGCACTTAAAGGGCTGGGTCATGTGGCGTTGGCAATTTCGATGTATCTGGACCCCTCGCCAGATATCCCGTTCGCTCGGGCGTGCGCGCTGGGGTCGCAGCGGTTGATGCAGCAGCCGAGTGGGTTTCTCCTGGTAGAAGGACCTTCTCGACCTTTTTGAGGAACGACCGTCACTACCACTGCTGGAGCTTTGAGAGGGGGATTATGGAGGCTGCAAAACGCGGCGATTTGGGCACGTTTCGGTGGATCATGGAGCACTTTTCAGGCTGCACGGTGTCGGAAGACGTCGCTAGTGAGGTGTGCCGCAGAGGACATCGTGATATCCTCGAGTATCTGTTGGAGTATGAAAAGGGGGTACAATGTCCAAGTATCCAATACGGACATCGCCACGTAGTTCGTTCCCTGAGGGAGCCTACTGGTATGCTTATGGCTGCAGCGGCGGCGGGAGGTCACAACGAACTCGTCCTCTGGATGTCTTCGATTGACCGCTTTGAGCCAACGAACAAGTACGAAGTCCTGGTAGAGGTCGCGCGTCACGGGGATTTGGATCTACTCAAAAGGTTGTTGGAAATGTGGCGACGACAGCAACCACGACCCCCTGGACTGGACTATGCTGCGCAAGGAGGGAATGTGGAAATGATGAAGTGGTTGAAGGACAAATGCGGTATTATAGACAGTACTGGGAAGCGCGGGGCATTGACGGAAGCGGCGAGAAAAGGTCACGTGGAAGTGGCGAGGTGGTTGGCTGAGAACTATTTTTCGGATCAAGAGAGGGAGGCTCTAACTCAAGCAGCAGGGAATGGTCACTTAGCCATGGTGGAATGGCTGCTTGGAAACGCTCATGCACGCACTACCGAAGCCTTTGCTAAGGCGGTCAAGAACGGTCACTTTGAGGTTGCTCAGTGCCTGCATCGGCATGGTCTTGCCATGTTTACACCTCTAATAATGTACGAGACTGCCAAGAACGGAGACTTGGTGATGATCCAGTGGCTAAGGGAAGCGTTCGCACACAAGCCCAGACTTGACATTTTCCAGACGGATAGGAACAGAAGATCGATGATGGATGCAGCGGCCGAAAGGGGGCACCTCCACGTGATGAAGTATCTGCACGAGATCGCTCGGTCGAGGAAGAACACGAAGACGGTCGTTGGCAAGCGCAAGCGGCAATCGTCTACTCCAGAGCCGCAATTTTCCATCCCGGAATGCACAGAAAACACGATGGCGCTGGCAGTCGGTCACGGTCACGTTCATGTGGTCGAATGGATTCAAGCGAACTACGAGTTGAAGCCCAACGTGAACTCCATGGACAAAGCAGCAGAGCGCGGACACCTCGAAATGCTCAAGTGGCTGGACCAGAACACCGACTGCAAGTGTACCATCAGTGCATTCAATGTCGCCGCCAGACGAGGGCACTTCCGGGTTATCCGGTGGCTGCATTCAAACCAGCCGGAATGCTGCAAGCTCATGGCGATGACGATGGACCCCGCCGCGAGCGTGGGGAACCTTCGACTGGTCAAGTGGCTGCGCAAAAATTGCATTGAAGGGGGCACGTATAGTGCCATGACAGCAGCCGCCAGAGAAGGCCTTTGATGTGGTGCTGTACCTGTATTGGCAGCGGCCGGAGGTGTGCAATTCGACATACGCAAGTCCTGGAAGGGTCTCGAACCGCCACATCGATACCTGGTTACAGGAAAAATGTTCCAACATTGACTTTACCCAACGTTATTGAAGAGGATGAACAGACAATTGTGTCGGGATAATTCATGTTCTATCTATCTACTCCTCTATCTAAGCAGAGATTTTACCTACCAAGGCGTCTACTGTTTTGATAAGTACATCGGGAGCAATCGCGTAGACCTCGTCAGCTTCTCCAGCGCCACAGAGAAGGTAGTCCTCGGACTTGACGCACTCGTCTACGACGATCTGCATGGCATCCTGCTCTCGTAAGCCAACAGGTCCGAGACAACCACGCGAGTATCCAAATACTCGCACCAAAGTCTGCACCAAGCAAAAAACAAGTGGGTCGTTAGATTGAATCAGTGGCAAAATATTTTCCAATATGTGAGCAACGTACCTCTTGATCTGCTAGCGAAATATCCTCTGGGTCTGCTCCCAATAGGGATCCCAGCGCTTGCATATCGATGGACCGAATCCAGTGGCAACACGGCTACAGCGTGCGAAATCCGCCTCGGAGCGTTGGTTTGTTTTCCCTTGCGAATCAATAGGGCGATACTCTTGACCAGCAGTCCAGCACTTTCACTCTCAACGCATCTGAGGAAGCAGGCCTGCACTCCGAGCGCTTGTAAAGCAGCTTTGACGTGCTGTTTCCCAAGCGGTTGGGAGGCGGAGGCGACAGTCCACGAGTATGAGAAGCTTCGACAAGCGTTGAAGCCCTTCATATAGTTCAGGATGTTGTCGCTTACGGAGCAGCCCTCCCCCCTGAAGCTGACGTCAGCTAGGAGGTGCAAGGCGAGTCGTTGAACGGCGTACGCGTCTTTCGCTGCGTACTCCAGTTGGATGCTGGATAGCGGGCGGCTGCCCCAGTCGGAGCATTGTTGCTCCTTGTCCACTTGTTCCCCGAGGCAGGCACGGTAAAGCCTCGACAGTCCCCAGTTCTTAGCAGGAACGTGCCGAAACAAGACGAGATCTTTCAGCTCCAGCAGCAGAGGACGCGGTACAGTATCTCTTCTGTCGAAGAGCGACCCCAGGACGGGAAACGAGTTCTTGATCCTCTGAATGTCGCTCGCCACGCAAAAGCCAATCAGCAGGAGGCGAGATGCGGACGTCCAGATGAAACTCAGCGGTAGAGCGGCAGCTTTGCCAAGGACTTGGACGTCGATCACGTAGACCACCTCCCCCACAGCGAGTTGGTAGATGCTCAAGCCAGCTTGGTCCTCGTCGAATTGATTGCTGGTCAGAAACTGTGGCCGCCACTCGCAGTCGATTCCAACCAGAGCGTTCCAAACCACCCGTTGATCGTCGGGTTTATCGTCCAAGTGTAATGTGGCTTCACACTTCTTCAGATGCTGAACAATGTTCTCAATCCCATCGAGAGAATCGATGTATTTCCATTTGAGCTCGAGTGAATTGTGCTTGCTCAGAGATCGGTTCGTCGCATGGTCAATGGGACTACCCAGCAAATGAGACGATGTCTCACCAGTTGAGCTTCTTGGCGCTACTGCTTGCACAGCAATTCCCGTTGTGCTATGAATCCCAGCAGAGACTTTCTGCAGCCGCTTCAGAGCTTTCGTCATGTTCAACAGTGATAAATGCTTGAAGAGCGTCTGCATCATCTCAGGATCCTGCACCACGATGGCCAACCGCTCAGCGCTCTGCCAGTCACACTGCTGGACGAAATCCGCGAAAATGCGCTTAACCTTTTGCACGTCCTCTGTAGAATTCAGAGTCGTGTGGTCTGGAGTGACCTCGTCAATACGAAACACACGAATCGTCTCGACCACGACGGCATTCCACCGGGGACTGCGAGCAGCAGTCAGTTTGTCGAGGAAACTGAACTTGCCGCTCTCGCCTGTGCCTCTCCACTGCTGTAAATCCCCAGCTCTCAGAGTCAGATCGGACGCTCGAAGAATCAGATTGAGGAACTCCCACCGCTCAGGATCACTAACTACGTTATCGAAAAGTGTTACCCATGGCTCGCATTCTTGTGAGGAAGCAACAGCATCTGGATCATCCAGGTTTGACTCTCGGTTCAAGTTATCAATCACATCCAGCAGCAGGTAACCCACTCTTCGAGCAAGCTTAGACTCCTCCTCGTCTTTAGCGCCGCGAAGTAAAGACTCGAGGCACGAACGGAGGTACGCGGGCTCGTCATCATTGCAACTTGTAGCGTGTTGTCTCCGCCACGTGAGCAGCTCTTTAGTCGACCGTTTCAGCTCCGCATGGCTAAACTTTGAGTTAACAGCCCCCAGTAACGACACCAGCTCCTTGCTCATCTCTTCCGGACCGAAATTTGCGGGGTCAGCAAATTCATGACGTTTCTGTTCATCTTGCGCAATAACTTCATCCGCGTCTGGCTTGATGAATCCTTCATCTGCACCATCCCTCTCGCCAACTCCAGTCACCACATTTCGACGAAGTGTGCGTCTGAAGCGCACGGGTTCGTGGCACAATGGCGATGGATCCCAGCACTTGGGGTCAAGAATGAACCCTCTCGACAATTCATACCAGTGACGAGGGTCGTTATCCTCCAAAGCTTTAAGCTCCTGGACAATCTCAGCCACCAGCAACGGCATCGCTACTCCACCAGTTTTGTTCGTCTCCGCCGCCGATGCGACTTTTTGGAAATGTTCGCGAACAAATGCCATCAATTCATCAAGCGTGAGCGCTTCCACTTCGGGGATATCCAACCGATTGTCTCCCTCGACGTACACCTGGCCGCTCAGCTTGTTTTGCACGGCAACTACTGGCGATAACCAATGCAGCTTCGGCAGGATCACGAATCGGCTCTCGCCTAGTCCTCGCAGGCCATTCGCTCGAACTTTGGCAGGCAAATCCGTCTCCATTGCGGTCGTCCACCACCCTCGTAAATGATCAGTTGCAATGCTTGGATTCGACGACGTGTTCATTGTGAACCCATTCGCTTCGTGTGTCAATTTGGCAGGGTTCTGATGGAAGCGCCAGTCGTGAGCGATTGTCGTCTCCGAAGTCGAGTCAAAATGGTGCAGAGGTTGAAACAGATACCCACGCAGCACGATGTGCGACTGTACACTGTCGCTGTAGTTCTCCTCCAGCCACGCGCGCACGCTCTCACCTCGACGCATCGCCAGCTTTCGTTCCACTTCTTGGACTCTCCAAGCCAAATTTTCGCCAAGATGCGGCCCGACAAACTGTTCGAGCGGTACGTAACTATCCCGTTCGGTTGGACTGCTATCTTCACTGGTAGTTTCAATAAAGCCATTGCTGTTGCTGTCGATCGGGTTGAGTAGGAAGAACTTGACCGACGACTCGACGTGAAAGTCTCGGTACTCCTCCATTGAAGTAAATTTGCACCGAAAGAGGAACTTCAGCTGCCCCACCGTCCTGTTGGTGGACGACACAATCTGCTTCCCGATCTCCATCTTCTCCATTCCCAGATGCGGACAGAAGCGCAGCCAGAACTCGAGCAAAGTGGAGAAGTAGACGCCCAGAGCCAACGATCGACCGGTCGACGTCGTTTCTGCAGACCCAACCCCGACCAAAGCGTTGCTTCAGTTAGCTCAATGATCATGATACGCACAGTTAAGCGTTGCGGTTTACCTTGCATGAACGCCAACAACGGCGCTGGGTCCTCTATGAGGCTGTTCAGCCAGTCAATGACCACGTCGCATTCCAAGGCCTCCACTCCGAATTCCGGCGGTAGGACAGGGAACCGGTCCCCGCTGAGCATATGCGGACTCGTCACCGTCCACAACAAGTCCCGCACCACCTTGGGCATGCATACTGCGCTTGGTAGCCGCGCAGACACATCGTCCGAGGACATGTCTGCGTGGTCTCCGATAATGGTCTAATAGCAAAATGTGCGGCTGTAACGGACGACGATTGGTCGAAAAAATAGGCATGAAAAACTACCTGTGAAAAAAAAACTATGTTTTCGATACGGTAGAATATCGTGTCCGTTCAGACATCTAGATTTTCGTATTACAATAGAACACTGGCACTTGGCCTATCAGAAGACTTTCGCATACTTTGTGAGCCAATCGGCGTGCCTCAAATCTCATGCTGTGCCGTAAGTAACAAATCGGACAATTCGGACATATTTTGTCCGAACATCTGAAACATATTTGATATTTCTATAGTTAAAGTCAGTAAGTCAAATATTCTGAAAATATCGTCAATATTCGGACACATATTAATTTTGAGGGCGCCAGACAGACGAGGCAGCATAACCACTCAAGAAACGACTCATGTCGACGAAAGCGCTCATACCTGGGAACTCCCAGCGGGCTCGCTCGACGGCTCTCAACGCCTTCGAGCGCTTCGCGGTCGCCGAGGGCTTCACCGTCAACGCCATCTATGAGTTTGTAGGTGGGGATTCAACTGGTGATACTCTCTACATTGTTCTCGACAAATTTGCAGTGTATTTAGCATTTAAAGAAAGCTCGAAGGGCTCGCTGCTATCCTAGAACTCGGTCACCAGCTACTTTGGCAACGTCAAGAACCACCTACTTGAGCTGTTTCCAGCTTTAAGTGCTGTATCGGGTCGTCGGCTGCAAAAGATTGCGTCAATCCTCGACAAGTACTGCTCCAAGCGAGGCACAGACTTTACGCACCAGTCCCCACCGTGCACGAAAAGCGACCTGCGCTCGCTCAGCTTAGCGATATTGAAGGGGGCTGTATCTGTGCAGGACTACCAGGATGCAGCCCTTCTCAACATTCTTTGGTATTTGCTGGGTCGGTCTTCAGACACTATGTGTCTCGTGAAAAACCAGGTCGCTGATTACCCTGGTAAGTACTTGTCTTTTTATTTTTCCTAATTTGGTTTTGACCTTGTGTATTTTTAATCGTGGTACACAGGTGGGTGTCTATTTATCACCTTTAAGCGCATGAAGTCTGCCTCGTATCAAGGAGCGTCGATTTTTTCACGACCCAAACGATTTTTCGTCTTGCCCAATTCACGCACTAGCTTTGGCTACAATTATGCAGTCGACTCCAAGCGAGTTTCTCATGGATCAACTTCCTCGGGATACACAAGAGCTCCTGCCGACTGAAATTGGCGAAACGCCGCTCCGCGAACTACTTGATGCGCGTACCAGGTCCCCAGCAACCTCCAACTCTGAGTCGCCGACCCCAAAAGCACCTTCGAAAAAAGCGACAGCCCCCGGAATTCACGCGTATGTTAATCGCGTACTGCAGAAGAGGAGTAGTGTCTGCCAAACCGAAGGTACTAACCTGACGCCAGGGCTATCATCGCATTCATTTCGGCGTGGAGCTGCTCAAAACGCGAATAGTGACAGCAAAATCAGCACACCTTGGATTCTAGACCGTGGAGGCTGGAGCATGAGTGCTGTGAGCAAAGCGTTCAATTATATTGTTGGCACGACGCAGGAAGATCAAACCGTCGGCAAGTCGTTAGCTGGATGGGATTTAAAAGCTAGTCCGCGGCTACCTACACTGGACGACTTCGACCCTCTGGTTCTGCATCGAATTCGCCTACTTCAAGACCGGCTTTTCTCGGCTGCGAAGGGGTTCACTCAGCTTGCGAGATGATGTAGTGGACGTACTTACCGCCACCGCCATTCTCCACTACCCCGACATGCTTCGGCTTAGGCCAGAGTCACTGTACATCAAACGGGTTGAAGAAGCACTAAGTCAGGTACAGGCGACAGAGGCTGAAATTGCTGTATAGTCAATGGCTATTCATCGTACCTTACAGCCGTCCAAGAACGACACTCCACGCAGTCCGGCACCACGGCGTGTTGAAGACGACGAACTCTTGCGGAGGCAAACCTTGCTCTTGGAGCAGCAGGCGCAGATCCTTGGAGGGCTAGCAGCCGAAGTGAAGGCATTGAACCAGCGGGTGCAGCGGCTTGAGCACCCATTGGACGTAACCACCGCTCCGTCGACAACAGCAGCTGGTAGCCTGTCGAGCTCGTCCAGCGCTTTGTCGGATACTGCAAGCGGCGTGGCAACTCGTGCGCATTCGCGTGCGAAGCCACTCGCGACTGTGTGGTACGAGTGGTTTCTGCCCCCGTTGCCAAGCGCGCGTCCAAACCGGCGGCGCTATCACGAGTGCAAGGTGGCCGTGGCCTTTATGCGGGTTTTTCTCCCAGCCGGATACAACGTGACCGGAGATGAGGTCACAGCAAAGGGACGCATCCTGAGCTCAGGACGGGAGGCCGAGGAAAACGTTCTTGCTTTCCTGGAGGCTGAGAACGTGAAAGCAAAGTCGCATGGCACAATTGTTAAGGTTTTGAAGCGGATGTATGCTCAAGGCAAGCTAGACGACCGCATCAGGAATTACCAGCGACTTCAGCAGGAAGGCAAGGCTCTTGAAGATGCACCGGTGCATGTTCTTGAGCCCTACAACAATCCCAGCACAACGTAATTGTAGTCGCGATCCAGTGTTAGGTCCCAACACATAGTTACATCATACATAGATTCATTCACCCATCTCGTTATCTACATACATGAAGTGAGTGTCACAGTAGGTGTCCGCCGTAGGCATCCCTCTCATGTCGTCGACCCCGCTGTTGGCCGCCAACTCCACCACCTCCTCGTCCTCCTCAGCCCGCTGCTGCTGCTGGCCTCGACGGCCGCCACCCCGCCCGAGGACCAGCCGCAGTACGATCCGCCGTCCCGCACGGCGCCGACATCCCGCACGTCTTGCTGCTGCTGCTGCTGATGCTGTTGGCCGCAGTCCCCAAGCCGTTGTCCACTAAACAGCCGCTGTATGACAGAGGATTGCAAAAGATTTTATGTGCACCACACTTCACGGAGCATTTAATAGCATTTAGTTTTAAAGGTTGTCCGAATGTCCGAGCCGTCCGAACCTGCACGGTATGGCACGAGTGTACTTGGCTGTTCATCACGCATCCGACGATATGGCAGGCTATCGAAGACGGCGAGTGGAGTCTTTCTTGTGATGCTGCCAGAAGAGAAACGTCCTCTTGAACCACTTCTTGAACCAGTCCTTGAAATTCGGCCACCAGACCTTGTGATCCGCTTCGGGAAGTTTCTGCCTCTCTCTTCCTGGCCCGGAGTGAAGAGCTCTCGGGTTGTCACTTGGGAGATCGTCGTCGTGACAGCGTTGCTCGGACTAGCCGAGTGCCGCCGCTACGCGGCGGTAATTCTTAGTTAGTTGGCGCTTCGCTCGCTATGCTCGCTCCGCTATTGGAGCAGGCTGCCTACGCTTCGCTACGGCAGTGGCGGACCCGTTCCGCTCGCCTCGTCGGCTCGCTGCACTACTCTCAATGTCAGGTTAGTACTACAGAGGCTGGGGCGGGTTCTGCGGCCCCGCAATATCGTATGAGGGGGTCGCCTTCGGCGACGGAGTCGCCTTCGCTGCGCTCGGCAGCAAATCGTACTTAGTGAAATTCGTACTTAGTGAATAAGTGTGATCTACTCTCAGACGGACAGCGACACTCTGATTGATTCTTAGGACTAGCCGAGCGCCGCCGCTACGCGGCGGTAGTTATGTGGTTAGTTGCAGTAGATAGGGCCGCTTCGATCCGGTGGGCTTTTATCAGTTCAAATGATATTTATTTCCGATTGTGTGCGTGTAAAAATGTTTTTATGCTTAGTGTAGTCGTGGATGGTATCAGCCAAAATAACTATTCCCGTGCCAGCATTACTATGAGTAGATGGATGTTGCAGGGTAAAATATTCTCTATTGTACGGCCCTATCTTGTACGGGAAAGCCATGTCCAACTCGTCGCGGCTATTTAACCCGAACTACAAAGTATTCGCACGGTACATATCTAACAATCCGTGTTTACAGTGAATGCAGTAGAAATAAACATGAGCAATATATCATGGCGGGGTAGATCGATCTGGTGTTGTTATCTTTAGTGTGCTCACGTATATGTACATATTTGCTGTTCAGTATATCATCGTACCATAGTTCTCTGTTATTCAGTTTGTATACATTTACTTTTTGTATTGGGCTATAAGCCCCAGCGACAATCAAAGTGTTGACTTCGCTTTTCCCCGACTTAACATATAATAACTGTTCGTGTTCTTATTTAAAATATCATGCTTCATCGTTTCAGCATTGTGTATGATCCGTCAAATGTAGCTGGGTGCGTGGTCTGCTTCAAAAGTCATATATTTAGACGTGGCTATCAGTTTATTCTCGTGGATACATGAATTCTGACATTCACTGAGCGGAAGGTTTTTATCATAGTTTACGCTGAGATTCCTTCAATAACCATGTTATTGGGCGGATATACATGTAGGAAACGGAATTAGTATAGTGTAAACGTGAATTTTATAGTTACGCGGTGCAAGGTTGTTACTTTTAATATCTTAGTTACTGTAAACGCTAAAATGCTAATGTTCGCTGCATAGCAGAACCCCACTAACGCATTATCCTACCGCTGCACACTGTACTTTAGTAAATACGAAACGCGCTTAAGCAAATATTCCCCCACGATGAACGCAGAGTGCCGCTGTAGCTATAATATATCCACCGCTAAAGTATTACAGTAAAAGTATACTGCGCATGTTAGTAATAAATCTCCTTCCGCTACATGTAATCTCTTACTGCACACGGCTATGAACTACAATAAAACCTCCACTCCAATGCATGTCTAGGCATCTACTATCCCCAGAACCCATTATCTTACCGCTAAATACTAAAAGTTACAGATACATGCCACACGTTTAAGCCAATGTAGCTACATGCCTTTATAGATGAGCACTCAGCACCGCTGCAGCTATAATATATCCGTCCCTAAAGTATTACACAAAAACTAACCTGAAACTATTAATCAATCGTCTTCAGCTACTGTACCTCTCGCTACATGTACTCGCACTGCTATCGCTTATTACGTCGGTGCTATCGCCTTCTATGCGCTTCTATCGCTTACTATACGCTGCTATCATTTACTATCATTTACTATGCGCTGCTATCGCTAAGTATCCGTTGCAATCGTTTTCTACATGCTGCTATCGCTAACTATACGTTCATATCGCTGACTACGCGCTGCTATAGCTAACTATGCGCTGCTATGGCTTACAATGTGCTTATATTTAACCAAGTTCGCTGAAATAAAATTATACTATGTAGTAGGGCAAGCCCAGCTATCACTGCCACTATGCACTACTCGCAGTGCTACTATATGTTTAAGCGGACTCTGCTATCGCTGCTACTACGCGGTGGGCCCATTTTAATTAATAGCAGGTGTTCCGATAAATATTATATTAGGCCAAGCGTCACGGCGGGGGTGACGTAATCGCCCCCGTTCCGCTCGCCTCGTCGGCTCGCTGCACTACTCGCCGTGTTTTTTACTTGTAGGGCGGGCCCTGCGGCCCGCTACCGGTAGAACGCACGCGGGTGCCGGGTGGAGTTTTAGCCAATAGGAATTCACGTGATCTACACACGGACAGCGCGTCGTTCTGATTGATACTTAGGATTAGCGGCGACCGTTTCGACTGCGGCGATCGCAGTGACAAGAGCACCGAGCACGAAGAGGTCGAAGCGCATGGTACTACTGCACTACTATCACGCAAGTACTTGGTCTGGATGGATGGCACTGCAAATTAAAAAGTGACTCGCAGTGAGCGGGTCTCGACTCCTGACAGGAGCAGAAATGTTCTGGTTGCAATTTGCAGCCAACTGAAAGATGAGCGGCTGTCCTCGCAATCCGATTTTACGTTATAGCGCATGCTGTTCATAGATCTGCATGAAGTGTCGACATGCTCAACCGTTGTACAGAGCATGGAGGTGAAGCGAAGGTTATTATACCTTTTACATTTGCACGATTCGAGGCTGCCGGTCTCGTTTTCGTCTCCGGGTCTCTCGGATGATCGAATCAATAGTCGACTGACTACGACTCGATCTTGGATATCGGAGCCTTGGAATGAAAAATACAGTTGCGACGACAGCGATGCCCTAAACGTTTGTTTTGCTTGGAGTTCGAAGCGCATGGTGCTATTTCTTCACGTGGGTACAGCGAATTGAGAAGCGGCTACGGAGAATGAGCTTTATTTCTCGCCAGGACCAGAAATTCCCCAGTTACAAGTTGCAATCAACTGAATGGAATGGCTACCGGCTGTTGTGGCAATCCGTTTTTACGTTATCGCGCGCGTCGTGAAGCACAACTTCTGAATACATACTACTAGTACCGAGGCTGTTCTGGCTGAGAGGGATTCTGTCCTTAGTATAAGCCAAGTCGGATGACTACACTACATGTACTGGCTGCTTGATTACTCTGTTCAAGCAAACGTGTTCGACAACTCGGATTACCGTTGGTGGGCTGACCCATAATCGTATCCGGGTCCAAGTACGTAAGCAGTTTACTAGCTTTAATGAATGATATGCCTTACATCACCGCCTCATGCTAAACTGAAAGAGAGAAAAAAAAAAGAAAAAAAAAACAATCCGATTCGAGCACGCTTTTTAAAGCTTTAAAACGAATACTCATCCTGTAAATGAGGCAACAGTAGTCCTTGGTAGCGCTCGTGCTCATCGAAGCCGGCGAGTTGAATCCCTGTGGTGACGCTTCCAGATGGTAAACGTTCTCTTGAACCACCCCTTGAACCACTCCTTGAAATTGGGCTACCACTCTCGGTGATCTGCTTCCCCCGGCGTGAACCCGGCCCGTTCTTCCTGATCCGCGGTGAACTTGCTTAGTTCACGAACTGCCATTGGTGAAATGGCCGTCGGGACAGCGTCATTCGATGCAGCTGTAACACTGTTGCTCACTGCGACGATCGTAGCGATAACAAGAGCGAACACAACGAGGTTGAATCGCATGGTGCGGTGAGGCGGGAAAATGTCGTCTGTCTTGGATTGCTTTCAGAAACTGCCCAGATTCGGCCCACCAACCGATCCACTATGCCCTTACCTTGGGTATTGTAAACTTTTGGCTTGTAATCGAGAGCCAGAGCATCAATCGCAGCTCAATCCGCACTTGCGCCCTCGGATGAGTCAACAGGCCTCACTGGGCTTACAGCATAACAAAGACCATAGGGGAAAGCTAACACCAACTGTACACTTCATGAACATGGCATACAGTACCGACTCCGATGAATTTATGTGCCTATTTGCTTTCCTCGACGACCTCAAGGTCAACTGCAATCTCGCTCACATCCGTTGGAGTGGTCACTGCAGCGCTCGGAGAGATGATCTGCACGCTGCCATGCCTGGTAAACACCGGAGGCGCAGTTGCGTGCGGGACGGTCATAAGCTCGGGATCGGACACTGGCGAGTTGAGGTCAACGTCGACTGCTTCCGCTGATTCGTCACCCTCCTCGACCGCAGCTTCTCCACCTGACCCACCTGAAGCACCTGCAGTGGCGTGACTGGGGAGTGAGAACGCGCGCAACGCACCGATTGCACTGAGCGCCTTGATTTTCTTGCGGGCGCGTTTCCACTTGGCGTGGACGGTGAGCTTGGCGTTGATGCGGAAGCCTTCCATGAACTCGTTGATGTTGATCTCGTTGTCGTGGCTGAAGTCCATCATGCGCATGTAGTCCGCTCCGTTGGTACTGAAGGGCTTCGTTCCAGAAGGCAAGTGCTCGTTCAGCAGCTTGATGCCGTTTTCCAGCTCGTCCACGGAGATGGTGCCGTTGCCGTCGCGGTCCAGCACACGGAAGAGCGCCTCGAGACGAGAGCGGTGCCTGTACAGCGAGTTGAAGGCGCTGCGCTGCTTCTCGCGCTCAGGGTCGTTGCTCTCTCCGCTCTCAGCACGCTTCAGTGCACCCTCCGCGTTGTATCGGTCCAAGAAGTCGTTGTACGGCACCAAACCTTCCTCGTCCAGCGCGGTCAGCAGTGGTTGAAGGGCCTTCCACTCCAACGACAGGTCCAGCACGTCCTCCATAACGTTACCCCACGTCTGAACTGTGAGCTTGCCGGTCTTCTCTTTGTCTTCGTTTTCAAACTCCTCGAGAAGGTCGGAGCGGTACTGGACAATGAGCGAGAAGAGTGCGTCCAGGTTGGACACGGCCATGTCGCGACTCTCGGCGTTGGCCATGTACTGGAAGAAGGCGGGCTTGTCCTTGCCTGATGGAACGCGCATGAAGCAGCCCAGGTTGTTTGCCTTGCCGCAGTAGTTAGACGCCGAGAACAGCGTGACCAGCATGCCCTTCTCCTTGTACGGCCAGTCGAATCCGCGAGGAACGCATTCGTGCGATCGAACGACCAGCGCGAGCTTGTTCTTGGTCATAAACTTCTGTACCACGTCTGGGCCGTAAACCGTGCCAGCGCCACGTTTGTTCTCCTCGTAGCCCTTGCTGGCCCGCGGGTCGCTCCACAGCAAGTCGCGGATGATTTGCATCTTGCGGTGCGGCTCGCGCTCTTTCCGGTTCTTGGGCTTGGTACGATACCGCGTCAGGTCGTACCCAGCCCTGTCCAGCGTGTTGAAGTCCCTCACCAGAATGTTCTCTCGAGGCACGCCGCCGTGCACCACCAGCACGCGGTCATCGATGAGCGTGGCCAGGGGCAGGTGGCGGAAGCTCTCGCAGAAGAGGTCGTACACGAATCGGTCGTACTTGACCTCGCACTCCTTCATGAAGCCGAACACTTGGGTGATGGAGTTCTCCTCGTGGTTGCCGCGGTTCAGAAGGACGTGGCGCGGGTACAGCAGCTTGAAGAGGTAGATGATGATGGCGATCTCCACACCACGGTCGCCGCGGTCCACAAAGTCTCCGTTGAACAGGTACGGGTTGGTGTCCGACGGCAGCCCGTTCTCCCGGAGAATGAGCAGCAAGTCGTCCAGCTGGCCGTGCAGGTCTCCGATAATGGTGATGTGGTTGGCCGGCGCGATCTTGAACTCGACCATGGTCGGGTCCTTGCGGAACAGCGCGATGGCCTCGTTGATGACGCGCACGACGACGTTGCGCGGGATCTTGCGGCCGTTGCGGCACGAGTCGATCAGGTCCGTCACGTTCTTGCGCGTGATGACCTCGTCCAGCTCGTCCCCCTGCACGTACATGTTGGCGATGTCGATGTTGCCCATCTCCTGCTGGGACACGGGGTGCGGCTCCGGCCTCGGCTTGCCATCGTCCAGCCCGGGGATGTAGTTCACCAGTGCGTCCAGGAACAGCGACAGCTCCAGCTGCACAGAGCAAATCAATACACAAAGATGAGCACCGACCCCCATACAATCTAGAGCTTGCGTCCTCCACTCTCAACGCACCACTTCGGCCTCCTCTCGGTTCTCGAGGTCGTTGAAGAGCTTCCAGTTGGAGATGATCTGGTCCTCCGTGGGGGTGGAGGCCGTGGAGCTGGACGGGGACGGGGGCGGCTGAGGCTGCTGCTGAGACTGAGACTGCTCCTGCTGAGGCGGGGCGGCGCGCTGCTCGCTGGCCGTCGGCTGCGACGTCCGGCTATTGCTGCGAAGTGGCAACAACGGATCAGTGACTAACGACCTTCCTGCCTACTGTAAAAGAGGGACGTACGTGGTGGTGCCGCTCTTCCTGCGCGGGTACTTGGGCGCCAGGCGCGTGGGGATCGGCGCGTCTCCCGGGTGCTCCGAGGAGGGTTTGTTGCCCATGGTCTCAGCTCAGCCCAGCCGTGCCGACGTGCAGCAGGGAGAAGAAGGTCGAATGTGGCTCTTACTAAATAGGGCCACGTAGCGGGCCAATCAGACGCGACCAGCGGGATTATGGCGAATGAGCTGCGACGGGACTCGACCAATCATAAACAAGCGAACCGAAAACCTGTTTTTATCCAATCAAAAGAGCTCGATAATTTATCCCCGCAATGTGGCTACATTTAAGTCCGTGTGGCGCACAGATTTACGTACACAGACGACTTCAACTTGCACCTTTGGTGACACCAGGTCCGCGCAATGTACCTTTGGCTGCCACCAGGCCCACGCGTGGCCATTTAGCTTCTTGCACAATGCCACGGAAGCGCGCGAGGGAAAGTGAGGAAGCCCCGCGGCCGCCTCGCCTCCCGTCGCCACTTCCTTCCGATCTGCCAGCAATGCCGCCCCCGCCGTTCGCCTCGGCTCCTGGTTTGCTGCCTGCTATCGAGCCGGGCGATGCGCCCAGGGAGTCCACCGATGCCCTGACCGTTGCCGACGCGCCTCTGTCCGTGACGCCCATGTCGACTTTGCCGTCCGCGCTCAATGCTCCGTCGTCGCCCGTGTGGGCCCCGCCAATGACGCTTGATGTGTCAATGACTCAACCCGACGCCGAGCGGCAAAGTGAGTGTGCAGTGGACTTCGACACGGGTCCTGAACCCGCAGATGCGACTCCTGAAGCCACTACCCGCGCTAAGAGAACTCGTCCCCGAGCTTCGCGCTTTCATAGATGAGCATGTTCGCGCGCAAAATGGCAAGGTGCTGGTGACTCTGCAGAGAATTACAAGCATCTACTATGCTTTTGGCAAGCATATCGGGAAGCAGAAGCTAGTGGAAAGGTTTGGTTTTCCTCTTCTCGTCGTCGAGGGCGGGGCTACGGTCAACTACGAGGGGCCCGTGCGCGCGCAGAGAGATGCCAAGCGGTTCTGGGTCAACGTTGACATCGTCCTCCAGCGCCACGACCTCTGTACTGCTGTGCGCATGTCGGTCGGACTGCCGCGATACACGTTGGTTTATGACAAGAAGAAGATGGGTGGTCGGGACGGTACATGTATGCACTACCAGGCACTCATCCTGTTTTCAGATTTACAGAAGAGCACCGATCGTCGGGTACAGGAGGCAGTCGAAGGCTGCATAAATACTTTTACCAAGCTGACCAAGGGCATGCGGTGCGAGAACCCGCCCGTGCCGAGCGATTGGATGCTGTGTACGAACGGTAAGTTAGTATGCCTTTTGTGTTTTCGTTTTGTTGCACTAACTCGTATTTTTACTAAGCTTAGGCGTTTCTACAAATGTGTTGACTAGGGTCAGCACTTCCCTCCTCGAAAACTACAAGTTTGCCATGTTCCAGGAGTTCCGAGGTGCCCGAGCAATTGAGTTTCCGCCGTGTGATCCGAGAGGGCATCCTTGGACGAAAGACACCAAACACGCAGTGATGCGCAATGCGGCGCTCAACGCGTCAGCAGGATCAGCTTCAATATCCGAGGAGTTCAGGATTACCGAGAACTGTGGTACGACGGGCAAATATCAAGGACGACCTGGCCACGCTGGCAACGATCCCCGATGAAGTCATCCGGCCTGGTCGATGGATTGAGTTGTGACTCATCCAGACGCGCCTGCATGAATCCAAAGACGAGTAATGAGCCAGAAAGTGAGCTTTGCGAGCCACAGGCACCCAGAAATAGCGTTTTGTGTGGTTGAATGAATTGTAGGCACATGCACACTAAAACCTGTTATCAGTCTCAACAGTCAACTCATTCTCTTTCTCCATGCGACACCTTTAGTCCGAGAGCGTCTGGAAGGCCTGCTCCACCTCCTCGTCCAGGCCGCTGAAGAAGGCCTTGAGCTCGGCCTCGGGCTGCTTAGGCAGCTGGAACTTGGTCTGGATGATCTTCTGCAGCACGGGGTTCATAGACGTCTTGATCTGCGCCCACGTGACCTTGGCGTCGGGCGGCGAGTCGGCGATGGCCTTCTGGCTCAGATTGTAGAAGAGGATGATGGAGCGCAGCATGCCCACGCTCTTGACCAGCGGACACGTGAAGTCGTAGTCCGAGAAGGCGTTCTGCTGCAGGAAGTCCTCGCGGATGATCTTGGCCACCTCCATGATCACCTTCTGGTCCTCAGATAGCGACTCCTTGCCCACCAGCTGCACGATCTCCGTCAGGTTGTCCTCCTTCTGCAGGATCTCCTGGCACTTGGTGCGCAGCGTCGAGTACTCCGGGTCGATCTTGTTGAAGAACGGCTCCAGCACGCGCATGTACTTGGTGTAGCTGATGAGCCAGTTGACGGACGGGAAGTGCTTGCGCTGGGCCAGCTTCTTGTCCAGACCCCAGAAGACCTGCACGATACTCAGAGTGGCGGCCGTCACGGGGTCCGAGAAGTCACCACCGGGGGGTGACACGGCGCCCACGACAGTCACACTGCCCTCACGCTTGGGGCTACCGAGACACGCCACGCGACCGGCACGCTCGTAGAAGGCGGCCAGACGAGCGCCCAGGTAGGCGGGGTAGCCGCTATCAGCAGGCATCTCACCCAGACGACCCGAGATTTCACGCAGAGCCTCGGCCCAACGACTCGTGGAGTCGGCCATCATGGACACGTTCATGCCCTGGTCACGGAAGTACTCGGCCAGCGTGATACCCGTGTAGATGGAGGCCTCACGGGCGGCCACGGGCATGTTACTGGTGTTGGCCACCAGCGTCGTACGCTTCATAATGGGCACCTCGCGGTCGTTGATCGTCATCGTGAGCTCGGGGAAGTCGTTCAGCACCTCGGCCATCTCGTTACCGCGCTCGCCGCAGCCCACGTACACGATGGCGTCCGAGTTGGAGTGCTTGGACAGAGCCTGCGAGATGACCGTCTTGCCGCATCCGAAGGCGCCGGGCACGGCGCACGTTCCGCCCAGCACGGACGGGAACAGCGCGTCGATAATGCGCTGGCCCGTGGTCAGCGCGACGTTGCCAGCCAGCTTCTCGGCCACGGGGCGCGGCTTGCGCACGGGCCACATGTGCGAGAGGCCGAGCTTGTGTGTGACGCCCGTGGTGTCGTCGCGCACCTCGAGCACCGTGTCCCTGAGCGTGAAGGACTCGTTGTTGTCGGTGCCGGCGCCGTAGATCTTGACCACGGTGCCGAAGACGTTGGGCGGGCACATGATCTTGTGCGAGTGCAGGATGTCGTTCTCGTGCACGAGGCCGAAGATGTCGCCGCCCGAGATGGGGTCGCCCTCGCGGAAGTTGACGGGCTTGTAGCGCCACTTCTTGTCGGCGTTCAGCGACGCCACGTCCACGCCGCGCGGGATGTACACGTCCTTGGCCAGGTCGCTGATGGCGTGCAGCGGGCGCTGGATGCCGTCGAAGATGTTGTCCACGATGCCCGGCCCGAGCTCCACGGACAGCGGCTGCTTGCGGCGCTCCACGGGGTCGCCCACCGTCAGGCCGGACGTGTCCTCGTACACCTGGATGGACGCGTTCGTGTTCTCCAGCTTGATGATCTCGCCCACGAGCTTGTCGTGGCCCACGCGCACCTGCAAATTGCATCGCACGCCGTCAATTCCCAGCGCTAAAGCAACGCTACGCAGACGCAGTCAACGCAGTTTGTGCCTCCGTACCAGCTCGTACATGGCGGCGCCGTGCATGTTCTCGGCGATCACCACTGCGGGGCAATTCAAAGCAATTAATTCCATTGTTATTCTTAGCAGGAGGCAGCAGGCGCAGGGGGAGGTGGCAATGGCGGGCACGTACGGGGACCCGAGACCTTGTACACGTAGCCGAAGTCCGACTCCTTCTCGTTGTCGCCGAAGACGTGCGCCATGGTGCTAGATCTCGGAAGCTTTTGGTTGCGATCTTTCACTTGTGTTCCGTATGGGATCGGAAGAGGTCCCGGTCCGGCACGACCAACTGGGCTTCAAGCGGCGCCCGGGTGTCACTTTTTGTATGGCAAAGAACGGGTGAAACAACTGCGATGCCCCCATGTGCGTTGGTCGTCGAGATCCTGTCCATGCGCCCTCTCATTGGCCGATACCTTCAATTCGCGGATTGGCGCAAAACCGGGCTCCCTCCCCATTGGCGGAAAACTTTGGTTGGCATCGGAGCTCTAAACGCCACACTCGAAGCCCATCAACTCGGACGGAACCATGGCGGACCAGGAGCAAGTGCAGCAGGTTTCCGCGGCGCTGGAGGCCGCGCAGCTGAGCGACGCCAAGCCCGCCTTCTCTTACGCGGCGGCTGCGGCCGCCCCCGCGGCTCCCGCGCCGGCCAAGACGACCAACAAGAAGGTGCTGCACCTGGTCATCGACTCTGGCGCCATCATCAAGGGCACCAACCTGGCGGTGCTGGCCGAGGTACGGCGCGCTGCAATTGCACTCCACTGTAAAGAATTAGCCTCGAGTTGCCGCTAAAAGCCACGATTTATGTTGTTATTGTGCAGAACTTCTGGACCGTGCCCGATGTGCTGGACGAGATCCGCGACAAGAAGTCGCGCGCCATCCTGGAGCGGCTGCCGTTCACGCTGCAGACGCGCGAGCCGTCGGCCGAGGCCATGAAGGCCGTGGTCAACTTCTCGCGCAAGACCGGCGACTTCACGTACCTGTCGCTCACGGACCTGCGCGTCATGGCGCTGTCCTACCAGCTGGAGGTCGAGGCCAACGGCGCCGACCACCTGCGCACGAGCCCCGAGCTCTCGCAGACGGTCACGCGCGCGGCCAACGGCAAGATCGTGGGCGGCTCGCAGACCAACATCCCGTGCAAGTACTTCGGCACAGCCATGGGCTGCAAGTACGGCGACGAGTGCCGCTTCACGCACGACGAGGCCGCCGTCAAGGCCGTGGAGGGTGGAGAGGAGCCCCCCAAGAAGAAGGTCGACATCCCGTGCCGCTTCTTCAACACGCCCCTGGGCTGCAAGTACGGCGACGACTGCTCCTTCATCCACGAGAAAACGGAGGAGGCCGAGGAGACCCCCGCCGAGGAGACGCAGGAGCCCGTGGTGGAGCAGGTCATCAGCGAGGAGATCCGTAACGCCGACGTCAAGTCCCGTATCATGGGCGGGTTCGCCGCCTCGAGCAACGCCGGCGCCGCGGAGGACGACGGCAAGAACTGGATCACCAACGACAACTTTGCCAAGTTCACGGCGTCTCCGTTCGGCGACGGCAAGGGCCTGGAGGAGATCGCGTCGCGTCTGCCTGTGGCGTGCATCACCACGGATTTCTCCATGCAGAACGTGATGCTGCAGATCGGCCTGCGCCTGCTGTCGACCGAGGGCATGATCATCAAGCGCGTCAAGCAGTGGATCCTGCGCTGCATCGCGTGCTTCACGACGTCCACGGAGATGGACCGCCTGTTCTGCCCCAAGTGCGGCAACAGCACCATGGAGCGCGTGTCGTACAGCCTCGACCGCGACGGCCACATGACCTTCTACACACGGGCGAACCGCCCCACCAAGCTGTCGGGCACCAAATTCTCGCTCCCCAAGCCGAAGGGCGGCCGCAACGGCGACCTGCTGCTGCGTGAGGACCAGCTTCTGGTCGGCATCTGGGGCCAGCGTCAGCGCCAGCACAAGAAGGTCATGCAGAGCGCGTTCGGCGAGAACGTAGCACACGACCTCGGCGTCAAGGCCGAGCGACAGACAGGTATCGTGGTGGGCTACGGCCGCATGAACCCCAACGCGCAGAAGGGCCGCGAGCGTCGCGGCAAGAAGAAGCGCAACTAGAGTAGGTACAACCAGCGAGTTCGTGCTAAAGGAATAGATATGACAACACTTCTGACAACCATGCCAAGCGTGATGACACTCGACTATTCCTAGACAGCAGAAGCTCTTTATAGCGCCGAGCCTCGTTCCGGACATTGCGAGTGCTATTCTGTCGTCGTGATGCAAGGGTCCGCGGAGACTGGGTGGGGCTCGCCTGTGCGTGAAGGCGGGCAGCACAATGTGACGGTGCTGGACTGCGCAGCTACAGGAGCCCGTATGAACTCGCCGCGCAGTCTGGAAGCATGTCGACGGATGGGCATCAAACCAAGCGAACTGCTGCCCAAGACGGTGGTCGAGTTCCTGGAGCAAGGCGTGAACCGAAAGTATTCGTTGGTGGAGAAGGAGGCAGCCGTGCTGCGTCACGAGCATTTCGAGCAGCTCCGCCAGCAGAAGCTCGAGACGATTCGAGCGGAGCGTGAAGCGATCATCAACGGATTGGGACCAGCACCACCTTCCACGGCGTTGATTTCCGTGTCGGGGAATGCTCAATCACCCACGGGTGTGCCAAATAGCCCCGCGCTACAGCTGCAAGTTGCCCCAGGTTTCCCTCCTCGACGAGTTCAGTCTGCGCGGCCCTGGAAGCACGTGCCTTCGGGCTCTGACGGAAGTCCCGGCGTTTTGGGCGACTCGACCTTGCTACAGCTAGAAGAGCGAAGACTGGCGCGAATCAAGCTCCGCCAGCAGAAGGATATTCAAAGCGCGATTGAGATGGAGGCCAAGCTCGCTCGACTCCAGCAGGAGAAGGCTCGTCGAGCTGCGGAGGAGGCCAAACGACAAGAAGATCAGCAGCGTAAGCAGCGGATACGTCGAATGCAGCTCGCAGCAGCGAAGCACGAGAACGAGATCACCAAGAAGCGTGACGAGGACAAGGAGGCGCTCGAACGTAAAGCTAAACGACGAGCTGAAGCCGAACGCGAGCGGTTATTAGCTGAGGAAGCGAAGGAGAAAGCTCGACTACGTTCTCTGGAGACGGCGCAGCGTGATCTCGAGCGCCAGCAGAATGCCGATGCGTGGAGAGCTCACACTGATGAACTATTACGACAACAAGAAGAGGTGGTCGCTGCAAACAGGAGAAGAATGTTGGAGAAGGAGCGACGGGTGGCCCAGAAGATGGAGAACGCAAGCAAGCGGCGGCATCAAGAAGCTTTGGATCGGCGTGAAAAGGCGAACGCTCGGATTCAGCACGTCACCTACCAGAACGAGTTGGCCATCGCGCGTAAGAAGCAAGAGGTGACGGATAAACAAGTAGCGGCAGCCGATCGCGCGCGTGAGATCCAGAAGAAGGCGCTGAACGATCTCAAGGAGCGCGCAGCCAAGTCGAAACAGGACGAGCAGGTTCGCCAGAAGCGACTCGAAGCGGCTCATGCGCTGCGGCAGAAGCACGTGAGCGAATTACTCGCAAAACGCGATCAACTTGAGATGAAGATGGAAATTACACAGCAGGAGAGGGAGAAGACACGGTTGCTAGCACAGGTTGAGCACCAATTGGAGATGACACAAAAAGAGGAGAACGTTGCGCGCATCCAGCGCATGGAGGAATACGCCCGTCAGCAGTTGATACGGCGAATTTCATCCGCAGACGCCCGGTCTAGAGCAGTGAAGGAGCGGAAGCAAGCGCTGCTGCAAGCTCGACAACAAGTGTCCACTGAGGCGATGATCCGTCGCCATCGACTCGCTGAGGCTGTCGAGAAGATGCGGACGTCTTCGACTAAGTGGGACAAGATTGAGGAGACTTTGTACGGGCTCTAACTAATGGCTTGGAAGCGTAACTCTTGTGCTACTTACTACCCACAGATCGTTTGGTTCTGTTGTGTTTCTGTGTTTTCGCGTCATACTACAGTAGAGACGATCGTGTTCCTGTTACCGTCGTCGTCTTCTAACCGAGTTGATGGGATACCACCACTGAGTCTCGCGACAATAAGAGCACCACAACATTTTTTATTGCTGTGCCATCCTCAAAAGAACCGACTCCGTTTCCCCCTGGTCCGCGGTGAAGTCCAACAGTTTACGAGGTTCAATTCGTGGTATAGGCGTGGTGGCAACGTTGTTAGAAGTAACGACAACAGTTTCGTAGTGCAAGTCAAGTACTTACAGTGTATTATTTTCGCTTACTCGCTATTTTGTTATGTTAAAACGTGATAGAATAGTACAGAGAGTACATTCCGGTACAGTATATGTTTGATCCATGTTATTATAATACTACTAGTATTATACATGTATCCTAAGAATCAATCAGAGCATCGCTGTCCGTCGGTCACAGAAATCGTCACGCTTATTCACTAAGTACGAATTACACTAAGTACGAGTAGCTGCCGAGCGCAGCGAAGGCGACCCCACCATACGATATTGCGGGGCCGCAGGACCCGCCCCGGCCTCTGTAGTACTAATCTAACATTGAGCTCCAATAGCGCAGCGAGCATTGCGAGCGAAGCGCCAACTAACAAAAAATTCACCGCCGCGTAGCGGCGGCGCTCGGCTAGTTGTACGTAGTAGCGTCGTTATATAATACCAATGCAAGCACGTGACAAGACAAGCTACACCATTACTACCGTTTTCCCTCGTACTAGATGGCTAGGCGTTGTATTCGAGGTTGGTCAACAATCCCGAATCTGATCGCACCCTCGAATTGAAGCTACAGCAAAATAGAACGCCTACCCAAGCGTAACACAACTCTTATTAACGATAGTAGTTGCCAACAATTCTGCTGCCATTTGGACGAGGTAGCACCTCTGTGCCGACCGCCAGCCATACGAGCGGAAGTCGAGCTCTTGTTTTGTCGTATCATTATACAATCGCCCTCCCGCGACACAAAAGCCCACGCCAAGAATGTCAGCCAAGAAAAAGCGTAATAGCTACAGTATCGGATTCAAGTGCAGTGTTGCTGGAGAGTACAAGAAGGGTGTCGACGGCTTTGGGTTTGCCGCCCTTGCCGCAAAACTCAAGATACCCTCGCCGTCGATAGTTCAGAAATGGGTTGAGCAGCTGGGCGCCTTAGAAGCCACTACCAACCTTCAGGGATTTTAGATTTACTTGAATACAACGCCTACCTTTTGCATCCTTCAGAGTTTCGTAGTTTCACTTGAATATAACGCCTAGGCCTTTTATTCAAATAGAACGCCCACTAGGCGTTCTATTTTTTTAGAACGCCTAGGCGTCTAGTACGAGGGAAGACGGTAGTATCTTGAGTAGCGGTTCAAGATAGGATCCAAAGATAACATATGTATCTTTATAACAAAAAAATTTCGGGTAAAGCTTTGTATATGTGATGAATCGACATGTCGAGTAGTATATCGAAGTCGACCATATTTGAGACGGTTTCAAACGAAATGATGCTTATGCGCCATTTAGAGTTTTCGAGATAATCGCGTTTGAAGTTGACCAATTATTTTTCGGAAATAATCGGACACCAAAATTTCCAAAGTGAAAAGAGCACGTAAAAAGCGTAAAACCACTCTTATTAGATTGCTTTTAGCGCGAGCTTTCCGATAATATACGATACGTTAAAATTGAAAAAATATTGAGGTGACACGCCCAAAAAAAATCGGGAATTTAGGGGGTTCGAAAATGGAGATAATTTTTCTAGACCGATGTCACTCCGCGAGTTTTTAACCTTTTGGAGCCTTCAATAGCTTAAACGAAGCATAAGACACGCCGCTTTCAATTGATGCGGTTAAATCGCGATTCGTACTTAGGTTCGTAAGCATCGTTTCGTTTGAAACCGTCTCATGTATCCTCTTCAGCCAAACTCACTTGGCCATGTTGTTGTCACCATATTCATGTTAGTTTCCAAACTGCTACCAGGGCCATATGAGATTCATTACAGAACTAGTGACATGTTTAGCTCAAAACACAGCTCGCGTTGGCGAAGAAACGGCTCGGAACCGTATCACTGAACCACTCGTTTTACTACTTCTCAAATCTATTAGAGACCATCAGGACCGATGAGTTCATCATTTTTTTTGGAGTTGTACGGATCACCAACTTTACTTGCAAATTTCCTCCGCTTTCCTTGCCGTTTCCCTCCTGGTGGCAAACGCTGCGGGCCGGACCCGTATCGATACCAGTTCCAACTACAAGCAAGGTGTGGTCATGACCGCTGGCCAGCCAGACGCGGCTAGCGCCGAATTCGCCCAAAAATCCTCCGCTCATGCCAACCCCGATAGTAAAAAGCAAACTCCTCCGGTCTTCAAGGGCAAGTGCTGTGTCAGCTCCCTACTTGCTGGCTGCATTTCACAAGTCTCACGTCGAAGATCAAGGTGCGAATCCAGCTAGCAGCCAACATCATTCACATTCAAGTAGTTTAGCTGTGGCTAGGACAATACGTACGAGCACATCAATTCATTCTTAAATTTGCCAACTAAGGATCACCGAGCTCCTACTCCGGTAGAGTTCGTGACAGTTAATTTACTATTAAGCGAACGCTGCCGCCAGTAATGGATTCGGGAACGCCCGACGACCGCCCGCACCAGCGCCAGAGAACGAACCCCGAGGGTACGAGATGGGACGTGCCTCCCAGCAGCCACGCCCAGCCTCAATCGGCACCAGGCCAGCCCGCGCCAGGCCAGCCGGGCTCCGCGGCATCGACATCGTCGGCGACGGCAACCGTGACTCCAGAACTGCTGGCGCAGATGCTTCAATGCACGCTCCAAGCAACGCAGCAGCAAACAACTCAAATGGGACAGCTGCTCGCGCAGACAGCTCAACTCCAGCAACAAATCCTACAGGCCCAGTCTCGCCCCAGGCCGACGCGAAAGAAATCGGATCCGCCGCGCTTCGAGGGCAACGACAACGACGACCTGGAACTCTGGATCTTTAGTACAGAGCAGTACTACTCCGACTTTCAGACCGAGATGCAGGAGTTCTCGTCGTCTTTCTTGGGCATGGTATTCGCTAACCTGGGCGTTGATGCTCAAGCGTGGTTCCGAGATTTGAAACTCTCGATGGGCTCGAACGCGCTAACATGGGCGCTGTTCAAGGAACAGATCCGTGCTCGCTTTAGAGACAAGGATTTCAAGTAGAAGACCCTGTCGAAGATGTTCGAGCTAAAGCCTACCAAGTCTCAGCAGGAGTACACGTCGCGCTTCCTGCACTTGCTCTCGCAAGTTGACACGGAGCTTCCTGACGTCGTCAATAGCTGGTTTTTTTCAGCAAAATTTGCGGGCGCGTACATCTCCCGCAACATGCCCGAGACGCTCGAACAAGCCACCGAGATGGCTCAGCGCTATGAAGATGCAAAGCCCGCACACACGCGGCCTCCTCCAAAGGAGTAAGGACAACAAACCGCCAGGCTCAATTCCAGCACCAACGCGAAGACCAACAAGGACTTCAAGAAAGCCGACTCGCAGGTGGTGTGCGGATTCTGCAGCAAGAAGAATCACGTCGAGGAAGAGTGCCGTAAAAAGGCCCGTGATCTCGCGGCAGGTGGGTCTGGATCGGCAAAAAAACGATCCAGATCGGTAGGTTGCCACCCTACCGAGCGGACCACAGCGGGAGGCTTCAGCAGTAGGCCCTCCGCTGCGCCATCGACCTCTGGTAAGACCAGCGCAAGACAACATGAGACGCTGGCTTTTCACTAGGACAAACTATACTGCTACTTGACGCACGAAGCCCGGATCAAGGATCGCTCCGTCCGCTGCTTCGTGGATAGCGGGTCGTCATTCGATGCAATTTCGCCGTACCTCGCACAAAAACTAAACCTGGATGTGACATTGTGCCCCAAGCCTTTGACGGTCAAGATCGGCAACAATCGTCGCGCCAAGATCCCTCGTCGAGAAACTACAATCACGCTCGAGATGGACGGCTTCCCTGCCTTATCAAACTCGCGTTTATGTGATACGTGTGCCCGAGGGAAAAGATGTGCTACTCGGCTGGCCATGGCCAGTGGCCATGGCTTGAGGGAATGAAACCGGACATAAATTGGTCGGAGCGCGCAATTTCCTTCCGTGGAAATGCCCACTCTGGAAGTTACTTGCGACCGTGCGCGAGGCAAGACCCCGCAAAACGAGTTGGCGGTCGCCGCCGGCGCAACCCTCGGCCCTCCAGCAACGATGACTCGCATCTGCACTTCTACATGCACTAGGACTACGAGTCTAGCCATGACCCGACTCGAGTTGTTGCCGCCAAGCATCTAAAGAAGCTGCTGAAGGCGAAGGACAACGAGTTTTGTTTCCTGATCCAACATGACTCCGAGAGTGAGAAAGCAGGTCGGCAGCAGGCTCAAGACTGGGACGCGCTACAAGGACACCCTGCAGAATCGCTACTTCTGAAGTACAAAGGCGTCGTCTTTCGCGCCCACCTGCCAACCGTGCCTCCAACGCGCACCGATGATATTGTGGCGGAGATCAAGCTCGAAGACGATGTCCCCGTCGCGCGAAAACAATTTCGCCTCAGTGAAGACATGAAGGCTGCGATCCGGGCATGGACCAAATAAATGCTCGATGCAGGCATTATTCGTCGGTCAAAATCGCCCTATTCCGCTCCTACCTTCTGTGTAAAGAAAGCGGTTGGCTGGCGGATTGTCCATGATTTTCGCGGACTCAACACGAAAATCCGACTCCCAGCGACGCCTGTACCCCGTAAGGAAGGCATCTACGACGCGATGAGGAAGGGCAAGATCTTCTCGGCAATGGATCTGATGTGGGGCTTCTTCCAAGTTCGGTTGCTTGAGCAGGGTGTTCCCTACACAGCGTTCCCCACACCTGACGGGCTGTTCGAATATCTCGTGACTCCAATGGGACTCTCATGCAGTCCATCAGCTTTCAATTGTTTGATTCAGAAGGTGTTCGAGGATCAGAAGGACTTTTACAGAGCCTATTTTGACTATCTCTTCGTTTTCACGGAGTTTGACAGCATGGAAGAACATCTCGCTGCACTGGAGAAGATGTTGGAGCGTTGCAAGCAGAAGCATCTTTACGTGAAATTCTCCAAATGTACATTTTGCTCTCGAGAGATACCGTGCTTGGGCGACTTCATTGGGGCTGATGGTATTCGCATGGATCCGGACAAGGCGAAAGTGATTCGAAACTGGCCGCTCCCCCGCACAAACCACGAGCTGCAGTCGTTTTAGGGAACCTGTGTCTACGTTTTGAAGTATCGTCAGAACTTCGCAGAGCTCACGGCACCGCTGACAGAGTTGCTCGTAGGTAAATCGCGGAACGAGCGCGTGGAACTCAACGAGCAACACCGGCTCTGCTTTGCTGAGCTCAAGCGACGATTCTCTAGTCCACCAGTGCTGGCTCACCGTGACTTTGACCGCACGTTCTGCGTGGCGATGGATGCTTCGGACTTCGCGGTTGGCGGGTATCTATATCAGAGGGTCACGAACGCGTAATTGCCTACGGAGGTCGTAAGCTTAACTCCGCTGAGCTGTAGTATCCCACGCGCGAGAAAGATATCCTCGCGGCCCTCTTTGCGATGCGAACCTGGAAAGTGCACTTGATTGACAAGCCATTTGTGATCAAGACGGACCACCGCACGCTCGAGTCCATCCTCCGCCAGAAAACGTGTTCCCAGCGGCTGGCAAGATGGCTTAATGAGCGTGGGATGTTCCAGCCCCTTTTTAGTGGGTCAAGGGCGAGACCAACACGGTTGCAGACTTCATCTCCAGAAACCAAGACTGGAAGCACGACTCGTCCGTCATTTCACTTGCAGAATTGTTGAAACACGTCGGAGACGAGAATGAGTCATCTGGAATTCCGACACATCTGTATGCGCAGCAGCGCCGCTCCTCGCCATCGCCAAGCATTCAAAGAACGCTGTTCTCGGTTGTACCTTAGTGACGCGTACTTTGGACCAATACTGACCCAGCTACGAGCTCAAGCAAACAATACAGCAGCTGCCGCAGACCCGAATCTACCCAAGACAGCTCGCCTAGACAGCTACGAGCTTCGTGGTGATGTGCTGTACTTCCGCTCTCATCGGTCCCAAGCGCTACGATTGACAACCGCGAACTTCGCGATAGTATCCTGTTCGAAGAGCACGACTCGGCGGCGCGAGGGCATCCCGGAACTTCGAAGACTTTGCGGTTCATGCAGCATAAATCCTACTGGCCCTTAATGGCTAGCGCAGTTCGCTCGTATTGCAGCACATGCGAGATGTGCATGCGCACGAAGACGTCGCGCAGGAAAGACCCAGGCTTGCTGCACCCGCTAAAAATCCCAGAAGGTCGGTGGAAGCATATCACAATGGACTTCATCACCAGTCTACCCGACACGAAGCTGCACAAGTGCAACGCTGTTATGGTAATCGTAGACCGCCTGACGAAACGAGCACATTTCGTGGCCACAAAATCGACCGCCACCGCCCAGGACACGGCAAAGCTTTTTCGTGATTAGTACCAGCGTCTTCATGGGCTACCTGAATCGATTGTGTGCGACCGCGACTCAAAATTCACGTCGACGCTGTGGAAGAAGCTAATGGAGCTGCAGGACACCAAGCTGAACCCAAGCAGTGCTTTCAAACCATCGACCGACGGACAAACAGAAATGACCAATCGGTATCTTGGTGATTATCTGCGGGCGTACGTGAACTCGCATCAATCCGACTGGCATGAATTTCTCGCACTCGCCGAATTTGCCTGCAGCTCGCGCGTCCATGACAGCATCGGCATGGCTCCATTCGTGGCAGATTTGGGCTTTCTACCGCGCTCCGTCGGCGACTTGGAAGTCCCACCCCGCGATGGCCCTAAGACTACCTCCCGGTTCGTCGAAACACAGCAGGTCATCCTCACGGAGTGCCAAGATGCGTTGAACCAAGCGCAGCAGCGTATGAAGTTCTATCATGACCGCAATCGACCTACCGCTACCTATCACGTAGGCGACGAAGTGCCTTTGGATACCTCCAACCTCGCTCTTCACCACATCGGAAGCGAAGGTAAAAGGTCTCTAGCTGCAAAGTACGTCGGTCCATACCCGGTTCTCGCTGTAACGACGCCAGACACCTACAAACTCGGTGGACTCCAGCTTCACGATGAGTTTCATGTGTCTCGACTAAGGCCGTACACGCCGGACGACTCCGCCACGCGCGACGACCGTGTGCCCGAATTGATCACGAGGGACGGAAGTATCGGGCTCCAGGTCAAGCAAAATTATAGGTCACCGAGTTGCTCGCGGCGTCAGCGAATATCACGTGTAATGGTATGGCGCTGGTAACGCCGATTCTTGGGAGCCTGAAAGCAACTTAGTCCAAGCTCAAGGTCTCATCGATGCATTCAATGCTCGTGCAGCATCTACTCGTCCGACAACACGACTTCAAGCGTCTCGCGCAAGCCCCTACGCCACTTCCTAAGGAGCGGAGTGTGACAGCTCCCTACTTTCTGGCTGCAATCTGTTTCACAAGTCTCACGTCGAAGATCAAGGTGCGAATCCAGCTAGCAGCCGACATCATTCACATTCAAGTAGTTTAGCTGTAGCTAGGGCATGACGCACGAGTACATCAATTCATTCTTAAATTTGCCAACTAAGGATCACCGAGCTCCTACTCCGGTAGAGTCGTGACAAGTGCGCTCTCACTGGAGACTACGCCAACAACACCGACGTGAGTGAATGCGACACTATCATCGTCGACTCGCTCCGAGTGCCCGCTGGCGTCACGCTGAATTTCACTCAGTTGCAAGACAACGCCAACATCAAGTTCCAGGGCACCACCACCTTTGGGGCCGAGGTAATTCACACGTTCTCATATATCTCATATATTTTCCCTCTTACTGTTCCTAACTCTTCCTCTGCTACGTTAGTTGTGGCCGCGGCCGCCGATTAACCTGACAGGAAACAATCTTACTGTTACTGGTCCTGGTACCCTTGACGCCGTCAAGGGTACCAGGACCGGTAACAGTAAGATTGGCAGGCATCCCGAAAATATCATAAAAATCTACTGATGTCTGATGAATCTAATGAATAATGCTTTGGGTTGCTGGTAGTAAAGCAAATAAATAACGGCGTAAAAGAAGATGGCACAGTGAATTACTGCAGTTTAGCGATCACTACCTACAGGCACTGCTCCACGGTAGCGACGTTCCAGAAGGTGATATTTATCTTCAAAAACAGGATCATCTCGAGCATCATCGGCGAGAGGCGGTGACGCTCGTGACGAAGCACCGCACGAGTAACACTAAACAGCCTTTCCACCATATTCGAGGTGGGCGGAATTGCACCCAACAGCGTGCCACAGGGGCATCTCTCACTTTGCGTCGCTTGAGAATTCGCTCGGCGAACCCTTCCGTTGCCTCCGGCTGCGGCTGAGCGATAGACACGTTGCATGAACGGCGCTTGAACGGCTCTAGGACCCCCTCTTCCTCCTCCGACAATAGTGCGGCCTGGCCGCCAAGCACCTTCACCACTGCCTGCTCGAAATCAGGCGAGTGTACAATTTCAGCATCCGATGCTTGTATGTAAACAGTGATACACAACACATAACCAACATGTTAAATCCGCATTCCCATATTAACCCCTCAGCATATTTAATGTACGTACCCAGATACTTCGCAAATGAAGGTCGGATTTCGATGAGGCCGTCGCAGAGATTTCGCGCGTCGAGCAGCGTCAGTCCGTCAGCTTGCAGACGCTTGGAAACAGATTCCACGTCGCGCAGGCTGTCCAGCAGCGAAGCCAGATTCCGGTGTGCGGTCCGCGAGGATAGGTAGTCGGCCAGGTCTTCATCGTCCGCCGAAATAAACTCGCGAAGCCTGAAGAAGCGCTTGAGCATGGCGAACGTAGAGGATCATCGGGTGTCCTGCCGCAGAACTGGCAACAACTCCGTTTTGGTCCTAAAATAAAAATTTGGTTAAACACAAAATTAGGCCAGTACCAAAAAAGCAAAATGAGGATACCCAAATTACCTTAGCTTCGCGGCCTGCGTTAGCGTACGCAGCTTGCGCATGAGCTGCTGCACTTCCTCCAGTTCGCTGTCGAACGGTGCCAGGTAGTCACGCAACGCCAAGTTTAGGTGGTGACTTGCGCAGCCAACTAGCGGCACACCAATCAAGTTAGCGAGCCGCTTGTTGGCTGCGCAGTTGTCACCGACTAAGAACTTACAGACGGACATCGACTGGCCAAAGAAGGGCAAAAACCTGGTGATGGCCCTGAGGTGACCTTCGGCGTTCATCTGGTCGTCGGCGTCCTCGATCACTGGAGCCAGTGACAACAGCGGGTAGCGTCCGTTTCGTAGCAGCCGTACACGACAAGGTAGTGCTCAGTGCCGTGCGACCAACCGTCGATGACCAGACCAAAGCTGTCGGGCATGTCTGCGCCGATGGCTTGCTCCACCCCTTTGACCACAGCCTCCATGATCGCGGTCAGCGTCTGTACTGAGATAGGGTTCAGTCTCGTGTACCTAATCAGCAATACAGAGTATTAGAGACAAATTTGTAACCAATTTTAGTATCCAAAACAAATCAATGTACTTACTCGCGAGTCTCCTTGGAGTCGCAAAACGAGAGGAGGTTTCCCATCACAACCCACCGGAGCCATGCGTAGCGGTTAGAGGCCTTCTGACTCACCCATGGGAGCAGAGTGCCTGTAGCCGCCACGCTAGCGCCACGCATGTCGCCCTCGTAGCTAGGGGGATCAGTCCGGACATGGGACACAGATTGGTGTAACCCGTCCTGGGTGTGTGCTTCCTGCGCTTGCCGCAAGACTTGCACGAGTAGTAACCCGTTAGGTCCCCTTCAGCGTCCAGACAGGGCTTGAAGTAAAAGCTCGTAATCTGCCTGTTGGTGAAGGTCGGTTGCGGCGGAGCGGGAGCGAGAAGGTTGTCGGCTTTTGTAGAGTCGGATTGCGTGCAGTAGAGTGTGCGACTTGTTGTGCTTGTTTAGAACTGAAGTGTTGCGGTGCGTCTGAGCTGATGTTGCTAGGTGAATGGCTCCTAGAAGCTTGATGCTATTAGCCGAGCGCCGCCGCTACGCGGCGGTGAATTTTATGTTAGTTGGCGCTTCGCTCGCAATGCTCGCTGCGCTATTGGAGCAGACTGCCTACGCTTCGCTACGGCAGTGGCGGACCCGTTCCGCTCGCCTCGTCGGCTCGCTGCACTACTCTCAATGTTAGATTAGTACTACAGAGGCCGGGGCGGGTCCTGCGGCCCCGCAATATCGTATGGTGGGGTCGCCTTCGGCGACGGAGCTGCGCTCGGCAGCTACTCGTACTTAGTAGGATTCGTACTCGATCGGCTGGAGAAGGCTCAGCTGCAGCACGGAGTGTATGTGTCGAACTCATCGGCGGCCGGCTCGAGCGCCTTCAGCCAATTCCTGGCAACTCGTCGGCAACGAGTGAGGGCCGACTCGCTCAGCGAAGCAATGGGCATCAGCCCGGGAATGCAGCAGCAACAGTTTGCGCCTGCTCAGCCGCAGCCAGTGCCGTTCCAGCAGCATGCACCCGCGCCGGACCCGCGTCTGCAGCAGCAGCAGTTCGCGCCTCCGCGAGGCTTCGGGTTGAAGATCCCGTCCTTGAAGGACATGAAGCTTCCGATCGAGAGATTCTCTGGCAAGGAGATGTACGAAGGCCTCGGCGCAGGCTTTAAAGATTGGGGGCTCAGATTCCTGGACGAACTTATCGCCGCGCAGGTGATTAGCGGCGGCGACTGACCCGAGGACTTTAAGGCTCGTGCTTTGAACCGATACCTCGAGGGCCCAGCGCGCAAGTTTTTTGACCGGATGAAGACAATTTGGTCGGCGGAGTCGCCAACGCTGGAGCATTTGATGTATCGGATGTTAGAAGTGTACGAAAAGGAGATCACTGTTGAGCAAGCAACTCGCATGATGCGAGCGCGCAAGTGTGCTGATCGTACCTGGACTGAGCAATATCAGTATTTGCTGGCAATCGCGAGTGCTGCAGACTGTTCGGATCGTTTTGTGCTGCAGTACATCTGCGAGTGTGCGTCGCCTGACGTCAAGAGGGCGATGCAAACGAGGATTGACCGTCGTCGCGCCGACCATCTACGACAAGCGTGGGAACTGGAGGACTTCGCTAGCACGCTCGAGGCGGATATGAATGGTGGAGGAAATGCGCACGGCAGAAACTTTCGCGGGAGTCGCAGCGGTGGCCACGGTGGCAACAGTAGCAGCGGTAATCTAGTCGCGAATGCTGTCAAGGATGCAGGCAGCGAAAGCATCGAGCGACGCTGCTGGCGCTGCGGCGAACCGGGCCACCTGAAGAAAGACTGCACGGGCAAGAAGAAAGAAGGCAAGGCGATGTTCGCGCTCGCTGTGGGCAACAGCAACAGCAGCTCGTGGGTGCTTGACAGCGGAGCTAGTCACCACCTGGTGAAGGATGCCAGCCTGTTGATTGACCCTGTGGACTGTAGCGAGACATGCAAGGTTGCCGACGGCCAGTCCATGTCGGTGACCAAGAAGGGCGCATCGTGGTTCGTGCCGCGGGCGATGGCACTGAACACGACGTTGTGGTAAGCAATGTGTACTTCGGTGAACGACTTGCGCAGAACTTGCTGTCGTACTGCAAGATCGAAGAAAAGGGCTCCGTATTGGTCTACAAGGGAAAGCGTCGGCACCTGGCGAGAGTTGCTGATGGCGCTCGCGTGTTCGAGGTGGAGAAGATGAATGATGTCCTGGTTGTGAACACGGTGAATGCGGCGAGCGCAGGAAACACAGTGAATGTGGACCCGCGCGACGATAAGAGCAGCGAAGTGTATGCTACGCTCAAGCAAGCTGAGAAGGACAGTCTGCAGTGCGCACCGGTGAAGTGCACGTTGATGGAGCTGCACGAACGCCTCGGGCACCTCATGTTCGACACGGTCGAGAGGATGGCCGACGCATCGGGATCTGAGATCGAGCTGACTGACAGGGCCCGGATTAATTGCCTGACATGCGCGAAAGGCAAACAGTCGAAGAACGCTCAGTCCAAGCAGGACTCGGGCAAGAACGCGCCGATCGACAGGATTGGTGGTGTGATCTGTAGTGACCTCAAGGGACCAATGACTCCTACGGATCGCAACGGCAACAGGTACCTGATCAATTTCGTGGACCACCACACCAACTACTACAGGGTGTTCGTGGCAAAAAGGAAGGACCTGGCCGCTAAGATGTTCGAGCGCTTCCTGGTGTACTTCGAGCAGTAGTCAACTGCAAGGTGCACGTCTTGCGTACGGACGGAGGTGGCGAGTACCGCAACGTGAATCTGTTCTGTCAGTCAACGGGAGTGGTGAGGCAAGTAAGTGAGGCCAAGAATCAGGCTTCCAATGGAAAAGCTGAGTGCATGCACAGGACTGTCCTAAACATGGCGAGGTGCATGATCTTCGCAAGCGGACTAGCGTTGCATTTCTGGGGGGACGCAGTGCAGTATGCGGCGTACATCCTGAATAGGACTCCGACGAGCGCGAACCCGAGCCGAGCGTCACCTCTCGAGATGTTGACGGGCGTGCAGCCGCAGTTGGCCGATATTGTGGTGTTCGGGAGCGCGTGCACGGCGTACCGGGACCCAGGCAAGAAGGCGTGGAAGCCTCGAGCTGAGGTCGGGATGATTATCGGAAAAGACGATGAGACTAAAGGCTACAAGGTGTACCTGCCGCACGACCGCATCGTCATCGTGACGCAGCATGTGCAGAATGTGGAGACGTTGAATGCGCCCGGCAATGAGCAATTGCAGGCGCAGCTCGCCGAGTGGACCTCGTGCTGTGCAGGAACGGGAGGAGGCTCTTCGTCGGAAGGAGAGAGTGGCTGCCCGCGGCAAGGGTAAAAAGAGGTCAAAGCGCAGCAAGAGGTCGAAGGTCAAGAAGTCAAAAGAAGGCAATGAGACAATGGAAGGAGCACCCGAGGCGGAAGCGCAGCACCAAGAACATGTTCCCCATCCGCCAGCGGAACCAACTCGTATGCGAACGCGCAACATGGGGAGCAAGCATGTGCCAGTTGCCATGGCAAGCTTCTCGGAGGACCCGAAGAACTACACCGAAGCGATGAACTCTGACCGTGCCGCTGATTGGAGCAAGGCAATGGCCGAAGCGATTAGTGCGTTGGAGGCAAACAGCACGTGGGAAATCGTGGCGAAACCACGACACGCAAAGCTGCTACACTCGAAATGGGTGTTCAAAACTAAGAAGCATGTTGATGGTACTCTGGAAAGGTTCAAGGCCAGGCTTGTTGCTTGCGGCAATGAACAGGAATATGGTGTGGACTATGTGGACACGTTTAGCGCCGCGCTGGAGGGTCTCTCTGCTAGGATCGTGCTCGCGCTGTCGCGCAAGTATAACGTGCCTGCCAGGCACGGGGATGTACCCAACGCGTACGTGCGAGCTGAGAAGGAGCCGGACCTGGAGATCTTGTTGCATGTGCCGCGAGGCATGACGGTGAACAGTGAGACGCTGGCTGACCTGGGAGTTGCGAACGAAAGGCAGATAGCGCTGAGGCTGCGCAAAAGCTTGTACGGCCTGAAGCAGGCGGGTCGCCTGTGGGCTCTGCACCTACAGAAGACGCTGTTGAAGCTCGGCTTCGAGCAGTTCTACACCGACAGCTGTGTGTACAAGAGGGGCAACGGCTCGGACCTTACGGTCGTAGGGGTATACGTGGACGACTTGCTCGTGACGGGCACGAGCGTCGCCAATGTGGACAAGTTCTTCGAAGACATGAAGGTGTTGGACGTCAAGGACTTGGGGCGTGTGTCCAAGTTTCTGGGTACTGGCATCGTGTACGATGAACTGCATGGCTACATGTTGAATCAACGCCAGGCGATCCTGGAGTTGTTGGAGCGCTTTGGGCTCGCTGATGCTAACGCGGTGAGGGTACCAGTCGTGGACGACAAGGACGAAGGCGACGACAGCGCTATGCTACCGGGCGATGTGAATGGTACACCGTCCCGCCCTACGGTTCAACTCTTTCAGTCACTTGTGGGGAGCCTACTGTGGATTGCGCGGTGCGCAAGGCCCGACATTGTGTTCGCCGTGCACCGTGTGGCCCGGCGTGCACATGTTCCTCGAGAGTCAGATTGGCGGAACGCCAAAAGGATCATGCGGTATCTGAAGGGTACTATTGACGTCAAGCTGCGCCTGGAGATTGACGCCAGCTCAGTGCAGGGGGCCGAGGTGAGGCTCGAGGGCTACAGCGATGCTGATTACGCGGGCGACCGTGTCGATCGCAAGTCTGTGAGCGGAGGGGTGCTATGCATCGATGGTATGGTGGTCGGCTGGTTTTGTAAGAAACAGAGCAGCGTTGCACTCTCGACCATGGAGGTTGAGTTCGTAGCGGCCTCACAAGTTGCAAGTGAGCTGCTTGGGCTGAGCGAACTACTCGGTGAGCTTGGGGTCGTCGTCCACGAGCAATCATCATGCATGTGGACAACCAGGCTGCTATTAAGCAGTTAGAGGAGGAGGACTCATCTGGAAAGGCAAGCACATTGATGTTCGGGTGAAATTCGTGAAAGCCTTCGTTCAGAAGGGCATCATCGTGGTGGAGTACTGCGAATCGCGGAAGATGCGGGCCGACCTCATCACCAAGTCAATCCTAGCACCACGCCTCGGCTAGCTACGAGAGCTGGTCTCGCTTGAATGAGGACGTCCCGGGAAGGAGTGTTGAAGTGTGGATGGCTACATCAACGGACAGGCGGTTAAGTGCGGATCGAGGCAGCAGCGACAGGCTGCTAGGTGCGAACAGGTACAGCAGCCGCGAACTGCTGGGTGCTGAAGGAGACGGCAGCGGCGGGCTGCAGCAGTGCGGAAGAAGACGGCAGCGGAGGCTGCAGCGGTGTGGAAGGAGACAGCGAGGCGACAGGCGTGGCAGTGGCGACCGAGAACTCGGGAGCGACGGACGCAGAGAAGCTGTTGACCCAGTTCATAGTGAGGTTCGTGCTCTAGGCACCTAGGTAACGGACGAGCTGGCGGCGGCAAGCCGCCAGCACCTCAATGCACATCAGTTCTCAACTTACCTCCTTCCTCACACCCCGTTCACTGCTCAACATCACACTCAACTCCAGCGCCGGTGACGGAGTCGCCAAGAACACAGACGGGTTCGATTGTCTGGGGAACGCCTCTTCAGCGACAACTACTGCAGCGGATCTCATGGCATTTCCGTCGGCTCTCTTGGTGGCCCAGTGCTGAATGCCTCCACCACGGTGGAGGGCTCACAATCACGGGGAATACCATTGTGAACAGTACCAACGGCATCCGCATCAAGACCATCATCGGCCTCCAGGATCTCTAAACCGTCACCAACGCCATCTACACCACCAACACGCTGGTTAACGTGACCAACGCCATCGTGATGCGCTCGGACTACAACAAGAGCAAGGGAGGGTACACAGGCACACCCACGAGTCTGGTTAAGATGAAACAGATCATGATCGACGGACTCAAGGGAACGGCTAAAAACCTGTACAACATCATGGCGAACCCGGACGTCGTATCAGACCGGACGTTCACTAACATCGACGTCGCAGTTTCGAGCGTCGGTAACTGCACTGGCGAGCCGTCTAACATTCAGTGCTAAAGCTCTTTGGGTGGAATTTGAGCAGATTTGAGCCAGCATCGTATCATTCTGATGTCAAGCTTTAATTTTTGTAATTGTACGTATATTTTTTAGATTATACGTATTGAAAAAGTAAGCTCAGGAACGAGCCTTCTTTGAAATTGTTTTACAGTTTGGGATAGAAGGCGCCCAGAAGTACAAGCCCAACACCGTTGTCACCACGTCAAAAAGAAAAGATGCTCGCCAAATCGGCGATACTAGCGCCTTTTACTGCTTGTATTTGTAGGGAGTAGTGACGTCAATTTACAATGTAGTAGTAGTAGTATAGCAGTTGATCCACTGTACAAGTATTTTTTGTGGCGACTTTCATACTTGAAATACTACATGTAGTATGTTCAGGACGAACTTGATAGTGCAGAAAAAAATGAAATGATATCGCTTCGATCGATGAACCAGGAGTCCTGGTCCAGGATGGTTGTTGTTAGAAAAACACAATCATGAGCGGGCATTCTCTTAATACAAATTTGACGGCCATATCTTGGAGATTTATGTGAAACGTGCTTGACAGCTCTTGACGCAAAGAAAATGGTTGGTTGCTTCCGTCATTCAACAATAAGTCAAACAACCCCCAACGGCTCATGCGCTTCGATCTTCTTGTGTTCGGTGCTCTTATCGCTACAATCGCCGCGGAAGATGCTGTAGCCGATTCAAATGACGCTGCCGCCGCGATCATCCCACCCCCCAGATGACAAGCCCCATGATCGAGAGCTCAGATTGAGCTGAAATTTGGCACATAGTCTGCTGACAGCATAAAAATATCGCAACGGGCAACTCGTGAGCTGTTCGACTCCGCCGCTGATCGAGGAGAAATAACCACGGGAGACTCAAGTCGCGAGGACTGGTGGAATAACTTCACGAGCTGGCTCAGGAAGACGCTCTTCTTCTGGAACAAGGATTCCTCTCGCCGTCTCCTCTAGACGTCAGGCAGCACAAGCGCTGTCAAAAGCAGCCTTAAAGGGGTTCAGTACCCATCCGCAGCATTTTCACTCAGTGCATGCTACAGGGGAGCATTCAAGTGAATTAATGGGTACGGTTAAAAAGAGAGCCTTGTTACCATTTAGGAATAATGAAGGTTTCCTTGCACTGAGCGCTCACAAAACGTCAAGCCAGACGTCGTACGTGGGGAAGATGTCTACCTTCGTAGAACAATTCGTTCTGCATCCTCTAAAGTCCGTGCTGATTCACATGCTTTTCCGTAGTGAGAAGAATACCAAACATAAGAAGGGGAAGTGCATGTCTGGTTGTCCGGCGTGGAGCACGAGCTACTCTGGGGTATCCTGTAATACACTTAGAGTGGTCAATTATCCATCTGAAGATATTGATTCGCGTAGCCTTAATCTTGTCATTCGGTCGCGTAAATTGCGAACTGAGGTTACCGTAGCCGCACGGCGAACGGCAACGCAGCTACATCGTCAGATTGACGCTTGCACTCAACCCGTAATCCCGCAACTCGAAACCAGAGGCGGTCGAGCCGATAACACCAGTGTTATCAGCTTGACCGGCTTGCCTCATCAGACTTGAAGCGCTGTTTAATTGATTCAGCATCAAACGGTTTGATTGAAGAGAACTTTTACGGCCTGGCGTCACGAGGAGTCAACTCGTCGGCTTCGATCGATGTCGGAGACAGTACCACGGACCGCTGTTTGATAGAGCGACGCCAGCATGCAAGTTACACGTAAGAATCTACGCGAGCAGAGCTGTCAAGGCGAGTGCGTTAGTACCCACGATGCAAGCTATATCGTTCGAGATGGAGGCATTTACAACGGACTGCCGCAACGAATACGGTTATCGGTCTCTACATGTCGATGGACACAGCGACTGGTAAATATACTTTATCTAGCGAGGACAACTAGAAGAGTTGTACGGACAGCCTCAGACAGATTAATTCGTCGGTAAAGAGTTGCTTGTTTCAGTTCCCTTTGGCATCGCCCAAAAAAACACATGAGGCGATAATGAGCAGAACTGCGAGATTTTGTTAGTCAATCTCAATAATATCTTGATCGGTTGTCTTTTGGGACTGCCGCGACTCCGACGTAGCTGGAGCCACCACTGTGACCGGAAAGCTATTAATTCCTCCCTTGTCATCGTTGTCGCTGGTTTCACTGTCAGATACGGTTAGATCCACCACAGTGGAAACTCCTCCGGCAGTGGCTCTATTGGTGGCTTCGCCGCCGTGCAATTCTCCCGAAGTTCCGCTCCCGCTCATGGTGTTGAGCGGCCAGGTTGGTTGTGTTTGTAACAGCGCTTGGATGTCACCCACGAGGAAGTTTCCGTCATCGTCTCCATCTGCAGAAAAAATCACTGGAGCTGATGTTGGAAAACCAAGCATCGGCCATGCTGGTTCTGCGCTGCTATCGCCTCCCTTCTCGACCTTCCGCTTTTTGTTACCGCCGTTGCCAGCCTCATTTCGCTGTGGCACCTTTTTCCCTGTACGCGGTGGCTTCGATTCGCGGGCTGGCTTTTCCGATTGATCAGCCTCAGCATCATCTTTGATCGTTGGGAAGAACTGTTTGACGCTGGGCGCTGCCTTCGTCTCCTTGTCTTTCTTTTTCTGCTTCTGCTCTCGTGCCAGCTCCCGCTCCTTCTTCTTTGCTTGCTTGGCTGTGAATTCCGCGGGCTCTTTGATTTTAGTGTAGCTCCCGCCACAACTGCGTTCATGGTCCGCCCACCAGCGATCAGTCGGACCAGGAGACCGATTCATTGACCGCTTCACCAGACCAAAGTATGGCGGCTTGCTGCGGCATGCGCCCTTCATTTATACAACAAGAGCAAAACACTAACGTTAGTAGCCATAAAACCGAAAGATTGCTTGAATATCTGCACCCACATTGCACTGCCACACGTGCTGGCGATACGAATCCACTTCGTCGTGAAACGTGTGGAAGACAGTGATGTGCGTTTTGGCCGCTTGATTGATCCGATTCATGTGCGCCTGAAACAACGGCCCGTGGTCTTCATGATCACGCACCGGCGTCGCCACGAACACGTACGCGTGGATCATCTCGTGCTGTTCGAACAGCGAAGCATGTCAGCAAGAACATACTAGCACTTATCAGCCACACAGTTTTCCATCGTACCAGCAAAGTATTCACCAGGTCACTGCGTGGCCGAAGCTTTAGCAGCGGTTCACTAAGTAAAAATCAACACCCACAGATCCAGTTAATTCAAAGCAGCAACTCGAACTTAAAGACCCAATAATTTTTAAACTTACCTCAATCGGATGGAGCAGAACCCACTTCGTGGCTGAAAGCTGCACAGACCAGCACTGCAAAACACCAATGGAAATGGTTAGTCCTGGAAGTATGCATCAATAACTGAGCACCCTAATTATTTTCGATGTTAAACCGTACCAGAGCGTCATGCGCTTGCTCCACTTGACTTCGCACCCTGCCAGGCGTCCTTCGAAGAACATGCGGTTGTACTCCTATAGGTTTAAACATAAAACAGATTATATTCTACCATAGTTTAACGATCGAAGAATGGTCTGTACCTGGAAGAGCGAGTGCAGGTCTGGGTTCGGGTCTGGCAATGGTCATAAGCCGTGAAATGGTCAGGAAAGCAGCGTTTTAGGTGGGGAAAAGGCGGTGAGACAGGTGCGAGAATGGACCTTACCCAGGTATTCATTCTCCGGCGCTAGCAGGTCGCACTGCTGCGTGGACAATGTGTCGCCGCGCGCCGTCGCGACGGCGCGGGCCATCATGTTAGCCATTTCGACAAAGTCAGTTGAGGAATTGACCAATCAAAAGACTGGCTGTCCGCGAACGGGTTCGCTTCCAGATGAACACTCTGATTGGCTGCTCAGTTACAGCTGCCGTAAATTACGGCGTTAAATTCGCAGGCATGTCCGGAGGGGGCATTTTGCAAATCATGCCCCTTTTTAGATATACGGGGTACTCCTGGGAACTTTAAAAGGGGTAGCCCGATCAGTAATGTTTCGCTGTGTATTGAAAGCTAGAAAGGGGCGCTACAAGAATGCATAAGAATGTGAACGTGGTGGCCTACGCTAGAGTGTGGCTTGGAGAGGAACGCACACTAGGCAGCTGCTTGGTACCTGGACATCTTGTCCGCCAAACTCATGAGCTCAAAGTATTGTCGACATTGCAACTCACCTTCCATCGCGTAGTTGCTGAGTCGGCCGCGATGCGGACTCATCGTACGCTTCAGCGTGCTGAAGTCCCCCTCCACTGTGTGGGTACCTGGCGCAATGCTAGCGAGTCCAACAGCAAACTCGGCCAGCAGTTCAAAGTTGCCGAACGAGACCGCCTTCTCCCAGACAACCTCGAGTGTCACTTCACGCGACGAGTTTCGTGGGCTTTCAAGCCGGCGGCGACATTCAGACTTCTTGTTAAAGCAGTGCGCCAGTTGTTTCCTTTGGTTCAAGATATCGGTTGTTGCCGTAGCACCGAATCGAGTCTTCAATTTGGGGCTGTGAGCTGCCAGCAGTGCACGGAAGGCGCGATGCGTGCACTGTATTATCTCGATAGGAGAAGTAGGAGGTTACTCGCGGCAATCGCTGTTGATGTCGAGCTTGATACATGACACGGGTTCGATGAAAACGGTGATGGCCTCAGCTACCGCTCCAACAAGTTCAGTCTGAGTCATAGGGTCTTGGGGTGGGGCGGGATCGATCTCATAGTCGACGTCGTTTTGATCAGGTTGCTCGTCGGGGGATGCGTCGTCCAGTTCGGTACCATCCGTCGCAGTGTGGGTCTGGTCTTCTATGGCACTCTCGTCTCTCTGCACTCCGACGTCCATGCTGTTAAATAGCGCCAACGAATTGTACGAGCACCACTTGAGGTGGTTGGCCACTTTGGTCTTGTCCCCATTCACTGAGCCGTCTTCGGTGTTGCTCTCGTACTTCAACTGGAACGTGTTCACGAGCTCATCCAGAGCGGTGTACTGCTCGTTCATAGTGACAGTCTTAACTTGCAGCTGACGAAAACACATTCGTATGGCCTCAGTCAGCTCGCTCACAACAAATAGACACAGCCACCATGCGCTGCTCGACCGCGCCTAGTTCTTCGCGTCTTGTGCAGCAACGAGTTGCTCGTAGTGCTTGGCCAGGAAATGACACGTGTCATGAATCGACTCCCATCTAGTCGTTGCATACTTTGGGCATAAACCCACTGCGAAGCGTACACTTTCGTATCTCCGTGTAAACGAGATCTCCATTCCCAGCCTCGACCTGAAGTTCACCGTTCTGCCGAGTACTTTTAGGAACGCGTCTACGGCAAGGTTCAACTGGTGGCTCCCGCACCAATTGATCGTGATGGCCGAGTTTCCAAAGGATTCATGTGGTGTAGGAAACACCAGATTTCGCGCGACCAACTCGGCTGGAGTGGTACACTGTACCGGTAGCCGAGCTCAGCCGAGCTCAGCCGAGTTCACCAGCTTATCCGGACACCTTATCCGGCTCAGCCGAGTTCGAAGAATTGTCCGGATAGCTCATCCGGACCAGCCGAGCTCAGGCGTCGCCGAGCTCAGCGAAGAGTCGGCCGAGATCCAAAACCGACCACTTCCATTTGGTATTTGTATAGGAGCTTAGGAATAGTGGAGGTGCCCCTTCAGGGCGCCCGACAGAGATAACAAACAACAGAGCAGTATTTTCTAGGCCTAAAGCACGTGTACACGTTCCGGTAAGTCCCTGCACGGGGCCGGATTATGTCTGCTGCCGGTACCCGAGAGGCATAGCTTGTAGGGTACTCGGCTGGCAGCGCCAAGAGATTAAGGTCGGCCCGGGTTGGGCGCGAGTCTCGCCAAGCGCGAAGGAAAGTCTCGCCACCGCTGCGAGCCGGTGTTCCCGTACGTCCCGGGCACTGATTGCTGAGTCGAGAAGCCTTTGCTCTCGGCGACCTGTAAAAGCGCTCCGTGCGCCGTCGTCCATCCTTTGGTGGAGGGCACAGGGTTGAGCGAACGGAGGCCGTCGAACTCGGCGGTTCTCCGGAGGAGTGATCTTGGTTGGCAGGTCTCGGCGAGAGGCGAGACACCCGCTGTCCCGGTTGGGCAGAACCGCTCGGGGGCAACCCGGCGCAGGCCAACAAAGCCGACCAGCTCGGCTATTGTTGTGTTTGTAGCCAAGTTACCACACCTGACGATTTTGTGTGTACTGCTATACCACAACTGGTGCCGCGACCCGGGAACAGGGGTGTGCTTGTGTTTCGTAGGTACCAGCTAACCAAGGTTTGAGAAGAAGAGAAGAGAAGAGAGTGTGAAGATGGTCAAGGGAATTGTTACGCCGAGTCCAGCGACGGTTGGAAGTAACTCGGCTGGACTGACCAACTCGGCGGACTCGGCGAATGCGATGATCACGGACGCGACGGCGGACGAGACGCGCACCGTCCAGTTCGATGAGGAGGATGCCCAAGACCAAGAAAGTGAGGAAGATGTTGAGGATGAGTATGAGGAGAAAGCCGAGCTACTCGGCGAAGTCGACGAGTTGTCGCTGCATGTCGGATGAATGGGTACCCCACGTCCAGTTGTGCGCAACCTGGCGGCCGAGCTCGGCAATGATACGGACGACGAAGATCATGCCGCCGCTCAAGGGGAACGTCCGCCCCTGATCCCGCGAGCGACGAGGAATGCGGATACGCCAAGTGCGAACAAGGTTCTGGGCAGGCTCGGAGAGGAGATGCGAGCTCAGAGTGAGTGGATGATGATGTTTGCCCCAGTGGCGATGGCTCAGGCGAGATGGCCGGTGCTAGGGCCCGAGCTGACTCAGCCGGTGAACAGCACCGACATCAACCAACTGGTCGAAGACGCGGTGCTGCTACTCAAGGCGATGGGGTTCCGGTGCACGAGCCGACCCAACAGCCTGCTACTCGGCGATTGGGACCCCAGCCGAGCTTCACGCGAAATCCTCAAGTGGAAGCGTCGGTTGAGAGTCTCGTTTGGTCTCGAGCGGGGGACCGTTGGAACTCGGCAGACTATTGCGAAACGAGTGGCTGATACTCCGAAGACCGTCGAAGACCCCAGCAGGATTCCCCTGCCGAAGACTCCCGAACGCAAGAGAGCCGAGGTGTTCCGCTCTACTGAGGGTACGCCGTATTTCGAAGATTCGCATATGAAGACGCCAACGCGTGGCAAGCAGCCAAGTGGACGGTACGCTGAGTTGTTTGACGCTGCAGACGCAGCCGAGCTCAGCGGCAGCGACGATGGGCGCGAGTACCTGAACTCGGCTGAAGAGTCGGTGAAGGACGTCATCAAGCACCTTAGCTTCGATGACGCTGAAAGTGATCGGACGCAATACTTGGAGGTTCGCACCCATGCGTCCGTCGAAAAGATCCCTATGTTCGAAGGCAAACGTTACCGACCGGATGACTCTCTCCAGTGGCTTAAGCGGTTCATCTACGAGATGAAAGGAACTCGGCTGGCACAAGACCTCTGGTACGAGCCATTCTCGCTGAAGCTGGAGCGAGGCGCGAAGAGCTGGTATCGCCAGCTCCCGAAGAAAACGCAACGGAAGTGGAGTCTGCTGAGTGAGGCATTCGCCGACTACTACTGTTCGTAGTTTGACCAGTCGGCACGAGCTCGCAATTACTCGGCTCAGCGCAAAGACAACGAGCTGGTGTGTGACTTCCTCGTTCGTCTCAACGGATATGCGAAGTCGGCGAAAATCCAGTACGAGGCCGGTGGAGCGGATGCTGCTGACCATGTGGAACACTTCCTGTTGCACTGCGGAGATGATGACATCATGGATCTGCTCTATCCGCAACAGCTCGCCGACATCAAGAAGGCCGAGAAGATCATCAACCAGAAGATCCTGGGGGAGCGCCGGAAGAAACAGCGCGACCGTTTCGTCGAAAGCCGCAGCCGAGACGCCAAGCGCGCCGATTCGCCAAGGCACTCAGAAGCTCGGCGGAGTGAGCCGCGCCGAGACGACCGTCGAGACGACCGCCGGGAACGACGTAGAGATGACCGCCGAGATGACCGACGAAGCCGACGCGACGATGGTCGATAACGCCGACTAGCGACAGCGCTGCTGGAGGACGACCCGTATGAGCTGGCTGAGAGACGCCAACCCAATCGGCGATCCAACCTCTACGACTCGGACAGCGATCAGAGCGACGGCAGCCAGCTGAGCTACTCTGACTCGGCTGTAGACTCGGAAGCCGATTGCATCGACACCGGGTTCACCAGCGACCGCGACCGTAGATCGGGGGGCCGAGGGAACTCAGCTGGGACACCAAGGAGTGATCACCGAAGGGGTCAGCCGAGCTCGGCTGACCGCGCCAGTCGAGGATTCGATCGGCGTGACCAGACTGGGCGGCGCGGTGACTCCCGTGAACGCTCATCGTATGGACCTTGTGCTGCCTGCGGCGGTGCGAACCACTCCGTTCACTACTGCCGCCGTCGCTGCAAGTTCTGCAAGCAATTGCACGATGTCGGTCAATGCGAGCTGTTCCAGCGCTATGAGAAGCTCGCCGCAATTGTCAAGTCCAATGTCGACAAGTCCAAGTTACCTGAAGACCTCCAGGACCTTTACACGCCGAGTGATTTAAACTCGGCGGCCAGCCAACACTGACTGGGTTAGATGATACCGGGCTGCCACAGTCAGCTGAGCCAGCAGTAGAGGCGAACTTGTGTTTGCCTTTGTGGGTGAGGCAGGAAGGCCCGAGGACCGAGGAGAAGACGACGTATTGGATTGTGAAAGCGATGGACTTGATGGTGAGCTCGGCGAGAGTGGAGAAGGAAGCCGAGCAAGATTGTGCAGTGCAGTTGCGACTCAGCGATCGACGGATGTGACCACAGCCACCAGAGTTATGAAGCTGCTCCCTGGGGAGCGACTCGGCTGGTGGTTGTCACAAAAGTTTGACCGCCGAGTTCGGATGAGAGCTCTCGTTATGGGAGCAGTGAACGACCAGCGTACAAAGATATTGCTCGACACCGGTGCGAATGTGTCGGCAATAAGCGAAGGGTTCGCGAAGAGGCTGCGGTTGAAGCGGTTCACACGCCAGGACCAACAGATTGGCGTTCAAGGTATTGGGAAAGTCAAAGTGGCGCCGATGTCACGAGCGATGGTGAAGGTGACGCTCGGCTGGGAGGTCACGTATGAATTTGAAGTATGGATCCTCGATCACCACGCGGGAGTCGAGTTGATTCTCGGTACGGACTTCATGATTCCGGCTGGGATCCGCCTGGATCTGTACAACTCGGCGGCGAAGTTGCCAGATGAAGTTGTCCTACGTCTCGTGAGGTCCCAGAACTCAGCGGATGAACCGAAGGGCGGCCTCTACATCACAGACGGCCCGACCGAACCGGTGAATCTCGAGAGCCGAGTTCCCGCCGAGTTCAGGCTGATGAGGAATCAAACAAGTGATGAAACACATGACTTCTGGGTACGCCCGACTAAGGACTGGGTACCGACCGTGGTATTCGACCGGCGTAACCGAGTGGCTCGAGTTCGCCTGACCAACCTTAAGCCGGGTTGGACGTGGTGCCCAGCACATTTCCCAGTGGTTGCCTGGGCGCCGCATGGGGTGTTACCGCCCGATGGTTACGTCAGACTGCACTCGGCGAAGTACAAAGATTGGCAAGTCATGGCCTACGAAGCGGCTATGGATAAGGATCTGCTGCAAAAGGAACAACAGCTGTACGCCGAGTGGCTGGCTCGACAGCTGTCAGCTGTGGACCGTAGAAACTACCCTGAACCGAAAGGGGTGACTACGTGGCCGTCTACCAAGCAGCGGGATTCGGTACTGACTTGCGCCCAGCAATGGGAGAAGTTAGCCGAGTCGGAGGAGCGAGCTGAGGCAGAAGCAGTCGATAGTCCACCCTCGATTCCGACAGAGCCAGCGAACTCGGCTACCGCTACCCTAGCGCCTGAGGAATTAGCATTGAGCGCGGAGCCTACTGCTGACTTGGTCAATGGCCCGCCTAGTCGAGAAGAGATCACAGTGACGGCTGGTCAAGAAGCGCCCAGCCAAAACGCCTGTGCAGCAGATGAGTGTGAAAGTGATCAATCCAGCGATTTGTCTGACTAGACGATCATCGACGACCCCGGGCCCAAGCCGCCGAGTCCAAGGCTCGAAGATGAGGTCGATGTGAGCGACGAGCCCATGTCGTCAGACCCGGAGGAAGATCTGCGCTTACGTTACCTTCTGGCAGTCAAGTACGAGGAAGAGACAGATGGCCGAGGCGACTCGGCGAGAGACTCAGCCGAGTTCGAGCACCAAGCAACGAACTTGGAGCTCGAAGGTTATGCTCGCGAGTTGGCGTTCCTGCCCGATCTGACTGAAGCGGTGTCGACGCCACTCGACTATGAAGCGTCAAACGTTCGGAGCTCGGCGCACACTCGGCCACAGTCTACTCGGCTGGTGGAAGTATTGAAGAGCCATGAAAAGATCATGATCTCCAGTGGTAATGCCCAACCTCCACCAGCATACGGCGTAGTGTGTGACATCGACGTACAGGGGCATCCGCCAATCCGCCAACGAGCCCGCCGAGTTCCGCTGAAGCATCTCGGCAAGTTGTACGAGCTGCTCAAGGCGCTGTTACGGCTCGGCTAATTGCCTTCTCGAACAGCCCATGGGCATCACCCATCGTGATTGTCCTAAACAAGAATGGGGTCGACATTCGGTTGTGTATCGACTACAAGCTGGTAAACGCGATTACGTTGCTCATGGAGTATGCCATGCCGCTAGTGGACGATCTCCTCACGGAGTTGGAAGCGTACCTATGGTTCTGCTCTTTGGATGCTGCTAGCGGTTTCTGGGCGGTTATGATGACGGACGGGCGCGTTGGATCTCGGCTTTTGTTTGCGCGCTTGGCCACTTCGAGTGGCTACGGATGCCCTTCGGATTAAAGAATGCCCCAATGATCTACCAGCGCCTTATTGATAACGTTCTGTGGGGTTACGTACAACCCAAGGGCGGCTGGAAGGTGTTCGCCAAGCGCATCCAACAAGCGGAAGCCGCCTCAGAAGCTCAGCGGAAACGGCTCGCAGCCGACATCGACTTTGAAGCCAGTGGCCAGACCAAGTTTGAGGCCGACCGCCGATCTCAAGCTGAGTTAGACCCATTGGAAGAATTCATTAACAGCCCAGAAGCCGACATGTTCCGGACGGGTGAACCTGATGAATCGTGCCTTGCACCGGTTTTCGACCGGCGATCGTTTGTGGACGATATCTGCTTCGGTGGGAGGACGTTCGACGATTGCTTGGGGACGCTTGACCGATTGCTGCAACGCTTCACTGAATGCCGCATCAGCGTCAGCTTCCCGAAAAGCATCTTCGTCCAACCTAAAGTCGACTTCCTGTCACATGGGGTGACCTCGGCTGGAATCCAAGCCGACCAGAAAAAGATGCTGGTGATAGCCGGGCTACCGTTCCCGACGACGAAGAAGGGGATGCAAGCATTCTTAGGAGCGCTGAACTACTACGGCCGGTTCGTCCAGAACCTGGCTGTATATGGGGCGGTCCTCTATCAGCTGAAGGACGAAGATTTCGGACCCGGCGGTGATCTGACGGCCGCAAAAGCGGCGTTCGCCGAGTTAAAACAGCAGGTGGTCGACGCACCCATACTCCGCCACTTCAACTCGGCTGAGGACGTCCACGTTATGCTATTCGCCAATGAGTGGGCTCTGAGTAGCACGCTGATGCAGCTCCACGACGGGAAGCTCCATCCAGTGCGGTTCTGCGGCCGAGTCATCAAGGATAATGAACTCGGCTACCATCCCGCCGAGAAAGAAGTTCTCGCCTTGCTACAGCTCATCAAGGTGTACCACACGTTGCTCGCCGGGAAGACCATCCATGTTTACACCCGCTACTTGACTCTCGAATGGGTGTTCCAGTCGAAGTCTCTCCACGGCAGAGCAGTCAGCTTTGCGGTACTGCTATCACCGTTCCACCAAAAGGTCAAGTGGGTCCGCGAACGGGACACGGATTTCGCCCAGTTGCTCCAAGCGTCGATCACACCGGCAGTGGGATTGGACGAGCTACTAACGCATGTCACTCCGCCGTCCAAGAACTCGGCTGTGGTCCGCATGGACCCAGAATTGCTGTATGCGCATGTGCCCCGAGACTTCAAGGGACACGTCCTGTCGTTTGACGGATCGGCGAAGACTGCTAAACACGGCGGTTTCGGGAGTTGTTCTTGGATCCTGTGGCGTTTGCCAGACTGGAACATTGAGATCGCTGCGAGCGCGCACCTCCCATCGACCACGGTGAATATAGCCGAGTACACCGGCATGAACAATGGGGTGACCTCGGCCATTGAGCGCGGGGTGACGGATTTGATCATCGTGGGCGACTCCCGGCTTGCGATCCAGCAATCCATGGGGGTGATCGCGTGTAAGAAGGAGGCATTGCAAGTCGAGTTAGCACGCCACAAGAAATTGGTCAGCAAGCAGAATTCAGTTCGCTACCTCCACGTAGTGCGCCTCTACAACTCGGCTGCTGACGCTTTAGCGACCGAGGCACTGGAAACCAAAGCAGGAAAGGTCGTGCTAAGCGCCGGACGGAAAGCCGAGTTGAAGACCCTAAACAGGATCTCTGAGGTCCTGTACGTGGACACGGACTCGGCTGCAGCCCCGGCCGAGGGTGTTGAGATGGCTGCCGTGACAAGGAGTCAAGTCCACCGAGTCCGTTTCGAAGACGAAGCGGCAGAACACCCAGTCTCGGACCCAACTACGGATGAGGAAGCCGAACGTAATGACTTTGAACGAGATAGCCGACCTCCGCCTGCTAGACAGCGGGTGACGGGAGAAGCCGAGTTCGGTAGCGCAGCACCACCAGCTAGCCCAGCTGAGCTGGTAGCCGAGCTCGGAGAAGCCCGGGAGCCCAACGCCATGGACATCGATCCGGTAGTGGTCCAAGCTGAGCGCCGCCTGCGAATAGCAAGAGTTCAAGACGAGGAACAACGATGGGCCGACTTGAAGACCTACCTGAGAGGGGATTATGCGCAGCTCACACATCGCCGAGCTCACAACGCTGGGATAGTTGCCGACGAGTTTGTGCTCAGCGAAGACGGGCTATTGTACCGACAAGGCAAGGCCAGACCACCTGGCGAACTCGGCGAACTAGGCTTATCCCTTCGACTGGTGGTTCCGACGACCATGATAGACGAGATCCTGCAGAACTGCCACAACTCCATCGAGGGAGGCCACCAATGGATTGTGCGGACATACCACAGGGTCAGAGCCGACTACTACTGGATTGGGTTGTACGCAGACGTGGTCAAACATGTCCAAGCGCGCGAAGACTGCAGTACCAGTAAGAGCAAACCACACCTGAAGGGCTATTCACCTGGCAACGTAGTGTCTGAGCGACCGTTCCACGTGGTATCGATGGACTTTGTCATACCACTGCCGAAGACTCGGCGGGGCAACACTGCACTCCTGTTGTTTCAAGACCACTTCACCGGGTTCGTGATTGCTAAGGCAATAAGTGAGACTGGGGCACTTGAGGTAGCGAAGGCCTTCGAAGAAAACGTGTTCCGGAGGTTTGGAGCTCCATCACTGGTACGCCACGACAGAGATCCCCGGTTCATGAGTGAAGTGTTCCAGAAGTTATCGGAGATGATGCAG